ACCCTAACCCTAACCCTAACCCTAACCCTAACCCTAACCCTAACCCTAACCCTAACCCTAACCCTAACCCTAACCCTAACCCTAACCCTAAGTTTTGTCTTTATCTTTTATCTAAAATAGGTTACTTACTAGCTTTGTTAAATCTATGCTTGCTAGCTACTTTAGCAACTGTAATAGCATGCAGTTAATCCTTTTAGCGCATTATCTTAATTTCTATTTAAAGCTATCAACTAGTATGCCAAGTTGCTAATTCTTCTTTACCTTTTTGCAATTGCATTTCTTTTTCTTAAACGCTGCTATTATCAAAGCTAACCTAGCTGCCTAGATTGCTACCTAGTCACGCTGCTTTAAATGCTTTGTCTACTTTATATATGCAACCTATAGCAATGTTATGTTTAGTTTGCTAGGCTCTTCTATCTTCCTATGCTACTTGTCTGCCTCTTTTTGCAAACACTCTTTGCATACCTATATTGCAGCTAGCAGCACCTTACATCCTCTATCATTAATGCTATCTTTATCATTACTGCTACACCTAGCTACAACCTAATACTGCATATGCCTTTATTAGCTAAATAACTATAGCAAGACAACTATCTAGCCTAGCCTTCTTGCTAGCGTGTAACTTTTAACTGTCTAATGCATCATTGTGTTTTTCTTATTAACTGTCAAATGCTAGCAGCTTGTGCAACTATAACCCTTTAGACGCAGCAAGTCTTTAATTAGCACACTACTATTATGCAGCAGCTTTATAGTTGCCAGATTGCTTAGATGTATTGTTAACAATGCAAAAGACAATACTGCTTATAGCTTTTTGCCTTTTAGCTTATGCTAGTTGCAAAAGTGCAACTTTATACTATTGCCTAGCTTAATGCTTGCATTGCAGATTAAGCAAAGCAGCATATTGCATAGCTTATATAGTTAGACAGTCTCTTTAAGCTAAAAAGTCTTGCAAGTCAATGCTATTTTAACCTGCCATCTACTATCTTTTGCTTGTATAGCAATAGTTGCCTCTTTTTGTTTTAATTGTCAACCTTTGCTACCTTAATCTAACCCTATGTTCTCCAAACCCCTGTTGAGAAAAATTTCGCCTAATCCTACTAGTTGTTTGACATGAAGGTTGTTTAGCATGAATAGCCTATGCATAGCTCTCTTTTCTATAAGGACCTGCGGTTGTTTAAGCTAAACAACCTATCTAATAATGTTTAGGCTTTAAATTGTAAAATCATCATCAATTACGCAGACTTATATAGATTTACAAGCAGCACTCTTTACACTTTAGTTATTTTGAAGCTTTCTATGCAATAATACTTGATTTACCGCATTCTATTCCTTCTTTATGCTTTCAATTCAATTGATTACGCTACTAGCGTTTTCCTACCTTACTTACATGACTAGATTTAGGCACTACTGCAAGACATAATAGGGCTAATCAGAGTCACTTAACTAGTCATGTGCGCTAGAGGTAAGGAAGAAGCACGATTCTATCTGCCTGCCAGCCAATCACGTAGCTACTGCCATTAGAGCCTACGCCTTAGCAGCAGTATACTACGTTGAGAGGTAGGTAGGTAGATGGTGACGTGGTGAATGGAAAAGGCACGGGCCGCTTCAGGCTAGGATGAGTCAGCTTCGGACCGGATTTTCTGCGCTTCCATATAAGAGCGTGATCAGGGCCTCAAATTGTAAGATCATCATCAATTACGCAGACTTACACGGATTTACAAGCGGCACTCTTTACACCTTAGTTATTTCCAAGCTTTCTACGCAATAATACTTGATTTACCGCATTCCATTCCTTCCTTACGCCTTCAATTCAATTGATCACGCCGCCGGCGTTTTCCTACCTTACTTACACGACTGGATTTGGGCACTACCGCGAGACGTATCGGGGCTGATCAGGGTCACCTGACCAGTCACGTGCGCCAGAGGTAAGGAAGAAGCACGATTCCATCCGCCTGCCAGCCGATCACGTGGCTACTGCCGTTGGGGCCTACGCCTCAGCAGCAGTATACTACGTTGAGAGGTAGGTAGGTAGGTGGTTTTGTGTCTCTCCTCCTCAATGGTTTTGTGTCTCTCCTCCTCAATGCTATATTGTATTATAGTAGTTTGTTGTTATAGCTTAGATTGCAACTCTTTGCTATCAAGGCTTTGATTAGTGCTTGCTTAAGGTTTGTTGTTGAAAGTTAAAGTGCTTTGCTAGCATGTCAAAGTTTTTGTAAAGCCTAGTATTTTTCTTTTGAAATAAGTTGCTGTCTTTTAGGTAGGTATATGTCTTGCTATAGTTTGCTTTAAGGTAGCAACTTGTTAAGAAATTGTTAGCTTTTGTGTAGTTGTCTCTAAGGCTTGCTGCCTTTTTTGCCTAAATTATTGTATTGTCTTTCAACTTTGTTGTCTTTCTAGGTTGCAAACCTTTTAAAAGTCAATTGCTAGTCTTAGGCTAGTTTTAAGAGTCTTTTTTGAAATAAAAGTCTTGCTTTTTCCTTTGCATCTTGCTACTATTTTCTTAGCCTATGCTTTTGTAAGGAAATAGAAGCTAAAGAACTGTAAGAGGATAGGCTAATGCCTTGCATAGGGAAAGAATATAGTAGTAGGTATGTAGGTAGGAGGGTAGGTTTTGTAGTAAGCGTAAACTTTAGCTTGCTTTTTTTTAATTGTATATATGACAAGATTTTTATTGCCAATGAGTTGGAATCCTGGTAAAACCTAATTCTAAGAGCTTAGACTACTGCTTGCAGTCTGACTATTCTCTAACCACTATGGAAGTCTTTACAGCTATATTTACAGCAACTTTTAATACTACTGTAAATCTCAAACTGTTACGCCCCGAAGGCCCGGGTCAATATTGCCCCAGCCCCCACGCGCGGGGCCTGGGAAAGCCGGTGGCCGAGGTGGCTTGGTCCGCCGCATGAGTGGCTTTAAGTGATCAGCGCGAGCGCGGCCTTCCCTGTAATTAGTACGGTCCTACCCCGCGGGGTAGGAAGGTCTAGCTGGCATGGTCGACGGTCCTACGGGGTCCCTGCGGGGGGCCTGCGTAGGGACCGCCGGGCAGCCCTGAGTTAAAGACCGCGATGGACCTGCCCGAAGGTTTACGAGGGCAGGCTTCAATATACGTTCTAGCCGAGAAGCTACTCGAGACAGTTTCCTACCTGATTTACTAGCAATACTGTCGCGACTGCCCTTTCCCTCGGAACCCGTGCCAATTAGCCACCTCGTATAAGTCAGTCGGACTGATCACCCCCGTGCCTCCGTCCCGCTGCCAACCCGGGTCCTGCGACTCGTTACACAAACACTTATTTTAAAACTAATTTTTTTCCATTGCGCATAGCTTTAACTATAAAAAAAATTACTAAGGTAAATTTTGCAAAGTTAGTAAGCTTTTAAAAAGCAAGCTTTACTTTTGCAAAATTTAGCGTAGCGTGCTGTAGGTTATTTTAGCAAGTAGTAGCAATTTTTACATAAAACAAAAACTGCTAACTAGTTAAGGTTTGTTATAAAACTGTCAAGTAATAAAAACTTTAAAATGCTTATTAGACAGATAAAGCTATAGGGATTACGCAGTATAAAGTCCTTACAGCTAGGAAATTTACATTCCCCTAGCCTTTAGCTAGGATAACCTGTTATAGTAACCTAATTGTTTCTTAAGCGGCCCCACTTTCCAACAAAACGCCGCTGCCCAACGTAGCGCAACGTTAAGTACAAACGTAACCTCAAGGACGTCAATGTCAATGCCCGCCAAATATGGACATTAAGTTCTGCAAGTATCTATCTAGCCAATCCTTGGGCCTAAGGACGGCTAGGCAAGGAACTGGCGGTCCAGCTGTTTGCCTGTGTAGGCCAATGAATTCCATCGCCTGCACCTGTCCAAGCGAGGCTTTGGATCGTTGGCAACGTTTGGATGAGAATGTTTGCAATTCCCCACAGTCTATTATGTGGCTGTCTGTGATTTGCCTGCTTCAATCATGACATGCCTAGATGGAGGGCCTTCAGTATCCGCACCCCGGTCCATCTGTGGTGGCACGAGCCTGGTCGTCTGCTGTTTGCCTTGTCTATCCCCATTCCATTCCACCCATCGAACTTGAAGAGCTTCCTACAGCACCACCAAAGATTGTAGCAGAAGACAAGCTGCTTGTACGCTGTTTTCTACACAGCTATACCTTTAAACCAGCACATTATTCCCCCAATTTGTTCTTCAAGCCCACTGGATTCATGTCGTCCAATCGAGGATCGTGGCGTGCCTCTTTGCGAGGCTCGAGAGGGGGCGGACGCTCTTCTGGGAATCATGGCAAGCGGCCCGCCCACAACCAAGAGAGCCTGCCGTGCCATCATTTCCAGCGTGGTATGTGCTCCTACGGTGCGAGGTGTCGCTTTTCACATGACCGAACTCGAGGCGGCGGAAGGAATCGAGACAGCCACGCCAACGACGAGCCGGAGACGCCGGACCAGGTTGAAGCGAGGACGGCCTACTTTGACTGGAGGCGACTGCTGCGATTTTCTCCTCCTATCCGAGGTGGTAGTGACCTGTCTCTGGTTCAGCTTTGGGCTGGCGCTGGCGACATACTCGACGGAAGTGGCCGAGACTGGCACCAAATGCTGATCAAAGACCTCGTGGATGACGAATTCTCCGGCCGCCAATACATTAATGCCACGATTGCCCTTAACGTATTGACCGATGACAGCACAACGAGGTCCATCGCCGATGATTTCATCAAAGTCATGACCCATCCGTCGCTCCTCGACTGTCTCTCGGTCGGCACCTATGTCGGGGAGCTGTACCACATCGCAAGCGGTGCCTATGGAGACGTGGCACTGGACTTCATTGCCAAGTATTGCAAGGGCTTGCTCTTGTGCCACGAGAAGTTTCCCAGAATACACACCCCGGTGAATATGGAGGCATCTCTCCAGAGGGTATCGACTTTGGTCGGTGAACTCCTTCGGCGACGACGGCTTTTGGCGCTCCAGGACGGTCTTGTCGAGCTCTTGGTCGCCATGGACAGTGTTGCGGTCCTTCTCAACTCTCCGGAAACTATTACTAGCTACACTGCGTGTGCAGATCACATTGCCACTCTGCGTCGCATGGTAGAGCTGTCCGCGGCGCGTCTGACCGCTGCCGCCGATCCCTCCAACGGCTCCGCTGCCTCGCCCGCTTCTCAACCGGGCCATGTCTTCCCGATCGAGCTCGAGCTCCCCGGCGGGAGGCATGACAACGACCATCTCGACATCGGTCGAATCAAAATCTTCCCGACCACCGACGAGGTGTTGTCTACCCGAAACGACTTCCTGCCATCGACCGACTTCCGACAGCCCCATTTCTACAACGATCCCGTCCAGCGCTACCTCGACACGCACTTCAGGCTCCTCCGGCATGATACGTTTGGTCCGTTGGTCGATTTCCTGCATCAAGCGCTGCTGTCGTTCACGGATGGAGCCAGCCCCCTCAGTGTGCATGATGGAAATGTCCGAGCATACGTCTACCACGCTGCGGCGATCTCGCACCTCTCAGTAGATGACAGGCGAGGCTTCGAGTCCCATGTATCCTTCTCTTTGCCGCAATACCTGCGACGGAAACCTGCCGACGAGCGGCAGACCTGGTGGGACCAGTCGAAGCGACTGGAGCAGGGCGCCCTGGTGTGCTTCGTCTGCGCTGTCGACAGTCGCCCGACGCCCTTGCTCCTCGTCGTCAGCGACAAGTCCACGAACCCCAAACAGAAAAACAACCTTGTCTCAGATGCCCACAGAGGGACCATCTCGGCTAAGCTGGCGACGCCAGTACGCACGGATCTGGAGCTCCTGGCTCGAGTGTACCACCACAAGATCAATGGAGTCTTGATTGATCTCCCCGACCTGATCCCTGCGACCTTCAAGCCAATTCTGGAGAACCTCCAGCACATGATGCTGCACACGCTGCCATTCCAAAGATGGATCATTCCGGATCCGGCCAATGCGCGGGACGCTCCTGACACAATTCCTCCGCCTAGGTACGCGCGTCGAGCTGGGTTCGCATTTCGCTTGGACTCAATCCTCCAGGACAAAACCCGCAGTTTGATACTCAGCTCCACTGCCTCGAAGGACGATGCTGCCATCTTGGACCGTGTTGTGGCTGAGACTGGCCTTGACCGTGGCCAGGCTGCGGCCCTCGTCATTGCTCTTACGACGGAGTATGCCTTGCTCCAAGGACCACCCGGGACTGGAAAATCGTACCTCGGCGTGAAGCTGCTCCAGGTGCTTCTTGCCTGCAAGAGTTCGGCAGACCTCGGCCCCATAGTAGTGATGTAGGGTTCCCAGTGCGATGTCGCCGATCAGGTGCCCAGGTTGACTAACTCTGCTCACTAGATGCTACACCAACCATGCCCTGGACCAATTTCTACAGCACCTCCGGGCTGTTGGTATCAATGGCATCATTCGCATCGGCGGACGAAGCCGGTCGGCAGACCTCGACGATTGCAACCTTGTCGAGGCGAGCCGCAGGATCCCCAAGTCCAAGAATGAAAGTTGCATTCTGGGCAAGACATATTCGGAGTTGGATGAACAGCGGATATCCCTCGGGCACCGTCTGGCGGGTCTCCATGCCCTGCGCAAGGAATCGTCGTCGAAGCACCTGCGGCGATATTTGGAGCGGAATCGCGCCAAGATCCATGCCCAATTCTTCCCAAATGAGCGGGACGGGTACATCACCGTCGGAGACCCAATCTCTGTCTGGCTAGGCAAAAGTTGGCAACCCTTCTCCGCTGAGACGAGTGTAGCCGCCACAGCCGAGCAGCTCAAGGACATAGGGTGTCGGGCGACTCGCGACGTCAACTCCCTGTCTCGATCGGACCGTCGCCTCCTCTACCAGTTTTGGTTGGATGAAATCCGCACGGAGCAGACGGACTCGTTATTCGAGGAGATCCGTCACATTGAGGCGCAGCGCGCACGCATCGATGAGGTCCACAACGAGGTCAATCGACGAGCCCTGCTGAAAGCGGATGTCATCGGCATCACAACCACAGGGCTTGCCAAAGAAACCGCTACTCTCCGCCATCTGAAGGTCAAGGTCGTCATCTGCGAAGAAGCTGCCGAGGTGCTCGAGCCTCACCTCATCTCGGCTCTCATGCCCGGTATCGAACATTTCATCCAGATTGGCGACCACCAGCAGCTGCGGCCCCAGATCACCTGCCGCTCTCTAAGCATGGAGGTGCCCAGCGGCGCACCCTATCAACTTGACCGAAGCCAGTTCGAGCGCCTCGCCGTGGGTCAGCCCGGATTGGCGCCACTCCCGGTCGCCCAGCTCAACGTCCAGCGACGAATGCGGCCCCAAATCTCGCAGCTCATCAGGCAGACCATGTATCCGCGTCTGGAGGACCACGATACTGTGAATCAATTGCCTGATGTGATAGGAATGCGGAACAGTGTTTTCTGGCTCACCCACAGTCATGCTGAGGACGTGGCTGGCGAAGACAAGCGCCTGAAATCTCACGGCAATGCGTGGGAAGTGGGCATGGTGGTGGCCCTGGTCCGACATCTCGTCCGACAAGGAGCATACAAGAGCACCGACATCGCGGTCCTCACTCCCTATGCAAGGCAGCTGCAGCAGCTTCGCGCCGCTCTGGCCTGCGACTTTGTCGTCGTTCTTAGTGACAAGGACGAGGACGTCCTAGCCCGAGATGGCTTCGCCGAGGCTGCGGACCCCAACAGCCAAACCCCGCTCGAGAAGAAGAAGCTCGTCGATGCGATCCGTCTTGCCACCGTCGACAATTTCCAGGGCGAAGAAGCCAAGGTCGTCATTGTCTCGCTGGTTCGCAGCAACGATCGCCACAAGGTCGGCTTCCTCAGGACGTCAAACCGCATCAATGTGCTGCTGAGCCGCGCCCAGCATGGCATGTACCTCATCGGCAACTCCGCCACGTACTCTAACGTTGCTATGTGGGTTGACGTCCAACGCCAGCTCGAGGCCAGCAATTCCATCGGCACGGCATTCGAACTCTGCTGTCCGCGGCACGTCGACACGCCAATCCGGTGCAGCGAGCCCGATGACTTCGCTCGCTTCAGTCCCGACGGCGGCTGCAACCTCCCCTGTGACCGCCGCCTGGACAGCTGCGGCCACCAGTGCTCGGCCAAGTGCCACTCGGAGACCATGCACAGCGCCTTTGCATGCATCCAGCGCTGTCCACGCATCAGAATGACCTGCACCCACAGCTGCCCCAGGCTGTGTGGCGAGGCCTGCGGACCGTGCCTGGTTCTGGTAAACGACGTGCCTCTCCCGTGTGGACATCGTGTCGACAAACTGCGGTGTTGCCAGACGCTGGACATAGGCAAGATTCTTTGCCAGGTCCGTGTTCAGAGGACGGTCTCTGGTTGCGGCCATGTCGTGGAGGTTGCATGTTCTGTCGACATGACTGCCAGGGGGTTCAAGTGCCTTACGCCGTGCGAGAAGGTCCTGCATTGCGGACACATATGTCCCGGATCTTGCGGAACATGTGTGCGTGGAGAAAGCGACGACATCGTCCACAAATCATGCGGTCGACAGTGTGGTCGCCCATACGACACCTGCGGCCATGTCTGCCAGAGCAAATGCCATTCGGGCCGGCCATGCACGCCCTGTGCTCGCCAATGCGAGGTGAGTTTCATCACTACGATATTCATGCGTCAAGAGTGTGGCCAAGTGCTAATAAGAATATGGCGTCAGGTCCGTTGTGCCCATTCACGCTGCTCGCTCTCTTGTCAGCAGGCATGCCATCCGTGCATCGAGAAGTGTGCCTGGTCTTGCGAACACCAGGGTGACTGCCCGATGCCCTGCGCTGCACCCTGCAAACGCCTCCCGTGCAACGAGAGATGCCGCAAGATTCTCAATTGCGGACACCAGTGCCCGAGTATATGTGGCGAGACTTGCCCTGAGGGTTACTGTCAGGTCTGCGGCCAGCACATTGCCGCTCGTGTTGACCTCCTCGAGCTCAAGGACTACCAAGACATCGACCTTGACGAAACCCCTATCGTTGTCCTTGGTTGTGGCCACTTCTTCACAGCCGAATCTTTGGATGGATTAGCGAACATGAGCCAAGTGTATGTGGATGATCCTCTGACAGGACACTACACTGGCCTCCGGAAATCGTCGACCAACCTGTCGGTCCCTTGCTGCCCAGACTGCAAGCAGCCTATCAGACAGTTTGTCACCAAGAGATATGGCCGCGCCATCAATCAAGCCGTCATGGACGAGATTTCGAGCAAGTTCCACGTCGACGGTCTCAGAGAGCTGGCCAAACTGGAGAGTCGTATCCAGGACGTCGCGGACACCCTCCAGAGCAGCCGCTCGGCCGGACAGGATTCGGCGACGCGGGCCCTAGACGACAAAACCAGATACTCCGAGGCCAAAAAGCTGAAGAAGGATATTGACCAGTTCCGTCGGAGGATAGGTGCCGAACAGCAGCCAACTAAAAAACTCTTCGACGCCGTTCGTCTCGCCAGAAGATGCGGAGATGGAAGAATCGACGGCATGGTGGCGGGACTCAGCTTAGACGATCCAACCCCATCGGCACCTGTGTTGGACAAGCAGATCATCCTAGGAACAAACCTCGCGCGTCTGAAGCTTGAGGACATAGTCCTCCACGACAACTTCTTCCTGGAATCCAGGCGTGGAAATGCATTCTCGATTTTGGATCCAACGCTACATCAGGAGCAGGCACCTGCATTTCTGTGCGAGTGTAAAGCGTTTATTGAGGAGTGCCGGAATGAGAATCTCCCCAGAATGGCAATGCAGGGCATTGCCGCCTACGCGCGCATCGCAAAGAGCTTCGAGAGTTTTTGCCGTGGTTGTCCCGCTGAGGCGTCATCCTCGTCAGCTTCGCCCGAGGCCTGCGTCGACATCGCGCGAAACCTGCTCCAGACGGTACCTGACCTATGCAAAGTGGCTTTTGAAGGCGCAAAGGAGCTTCAGGCCGAGATCGAGCAGATCTCGCGACTGTATGAGCGGGGGCGGTACGAGCCGGTCACGGCCGATGAGATCGCCGCCATCAAGACCGCCATGGTCAGCGGCACGGCCGGCATCGCCACCCATTCTGGGCATTGGTACAAGTGCCGCAATGGACACACCGTGTGTTTGCCCATCCGCACTCCTTTTCAGTCTTCCATATCCTATGCTAACAGAGACACGACAGTTTGCAATCGGCGAGTGCGGGATGCCCATGGAGCGCGCCCGTTGCCCCGAATGCCAGGCCCCAATTGGGGGACAGGACCACACGCTGGTAGAGGGCGTGACCCGGGATAAGGATATGGAGTAGGAGACTAGGGAACGGCAGGGCTATCGCCAAGGCGTTGGTCGTCTGGTACGCAGTGTTGTGATGGTGGCGATTGGTTGGAAGTGGGATGTGGGAGAACCGAACCAGAAAAAAATGACTGGTAATTAATTAGTGCGACAGGGGCGCAGACAAAACCACTGTTGACCCATGTGATGTGGGGCGGCGCGGACCGTGCATCCTAGCAGAAACAATCCCTCTCCTAGATCGCAATCTTACACTGCTGCCTAACCATTTTCTTGCATCTCGATTTTGCCATTCTTCAACAATGGACTTCAATCCACAAACGCGCTAGCAGAAACAATCCCTCTCCTAGATCGCAATCTTACACTGCTGCCTAACCATTTTCTTGCATCTCGATTTCGCCATTCTTCAACAATGGACTTCATTCCACAAACGCGAGATCATCTTCTAGAAATACGCGTCGCTCTAGCGGAACCAGTCATCCCATATGACTTCAGCAACTTTGCGACATTCCCCGCCCGTCATGGCTTTGCCAAGGTGTCTGCTGCTGGGATAGACTCAAGTGAAAGAGCTAGATACCTCCAATCTTGGTTCTTCTTCGGCCTGCTTGCAGAGTACCTAGAAGAGGACTTTCGAATCGACGACTTCGTCATTCGTCCTGCAATGAGCTCGGACTGCCAGCTCCTCACCCTCAAAAACCTCCAGGCCCGATTGCTTGATGACGAGGGCCAGCCCTTGCGTTTGTCGAGATGGAAGTCACATGTTGAGCCTGCTTGTGCGCTAGCTTGGACAAAGATCGGCGAAATGGAATCGCTTGGCCTTCTCTCGGCTTCCCCCTCTGGCGAGACCGCTCTCGCAGTCCTTGTCCTCGTTAGAACACTTCGTATCATCACGACAGGGCCGTCTCGGAGTGAGGACAGGTGTGCTCCGTGGGACTCTGGATTTCTCAGGGCTCGCATGCATACTGCAGGATGGTGCCCACAACAAACCGCCGCCTTGTTCGACTTGTGTGATCCCGTCGTCTTGTGCTACCTGGCGCTGCTGCATCCGATTCAAGGCCACAGCGTTTCGCACGAGACCTGCTCAGAGACAGCGTGTGTCGCAAACAATGTTAGGCTCGACACAAGTTACCGGCACCGACATGTTTCCGACAGCTGTACCTGCGACTTCATCAGCGTCGACGCTGAGGCAGTCAAGGACATTATTCGCGGAGACGGGATTCCCCTGGTTTCAATTCGGCGGGAGGAGCACGGGAGAGTCAGTCTGAGAATAAGCAAGGCTAGCTCGCGCAGTGACTACGTCGCCATCTCGCACGTGTGGTCTGACGGGCTTGGAAACCCTACTGCGAATGCTTTGCCACAATGCCAGCTCGAGAGGCTGTCAACGTGTCTGACGCAGATGCCGCGCGAATCAGATGTATCGACCTCCAATGATTATTTGCTCAGAGGGATACGGTTCGAAGCGTCGCTTAACACCAAGGACAGCCCGTGGAAACGTGTTCGGTCTGCGGTGTTTCCAGACCATGATCAGAAAGAGAACCTATTTTGGATGGACACCCTCTGCATACCCGTTGCGACTCGGACCGACCCACCCGTGGTCATCCTAGATGTCAACCGGCTCAAATCAATGGCTATCAATCAAATGGCTCTAATCTACGCCGGGGCCTCCCAAGTCTTGGTCCTCGACTCGGGACTCCAGTCAATGCCTGTGGATCCCTCAGATACAGCCTCCGACGTCGAAATACTAGCCCGTCTCGTCTGCTCGACCTGGATGCGCCGCTGCTGGACGCTGCAAGAGAGCGCGCTCGCTCGCAAGATCCGCTTCCAGTCTGCCAGTGGCGTGGTTACACCGCTGGCACCAACAAAGGCGGCAATAGAATCGGACTCCTTGGAGATCGCCAACCGCCTGGTTCCTTGGATATTGCCCTGGGGAATCAAGATGTATCTCCGACACAGAGCCACGGCAAGTAGGGAAAGAGAGGCTGAACAGGCGGGCCGTACCAACCCCGTCGTCACCCATTTACGGTACCGGCTCCAGGACGCGGCGGACCGAGTCATAAATCTCCTCCCCCGCGGTCTCCGATCCCACAATACTCTTGGCCAGGCGAGTCCGGAGAGCCAGCTCCGGCAATTTTGCACCGTGTGGAATAGTTTGGCGGATCGGAACACCACCATGGCCGAAGACGTACCAGCAATCTTTGCTAATTTGCTTGACATCAACGCTTACCAGATCCTGGCATTGCCTCCTTCGTCAAGGATGAAGGCGATACTGGCCAGCTTGGACGTGTTGCCTCTGGACTTACTGTTCAATGATGGCCCACGCTCAAGAGCCGACAAAGGTGGCCTGGATCGATGGATTCCGAGCGAGCCGAGTCGGGCCAAGATACGGCTTCCGGTCTCGGATGAGGGCGGTCTTGGCCAGGCTGTTGACAGCGGAACCCTGGCATGGACGCATACCGGGGATTTGAAGTGTTGGGGGCAAGACGGGTGTGCCGCCGTTATTTTCAACGGGGTCGACACTTTGCGGAACGATACTGGCTTTATCGTCCGCCTAGATGAGACGGTGTCACGGCGGCTACCCAAAGAGATTTTGGTCAACGTCACGAGGCCCGAGGCCGACGAGTGGCGGCCAGGAGCATGCAAAAAGGTCATGCTGTTACTTGACGTGGAGGACACGGCCATTCCCTTGGGGGAGAAGAGAAAAGGTTGTTCATTATTGATAACAAGCTTCGGTGAAAGCGAAGGACGAAGCGAAGGAAATGGAATCCAGCCACGTGGCGATCAGGCCGTCAATGATGTCGCAGCCATGGTCGGACGGTATGATTGTCCTTTGACATGGCGCACAGCGAGTCCGGATGACTTGCAGAGGCTCCCAGTTGTCGACGGGCTGGCCATTAAAGATGAGTGGCACCTGACAATTCAATGTGGTAAGTGAACCCGCGCCGGAACTATCTCTACAAAGCTGAACTCGTACCTGATTCGACTCCTCCAGAATCCGACATCAGGGATAACCCGCTTCCCCAGCGGCCGTTCCACCAAACTCTCACGAATTTCGTGCAAGGTATCGCAGCATTGTTCATCATAGTCCCGCTGGTGTATTGCGACCTCGCTGCCACCATTATCCGCATCATCATCACGGTACGGTTAGGATGGTCAGGCCTGACTCCACTCGGAAAAGCAGCGACCGTCGTCTTCGCCATCGACACCAGCCGCGTGTTCTCGTTCTTGACACCACCCCCTTTGGCACAGGCGCTGTTCATCGTCGACCGCCAGCGCACAGGAAGCACGCTTTCTGGCATGGACAGCGCGTACATCGTCCTGAGTCTGATGGGCAATGTGTGGTCGATCGCGGTTGTGTTCAGGATCGGCAGTGCTGTGCTGAAATATCTAGCCTATCGTGTCTGGCTGGAGTCGTTTGGGCCGAATTGGCCGGCGGACCGGGGGCGGTTGTGGAATGTTTATTTTTGGATGAGAGGATGGGTAAAACTCCCAACAAAAGGATAGCCATTGGTAGCGTAGAGGACGAGAAAACGGGGATGAATAACTGCCAGGAAATTCCGCGCACTTGGTTGCGCTAAAGCAGGACAAGCTCGGATTGACAGTCCAATCACGGCTTGTGAGAGGTCTAGGGTACTTCCCTCACTTCTATCTCCCGTCTCTCCCCGTCTTACATGTATATACACACAACACACTCGATGACAGCTGTTCTCTCACTCATCCACTTATGCCAAATTACATGGCTCAGGCCATCCTTGTTATTCATTGGGACCAGGAGTCCCAACCTAGAGCTTAGCAATCAGAGGCCCTAGCTAGCCAGTGGTGGTGTTCCTTGCCACGACAGCGACCCTTACTTATACTTGATCAAATTAACCAAGTAAGTACAACCTTATATTCGACTTGTGGAAGGTTCGATTTGATTTGACGTATTTGCCTTGCTTGCTACTTGAATTTGATTCACCTGACTTGTGCCTAGCCCTGCTAAGCACCGCCAAAAACCAAAAGGCTTTGTATATTGACTCTGCCAAAGCCACGCCGGCGCAACAGTTCTCGGCCACGGTGAACAGGGAACTCAACCACAGACATGATGCTGACATCCTCGGCACCAATGCCTGCTTCATCTAATAGATGTAGCACCGCACAAAGCGCCTCCCCTGTAGCAAGCACGTCGTCTACCACCACTACTGACGCGCCCCTAGGGACCACGTCCCGGTCCATCTCGATCGTCTTCTCTCTTGAATCGTTGGATGCCGAAGACGAGATATGCGACGGGGACTTGATGACTGAAAGAGTGGGTGGGGGGAGCTTGCCGGCTTCGCGAATCAGCGCCAAGGGTACATCGACCCGTAAGGCCAACGCCGACGCATAGACAAACCCGCCGGCCTCGCAACACGCCACCACGTCGACCTTGGCCCAGTCACCAGTGAAGTGAGTTTGCAGCAGAGACGTACATAGGGCCAGCCCACCTGGTTGCTGTGAGATGTCGAGCACGTGGCGGAACTCGATGCCGGGGCGTGGAAAGTCGGGTACCGGGCGCACCATATTGGCCAGTCGCTGCAAGTCCTCGTGGAAGAAGGGAAGCAGGGAGTGTTCGGCAAGCCTTTTTGCCGCCTCTTTTCCAGTCTTGTCATTGTCGAAGATGAGACTGGGGCGGTAGTCCGAGGTCGTCAAATTCGACCTGCCATTGTTCTTATCCTTGCTGTCCTTGTTGTCGCCACCGTCGTCATCACCACCGTGGCACCCTCGGCAAACCCGCCGCGTCTCGTCGCTCGCTTTGACGCGAACCTCGAGCAGTCTGCTGTCTGGCACCAAATGCGAGAAGGCGGCTACCGGCGCCTCGTCTCTCATCCCAGTAATTAGCAGCACGTCCACATCTACGGCGCCGTACACCACGTTCAGAAAATGCTCCTCTGGCAGCCGAGGTCGCTGCCGCACCTGGCCCTGGAAAAATGTAGTCAACGCTGGCCGGTGTTGCTCCTTGTAGGCACGGTCGCAAAGCAGGCGGTTCAGGTCGGCACCCGTCGCCGCCGCGTATTCTCGCTTGGTCGCATCGCTAATGTTGACTGCACGCGCCGTGAGCGTTTTGTGGGTGCATGTGATGAACACGGAGACCCAGATGTCGGCGCAATAGTCCTTGCCGGCGCAGCTTTCGCCCGTGACAAGAATTATGAGCTTCTGTTCCATCGGCGCTTTCGGGAGCGGGCAGGCGTAAGCCAGCACATTGCGCGGGTCCGAGCTGTGTTTGAGACGGGCTAGGCGTGGCCGGTTCGGTCCAAAGGCCTTGGCCGCCAGCGCGGCGTCTCTGGGGTCCGGCCCAAGGTCGGCGCCGTAAGCTCCGCTGCTCAAGGGCAACAAGTCCCTGGCGACGTTGTAAACCCACGTCACGGCAGCTCGAGCGGCTTCGGTTCCATCTTGGTCGCGGGGCCATACACCAGTTACCACGCAGGCAAAGTCCCAGTCTCGGCAGCCGAAAGCAGTGGCATTAGCCGCCACGTCGCCGACCGCTCCGCCACCTTGCAGCAGATGGAGATAGCAGAGTGGCGAGGGACGAGTCTCAACGGCGGCCACCAAGATGTCGGCGACGTTCTCTGCTCCAATGCGATTTAAGAATACACATCGCTTGAACGAGGAGGTCTTGCCGCCGCCGTGCCCGCCGTGCATCCCGGACATGTACATCTCGGTCTCGAACAAACCGACGCCGTCGACGACCTTGAAATTGTCTTCCGGGCCCAAGATTGTACCTACGGGGTTGGGCGTGGGCGTGGGCGTGGGTGTCTCAAATGTGAGCCTAGACGTGGGAGATTCGAACATAGTCACGCCAAGATGCAGCTGGCCGCTGTCCCAGTACAGATACGCGTCTGCAGAACAGTTCCGGGGGAGGTCCCTGGCGACGAATTTATCAAAATCGCCAAGTTTGAGCCGCGCCTCGAGGTTGTCGCTCAGTGGGACAACCCAGTATCGAGTCGAGTAGGTCGGAGCCGCGTAAGCCTTGAAAGTAACGCTGACCACGATGCCAAAGTTGGTCCCGGCGCCTTTGATCGCCCATAACAGATCGGTTTCGTTTTCCGGGCGCACAGCACCGGTCGGCCGGTGTTGGCTTGGCACACAACCAATGTAGAGGACCTGGCCAGAGTCGACGCTAACCAGCACGGCACCGACGATGGCGTCGCACGCGAGCCCGTGCAGCCTAGCCAGGTGCCCTATGCCGCCTTGTAGCCACAGCCCCGCGCCTACGCTTGGGCGAGCCCCCAGGGGCACTGTCACGCCCGCCGCCATGGTCTTGCGGACGATATCCCCCGTCTTGCAGCCAGCCTCGGCGACGACCAAAGAGCCGGAGTCGGAACCGGATTCTCCTCCATCCTCCCCAGCCGTGAGAATGTGTACTTGGTCAAAGGCGCCCATTTCGATGGAGACGACGTTGGGCCACAGACAGTGGCCGCTGTGACCCCCGCCGACGACAGTCAGGCCGACCCCGTGCTTCAGAGCCCATCGAACGCACTGCTGGACATGTCGGATCTCTGTCGGCAGAATAATCGAGGCGGGGTAGTGGAGGCGAGCCTCCCAGTTTTTAACCGTCTTGTCCTCCGCCGCCACTGGCACCTGCGCCGCCAGCTCCGGCAATGTGGTCGCATGTTTGGTAAAGGCCACCATGACGTTGGGCGAGCTGAGCAAGAGATGGTCCGGGTGGGATTCCTCACGACGGCCCAAGGCGCGGCAAACCTCACGCCACTCGACTCGGATAGCCTTGTCCACTTCTACATCCTGCATGACAAACCCCGCGACAAAAGGAGCAAAACAATCCAGCACCTCGTCGTCATTTGCCACGCGAGCGACTCCGGTAGGGAAAGAAGCCGTTCGATGGCACACCAAGCCGTCGAGGTGCAGGGTCCCGTCGCGATGGAAAACCACCACCATTCCGCCTTCTGGCTGCATAACAAGCATTTCCAGAGCCCGTTCGATGAACCTGTGTTTGGGCTTCATGCCGTACATGCTGTGGCAGAATAGGATGACGTCGAATTTTTCGTCGCTACCACTCGCACCGGCACCTGCACCGCTCCCTGTATTGCTGTCCAGACCGAATGGGATTCGATGGATGTCAGGCGGGCTTTCCAGACAGGGCAGCGGGGACTCCGTCTCTGAGGTAGAGCAAAAGCATTCTTCCAATCTTGTAGCAAACACGCCGTTAGGCTCAAATGCAGCGTATCTCCTAACCTTCTGTCTCTGACGGCTGGGCAGGTATCCAAGTACGCTCTTCGGGCCGGGTCCGATTTCTAGCACTGAGATATAGATACGCGAGTTGAAGAGAGGGGCTAGCAGCTGAGATAGTTGAGGGATAATGAAGTCTTGGTACGTCGTCCATCCTGAGCCCCGCACCAAGATATCGAAGCCAGTGCTGTACTGTGTGTCGGACAACGGCTGCTTCGAGGACGACGCCTTTGCCGTGACTTTCTGCCTAAGGGCCCACTTTAAGGAGTAGAGTGTAGCCATGTCAGTTTGGCATGAGTGTGTGTATCTCGCACTAGTACGACAATGGTTGATGTAAACCTCATGGCGATGTACCGTTGGCTACAGGCAAAAAGGACTTGCGACTGGCAGCATTGCAAAGCCACGTGACGAATATTCCGACACTGAGCAGGCCTACAAGGTATCTCGCTGTGAAAATGGGATCCTGTCCAGTCGATTCATGGCCGCACCAAACACGGGACCTCGTCTATGACTTGCAGGCAGCCCCCAGCTCCGACCCCGCATGCCAGCATGGATTGCTCTTTCTCTATGTGGTGCTCTGAGTCGGTGACCTGCAGGTACGCCTCTTGAGTCGTGTTTCTTCCCAAGGTAGGTCGTCCAGCAATTTGATGTGATTGCGATGTGAGCTTGATTCGGTTTGACTTGAATAATTGAAACGGGGTGGGCGGAGTCTAATAGCCTGGAAGAGATTTCTATCTCATCAGAGAGTCGTTTGCAAACTAATAGCAGTCTAAATAAGCCAAAATTCGGTTTCACCCTCCTTATCCGCTCCCCTCTTACTCTCAAGCGCCTCCCACTTCCTGCCGTCCTGGAGTCCATGGATGTAGCACTCCCCAATAAACTCCCATGCCCCCTCGCTGCTCGGACGTAGTACTAATGGCAGCTTCCCACCCATGCAGATCACAATCGTGTCCTCCGGCTGCGCAAGAGGCGGTCCCAGGCCGATGTAGCCGCCTCTCCCATGTTGGTCCTCCGTATTGATCACCCGCCGATGTGCGAGACGGGTGGTGAGATAAGTGAAGACCATATCCGGCCCGGCAGCGGATGGCCAACCAAAGACCTTGACCCTGAGCATGGTAAGCAGACTAAGCGCCATGGTCCAAAGCACAAAGAACCCTACGGTATCGAGCCTTAGAATCTGGAGAATCCGGGCGGGGACCATGTGGGACAGATGCCAAATCCGGAAGAAGAACTCGACATTATCGATTGTGATTCCCTCACCAAGAAACCCATCGGCTCCGCCGTGGAGGGTTTGGCAGTACGCCCGAATCCGCGACTCGCCCGTGACGGAGTAGTTCCCCGGCTCCCACATGCCTCCCACGTCTTCGCAAGAACGGAGAGCCCGCTGGTACTCCAGGTAGCCGCGAGCCCAGTTTGCGCGAGAAATCGGGGACAGGTCGAGCTCCTGCTTGGGAGGCGGCCGAACGACTTGACTAGCTCTTCCAATTATGCCTAGGACGTGGCCCCTGAGACGGAGTCTTTGCCCCGTTGCATCAAACTCGGGTGCGTAGGCCGAATCCCCGGAAGCGCGGTAGGTGGGCCTTTGTTCCGGTCGGAATTCGGTGAGGAAATGCCGCCACAGGAATGGCTCCGTCAATCCGCCTGCTGTCCAGTTCGGCACCCAGGTGGGCAGGCCCGCCATTTCATCCCCGACTTGCCCTGTTGTCCCGTCCGGCAGCGGCCGCCACCTTTCACGGGTTATGCTGGTGACGCTCAAGAGATCCAGATTTCCTAGGTGTTGCATCAGCCCGACTGCTGCCTGCCGATATATTTCTGCAGCAGGCACTAGATAGTTCGGATCTGGCAGTCCAAAGTCTCGATGAACAACAGTCTGACCCTCCGTTGTATGGGCAGAGAGCAAACCGTAGAATGCGAAGAGGCGGTCCTGTGGCATGGTTGCTTCGGCTTTCTGGCTGTACATCAGCGCCTCCATGACGCTCAGGCCAACCCCTGATTGAGAAGTCTCTTCTTGTTCATCGCCAGATCCCACTCTCTCTTGTTGTTGGTCACCCGGCGGCTCGGACGTTTGGCCTTGCTGTTGGTACTGCTTACGTATTTGGTCGAGGTTGGCACATAGCTGCAGACGCTGCAACGCGCTGGAGTATGCCCCCAGTTTCAGGCCGGCAATCTCTCCAAGGTAGTTTATGGCGCCCCAGAAGTGTGTCCACGGTAGTTGGTGGTAGCCGCATAGGACGAGCAGATCAGGCGATACGGCCAGCTCCTGCACGATCCAGGCCCGACTGAACCAGCTTCTGTTGAGCAGGGCGAACAGGTCCCACCAGAGTCTGAACGTAGGTGGCGGGAGTTTAGATGGCCCATCTGTTTGCTTGAATAGGTCGCGTTTGACGTTGTTGGTTTTGTCAAAGTTGAGAATGGTATGGACCCGAAAGACAAGCTCCAGGCCACGTTCGCTGCTGCCGTCGCCGTCTTTTTCGCCAAGCCATATCACGGCGCGTTTGGAGCTCGCGTAGATATCCCGCATCACGAGAACCTGAGAGGCCTTTTCGGCGCTGTCGTTCTGGTTGATGCAGACGGCGTCGACCCACATCCATCGTGATTCGGAGGGGTCCCGCAGGCGCCACAATGCGAAGTAAAGGTTGTCAGTGACATTTAGGTATCTCATGCTGGCATCTCCGTGGATGGCGATCCATCGACCCAGAGAAGAGCCGCCCCAGCAGTAGGACAGGGCCTCGTAAGGCCTCCATTCTGGGCCGTGGAGGGGAACATGGTGGATTTTGCAGTAGACGACGTGGAAGCTAGAGTTGCTGGGAAGGATTTCGAGGAGCCGGATTTCTTTCCGTGTGGGGTCTGTGGACAGCGGAGTATACCCATAAGGCTGTCGCTCCTCGTCATGACAGTGCTGCTGCCAGGCCCGCTCGCGACTTTGCACATGGTACTCGTCGGTCGGTGTGTCGGCCATTGCTTTCAATTGATTGTAGGAAATGCGTGGAATCACAAAGGAGACCTGTAGCCGATAGAATATCACTCGAGAAAAGGAAGCACTTGACTCTATATAGCCACTGAGCGTCTTAAAAATACAGTCTGCATGTAGTGTTGTGGTTGTGAAAGCCCAACTGAGAGCCTGCCCGGCTTTTTCAGCCGTGGCGGTGGCTTGGTTCTCTAGTCGTCGTGCTTGATCAGGACTAGACTCGTAGTAGTCTGATACTGCCAAGGACTTCCAATTTGCGGCTGGGCTTGCAAACCCTCATGTGACCCAGTAACGTCCCCCATATGACCGCTGGATGAGACGGTTGGAATCACCGCAGAAAAACCTGCTTACCAGGATTGCTCGCCGCTTTCCAAGGTTAGTCAAATTGATTCTCCAAGAGACATGGATTCAGCATGACCAAGGTCGGAGGGATTGGGCGAGATTTCACAAATTCACAACCAAATATTGCTCACTCCCAAATCTCTTGGAAATCAAATCCATTCGCCATTTACCTCCAACCAGATCTCCAGTTTTGACTTAATCCTAGCAGACGAGTCATCTAACAGTCCATCCCAGCTTCAGTAGTTGTGCTCCCTAGTGCGCCTATATCCTCGCCCTTGCTCAAGGAATTCCAAGGTACCCGTCTTGCGGGAAAGGCGATGTGTCTTGAGCCGGGGGTGGAGCTTGGGGGTCCTAGTGGGTTCGCATCGACAGTTAACAATAGGCAACAAACAGGCTGCAAACCTGGCTTGACAGGAAAAAAGCTACTCACATTAGAACCGCCGCCGCCACAACCACCGCATCCGCCACCGCCGCATGCGCCAGCACAACCCATCGAGCGAGCGCTGGCAAAACCAGGAGCTTCGATTGATGGTTCGCCCAGGTGCGTGCCGTAGTAGCAGATCTTCCGGTGTATATCGTAATCGACACTCTTGCAAGGCAACAGCTTCCCACATGCCTCGATGCAATTTTTGTAGGAGTCCTGTCTGTCACGGTAGATGACCTTCGTTCCATGCCTCTTGCTACAATCCATGCGGAATGCCTGCAAAATTGTTAGTTTTCAGCTACCCAAGCGGAAGACTGTTTGTGAGAAGGAAGATACCTCGCCAACTGAGGTGACAAACTGCTGCCCATCCGCATACGGGCATTCCGTCGAGCACAAGATGGTGGCAGAGTCTAGGGCCTCGATTGGTGGCGGGTCAATTAGGAATGCATAGCTGTGCATGTCCTCCGCTCCACAGACGATAGAAGAGAATCCGCCTTCATGGCTGAGCTTGCATTCATGGTATGGATCCGCGTTTCGGGCGTGGGCGATGAATTGGACACTAATTAGCCCAACATTAGCTGTAAACTCGTGTAAACTTTGGTAGCTCAAGGAGTCAAACCTATTGCAGGTGTCCGTCTTGGAGCACTCGTTCATGCATTCTCTAAAGTCGGTGGCAATGAAGGTCTTGATGACGGAAGCAGCTCCGTGAGTGCAGCACTGAATGAAGAACGTCGCTCCGTCTGCCGTCTGATACAGTTTGCCGTCACCTTTGGACTGGTCAGCTCCACAACAACCGGAAATTCTAGTAGAGTCCACCTACCACTGGGACAGATGGGAGAATTGGCATAAACCAACGCAGAGGTCGGCGGAGCAGCCCGAGTAGCAGGGCAGCCCTCTCCATCGATCAGCGGACCAGCTCCGTTGGAGGGGTCAGATGGGTTCTGAGATCCTCCACCGGCACCTCCTCCGTTGGGGGGGTCAAATGGATTCTGGGATCCTCCACCGGATCCTCCTGCGGTGTTATCACCGAAGGGATTCTGGCTACCCGAGGCCCCGGCACCGTTGAGGGAGGCGTCATCTGCCGAGCCGAAGGGATTCTGTGGGCCATCGCTCAATGCTAAGCCCAAGAAACCCGAGAGGGTGAAGGCCAACAAAGGCGACGTGCGGAAATTGATCTTCATATTTGCAGTCTTCAGACTTGCAGTGATGAGGCGAGGAGGACTGGGTGTGAGAGAGAGATGGCGTTGCCAACTGCTGATGGAGGTAATTACTACCCAAGTTCTGGACATTGACCAGGAAGATGCTCTTTGCTTTATATGCGTTGGTGGACATTTGATAGGGATGGATTCTAACCTTAGACTTGACGATTCAAACAAGACATCCAACCTGGAACTTACACACGGCATGGGGTTTCCTGAATCTGACTCGTATCTCTGATACATGACAGAATCAAAAACCCCAGTCGGCCCGAAGTCCCAACAACGTGAGCTGAAAGTTGAGGGTATCATCTGACTGATTCTCACCGTGCCCGAGGTCTTCAATCATTGAGGCATCGAATGTAAATCGGAGGCGGCGATTTTATCTCGTAAGATCAGCTTTCAACTGTCTTTCAAGTGGCCTGACCCGAGTCAAAGGCTTAAGCAAAAGAAACCTGCGATTGTCTCAAATATGCGCGGGACGTGGCTGAGGGATTAGATCACCGGAGCGGGCCGACAATCTTCATAAAGTGGCTTCAATCTTTGTGAAGTGGCTTGCGTAGACACGGCACGGTTTCCTAGCTGGGATATGATTGAAGCCACTCACTTCTGGTCTGCCCTGCGCCAATGCCGGCAAGGCGATAATAACAAACATCCATCGGACCGACGTGGGGTAATTGTTGATGCATGTTTGACTGCTTGTCTGCTTGTCTCGGGTGGTTTTCGAACTCAAGAGAAGGCCCGAAGTTTGGTTGAGGGGATGACGACAACTTGTGGTTGGTGGTTTACACGCTCATAGCTTCCATGGAGAGGTAGGTAATAATTAATTAGGGTTCTTGTCCTACACATAGAAAGATAGAAATAGGGAGCTGCCTCCGCAACTCTCCAACCTCAGCTCACTTCATCGGCTTTACTTACTGTCTATGTTCATTATCCCCACGCACCATGAAGACCCAAGCCATCCTCTTCGTTGTTGCCTCGTATGCTGTTGTTGGAGAGGCTGCTGTTTGTTGGACGAATGGCTTTAACATGTTGCTGGGTGGCCAGCCCTGGGGCTCCAACTGTCAGCAACAAGCACTCCCAGTGGCACCGATTCGTGAGTTTTTCGTCGTTTACATCGGAGTGATATGATGGCGGCACGTGGGCTAATCACTATGAAGCACCCGTTGTAGCACCCGTGGTTCCAGTAAACCCGTGCCCACCCCCTCCGGCACCAGTCACGGTGACGGCGACGTCGACGGTGACAACAACCTCCGTCTCTACAACCACCGAGACGTCGACGACGACAACCACCCAGACGCAAACGAGCTTTGGCATCAACCCCACGCTGGCTGCCTCGGCCTCGAGCGTTTGTATGGGTCTTAACCCTCCCCGCGCCACTCCGCTCTTCGATCAGAATGGTTCTCCCAAGTGCTGTGGTCCTGTCATGGGTGTTTTACCAAATGGTAGCATTGGCCAGGTTTGCCCATAAGCACAAAGGGAAATGGGGAGTGTGAAGTCCGTCATCATATCTATGTTGAGTTGTATGCTTCCCTAAATCTTCCGGAAAGCAGGGATAGGACTGGAACACGGGATACTGGCGTTATTGGAACGGTCCCTGATAAACCCGGTGGTAGTGGATGCTATTGCCGCTGACGATGTGGCTGTTATTATCACCAGGGTAGCCAGACGGAAATTTAATCTGGGTAGCAGGGACTAGTTGCGATGCAATGGAAGCTGCGTCGCGAATTTGCGTGAATGATATGCGGCATGTCCAATCACCCGCATTGGGTAGTAATTATTCGCTTGTCGTGACAGACACCAGTCGTGGTTGTAATCCCGATCGTTTTGGAGCAGCCAACAAGGCGTAACCCTGACCACACTAGAGACGCGAGCTTGTTATTTTGTTTCATTTTCTTATGACTAAACATCGAAACAATACCCGTAACCAAGACTAATATACACAGCCCAATGCAGTGCAGGCAACCTCGGTGTAAGATATAATTACTCACCCCAGCTACTTTATCCTTACTGCGGTAACCGCACCAATCCACAGATACCCAGTCGCCCTCCTGGCTCTTTGACAGTGTATGCTGCCTAGACGGAACTTTGGTATTACCCTTGCAGTCCGCGCAGAACTCACTCATCGCTCACAACTGAAGTCAGTTTGGATTAGTGTTTTGACGCTACTGACATGGCATGAAGCACAAAGTACGCTTCAAGACATTCTGAGGAAGAAATGACGGCTTTATGGGAGAGGGTATCTAATTAATACGGCAATTTCAGCAAAACAGATCCTGCCCTCAAGTCCCGTCCCTATCTCAAACGGACATCTCCCGCAAAGGCTCTCTCTTCTTGTTCCTCCCCCCGCTCCGCAGAAACGCAACCATCCCATCCTCTACTTCCTCCTCCCCCTCGGCAAACTGGGAATATCTCCCAGATTCTCGGTACTGGAGCTCAAATCCCTGGTTGGCGAGCTTTTTCTTCATTAACAGGCCAACAGCGTTTTCCTCCTCAAGGTTGCACTTGAGGCGTTCCCACTGGAGATCGGTCATGTCTGGTTCGCGGAACCGGCACATGGCAAAATCGATCATGACAACGCGGTAGCCGGTGGGATAATGGAAGCTCTGACCTGGGCTGCTGTTGCTATTGTAGTTGTTGTTGTCGCACTCTTGGGGTGGCGCGACGAGGAAGTTCTCGGGTCGCACATCTTCATTTGCAATCTCATAGTCGCCGAGGATCTGGACCTCCCTGACAGCTTGGATGACAATCTCCTGCCATGACGAGCGAGGCGCCGAGACGACAAGGTTCGCAAGCGTGAAACCGGGGATGTATTCCATTAGAAGGCCGCGGATGGAGAAGAGGTTCTTGCGCTGCCATGGGGTTGCTGTGGCAGGTAGAGCCATGTCAACATCAACAGAGGCGTAGAGCTGGGGAATCTGCCGGCCCTGGTGGGCATGAAGGCGACGATAGACGGTTGTCTCGACAGTGTGCTGGCGGTTGAGCTCCGTGGCAAGGTGCCTCATTCGAGGCATCGTTCCAATCCCGCTCAGTCTCCTCCTTGAAGTCGTCGACATGCTCAAGGTTGTGTAGGAATTTGAACATGTCGCTCTCGGGCGTAGAGAGGTACGCGTGCTCCATGTTCTGAGTCCAAGGCTCGATTCCGTTGCCGTCGCGCAGCTCCTCTGCGAATCGGCGATCAAACAGCTTCAGGAAGGCGGCCCGGGGAACACTCTGCTCGACACGCCAGGCCCCGAGGATCTCGACAACCATTCCGCACGATAGGGTGCTCGGCTTAAGCAGCTGGCGAACCTAGATGTCGACCTTTGCGTATGACTTGGCGACGGTGAGGTTGAGAGTCTGCCCGACTCGGTACCCAGCCTGGGCCGACGCCAGATTCGATTCTGGCGACGCCATCCAATTGCGCAGAGCGAGACTCGATGAGGATCCGATGAAATGTGATTGATTCTCGAGACAGAAACATGTATGGAAGTGTATGAGTGTCTGTAATTATCAACTGGGAGGAGGAAGTAGAGAGAAAGTAACGCTCGGGTGTGGAAGGAAAGTGACTCAAAGGGAGTACCCGTAGGCAGGTGGGAGAACCTTATTTAGTGGATCCAGCTTCATGGGGCTGCCTCACACGCCGTATCTTTGTACCGTACGTACCCGAGACAATAGACTCTGGGACAATGGGAGCAAAACAATAGGGAGGCCTTCAATAATTCAGTGGCTCACGATCGGCACATGTTTTGTGCGGTGCTGCAGCCCCCCCGGGCAGCCACTAGTCCAGAGGGAAGCCTTGGTTGCTCGCTACTTGCAAGGATAATTATAACGCAAAGTCTTCCCGATTTCCATTGGTATGTAAACTAGGATGAACCCTTACACTAGCCAACCCACAGCCCATGCATAGCCACGCCAAGACCCCCAATAAGTTGGAGATTCGACCCCGATACGATTTACGAAAAGTGGGCCTCGGAGGTGGAAGTTGTGAATATAAGGAGGGCTCAAGTTGCCCATCGGTTCATGCTTCACAGCTCAGACAAAATCATGCAGAGCAAAATGTCGGACGCCGGGGATGACACTTCCATTTCAGCGAGCCACGATTCCGAATTCGAGCCATTCAATTTCACCCATACCCTCTACATCACCCCTCATAACTCCACGCACCAAACAGTAAAGATCCACGATATCACCGGCGTGTCCACCGCGCCATACTCCTCTGATCGCTACAACGAAGAAACAGAAGAAATTGGCCAAGCGAGACCCGATGAGGCCGCCAACTGGATCCTCGACAACCACCACCACTGGCGAACCGCAACCCTCCACCCCGGACATGCCGCCACCAAAACTACAGACACGGCTCTCGCATCATGGACACCCAGCCGGTGGTCCCAGGGCAAGAACGAATTCGCCTTCCCTCCCGGCTCGCCGCATTGCGGCCATGGCCTTGTCATGCAGAGACAAGGCGTCCTCAGCTACAGGGTCGAGACCTTTGTGAAGGACTCGGTTCAATACCTGTGGAGATACGACGGGTACTCTCGGCGCAAGTTGACGCTCTGGAAGGTCCTTGGGGGAGGAAAGACTGCGGTTGCGAGATACAAGGCGCCGTATAGGGTGGCCACTACTGGCGGCACCCTTGTTGTCGACAGCGGAGAAGTTGATCTTGTTGTGGCAGTTTTGACGTGCCTTAGTATGCTCCGGAAGATAAGACAGAGTGACTAGTAGAGACAGTGGGGTATTATGGGAATAACATGTGCCTGGGGTTTGTGCGCCGCAGATAGTCTCAGAGCGGAATTCTCACTCAGGAGGTGGTTGTGGTCTATAATTACTTGACGGGTGACGGGAACAGAAATGGCAACAGAAGCAGGGGATGGAGCATAAAATATGCATTTCGAACAACAGAATTCGCAGCGGCGCCCTAGTATCTAACCATCACTATGATGAGGTTCTAGGTTATGGTACAATTAATATCCTAGCTCTGCAATCCGTCCGCTATACCACGCCGTGGACTCTTCTGTCGACATCGAATCCTCCTCCTCATCAAATTCGTACTGCATTGAATGCGTTTCCGCGAAGTGAAGGCGGATGCAGAGAGGACACATAATTATTGTACCGCAGTCCCGAGAGGAGAGATGCCCGGCGGGAAATTCCTCAATCCACTCCCTGGTGCATCTGAGCTCCGGGCATAATTCTCGACTTCCGCCACAGACCCAACAGGCACCGTACTCGCGCCACGAGGTGATGTCAGGAACTGTGACGTCCATGAAAAGCGTCTTGATTGTCAATCCGAGGGTCGCCGTAGGGACCTTAACTAGGTGATTGTCGTCTGCGGCTGGGAATGCTTGCATGTCGAAAGGTTGTTCGGGCTCGAGGGGGTCCGGGTTGACGAGGAAGTATTCGTACAGTGCAACGGAGTACGAACTCTCAAGTTCGCCACATCGCACGCGTCGCTCTTGTCCAACTAACGTGTAGACGAGGATGCCCTGTTCAATGGACTGGGGCTGGACAAGGCAGTACTCATGGCTATTGGGATCACAGCTGGCAAAGCCGAGATATATCCAGCCACAATTCCAGCGGCAGTTATCTACCGCCTTGGGTGGTCGCGATGTTGTCGGGGGAGCGACGGACGACCGTGTCTATGAAGTTGGCTGCGAGGGAGGTCTTATTTAGAATGAGGATCGCCTGTTATTGACCAGAGTGGCCAAATGCGTATGACTGACAGGCTTCATTGTCAAGCATCAGATGTCTCAGGAGCTGCAATGCGACCTTTTGAGATTGAAGCTCTGACGAAGATGCGGGGGGGGCGGATTATATATACATCTCGAAGGTTTGTCTGACAACTATGAATGTAAAAACAATCTTCCAAGAGGCTTTTGCATCTCTAAGCCTAACGGTAACTCAAGTTTCCCAGAAGCTTTAGCGGATCTCAAAATGAAAGCATTCACTTCCTAAGTTTAACAATAGCATGCGCTTCTCGGTTGGTTTAGAGCTTAATACCAGCCTTGCTACCTCGTAGAAGTCAAACCGCGGTGCGCTAGAGCTAATCAGTACATTACCTTAATACCCTTCTTGCGTCGGCTAAGTACAGTCCCTAGGGAAGGTTTTTCGATGTTGGTTAGTCAAGCTATAGAACTTACAAGGATGAATGGAGTGAGGAGTAACAAGGTTTGGTATATTCTAGAGACAATCGCAACTTGAAGCATCACCAGTTGAATCGTCGAAGGACATGTTGTCGGAAATACCACGTCAGTCAGGTTCACAAAATTAGTGTCGATCGCAACACGGTGAGTCTCATGAGGGACGCCAAAGTCAAGATAGCTATAACAGGTTACAGTTAGATGAAGCCCCCTCTCCTGAGGTCCAGTCCTTGTTATATCCGCCACAGCCTCCAAACTCGTCTTCAAGATGGTAGCAGTCTGCTACGCTGGCTGTTGCAAGACTAACCTATGGTACACCTGCACAGCCGGACGCTTCAGAACCCGCTGATCCATCCGTCTTGGATGCGGCAGTCGTGCTCGACAAGGTTGTCAGCTTCTGGGCCACGGGTCTGGATGCCGCGAGAGCCGGCTCCTTTTTCAAGTGCCGCCTGGCACTTTCCCAGGCCTGCCAACCTCGAATCGCAGAGACAGAACACCCAAACACCGTCTGGGCGCTCCTCGAGATGGTGATGGAGTACTTGAGGGCAGGCTGGGATGATCTAGTCGCTGTTGTGCTCAGACACGTCGCCAAGGCGGCTCCATCCCATCATCCATTGGTGGTTTTATGCCGGCGGATCCTTCTAGTCGAAGCCGGCGCCGTAAGTACCCACTTCTGCCTATTCGGTCAGCTATTGTCAAGACATCATCTAACAACATAATCCTTGCCAGTGGACATTATAGCGGCCGCTGCGTACACATGCGCGTCGTGGCACACATGAATGCAGAGGTGTTGCCCAACAACACCCTCACTGGCAGTTTGGTGCAGCACATCTGGCAAATGCTTTTCGACCAGGGGCTGGTGGATAAGGTCGAGAAGGTGGCGCCATACAGCACGAACAAGAACCTCATCACCACCAACGCCAGGGACCGTGTGGTGAATTACGAAGACCGAAACCACGTCCAACCCGTTCTTCCATTACGCTCCGCTCGGCGACTCAGTCGAGGACGGCATCCTTGCGTGGGCCACCTTCGCTGTCGACACCTCTCAGGACCATGAAGCCCAATGCGGCGCCGAGCTTGGCGAGGATGGCGGCAAGATGTGCAGTGGCGGTGGCAACTTCGGCATCCCCGGCGGTTCCTTCCCGCCTGTTAGGCCTGGCGGCTTTCACTACTCCGAAGCGGCCATAGATGTATGTGGCTTTGAACAGAAGGTATTGAACTCGGTTGGAAAACTTCTTGCCGCCTGTAGTGTTTGCACAATTTGAGGCTGTTCCATTGAGTGTGTGAGATTTGACTCCTGCCAATGGGTATTGGGAACATTGTAGGTAAATCAATTGAACAACCCTATGCCGGCAGTTTGGACGCAACAGGGTAAGTAGACTACGTTGACTTCATATGCAATTTGGAGAATCCAGCTGACAAATTAATGCTTGGAGCCGGAACTACATGTGAGGGTTCATGAAGAGCCAACTTCGAGTTGGGAGACTTGGATAAATCCAGGGACCAGATGTTTGGAGAGGATCTGGCCATGAATTAGGCCACATTCACAACGGCAGCAGTGAACCCAGCTAGTTCTGCATCCTTAAGCTAACTTACTCCATGCGGCATGGCAGCGAAAGACTTAATACCGGATGATTGTGGTGAATTGCCAATACCTATCTTTTCATGAATAGGTCTGTCTGTCTTGTCACAGCTTTATTCCGCTGCATTGTAGTCGACTATTGTAGAGTCTAGGTCCAAGTTTGATACAACATGCGCAGGGGTTATGATGCGTTAAATCTTGAAACCCGGTGATAAGTCGCTGCGAGGATCCTTAAACTCCAGCACAAATACCGTCCCTGTTCCTCTCTTGGCCCTGACTTTGGCCAGCTTACAGTCTATCAGCTCGCACCTGTCGCGCCAGCACTTCCCAATTCCCTCTTAGCTTCTCGCTCCATTCTTGATTGGGAGGACATTAAGGCCAGGGTTGGTTGAGAGAGTATGATTCAAGAGTGGACTCGGGGGTAAATTCAGGGTAACTGGTACCGAGCCTCGTCCTCAAGGTGATCACCCCATCGTGGAACCCTGCAGAAGATAATTAATTAACTAGCAACGAGTTTTCGGCTAATGAGCACACGTATCAGAGTGACTATCATTTCACAGATAGATGAGGTTCTAACCAATGGCTTAATCGAACCAGTCTAACTTGACTTTTGCCGGTTTTGCCGGTCCATCACCACCCAGATAGGTAACACGTGCGCGGAACTGCTTAGGCCGCATAACTGTCATGCGACGTAATGTTATGGCAAGGTGGCTTAGTTCTCGATGACTTGAGCAACCTTTTGATGGTTTGATCCTGTGCCAATTCGCCAAAATAGCTGCGATGGCCGCCACACTGCCCAGGGTCTGGAAACAGCTCTGCGTGCTGGTTGGGATATGTTTTCTTTTCTACGTGTCGTTTTTATTTTCCAGAACTCACTTGGTCAACAATCTAGTATTCAAATACTCACAACCCCCAGAGCCGCATTCACACCGTCCTTCGAACAAGATCTTTAACTCCCTCCACCTTGATGAGGCTACGTGTGAGGCGACATTTCCTAACTTGGCGAAGGATATTGGTGATATGGTCGCTTTGGGACCTTTCACTTTAAAGCAGGCGAGAAATTTAGGACCTCTCCAAGTCAGGATTCAAGATGATCAGGTAGTTAAGCCCGCGAAGTGTTAATTATGGGTTGATCTGACGGTGTTGTTAACTCGGCACGTATGAATGACAGCTCTACATTGTCCATAAAGAAGATGATGATGTACTCTCCCGTGGGACCATGCAGGTAAGACGCCTGATCCACCTTTCGAGAGTTTCTTATTCTGACCTTCTGTAGGCCCGTATGTCAGCTCTTCATCAGATACATAGGGCTGTCTTAACGTCGCCTGACCCTCTCCCCAACACAATATTGTCTGTCAACATTCAGGATGGGCCATCTGACTTTACACTGTCATATTCACGTCCGGCCTATGATCCACGATCACCCGGAACCCCTTTCGTCTCTAGGGCATTTCTCATGCCCCATTTCTCTTTCTGGGCATGGCCGTTGCCCTTCGTTGGCTCGTTCATCAGGGCCGAGGCGGCCATCAACTCCCTCGAGGCAACGCTGCCTTTCTCCAAGAAAGATCCGAGAGTCGTATGGAGAGGAACAAAGCGATACAAGAGCGCCCACAACCCGCACTTGAGAGTGGACTTGTTGCGGGTTACAGACGGGGTTGAGTGGGCGGATGTCCAAACGCTTGAATGGGACGCGGTGAACAACGGCACGGGAACAACAAAGAAGGTGGCGACAAATTCTCTCATGATCGAGGAATTCTGCAAGTACAAGTACGTGCTATACACGGACGGCGTAACGTACAGCGGGCGGCTGCAGTTCCACCAAATGTGCGGGAGTGTGTTGCTCACGCCACCAATAGCGTGGATGCAGCACACAACGCACCTTGTCAAGCCCCTGTTTTCTTCGGACTTGGATTTTGGGGACGCGAACAGGACTTCGCTGAACGGGACGGAGAAGAGGTGGGTGCCATCCGAAGGCGAGCAAGAGGCTTGGCCGACTCATTACAAACCCGACGAGGCAAACATTGTCTTCGTGGCGCCAGACTGGTCTGACTTGGAGGACACGGTGCGGTGGCTAGAAAGTCGGCCCGATGAGGCTGAGGGTATCGCGAGGAGACAGAGAGAGCTTTTTGTGGATGGGGGCTATTTCAGCCGAGCGGCCGAGGCGTGCTACTGGCGGGCGTTGATTAGGGGTTGGAGCACAGTCTGTCAGACCGACGGCGAGGGATGGGAAGACCAGCTTGGCACTAGATGGGAGTTATTTTCTATAGGTCTCTGAAACAAGATTCAGACCCTCACGCCTGTCTCGGCTGGAATTGCCCGAGAATCTCGCCACTTGATTCCGCATTTCCATACTTCCCTGTCGTCGGCAGCTGGCTTCCGACAGCGGGGGACTACCTAACCCAGTGACGGTGTTCATCTTGGTCTGTCCCGATACTACGACATCCGAAGACGCGGGGAAAATCATGAACGCTTGCCATCATATTCTGGCCAAGTATGTGAACCAATCTACCCTTCCCCTTCAGTTTGGGCTATCCTTTCCTGTTCCTATCCTCTGAGACGTGCTACCCCGCATAAGCGTATCTTGCTGCACAAGTAGTGTAGATTTATTACCCCGACTGCCTTGATTAGGAAGGAGATGATGTATGAGGGGGACCCTGATTCATTTCTTGATCTGGCAGTTTTGGATGACGACTGCGCTGGCTTCTACCCCTGGAGATTAATTTACACCAATCTGGATTGCGTATGCATTTGGTCCCCAAACCCCCGCAACATGTCAGCGATCGTAGAAACCCCCGCTTTTCCTCACCGCCCCACTCTTCCACCATCAACTTGCCAAGCTTCCATGCCCGTCAGCCCGTATTCAACAGAATTCCCAATCTGGTACAGCCCCGCAGGCCCCTAAGCGAGCCCTAAGCGAGCGCAGGTTGCCCGGGATTCGATTGATCTAGGCCCGTCGTCGTCAAGCCTTCACGCCTTTGGGATTGGCTTGAGATGTGCATCCAATATAAATTCAATCTAACCTCGTCCATCGACTTCCGTCAAGGTCGTTGCCCGCGCCAGCGGGGAGGAGACGATCATGCAACACTAGCACACCTAATACACATGCTTCAAGTGCTTCGAGTTAGGACAGAGGCGATCATTGTTCAAGAGCTACCTAGCTAACTTCACTGACTACAACGAGTTGTGCGAAACAAAATGGCGAAGCATGTGTACAAGCCAGCCGAAGAAAGTAATCAATCATAAACAAAGAAGTGTTTCCCGCCGGGCCTGCGTCGGAGCTGGGAGCATTACATCTCCACCACTCCGCCCGCTCCTATAGAGCACGGCGATTTTCGATCCAACGGCTTACACATCGACGGTCGAGCCAATCGGGCCGAAGCGGATGTTACTGTAAGTAACAGTAGCCTGCGAGTCACACAGGTCAGTTGTTTCGCTCGTAACCCACCGCATTTGCTGCCCTTGATCAAACTTACATCAGCCAGTTTGCTCTCAACGTCCTTGGGGACGCCGGAGCTCTGGGGGCAGTCGCCGCGGTCACCGCCGGGCTGGCCGGCCTTCTCGGGCGGGTAGCTGGAATCGAGCCAGAGCATGTTCGCGTAGTGCTGCACGGGTGCGAGAGGGGTTTTTGTCAGCCATCCGAACCACCGCTTCTTCGGGGGGGTTTCAAATCCCCTCTTTGGGGGAGGGCCGGGGCGGGGCGGGGAGGGGAGGGGTGGGGCGGGGTTTATGAACTTTAGTCACTTACATCATCCCACAGCGACAAGACCAGCACCATGGGTGCGGAGAGGGCCGAGTTGAAGGCCGACCAGCCACCGACCTCGTTGAACCTGTCGCGGTCGCCAAAGGCCGTGAACATGTTCTTGCAGAAATCTTCGTTGAGCCTGTTTCCTGAGACGCCAGAGACGGTCGTTTCGGGCATGTCGATCTTCTTCCCGTTTTGGACGAAGAACTGGTAGACTTCGCTCGATTTGAACTGAGTGACGACGCTGTAGGTTGGAACTTGTCAGCTTTATTCTCTTTTTGTTTGTGCATCTCCGTCATCTCCGTTTGATGGTTAAACGGGGCAGATGAGAAAGGGTCTGTATCATACGTGAACTTGGAGGACGTGTCGACCGTCTTTCCCTTTCCGTAGAAGTCTTGGACTCCCATTCTGTATGGGTTGAAATCGCACCCGTTGGGGTCGCAGTCGCCAGCAAAGCGATCATCCGAGTATGTTCCACCGCAGCCAGACGACTGGCAGACATGGTACTTGTTGTTCTGACACGGGTGAACCGTCACAGCGGAAGAGTGGGCGTTGGATTCTAGCCAACGTGGGGTCAGCAATGCAACCCAAAAACGCGGGACTAAAAATGGAGGAAGTTACCCCAGACGTCCATCTCGGCGCAGCAGCCGCCCATGTCACCGACACCGGCATTAGCATCGTTGGACGACGCCTTCCAGCCCTCGACGTTGGCCTAGGCGACAAACAGTTAGCAGCCAGTATAAGACATTTTCGACGTTTCGGCATGAGCAGGGCTTGGGGCTACTAACCTTGCCGCCGACAAACTTCAGGTCGCGGGCACACTGGGCATCGCAATAGCCAGTGCCATACTTGGCGCCTGCCGTGTTAGTCGAGTATTTCCCTGTTCCTCCGTCGGCGTCCATCGCCACGAAGTACAAGGCACCGTTCAGGCCACAGTCGAGGGTGGAGAGATCCACGTCGAAGGCGAATTCATTGTTCATCAGTGTGAACATCTGATACTTGGAGGCGCTCTCCATGAGATACAGACGAGAACCTGCGCGGATGGGGTGTCAATATGATGTGCATAGCCATCGGGAGACCGTTTGTCAGGGGCTGGTTGAGGTACCAATGTTGGTTGCATAGTCATTCTTCTGGGTGAACTTCAGCTTGAGGCCATTGCCAGAGGTGCTGACGCCATATGTCGGCTCGTAGTCGGCACCCTCGAGCACGCAGTTGGTGGTGCAGGTGCTCGCGTCCGAGCAGATGGTCTTGTTCCACTCATTGCCAGTGTAGCAGTTGGTGTAGCCGGCCTTGTCGTGAACCCAGCGCCAGTTGGAGTCGATGACAACCTCTCCGTTCTTGGACGTGCAGCTTCCCTTGCCGGTGCATGTCTGCCATGTAAGCTTGGGGTGCGTCTCGCTCTGCTCTGTGCCTGCCCCCTGGGCGGCTGCATGGGCCAGGAGGGTGGCAAGAACGGCAAAGGTCAACATGGTGTGGCGCGTAGGGGGGACCCTGTAACAGAGGTAGTGTGACAAGAAAGATGATGGAGGGTGAGGGATGGCTGGAATGGCTTGGGATTTGTCAGTCTCTGGTTGGAGGAGGGGTGGGAGGTCACCAGCCTCCCTATATACCTGATCTGCTTCAGCATCTCGTCGTGGCGTCCCGCCGGGCGGAAGCCCTCGCTCTCCTCACTTCCATTACAGTGACGCCGTCATTGCCTCCGAAATTTCCGGTTATTTTCTTGAAGGTATTACGCCAATATGGAGGGAGGCCCGTCCGGAACATGGCCATCCATAAGCTGGTGACGAGCCATGGACCTCGTCCGATTCTGGCATCACAGACTGCCAGTTGTATTGGACTTAGATGTTAATATCCGGCAATTTGAAGGAAATGCGGAGATGGGAATGTGATCTGCGAATCCTATCAAAAAAATGGAACGAGATCAAGATAGATGTACCAAGGTGGCGATAATGGATGGTAGCCCTGGCTCATTCAAGGCACCAGTCGGTACCGCCAATTCCCGAACTACGCGAGTACCGATAGACTAATTACTTCGTACAACGTGACAACTGCACTAGACGGGCTGCCCATGGCGACTTCCAATATCTGCAGCGGGGTGATGTACTTGTACAACAGCTTATCTCATGGTCGGCTAACCGCAATCGGCATGCCCCAGTAGCGACTGCAAGGGGCACCACCGCGATGTGAAGGCCGCGCAAGCCAACATGCTCCAGATATGTCCACAGCGTTGCCGACCAGGCGACAATACCGTTTCCCCTCGCGTAGAGGGGGGCTAGTGAAACTAGGGTGGTGACCTGGCCAATCAGAGACAAATCGGCGATCGTAATCTCGCTGGTCACACACCAAGTTTGACGAGCTTCATGATCAGATGATTTAGCATGGTCGCAGTTTACGGTGCAGAATATCCCGGGTCTCGGAAGCGGATACTCCACTTGGCAACACTTTGGGGAGGAGACGACATCCCCACCAACCAAATGAAATTTGTCGGGCGGGGGTTAATATATCGTTCGGCCCTGTGGGGGGTGTCATCGCTTGGGAACGTCTACCGGGTAGACCCGCTCGCTCGCAGGGCGGCAGATTAACCGCACACCGCGCCTGCTGCAGTCTCCAAAAGGGCGCTCGGACTCAATTTAAAATCAAAGGTATCAAAGACACATGATTCTTCAAGAGTATTGGGCAATGGGGGGATAAAGAGTCGAGGGCAACTAGTGTGCACCGATTTCTGAAAATTCTGTTTTTGATAGCCTCTCTGCTGTCCGCATGCCTCCATCAACCCATTTTATCCCAGGGAAGGGGGGTTGACATGGCTGCCAAGACAGGGCCTCTTGGGTCTCTGCTCTGAATGCCAAGACGAAAGGGGATGCGATGCGACAGAGGCACCTCTGGAACTTCATACTACAAGAGTCTGGATTTGTTGAAATAATTAGTAACCAAAAATCCCGAGAACTTGACCAATCCACCAGCGCCTTCTCGTGTTTTCTCCCCTTTCCTCCGACCGGCTTCCATCCTTCGAACCAATGCTATGGACTCGGTTCCATCAGCCTCTGCAAGGCAGAGTCTTCAACATCGCATCTAGAAGTCCGACGGCCTAGACCCATGCATTGGGGGCCTTTTGGATTCCTTCCTGGTCCTTTTACTCCGCCTTGCTGGCCTTGGAAAAGACTGACGAGCTGTGCGAGATACTTATATGACCAAAATGGGAAGTCGCAGCGCCTAGGCCATGGCACCCGAAGTTCTTCGATACATGGCAGACACTATCGAGGAGATGGTCTACTCTAGCCCTAACGACAACAATAACGACAACAACGACAACCAAGGAGACATAGACGAGGCAAAGAGTAGCACCTTCGCTTCCAAGAGCCAGGAGCAGTGACAACGGCAAGCGGAACAACAGTTCGGGCAATGGCTACAACCCACGTCGATCTCGCTCTTTGGAAGCAAGGACCCGCGATATCACGGCGACGCCACGACAGGCCCCCCACGACCGCCGCCGGCGACGACAGGGGCTCCTTCCTCAGGCCGCTGGCCCAGCGGCCCGGGACGAAGCCGCTCACGGCTTGCCACGACGGGAAGGGCGAACAGAGCATGGGAATGAACACGGACACTGACATTGGCACGGATGGGGATGATGTCGATGAGCGGGCTCTCTTGTTTATGAGTGGCATCGAGGCCAGATGGCAAAGGCTGGGCGGGACGTGACGGTGAGGAGGCAGGAAATGTTGAGCTGGTTTGGAAGGCTGTCGTGTGGGTGACGACGATCTCAATAGCAGATAAGACTTGAGATCCCCGCCCTAACCTGTCGTCTTCCCTATGTGGGTGCATATATATATATATAGATGTGGCTGACGACGAAAATGCAGGTGGTGCTGCGGGGCTAACGATGGTACCAGGAAGGAGCGCATCAGCCTCGGCAGGTGGATGGGTCGGCAGCAGCATCGTAGGGAAGAGAAAGGGAAAGGAGAAGGAGGAGGTGGTGGTGGGAGCCAGGGCGTTGCTGTTGCCAGCCGCAGGTTGGATGTCTCTGCTGGGTCTTGGATGAGGGGTGGTGGTGGGCTTTACTCTAGGGCAAAGGGGCGGCGGCCAGCGTCGACTTGGTGATATTGGATCAGGGATTGGCGCTTCAACAGACGAGAGGTATGGTTGGATAAAGAGGCATAAAGGCAAAGGGATTTGGATGGGGATATTGATGCCGAGGCACCATCACCACGTATTAAGATCTGTTTATTTATCAAGCCTCGGTTGATAGGAAGACTCGGACCCAGGTCCAAGCCCCCACACTGGTAGGTGCGACTTCTTCCCTTCACCCTCTTGCCTATCATTTTGTGGGCATCGCGGAAGAAGTTGCAAACCAAGTGGAGTGGAAACAAGTCAAGTGAAGTGGAAGGAAGTGAAAGCATCAACCCTCCTCGCAATATCCCAACACAAACGAGTCTAACACATCCATCCTATCTTGCCAGAGGAAGACTGTCACCAGGGCTGCCGATGGTACAATGATTGCAGCAGCGTGGAGAGAACGGAATGGACGCAGGCTAGGACTGAACAGATCGAAATAGGATACCATAGTTGGGCTAGACATTGATCAAATAGGTTACTATTGTGGTTGGACTAGACGTTGAAACTGCAGGAGCAGCTCCCCTAATGTAACCAATCCCTAGTTTTACAGCAATAACCCTGCCTGCAAATCCAAGCAAAGTCTTTTTCGTGTTTCTTTTGTTTTCTGCTGCTTGTCGCGATGTCTGTCATGGCATTTGGTCCTGTTTTTAAAGACGCCCAGTACTTTCCTGCGTAAAACATCTAGAAGTAGCGTAGTGATCATGGTGAATTTGCCATGGTTCTATAGCCCGGTTCTATAGTCTGTAATTCAAGCCAAGCAGTGAGGGCAATGTTCTTTTATCTCGGCAAAGTTTCCCCAAAGCCTTGCTGACAATCTGGCAGAGTAGAGAGAGGGCAAAGAAAAGCATTACGACGTATTCCTTCACAGCTCCTATGCCAGCTTTGTACTCGTATTGATACGCGTCTTCCTTGCAGGCAACATGGTGGCAGATCGAGGCAGTCTTGATTTTCTGCTCGTGTTTCCGCTGATCAGGCCCAGAACACATGCCAAGGTGCCTTCTCGCATCAGCGTCTTTTCGGCAGCGATAACATGGTTCCCAACACTGCGGATCCGCTTGCGAACTGGATGACTATCTTGGATTTGGATGGCCGTTCTCACTACTACCTAATGTATCCACTAGGTACCTACTGCCCAATGAACTCTGTACTGTCCTAGGTATGTATTAGACAAAAAGGCTTCACGACGACGACGAGTGTTAGGGTTATGGCATGGGGGTGATGCATTTTGAGACTCGTCGTCGTTTTGGTTATCCTCGTCGCTCTCCAAGTCTGACGAGGAGTGCGCAAACTCCCTTGCGGACTTTGTCAATGCAGCTGCAAAGAGGTTGAACCCCTACTCGCCAATGCGGCGCCGTTCTTCGGTGGCTATCAAGCCTAACTCTCGCAGGGGTAGGCATTACCCACGTTTGGTTAATGCTGCGAGTGAAGTTAAGCTAATTCCTTGAATGGCTTGACGGGCTCCTTCATCCTTGGTGCTTACCCCTTACCCAAAAACGTGGCTTCCTGCCGGAGAGCCTCTAAGCGATCTGGCTGCCAAGGCGCTCAAATTTGACAAAAGGTGGTTAAAAGAAAGATGTTATCCACAGTAAAAAGAAGCTAGCTAAGCGCTAGGGCATACATAAGCTTTAACACTAAGCGCTGTGTGGGGCCGCAGTGCATAGAAGATGCCAAGATGCCAAGTCTCTTCAAATACCAGGTCAAATAGGTAGGCCGTGTATGTGGGTCTAGAAAAGCTCAATTCGTGATGTCTAGCCGGACCCGGTAGAGAGTGCTATTTAACTGCCGCTACGGGGCTTCTTCAACCTGCTAATGTGGACCGTGCTCATTGCACCACCCAGCATCCCTTGGTTTTCCAACAAAGTGACACAAATCGCGAGGTTGCACAGCGCACTAACAGAGCCTCATTTAGACCCTGACAATAAGTCGACACTAGAAACAGCCCTGCTTGAACATTTTAAGAAAATTGATAGGTATGTTTGATGGGACATGTCATCTTAGTCTAATGAGTACAGGTTTTGCTGCGCCTGGTCAGACAAAGTGTTGGAAGCAATGCGCCGTAAATGATCAAGTTCCGTGTGTGTTCCGTCTCTGATTCCTGTAATGCGGGGATCATTCTGACCCCCAAAATAACACCAAAAATGGGTCCGTCCCGATGTTTCAGTCATTTGCCCAATCGGGGGGGAATAACTATCCGCGAAAGTGGGCACTTAAAAATCATTAACTAGATTCGGAGAACAAACAATTAATTAGCAGCTGAAGTCTTGCAACGCTCTACTAGTTAGTAATTAAAGAACACTCTTCAACTAGCAACCGAAAGTCAAATCTGACATGGTCAGTATCTTTAAACAGCGTAAACCAACTTCGCACAGTTTAATGGTAATATTTCCCACGGGCAGTGACTAAATCAGCATGAAAATAGCACCAATCGAGTCCCTCAATTGGTTTACTCTACTCCCCATTCCCCCCTGTAGAGAGCCGATCAGTGTGCTGATTATGTGTTTTGGTGGGGTTGTGCCATGCCGAAACACCACTCGGTTTAGATCACTCTGGAATGAGGAGCTGCGACCAGGAGCGGTTATGAGCATGGCTCTTGTTCCTTGACTGCCCGTCTATTGCGTTGCCTTCCATCCCTCCATAGTGTACGTCGACGCCATAGCAAGTCGTTCGTCAGGGCAGCGTTGTGGTAATTATACCCTGATAAACGGTCGCCGATGGCGTCGATGTTGGGGCCTGAGGACTAGGACGAACGAAGCCTTGCCATTTGCTCGGGAGCAACTAATTTCAAGACCGACAGCCACGCCTGCTACGGCCCAGCGCCGGTCGCCAGGGCGATCAACGAGGACTCGGTCGGGCCCAGCGGCGGGACGCTGCTCGTCAACATCTCGCTCTTGAGGAGGAAGGGAGGTGGATGATGGAAGAACAACGATGTTGGTCGTGCATAAATTCTGGTAGATTGGGAAGATCTAGCAACATTTAACGTTGGAATACTTCAGCTTGACTGAGGGAAAACGTATCGGCGAGCTTAATCCCGCTCTAATACAGGCGGAATCCGGCTGTGGCCCGATCCTTCGGCTGTTCCCACGCGGCCCTCCATGCACACTCCGTGGCCATGGCCTGAGGGTCACATCCTGCCTGCCGCCCACCTACCAACTCCTTGCATCACTTGCAGAGATGTTCCCAATCCCACCAGTAACCACCCCCCTTTCGCGTGTTTCTGTCGTGACTGCTAACTGTTCTACACAGCCGCAGCCTTGGTAATTCGCATAAACTCCCCCTCGGTGTGTGACCATAACTTCTGCACCATGCCGTCCCTTCTCATCTTGGCCAGAAGCTCCTCCACCTTTACCGGCGCGCTCTGCCCATCGATGTTGGTTGAGTACACACCACTTCCGGCTTTTCCGTCTATCCCTCGTGCAACCGTGACAACTTGCGACAACGGAACGCCGGAAGTGGCAGCAGCCTCAGCACTTACGCCCGCCGGGAACCTGGCACTTGTCGAGAAGAATACTTGGCGGTCTCCGGCCTCCTCAAATGGAAGAGTTAAGAAGGGCCCAAGTACTTTAAACACCGCCCTCACGACCAGAATATGTATGGACTTTACATCTTTCAGCAGGTTGCTCTTGACAGCACCGGGAAAGTCGTGGATGAAGGACACGTCGGGGGCCTTCTCCGCGATAGCTTCCAGAGCGAGGGTCATCATCGAGGCGACATGGCCCCGCCGGGAAAGGAATGGGACATGGCGGCCCTGGAAGTCATTTGTGTCTATTTGGCCTTCCTTGGTTCCTGCGAAGACTGTGACAACGCGGCGCAGATCAGGCGCTAACTGGAGGAGAGGGAGGAGGTTGACAATAAAGCGAATGCGCCCGTAGTAGGCCACGGCCGTGGGATAGTTAAGACCCTCTTCAGTGTCTGTGGTAGACATTTAATTAGCCTTTTCTCTCTCTCCCTCTCCCTCTCTCGATCCTCCGCCACTAGTCTTCCTTTTTAGCACAGTGCCAAGCTTACCTTTCCCCATCACCAGTGTCCCTGCAGTAAGAAACAGAAGGTTGATAGCCTGTTCCTTGCTCTTAATCTCACGGCAGACATCATCTACAGTGCCAATCAGGCTGGTATCGGCACTGATATAGATGTACTCTCCGTCGGGATTCAGCTGCTGCAGCTCTCCTTTGACTCGGTTGCCAGATTCCTTGGATCGTCCTATAAAGTAAATCCGGGGTTTGGCGGCATGCTTGGCGAACTGCTTCAGCGAGGTCTCGCCGATGCCGCTGGTTGCACCGGCGAAAACGGCGACGAGACCAGGCCGGAGAGTAGTAGCGATGCGAGAGTTGGATGACTGGATCTGTTCCAGAGAGACCATCGCAGATGCTGATGGGGGATTTGGGACCTAAAGAATGATTGATTGATGACAGTCGCCCTCTTTGGAGAAGAGAAGCTGGTGTACAATGAACGTCCTTATGTGGTAATTATTAGCTTCTAAATCTGCCCCGATGAAAAAACGAAAAATGTGATATCGCGTTTGGGTGTTTGTCCGAGCGACCGATGATAATATGCCGATGTTGATGCACATTGGTGGTACATGGTTGCCTTGAGGTGCCCAATCTAATCATTGACTCCCTCTTCCTATCCCTCCTTTAATTTCGCCGATGTCCTCAACGATTGTTCCGTGGTAGTACATACAGCCGATGGCCGACCTGATCGGTTTTCGGGCGAATGTTTGCCCCGTCGGTCAAATATGCTATTTTCCACCTTTCTACCAGCAACTAATTAATAATTAGCGTATTGACTGAAGGGCTAGAGACTCGAGGGAGCCCCTCCTCTGCTAATTACACTTTTATGCACGACAGTGGTTTTGCGACAAAATTCTGTTGATTGTTCCAAGTCCACTCCCCAATTCTACCATCCTTCATGGGCCTCTCTCCATCACCACTACTTTTCAAGTCCTACATATCTCCCTGGCCAGGCAAGCTGGATGGATAGGAGCTTCTCAGCTTTTGTGCAGTACTATATCTGCATGCGTGTTCAGCTCCTCGGGAAGGCAATCTCTGCCGGGTTCGTCTGCCACGCCACCAAGATAGACTTCTGCTTGTCATGTAGCGTCTTAAAACGCAAGTCGGCCACCCTGACGAGCGGCTGTGGGTGGCTAAGTACGACAACTTGGGGAGGTGCAGAAGATGTCTATGCGGGCCTAATCTTCCTTGGTGTGGAGCTAAGAGGAGCGTTGCGCGGAGATGCGCTCCCCGGAGACGGCAGACTTAGTCCTTGTTAAGTGGCTCTCTGCTAGAGGAAAGTGGTAGAAAGAAGCAGGACAATGAAGGGAAAGTTGAGAACCGGACACCCTCTGGCTTCAAAAGCCACACTGTCCTGTCTTCCGCAGTTTCCTCCCAGTCTTGCACATATTAAAATCGGCAGGCCTCGGTTTCCCTAAGCCTCGCTGCCATTTCCTCATCCTCCCCTTTCACCATACGTTGACTCCTTCCTGCCTCAGCCTCGCAATTCAAGATACCGACATTCGTATCACAACTTGGTAGACCCGAGAGAGGCTCCTCGTCCGGCTTTTTATCCCCCCCCCTAACTCCCATTCTAGCTCCCGGCCCCACTCTTCCTCCAGCTCATCTTCCGACTCCTTGTCTAGTCTCTAGTCCAACGGCCCTGTCTGTCAATCTCGCCCAAATCCATCCAACCACCCGCTCGACTCAACAGATCCCACCATACGCCACCCAGCAAAAACGCCAGCAACGAGGCAGAGTCCATTCACTCCATCAACTATACGGCAACCCCAGATTCCCAGACGTCCATAGGGACTTGACAGCCTTGAGAGAAAGGGAGAACAAAAAGAAAAATGAGAAAAATCAACGTACAACACCGGGGATTCGCTGGTCGTCACCGACCCAACTACTGATCCGGCCCTCAGTGGCTTATCTATGGGAGAGCGGACGGGATCCCGAGTTCTCCACTGGGTATGGTCGTACGTGGAAGAATAGAGCCGTAGTCTAGTATATAGTCATGGGCGTATGTGCAGCAGCAAATGTCAATCCGGAGGATTGCCCCCGCCCCTTAGCCCCCCATAAAATAGACTTTGCCAAGCTTTGGCGTTGTGATTTTCTCTCTGGTTCTGCTTTTATTCTCCTGGTGGTTATCCTAGTATTTCTCCCCGACAGTGTCTTCTCTTTGCCTGTGAAGTTGTGGCGTGTCAATGATCGCAACGACGATGCTGGTGATAGAAGGGCAGGCAACACAGAGGCAGTCTGGGGAGATAAAGGCCACATAGTGTTGGTGATTGAGTTGGTGCGCCTGCCATAGACAATTCCCGGTGCCAGGACCAGTGATGAGTTCTACGGAACCCAGAGCAACGGCTTTGCATATGGCCCATCACTTCCTACCCGTGGACAGTGCGACGACTTTGCCTGGTTCCCTGTTCCGCAACAGCCCCAGACTTCGACTTAACGCCGCTGGCCTTCCTAGTTAGGCTCCCCCCAGGAAATCCCCCATTAAGTCAGGCTTGTCGTCGTCTCCCCCGTCCTTGACAGCGGTTGAAGCGCAGAGGTTAGCGTCAAGTCGTAGCACATCATTCAATTGGTGGGCCACCTCTGCAATTATCATGCCACCCACCCATTATTCTCCAATCCGTGAGTTCCTTGTGCATTCAGATCCGTGGAAAGCATGCTGCGGCGGCATGTGCAGTTTCTGGGTGGTTGCTACTGTCCCCGAACGCGACAGAGTTATCGCCTCGTCAGCACCCCGCCCGCCGCTGCTGCTGTTGCTCCGCAGGGGGCGACAGGAAGAAGGTCTTGAGAGCCAATTCCTACCGTGGTGAGTGCACCTAGGGATATGGTTGCGGCGGGTTGTAGGCGAGGGTGCCGTAACCGAAGAGATTCTCGAGACGAACCGGACAGATAGGCAGCGTGAAGAGAAGTATAGGTGATCCACACCGCACGCCCCGCCACCCCCCTACCAAATAGCTGCTCCTCCTCCTCCTCCGGATATAAAGGGGGCGAACATTTCCACCGACACAACTCTTAACTCAAGATTCGAAAGACGGCTCGACATGTAATACCGGCCTGTTCGTGCCATTTCTATCACACCAATCGGCAATCAGAATCAACACAAGCAGGGCGACGGCAGGCGCAACCCCTCTTTTCTCCACGAAGTCCTTGTAGCTGATGCTGCAGATGTTTGGCTCTGCAAAGTTGTACGTTGCCATAGTCCCATAATCCCTGTGGCTACTGTCCTGTACATCTCTAGGAGTCTCCACGTTTGTCATCTGCGATGACCCGGGCAGAGAGTCCTAACATCCTCGACTTGAATCGGGCGCTATGTGCTGAAACAGCCGCTGGCGCACGTTATCTTCCGGAGTGCGCCAGATGCTGGCTTTTTGGTGTCGATTGATTTCGGTGTGACAGTCCGATAACGAGCCGCAGAGCTGGCTAAGTACTACTTCGCGGTTCGCCATGATGAAGCTGAAGCGCATGCGAACGATGCCAGTGAAATGTTGGACCTGCGACAGATTGTCTGTCTAGCAGGAGACAATGTGCGGACACTGCATGTCGTCTGGGATTTGCTAGTCCCTGCTATGCATCTTGGCATCTCCTGCGACGAGGAGGTTCTCTTGTTTTGTATTGCCCTTGATAGCAACCTAGGTAGTCGGGGCCTTTCTTGCGCTTGCTATAATTACTGGTTCTTGGAGATGGGGGTACATGATTATGCAGGGCGAGGGGGTCCGTGTCGTGCTAGATGGTGCGGTTCAGAAGATCAAGTCAGTCATTGAGAGGCTGCTGGATTGTTGACAGAACATGCTGCTCCGCTTGTTCTATTGCAGTGCAACATCCCTACTCCTGACAGACAAAACGCATCAAGCTTCTTGCCTAATTCCGCACCCTTGGCCCCCTAGTCTCCCCCACCGCCCGGCAATCCATGGCCTGACTTATCTGCAAGGGCCACGTCGTGCCTCTAGTGGCTACCACGACGGAACACATTGGCACCGCGAAGATGCTCCTGGGCCTGGTGCACGCATATACGGCTTACCGCGTCCGCCTCAACGCTAGGGTTGCAGCTCAGCATGTCCTTGATGCCCTGCCGGAGGGTATATGTTGTTGGGATAGCAAGTGAGGAGGAGCAGGAGGATGAGGATCCGACTTTGGCGTGAGGCACTGGATGCTGTTGTTGCGGTTGTGGGAGGGGACGTTCTCGCCGAGGAGGTGCTACAACGGCGCTTCTTTTTCGCTCTGACGGCTGGTGGTGGGGATGAAATAACTGACATGTTAGGGATGCTGAGAGAGAGGGTAGGTCGGGTTTTGCGTGGAGATGGGAAGGAAAATGTGGAGGAGAAGAGACGCTTGGCGACGTGGATTCGGAGAGACAGTTAGACTTGTAAAAGGATATCCAGCAATTTTTTGCATTCTAAGCACAATCTGACCGAATTCATCTTGACTTCTCTAGGCCTCGTGGTACACCCAAAGACTTGGCCTTGGCTGCCGAGCTTCTACGCTTGCCTTGCTCGTCTAACGTCTGGAAAGATGCCACCCAGCAGAGGTAGGCAACAAAGACCTGAAAAGCCCAGGGAAACATGAATGTTTGAATTTGCCGTGTGTCTAGTCCACTTCTCGTGCCTCTGTAGAAAAGCATGGCGGAGTTGGCAACGACAATGCTAATTAAACAGCTAATAATTCGCGTTTTATATTGATCCATCTTGGAGATGACGGTGTCTTCTGGGGGCCATTCTAGGCTGTTAGCCACCTGTTGGAGAGAGGCTTCTCGTGACATGGAAGTATGATTTTGGGATCGGTGATGTAATTTAGATGATTGGATTTTAGAATTGCCCCATGCGTGAGCCAGAGGTGGGGTACGTATCTAAAGTGAGAGAGGGGGGAATTGGGGAATTGGGGAATTGGGGAAGTGTACAGGTGTTGGAGGCAATGCAGCGAAAATGGCAATTAAATAGTAATATATAATTCAGCGTGTGATCAGGGACCCTGAGATGGCTGGGTCCTCCAGCCAAAGTAGGTGATCCTGGCCGAAGGTCAGAAATTTTAACTTTCCGCGAAAGTGGACCGCAACACTTTATTATGCCCCGCAGTGCGCAGTCGATGGCCGGCTCCACACCAGATTCCCGGACCGGCCCGCGATTGTCTCGGAGCGGTGGTGGAGGTTCGTGTCCTTGGGCCACACATGTGTGAGAGATACGACGTTGCCGATGGGAGAGAAGCGAGCTGCTCCGATAACGCTCTATGCCGGACATTGTCACGAACTGGCATCGATATCGACGGGTGAGTCTTGATGGGTTGCTTGAGCTTCATGCGCAGGTTGTCAGCGGCCTCCTTGTTGAGCGAGTCGCTAGCGTTCGACTTGATGAATAGGAACTTCAGGGCTACAATGACGGCGTTTAGGTTCAGCACTGGCTTCCGATCCTCGTGCAGGATGTTGAAACACACCTTGCGCTTGAGGTTGATGCTGGGGTGGTAGATCTTTTCGCACCAAAACACCTTGGGCGACTTGTCCGGCATGTTGGGCGTAATTTTAACGTGGACATGACCCGGCCTGTGGATGGTCAAGGGCTACATGGCCAACTTCATAAGTGCAACCTCTCCTGTCAACAATTCGATGACACTCTTCGAGGACTACGGAATGTAAGTGTGGAAACAAGCATGCCCACTAAATAAGGAATTGTGAAAACAGTTGAGGAAGAGATAACCATATATCCAAAACGCCTGTGGTTGCTGTAGGCAAGCGAAGAAGGGATGCCGTAGTCGACTTAGTCCACGCCCTGGACCACTCCAGCCCCTTCCAGTTTCCAAGACGCCCGAGACACCGACGGTTTGTACGAGGAGCAACCACAATGCAAGTGGTTAACAATATCGTCCTTCCCTACAGCTTGGATTATGAAGAAAGGAGCCTCGAGTCCAAGGACACTACAACAAAAACAACAACAACAAGGACAATGAGGATAGTCAAACTGCATAAGCCTTAGGTCTTACTTTCTCTTCTGAAACTAGGCTAGAGCTCTCCAAGGCCTTGTTCCAGCTCTCAATATTTTGGACATACACAGACCTGACTCGAGATATGGGCTCTTCTACACTCAAAACACTTCACAGCAGTGATAGTCATGGATTTACGAGCACTGGTTAAGTGGGCATTTATATTGCTGTTCTGGTTGTGTGGACTAGTACGGCAATAGGAATTCTGTATGCACAATTATTGTTGATACAAGTTCCAAAAGACCAGCGCGTTGGATTCTCAAATGGCCGGGACATTGACCCAGAAACGAGTATCGTCAGTCTTATACTGCGAGTTGCCATCAATCTGCTGCTGGATCCAAAGAACAGCATTCTTGTAGTCTGATGTTGCACAATGTCATTAGCAAGACTCGCTCTAGCGTTGGAAGGTCACAGCTTGCCCAGATGGAGACTTACTGTTGATGTCCTGTGTGTTCGGATTGCTCAACCCAGAGGCTCCGTTTCGGTGCCCGGCAAACCACTTGTCCCGGCCGTAGAAGTTCTCGCACTCATGTCGAGCACTTACGTCCTGCTGCAGGTTCGAGTTCAGCACCGCGCCGTTGTTCCAGTCACCGGTTGATTGCCCCTTGAATTGCGAGGCGCATTCGCGTAGCATGCCCCAGTTTTGCTTGAAAATCCCGAAGTTGGCCGAGTCAGACGTCTTTCCATCGCCTGATATAAAGTTAATGGACACGAATGTTGGAAAAACTGGCTGGATGATGAGACAGCATTGGGGGAGAGAGGGGGGTTAATTACCATAAGTATAGGTTGTCGTCATGGTGTCTGTCTCAAGCATGGCAATGGCGAGGTCCAGGGTGTTGCCGCCGGCACTTTGGACAGCTTGCTTGCGTGCTCCCAGACCAGAGACTGTGTAGGAGCCTCGATCTCCCTGTCTCTTGGCCAAACCCTCCTCGAGAGGGGCGGCAATGGCTGCGCCAAAGAACGCGAAGGAAAGGAGAGTGGAAGTCCGCATCGTAGTTGATTGTCGCTACCGGAGCGCGAGTCTGAATGTTCTGTTGAATGAGAGGTCTGTGAGAAACATCTACACATTTCATAAGATTCAAAGGGATATGTGATTTATCTTATATAGCTAAATCTCCGAGGGTTTTCATCTGGCCCTGAATGACCCCGGCTACGGGGCGACGCGGCCACGGTTTTCTCCTCAGTACATAATTACACCAAGCTGGATGTACAGCATGGCATTGAGCCGAAAAGCTGCGCAGTGATAATAATGACATACAGCCAAATCCCAGCGATTTAGATGAAATTGCGTAATTGCCACCAGGTCTCCAATTTGCCGGCACGATGTTTCGAGCGCTGTGGGATCATTAAAGACCATGAGTGGTCTACAGTTGCGCTGCTTTCGTCCTGAATTGGCTTGGGAGTCGATCTTCACTTTCATTTCTATTTACGCGGACGGAGGTTGGACGCTCCGTGGTCAGAGGGGGTGGGGTGGGAAACAGAGTGGAGCTAACAGTCGGCGATCTTCAAATATCCGGGGTATCCGGTCATGAGAGTTATATCCGACCCGGAAGAATTGGGAGGATTCAAATTAGTGAACCCGAGAACCACGGACAAGAGGGTTCCGCGAATGAAGTGCGTGCGTCGATAAATCTATCCCTGCTGCCCAGCCTGGCCTGGCATCTTGGCTCTATGATATCCAGATGCAGGAACCGCATTCAAATTAGTAGGACTGGGGACCTCGGACAAGAGGGCTCCGCGGGTGCAGTGCATGCGTCAATAAAGGTATCCGCGTTGCCTATCATACCTGGGAGCTGGACCCCATAATATCCAGCACCCCAGGTTCCAGCAGTTTAAATTAACTGTACACACAAAACCCCATTGAACTTTTGCAAGATGGTGAAGTCAGTGCTCTTGAGCTTCCTCTTCACGGCTAGCGCCACTGCACTAAACAATGGAGTGGGAAAGCTTCCCAAGCTTGGTTTCAGCAGTGAGTCTCCACCACCCAAGGGAGGCACGAAACAAAGCAAAGCTGACTTGGGTTTGTTACAGCTTGGAATGTATTCCAATGCGACTACGATGCCGACATGATACTCAGCCAGGCCCAAGCCCTGGTTGACCACGGCCTCGTCGAGGCGGGATATGACGTACGTCCATACCGAAGTTCAGATGATGACGACAGTTGGTTTCGAAGCTAATCAACTAATATTCCAGACCATGATGATTGATGACTGTTACAGCTTGAAAGAACGGGATTCGTGCGGGAAAATCGTGGCAGGTCAGCTGCCCCCTACCTCTCAGTGTCCAAGTCCTGCAACTAATAATTAACTGCCCCGCCGTCACAGATCCCAAGAAGTTCCCCAACGGCATGAGGAACTTGACTGATACCCTGAAAGCCATGGGCCTTCAGGCGGGAATCTACAGCGATGCAGGATACAAAACCTGCGGTGGCTACCCCGGCTCGTACGGACACGAGGCACAAGATCTCAAGACATTTGATGAATGGGGCTTTCATTATCTCAAGTACGACAATTGCTTCATACCGTTCGACAACGTGACCCAGGAGAATGGGTATGGGCGGTACAAACGCATGGCCGACGCAATCGAGGAGCGCGCGAAAGGCGCAAACTCAACCCTCTTCCAGCTCGCCCTCTGCCAGTGGGGATGGCAGCAGCCGTGGACGTGGGCTGGCCGGTTGGGGCAGTCGTGGCGAGTAGGCGGAGACATTCGCCCCTGGTGGTCCGCCCTAGCTGGCATCATCAACCAGGCTAGCTTCATCGCCACCGAGACGGACTTCTACAGCCGGAACGACTTTGACATGCTGGAAGTCGGCAATACGGATCAAGGAACTCCGCCAGGCAACTTGACGTTCGACGAGGCTAAGAGTCACTTCACAGCCTGGGCTCTCCTCAAGTCGCCCCTGCTCATCGGGTCCGATTTGACAAATGCGTCGCCGGAGACCGTGGAGATTCTTGGAAACAAGGACATCCTTAAGATCAGTCAGGACCCTAATGTGGGTGAATCGATTGCACCTTTCCGCTGGGGTCTCAATCCTGACTACACCTTTGATCCGGTTCACCCCGCAGCCTATTGGACTGGAAACTCGTCTTACGGAGTTGTATTCATGGTTTTGAACTCGCTTGATACGCCCCAGGAGATGTCCTTCAACCTGACTGAGAGCTGGGCTATTCGGGCTGGTCGGGTTTACTCAGTCTACGACATGTGGTCGCACACTGAGAACGGCACTGTCATGAGAGACATGTCATTCACGCTGCCGCCACATGGCGTTGCCGCTCTCCTGCTGAACGACGCTGGTCCCGAGCCGGCGGGCATGGAGCCATATTGCGCTGGGTATTGGCAGTGCAGTTTCCCAAACGGAACTTACTATAGTAACTAGACTCCTCTATGTAATATGGGTTCAAACCTAGGATAGGCAAGCTAAATGCTAAAGTAATATCTATTGGTGTGTTCCGCTCTTCTGTACCTTGCAACGTCCCAAGGTCTGGAGGTTTAATGGGCGGCGCTCTACCGTAGAGGCCTTGGAAGAGGGAGCAAAGCATCCTTTGTGACTAAGAGTTCCTTTTGACTCTTTCGAATAATTACATCATAAGCAATTGGGGTAAAACCTTTCCTTATTCCGATCGTGCCACTCGTGGTCATGGGCCATGACCACATCTACAGATGCATTGGTTCGATCCCCCAGGCTCAGTAAATCTCGGACCCGCTGTATGGAGAGCTCAGCGGCAGCCTTGTCCAGATGGATACAGATGCAATGTCCATGCCCATCATCCCACGTGCCTATTTCTCTCTCGCCCGTAAGCAAGCGCATATCATGGCAAGTGTCCCCCCCCAAGTACACCCATGTGTCAGCCCCCGTCCTACAGAGCAAATTAAGGTGGCCCGTCAAGTGTCCCGGGGCATCGATCACAAAGACGGAGCCGTCACTAAAAATGTCGAGAGCAGCAGGGAAAGGCCCTAGGGGCGCCCAGGACGATTTAAACCGAGTCCCATCCTCTATGCGGAACTCAACATCACCCCGATATGGTGATGTCAGTTCAACTGTGCGACGCCCCGAAAGCAATTTTGGATCGAAATTTTGGTGCGATGCCACGGTAGGGACACCTCGCTCGAGGAGATCTAGCGATCCCTTCCCAACAATGAAGAGAGATGCGCCGTAGTCTTCAGGATCGCCGTGATGGTCGTAATGGACGTGACTGAGGATGACCATGTCTATGTCGGATGCAGCACACAATCCCCCCGCAGCCAGATGGGCGGCAACTCCAGGCCCGAGTCTGTATGGCGTTCGTCCTTGATTCAGATGCTGTTGAGCAGCCGGAATGTAACGCCCCAGATGGGAGCGCAGACCGAGGTCAAACATTATGCGGGTGCCAGGCTTGCTCGAGGCATGCTGATCTGAACCAGTCTTTTTGAGTCCGGGATGAGTTATCAGAAACGCCATCGACGGAACAGTGCTACTCGCATCTGGATCGCTCGGTGCAACGAAGCATCGTTCGGGCAGTGTGATGGAACCGCCATCAATCGGCGATACTGACACAAAGTTCTGTCCAGGTCGACAAGGTGGAAGCGTCATCTCGTCGGGAGGCGAAGTTGTGCACCGGGCGAGAAATTTGAGGTGCTCGTGGTAGAAGGACAAGCTGCACGGCGATTCCCCAAGTTCCCGAGCTTTGTCGGCGCGGCATCTACGCTTCTTCCGTGATTCATCCGTCCGCTCGGTGCGGTGGCAACAGACCCCCCGAATTATTTCCCTACCCCGCATTTCCCCACATCTCTCAGGGGCTGAGGGGACAGACACGATTCTAGATCAGGTGGAAAAGGTCCCCCACATATTTGGGGCCGCTTACCCCACACATTGTTGCCCATCCTCATCGATGCTGCCAAGGTTGACGTTGACCTGGAACCTCACAGCCTTCCGTACTCTACTTCCCATGCATGGATTTGGTTCTTCACGTTGCCCAGGAATACCGACGACAGGGTCGCACACTCGGATGGCTCCTGAGCAATAATAACCGTAACGCAGGTGATAGGCCTCCCTAGCTGGCAGCATTAGACCCCGCCCTGTCTAATTGTAGTACCAATGAGCTTCCATGCTACCCCACCCGAGCTTCGAGCTGCAGGAACTGCAACCCCGCCTCGGCAGTACCAATTGTCGGATGAGCAGGAAAACCATGGGGGGAGGGGAAAAACAATCACTGCGGCGTCGAGATCGGTTGGAAATCATTCTGTAGGATTTCCCAACCTTGAAGCTCCAGCCCTGGGTCCAGCACACACAACATCATGTCTATGCCAGTCGCGGTAGTCACAGGTGCAGCGTCAGGCATCGGCCTGGCTCTCACCAAGCACCTCCTCTCTCGCGGCTACCGCGTTGCCATGGCCGATTTCAACAAAACCGAGGGTGAGAAGCAATCGGCCGAGCTGGGGGAGAACACGCTGTTCAGGCACACAGATGTCTCGTCGTACGAGGATCAGGCCGCGCTATTCAAGGCCGCATTCGAATGGGGAGGCCGGCGCCTTGATGTCTTGTGCGCCAATGCCGGCATAGCCGACACCCAGAACCTGTTCGAAACCGGCAGCCCGGTCCGGGACGACGGCACCCTGGAGCCGCTGGACCTCCAGACAATCCGGGTGGACTTGGATGCTCCCATCCAAGGCGTGTGGTTGTTCAAGCACTATGCACGCCAGAACGCGGTGCCAGGCGGGAAGGTGATGATAACGTCTTCGGCGGCAGGTTTCTAGTAAGTTGGCCGCGCACAGGCTAGCCATGAGTCAACGGCCTCGATTTGCAAGAGCTAGTAATAACATGAACTCCTCCTCAGTCCGATGCCTACGAATCCTCTCTATGCTGCCGCAAAGCACGCGTTGGTGGGCTTCACTCGCTCGTGCGGTAGCGACAGCCCCTTCGCAAAGGAGAACATCACCGTCAACTGCATCTGTCCGGCATTTATCGCCACAAACCTCTGTCCGCCGCACATGCTAGGGCTGTTTCCGAAGGAACATATCACGCCCATGTCTACCGCCACCAAGGCCTTGGACACCTTTTTGGACGACGACTCGATGACTGGGCAGTGCGTGGAGTTGAGCCTGGATCAATTGTATTTTAGGGACAAGATTGATTACCCCAATGAGAGCCAGAGATGGCTTGGGCAAGAGTCTAAGAAGTTCTGGGAGGACGCATATAAGAACTAGCTAGATTCGACGAATCACAGGAACAACACCCCCCCCGATCCCCCAATAATTACCACCGTTCGATTGATCAACAGTGACCTCTCCATCTGTTCTACAAGCTGCGAGCTGCAAGCTGCAAGTTACCGCACGCCATTGACAAGCTCGTTATTACGCCTCCCGGTCTTGCCTCTCTCATTGGTAGGAAATTTAAAGCCCGTGGAGGCTCTGGAATAAACGTGTCCTTGGCATTACATCGGACACGTGCAGCGACAGTGTGATGGGATGTGCACTATGGCAAGCTCGAACCAATAAAGGCTCTAGATTTTTGTATGTAGTCCATTCGAGCAGGTGTGCGACTATGGCTTTGTGTGAGGCCTAGACTTCGCAAGGGGCCCGAGTCCATGTAGTCGGTAGCGAGCAACATGACAGAGGTAATCAACTAATAAGATAGGTATGTAGGTACTTTAGTAGCTATGTGGGGTATGTGGATGTGGGGACCGAGTATCCAGTCCCCTGAGTTTTTATTGCAGCGAACGAAACGTGCATTTGCGGGGTCCCCAGCTCTTCTTCCCACGACAGCCCCAGACAATTAATTAAATATCAAGTCCCGCGCAGTCCGGTGAGCTGAGCAAGAAACCCACGGTCGTCAAAGTGCCGTTTGAAGAAGCGAATTTTCTCGCCGTCTTTTGTTTGCACTCTACCAACAACGACATCACAATGGCCTTCGGGATTCTCGCATCCAGCCGCCTGGAGCATGTTCCCGGGACGTCTCTTCTCGAGGACAACGCCGATGGCGGTGCCACTGCCTCGGCGAAGCTCCAACGCGGATTGGGCAGGCACCAGCACACGGTCCTGGTCCCGCAGCCCTCCAACGACCACAACGATCCTCTTCGCTGGCCTCTCTGGCAGCGCGACCTCATGCTGCTGATGTACCTTTACGTGACTCTGTTGAGCGTAGGAGGGTGAGCCAAATCCTCTCTCCGGTAGCTAATTACCTAACCAAAGGCATGATCTGACGGAAAGCAAAGCATCGGCCCGTTGCTCTCGGCATCGGCCCAAATCTTGGTCGAGACCTTCGACATCACCTTCACTGATGTCACGTTGTTGACCGGATATCAGCTCTGCGGAGTTGGCACTGTAGGTCTATCCACCGCCCTTGCCAAGGAGAGAAGGGCAGACATCTAGGCGACGCAGGCTAATCGCATCCCCTCTCGTTGCAGATCGGCATCTTCATATCGGCGCTGTGTGCGAAATACGGGAAAAGGCCCGGATTCCTATTCTCCATCACAATGGCCTTTGTCGGCACGGTGTGGGGTGGTGCAGCACAGAGCTACGGGTCGTTGATGGGAGCGAGAGTTGTCCAAGGTCTTGGTACAGCCATGTGGGAGTCTGGTAAGCCACCCAACCCACGCCCCCCCCCAACCCGGTGTATTTCACCCACGCGTCTAACCTGGCTTTTATCAGTCATGTTCTCGATCATCGGCGACCTGTACTTTGTTCACGAGCGCGGCACTCGGGTTGCGGCCCTTAGTGTCGCGATTTCCGGTATTGCCAACATGCCTGCTCTCCTCTCCGGGGTCATCACCCAACGACTCGGATGGCGATGGATGTTTTGGATGCTGGCAATCTTCCTCGGCATTGGCCTTGTCCTGCTCACCTTTTTCGGATGGGAGACGGCTTACAACAGAGAACCCATCTACAACACGGACACGAGCTCTAGCAATGTACGTCAGAGGCCCCCCTTTTCCTCATTGCCGGCACCTTTCACTAATTTACAACGCCTCCCCTTTCTAGAACATCGATTTGCTCAACGCCATGAAGGAGAAGAGTGCGCATGTCGAAGACACTGAAGCGAGCATGGGGCAAACCGAGGCGGAGATTGACGAGGCCATGACGCCGCGGATTCCGTTTGTCCAGCGTCTCCGACCATTCAGCGGGGTTTACTCGGAAGACAGCATCGTCTGGATGCTTCTCCGACCCTTCATTGTCCTCGCCAACCCTGCTGTGATCTGGGCGACCCTGCTCCTCTCCATCACCACCGCCTGGTTTGTGGTCATCAGCTTCGTCATCGCACAGATATTCTCTGCGCCGCCATATCTGCTGGACACTGCCCAGATAGGCTACATGTCTGCTGGACCATGTATCGGTGGCCTCCTGGGCTCAATCGCCTGCGGCTTCATATCCGACCCCATCGCAATCTACCTCTCCAAGAAGAACAAGGGAATTTACGAACCAGAGTTCCGTCTCGTTCTTTTGCTTCCTTTTCTGGTCACCGCCTCCATTGGATTCTTCTGTTTCGGCAACTTTGCCGAACGGGGATACTCGCCGGCCGTGATCTGTGTCATCTGGGGCATCGCCGTATCGGCACAGCAGTTCATGTCGGTTGCTGTTGCCACGTACGTCATCGACGCGTACAGGGACATTTCGGTCGAGGTCTTCATTATCGGCATGGTTGTGAAGAACTTCCTCTTCTTTGGCCTCTCCTGTAAGTCTCCTCGACATACACAATACATATCCAGGGTACCATTGACGGACTAATTACTAACTCCTGTCTCCACAGTCGGCGTGAATGACTGGGTAACTAGCTGGGGTCCTGGACGCGTGTTCGATGTTGTCGGCGGGATCGAAGTAGCACTGTTCTGCCTCTCCATTCCTGTCTGGGTGTGGGGTAAGCAGTGGCGTGCTTTCTTCCACGCGAAGCGCATCTCCTAATTAATTAGTAATTACTTGATAAACATTCTGCTTCTGATCAAAAATGACAGAGCTGAGATGGATCAATAAAGAAGATCATCACAACTGTATTTTCCACTTGTCTGACCTCAAGCGGCTCCTGTCAGTCTCTAATTGATTACTATGGTGACGACAGACTCGGGCGCAAGACTTGGCATCGTGACTCCCTGCTTCCTTTCCTCCCTCGCTTCCAAGATAACTCTCTGCAATTTTGAAGCCTTCTTCCAGGCCGGGGCGCGGCCACGCCGAGCTCCAGCCCGCTTCCGTCACCAGTCCCTTGCATGGAACTGCGCGAACTACGAGGAATCTTGGGCCAGTATGCGGAACATGGCGAGAGGGTTGTGAACCGTGAATGACAGAGAGATAAGACTAGATAAGGTTTGGACAGGGCTTATGATAATTTTCGCTCTGAACCTCGGCCCGCGGCATTCGCGTTGGTGGATCAGACAACACGGGTGGGGAGTTAAGTTTACCCCACCTGGAGAACCCCGCATAAGGGAATGGACCCCGCCCGACCAGTCTGCTAAATTTTTTTGTTTGTTTTTTCCCACTCTTCTTTTTTGCGCCAGGTGTTGGGGCAAAGATAACGAGGGGCTGGAAGTGTGACCATCACATTGACTAATTAATGGAAGTCATTGCTAGGTCTCATAATTCCGTTCCCTCCACGTGGTAATAATTATTATCCAACTTTCCGTCGTGAGAATCTATTAGGTCACTAGAGGCCCATACTCTAAAAAGGAGCAGGAGAATGTCTTCCAGGCACGCTGGCAATGCACTAACTACGCCCGTCCGGTCCTTGAAGATATCGAAACACTACTCTCGAGTCCAAGTCTCGACAGGCAGGATCGTTGCTCGCATCTGTATACGTCTTGAGACCGGCTTCTCCAAGGGCCAGCCTGGCTTGAACACGATTTGCTGCTTCGACAGCGAGAGCAAAGTCCTTCCTCATCAACTGTATCTTAAAACCCCCCTCGTATCCGTGGCTGGATGGGGCATCTGGACAAACCCCTGGGACCGGATTCCACTTGTCTGAGATGGTGCTTTGTGCTGTGCTCGTCGAGAATATCCTCGCCAACACTTTGGCGTCCATGCCCGATTTCATGGCAATGTTCATGGCCTCCGAGGTGGCTATGGCAATGAGGCCAGAGCAGTAGTTGTTGCATAGCTTGGCTGTGAGTCCAAGGCCAGGCCCGCCACATGGGAAAATGGAAGTCCCCATCATTCCAAGCAGCAGCTGAAGTGTCGGCAGCTGGGGTTCATCATCGCTGCAGCCAAGCATGAAGGTCAAGGTGGCCTTCGCTGCGCCGAGGGATCCCCCAGATACCGGTGCATCGAAAAAGGATGCCGAGGGAGCTACCTCGAGGATCCGTTGTCGGACGGCGTGAGAGGTTTCCGTGTCCACAGTGGAGCAGTCGATCAATAACTTGGAGGACAAATCGGCCTCCAAGACGCCAGTCCCCGGGGTCAGGAAGACGGACCGGACATGCGAGCCCTCGGGGACCATGGTCAGTACCACATCCTGAACTATTAATTAGGCTTTGGCCATCCACGTTTCTTGCAACTGCCGAGACGTACCGATTTAGACGCCACTTCCTTCGCGCTCGAGCTGGCGAAGACGGTATTGGGGAACTCGCCCGCCAGCTTCTTCACCACCTCCTCCGAGATATCGAACACGTGGATTGATGTTGTGCTTGGGACCTTGCGGGCTAGGTTCTGAACCATGGGGAAGCCCATGACGCCCAGCCCTATAAAACCCAGATTATTGGGATAAGACATGATTGACGTGAATTCGCGTGCGTATTTCGATGCTGGAGCTGAAAGTAAAGTCGACTCTGGATGGAACGTGGCCAGCCAATGGTTGGTACTTTTGGCTGAAGAAGTGCGTAGAGTCGGATGGGACCAAGGGCTTTCCTATTATTGACGGAGAGATTTTGCTACAATTTGGTCGAAACGGCCTGTTTCCCGTTGCATGAGGTGGGGGAGGGGGAGGGAGGGGGGGGGGGGCCTGGAAGGTGGATCCCCAATCCCTTTACACTACCACTTTCCTCGTGGGAGTAGTTAAGACTCTACCCCACCTCTCGGATCTAGGAGAGGCAAAATGTACGGAGCATGGCCTGTTTATGAGAATGGGGTAGTATGCATAGTCTATCTTTACTGTCATGTCTCTGTAGAGGCCAACAGCAATCACCTATCCTGCTGATGACACCTCGACGGGTTGGGCCAGCATATTATATTACTATCTAGACGATCTTACGACCAGTGTGGACTGTTAAGAGTGAAGCTTCTAGATAGCTCCGCAGCTGGGATCCAAAGTTGGTCGAGACTCTCGCATCATCACAGCGAATATCGATAACCCTCAGTCCCATGGATGAGGATGCCCTCATCCGCTCTCTTGTTGCTGATATGATAGTAGGAGCCCAGACCTGTCATCCCTACGATGACGCAGGCAGTCATGGCGATCGAGGTGTACAGTCCAGGGGCATATTGAGGAGCATCCTGGGTCCGGAAAATAAGACTCCCGATGATGCCTCCACAAGCACCTCCCCATATCGTCACGACTGCCATGATGGATCGTCGAGCAGAGCCCACCGCGTTTGTCTGCGCGAGGGAGAGCTGTGCCGGGACGTTACATTGGCAACCAATGGTTGCCAAGAAGACGCCTAGATAGCGTACTTCGTTGCTGTATTGGGCTCGGAGGACTGCCAGGAATCAGTTAACTTGGGTTTGGAAATTTGAGTATTGTTGCGCCTGACTTACGGATAAATCCAACGATCATGATCACGCTCTGGACGATGATGATAGGAATCCGCATTCGGATCTTGTCACTGATGTAGGACCCGAGCCACAGAACTCCAATGGCGGGAAAATAGGGCCATGCGGAATAGAGACTGGCTTTCAATCCCGTGTATCCCATACCCTAGGTAGTTAGGGTCAGTACTAATTAGGCCAAGCCGAGCCAGGGCTCACCTTGGATAGACTTACGTTGAGAATTGACGGCACGAAGAAGGCCAGTGCATAGGTGGACGAATTGGTGAAGGAGAACAGAAGCCAAGTCACCCAGGTCGTCCAGTCACAGAAAGTTTCCTTGAGGACCTTGCGAGTAATTGGCTCCGTCGCATGATTTCCACGATCACGATCGAGCCGGGCCAAGTACAACTCTTTATCGTCTGCTTTGAGAAAGCGTGCTTTTTCCGGGAACGGGGGCAGGAAGAAGAAACAGACGACGGCAATGGCCATGGTTGCTCCGCCTTCGACCTGTCTCGTGGGGGTTAACCAGTTAGTTGATAACAGTCAGGTCGATAAGCAAGTTAGTTGCTCAGGAAATGGGTGTCACATGCTGCGTAGATCCACCTCCACCCCTTCATGTTTCGGATCCCCCCCATGAGACCGAGACCATACGCCAGCAGTCCCGAAAAGGCTGAGCTTAGCACGCCCACGGAGTAGGTCCAACCAATCCTCCGGTGGATTTCATACCGGCAGTACCTAACAGCATCAGGGTCAGTAAAGGTACACGGTGCAAGGAGCAATATCAGCGTCGTGAGAGACGTGAGAGAGAGAGAGAGAGAGAGAGAGAGAGAGAGAGAGAGAGAGAGAGAGAGAGAGAGAGAGAGAGAGAGAGAGAGAGAGAGAGAGAGAGAGAGAGGGACGGCATTGCATAATTACCATGAGCTGATGATGTATACCGCTGCCGGTAACACTCCCCCTTCAAAGGCCCCCAGCAGGAAGCGGAGAAAGGCCAGAGCCCGCCACTCGTGGGCAATAAACCCCATGCCAGTAATCACGGCTCCCCACGAGAACATGAGGAAGGTCAACCAGATGGCTGGGCTGAACTTGACCAAGAGGTAGTTGGAAGGCAGCTCGGCGAGGAAGTAGGCTGGGAAGAAGAGGAGTAGGCAGACGTTGTACCTGTTCCCCGTCAACGCGAGGTCCTCGGACATGCCTAGCACTTTGGCCGATCCGATGTTGATGCGGTCGATGATGGAGACGGCGAATATGATGCCGAGTGTTGGCAGCACGCGGAAGTCAATCCTGCGGACGAGACGGTCCTCGCGCGCCGTCGACGCAGCAGCCGCCGCGTCGAAGTCGACCTTTGGATCATCCTGCTCACGCTCAATTTTCTCCACGATGCCCGCGACATGTTCCTTCTCGTCGTCCATCGCTTGATGTGCCATGGTCTGTCTCTGCTGGAAAGGGGAAAGGATGGGGGGGGAGGGATGGATGGATGGGAGGAGAATGGGTGAAGTTTTCTACCCACCTCTGGAGTTAAGTAGAGGGCGTAGGGAAAGAAATACCATCTCGCCTCTTCCCTGTCGTTGATGCTTGGCAGAATAAGATTGTGGGGTACGGCCGGTCCGGGGTATGGGGTATCGATCTGGGCAATGGAGTCCGGGGTAAAGGATAGTTTGAGATACGTTTGTAAGTCGTGAACCTGCCATCTCCCCACTCCTTCACAATGATCTGCATGTTGAGGGGGGCGCTAGCCCCCACACACAAACCACATTTGTCTACAGTAGCAGTAATTATGTCTTGACTGACGGTCGAACCCCGCCTTGCCAAGTCGTTCTCCCTCGACGGGGACACCCGGTAGTTCCCATTAGGGTGTCGATTGGCTAGTAAACTACACCGTACTTTGCGATTTTTCTTTGCATGGTCTCCTATCGAAGACCTCCGGCATTCATTACTCTGTGCATTTTGAAGAGATTCGCTTAACTAGGACTCGAATCGGTTAGCAAGGATCTGTGGTCATAAGCTGTCAAATATTCGGCATCGGATCCGCTCTTGCGTCACCTAACTAGGTAGCCATCCAATCTTCGGTAGAGAAAGCGAGTATGTCGAAGCCTTTAGCCATCGTCACGGGGGCGGCGTCTGGCATTGGGCTGAGCCTGACCCGCCATCTTCTCCTCTCCGGCTGGCGCGTGGCGATGGCGGACCTCAACGAGGAGAAGGGCAAGGCTCTCGAGCGCGAGCTGGGTCCGGATGTCATGTTCCTGAAGGTCGACGTTGCGAGATATGACCAGCAAGCGGCCTTGTTCCAGTCGGCATTCGAATGGGGTGGCGGCCGCCTCGATCTCCTCGCGGCCAATGCAGGCATTGACGATCGCCAAAGCTTATACGAAGGAGCATCCGATACACTCGGGCCACCGCCGGAGCTGAACACGGACTGCATCCAGGTGGACATGGTCGCGGTGCTGCAGGGTGTCTGGCTGCTGTCCCACTATGCACGCCGCAATAAAAACCCTGGCGCCAAGGTGGTCATCACTTGCTCAGGAGCCGGAATCTACCCGATGGAAACGAACCCGCAATATACGATGGCGAAACACGGAGTAAGTGCTGATAACGAACGGATCCCCCTCATACATTTCCAAGTCGAAAAGGGTGCTTGCTAAAGGATAACTACGCTCGCTGCGAAGCTGATCGGCCTTGCTCGTTCTGCGGCTCCGCGTTTTATGATGGAGAATGTGACAATCAACTGTATTCTTCCTGGTTTTGTCAAGACAGGATTGGCTCCTCCCGAGATGGTCAGCAGGATGCCGGCCGAGTACGTGACGCCCATGTCAACGGTCCTGCGAGCGTACGATATGTTTCTGCGCGAGTCCAAGATGACGGGTCAGGCCGTAGAGGTGTCTGGGGAGGAGCTGCACTTCCATTCCATTCCCAAATATCCGGATGAGATCTCGAGATGGTTGCACGAGGACGCAAAGAAACTATGGAGCGAGGTCTATCCACCGGGAGAGGCTCCACGTCCATCTTCGGGAGCAGCAAATGGGGAATCTTAACCGAGCCACACGTAAATTATTTTAGCTGAACAATCAAGAGCAAGTTCGTTTGCTGCGATGAAACAGTATTTGCCCATAGGATGCGGTCAGGACGTGGCCGGGAATATGGGTTAAAAGTAGCTTCTCGAGCAGTAATTAACTAACTAATTGCTACCCGAACGGATTGGGGCCTCGACTGGGCGAAGGTCTCCCCGGCGTGTGACAACGTCGGGGTCCTCATAGTCGGCCATCCAGTCCACGGGAAGAGCCAGCCCCCACACCCTGCGGCGCATTGCCCGCCCATTCTCCGGGTTTTGCAGAGCCCTGTAAAGAGCCTCATCCTTCTCCTTCGCATCGGGATTGGCGTTGACCATGTGGGCTATCATGCCGTTCTTCTCGGCCACGTCGTCGTGCTTCCAAATGCCGTCGGGATCGGCCCCGTGCCCGCCTTGCTGGGCGATGCGCTTGAACTCGATCGACTGCTTGTTCGTCTGCTCGTGCCAGGATTTCCGACGCAACTCTTCCCACCTGTCGAGCAGAGACTCCGGCGCCTTGCCACTGATGACGGCCGACAAGGCTCTTGCCAAGGGTCCGGCACCCAGGATGCCGGTCGTCAAGCCCAGCCCGCCGATGGGATTGTTGAGGTGCGCAGCGTCGCCAACCAATATCACACGGCCTTTCCGGAAACGGGCGGCACAGCGTTGATGCGGACGATACGAGTTTGCCTGCAGAACCGTGTACCCTTCGCCCGGGCCAGGCAAGAAGTTCTTGAACCGCTCCGGCAGCTCCTCCAGGATTTGGTCTTGCGTCATGCCCGGTTTGGACCCGTAGGCGACTCGCCACAGACCGTCGTTATTGATCTTGGCCACGACGGCCCAGTTGACCGAGTCGATGATGAAGTTCCTGTTCGTGAAGCCGTACTTGTCGAACGGATAGTAAACGTTGGTCGCGACGAACTGCTCCTTGGGCCAGGTGAAGCCCTCGAACGCAATGCCGCATTCGGCACGCACCAGACTCCGTCCGCCATCGGCCCCGATGAGCCACGATGCCTCGATTTCCATGACGTTGTCGAGTGCCGCGTCTTGGGCCCCCGCTTTTGCGACGGTGGCACGCACACTCTCGCCAGAGGAGTGCGGGATGCTGGTGATCCTATGCCCAAAGAGAACCGTGGCAGTGGGTTCCTTCCGCAGATGCTGCAGCACGATCTTGGTGAAGTCGGACTGCGAGCAGTTCAAGCCGGTCAAGAATGGCTGGTCGCCTTCGGTGGTCGAGATTGTCGCCAGGTGCTGCTTGTTGTAGCCGTGGCCCGCTTTCCACCACGAGATGACGGCGTTTTTCACGCTGTCCCTGTACACATCCTCGTATACCCCTGCCTCGACCATTTCGGCCAGGGCGCTGGGTTGGAAGGCCATCGACCGGGGAGCCATGTCGACTTCTTCTCTCTCCTCGACAAGCGTGATCTCGATGCCATTCCGAGCGAGGATCAAGGCAGTGAAGACCCCGACAGGACCTCCACCTACTATCAAGGCCTGAGTCTTGCGAGTCTCGGCTGGAGCCATGGTGGAAAGGTAATTAATTCGCAATTTCGTATACGGTTTTTTATTTTTATTTTTTTTTTTTTTTTTTGGCTGCGAAGTCGACGAGTTCAAGGGTCAGGAACGCAAGATCTGCCGCAGAACCAGCCCTCACAGCAATGATGGTTAGCTTCTCTTGGACACGATTAACTATAGCCCTGACCCCTCATCCCCTCCCCTCTGCCCGCCCATTGCTAGCTCCAACTGCCGCCCCAGAATGGCCACGAAATCGCACAGACGGGGTACCAGTGATGATGAAAATGGGCCCCCACCTTAGTCCCTACCTACCCCGCCCTGCCACAAAAAGTAACCTCAAGGTAGTGTAAGTTGGAGGTGGAGGACCCTAACCCTCCCGGTAGTTATATGCAACCAAGACTTATTTTATTTTATTCACAGTGGTAACCTCGCAAACACGACTATCAGCTATTATCCTGTCTGTTTTTTTCTTGAGAATCCTGCCTCAACCGTGCGGGCTACCACGAGGTTCACAATCCTTGAACTTACTTGCCTGATCGTTGAGCTGGACATGACGAAGTCGGCTGGCTCCTCGGGGCCCCTTCGTGGCTTCGGGCCAAGTGGTGTACTCGATCCAACAATATACGCGTACCTTGGAGTCCCGGGACTCTTGGCTCTGGGCACCGTCCTTGCCATAGTGAGCCTTACTTTCTACCACCTTTGGCGTCGGGACCAGCGCCTACGACACCTTCCGCCGAAAGTCCCCGGATTTCCCATCATCAACCAGACGCTCTACCACATGCAAGACGACCTGGCTACCAATGCGATCAAGTGGACACGCGAATATGGCGAGATTTACCGCACGCGGACGGGCATGACCGATTGGATCTGGCTCAACTCGGGAGAGGCCGTCAAGGAAATCATCGATCGCAAGAGCTCCATCTATTCCAGCCGGCTGATCAGCCCGATGGGATTCGAGGCAGCCAGCGGCGGCCGGAGGGTGGTATTTATGCCACGCGGCAAAAAGTGGCGCACCATCCGAGGCATCATCCATAAGCTGCTGACACCCAAAGCTGCCAAGTCCTATGCCCCCATTCAGACTTTCGAAGCAAAGCAACTTTCCGTTGATCTTCTGAATTCTCCTCAAGGTAGGTGGAACTGCTTTTGTTGGTGAAAAACTCAGAGCTTTTTATATTATTCTATTTTATGTCACCCTCCTCATGCTAAATGCTATTACTCGCAGACTTCTACATGCACAATCGACGATACACGGCAAGCTTGATCTTACAAATAACATACGGTCGCCGACTGCCCAAATGTAAGCAAACAAGAAAAGAAAAAGAATAAGCAAAGTAGCACATGCATAACTAACAGCTGATCAAAGTTGAATGCGAAGAAATGCACAAGATCTTCGAAGTGCTTATCCGGTTTGGTCAGATCAGGAGGCCAGGTCAGTGGCTCGTGGACAGCTTTCCATCGCTCGCGAACTTCCCCCCTTTCGATCTGGTCAGCAACTGGCGCCAGTTCGGGAAAGAATGCCATCTGAAGGATTCGAAAATCTGGATGGACTTGTGGACGCGGATGCGCCAGGAGATCGAGGCCGGCACCGCTCCGCACAGCTTCGGCAAGGGCTTCGTGCACAGCGACTGGGCCGAGAAGGGATTGGACGAGCTTCAGGCCGCCTACGTGTTGGGCACCATGATCGAGGCTGGTTCCGAGACCACCAGCGTGCAGCTGAACAACACCTTAGTAGGGATCCTGTCCAGGGGCCGGGAAGTGGTGAAGGCGGCGCAGGCAGAGCTCGATAGAGTTGTCGGAAGCGACCGCACACCCACGTTTGAGGACGAGGAGAACCTCCCCTACATCCGAGCAATGGTCAAGGAGGTCAACCGATGGAGGTTCGTGAACAAGTTCGGTACCAATCACTACGCGACCGAAGAGGGTTGGTACAAGGGCTATTTCATCCCCAAGGGCAGCGTCGTCATGATCAACATCTGGGGCTTGCACTATGACCCCAAACGATTCCCGGACCCAGAGAAGGTTTGTCAATGTTTCTTCTTCAACTTCAACTAAACTGCTACTTTGGGAACGGAAAGGGCTGACTACGGATTTTTCAGTACGAGCCGATGAGATATTACAACCACAAGTTGTCAGCGGCCGAGTCGGTAGCCGCGGGCGACCCAGACCTACGCGACCACTGGACCTATGGAGGCGGGCGCAGGATATGCCCCGGCATGCACGTTGCGGAGCGTAGTCTCTTCCTCAACATTGCACGGCTCATGTGGGGGTTCGATGTGAGGCATGCTAAGGATGCGAACGGCGTCGACATCCCCGTGGATTCGACTTTCACCGGCATGGTTCCGGGAGCCACCGCGGCTCCGATACCCTTCAAGTGCGGTGAGTTCTTGCGAGATATTCACGGCCTCTCTATATTGGTGGATTACTGATATGGCCCGTCTTAGACATACGAGTCCGGAGCCCCAAACACGAGAGGATATTGCGTCAGGAGTGGATGGATGCGCAGGCGGAAGGCTTGAAGCTCGAGGAAATCAACTTCGGGGACGGGGTGGTAGAGGAGGATATCAAGGCTTAACAACATGTCTAGATATATTCAGGGTAGGTGAGTGGGGACATGGTTATCTTCGTTGTCGAAACCGTTGGTGGAATTTGGTTGCTTTTGCCAGCAGAGTTTAACGTCTTGCAAAGTATCTTGTCACAATTATGCGCGCTCTTTAATGTCTATCACAGGCGACCTTTATTACATGAGGAGGGATAGAACCTCGACATCACTACCTAGGCTACTAAATAGCATGTACAAATCAATCACCACCACTAACTTGCTTCCAACTGCGCAGATGCTGCAATCCAGGCGGAGCCCGCGAGCTATATTGGACAGGGTTAAGGAATCAGGATTTACGGCATGTTTGCTGCTGGTAGGTTTCCCCCTTTTGTCCCACTTCTTTGGGCTCGCAACTGTAAACGCCTTGTTCGCCGCGGTATGCCAACCTAGCCTCCCAAGAAGGGCCTCCTCCGCCTCTTGGCATCGGAGGACTCCTGCACCCGGACGTCCAATGCTGGCAGGGCACCGGCAGGTTCCAGTCTGCGATCGATATCTCGGAACGGGACCTTGGATGGGTTTTGGTCCTGACAATGGGCAATAGATAAGATGGCCGAGGAGGTGTTTCCTGGCTTCCGCTCGCTCGATGTCATCTTGGTCTTTTCTAGAGGTAGCACCAAGCGATCCTTCGGTGAGCCAGCAAGAGAATGGAAGGAGGCGGGCTCGACGATGTCGATTTCTAGTTGCCTAATTGGCTTCTCCTCCCACTCGTACTCGCCCTTGTCATCGGTGAAGCCCCGGAGGATCACGCCGCCAGGGCCGATTTCAAGGTAGCGACTTGCGTCTCCGGCGTCATCCGAGTGATGGTCAGCTATGAGTTGCATTGCATCACCACCACGGACACTTAAGAACAATTGAATTATCGATTCCTGTAGTTTGTGAAATAATCGGTCAGCCTCAGCCAGGATGGTTAAGCAAGATGGAGTCAGTCATTACTCACGCGCGTGATCTCGTAGTCATTTAGTGTCCGTTCTGATTTTGCAAATGCGTGGTGGTGAGTCTCGAGTGCCTTGCCCCTAAATATAAACCGCTGAGAATCCGGTGGTATGCCCTCTTTCTGGTGAACCATCCGTTGCAGCTCCAAAATCGTGGTTTCTGGATACACATCAAATGTGATGCACCTGCCGCTCAAGTTCTTCACAAATATCTGCATGGTATTTTCCTCTGTCCCACCGATCGTCTGTCCTCGTCGGAGCCACGGTGGACTGTCGGCTTTCTCGGCCTTGATATAACCGGTCCAGATCTTGATCTTGACTGCGGGTGGCACCCCTTCAATCCTAAGCTGTGCAGTGGCATGTCTAGCGCAGTCTCAGCGGCGTATCTCCCTGATGGAAAACATGAAAGAACCCAAGTGCTTACCCGGCATGCGACGACAGCCCCCTTTCCTTTACAGGGAATATCACCGGCATCCTGACCTTTGCGCTTGGCTTGGTCGCAGCTTGCGTGGCATTCCTTTCCATGATTCAAAAGGCCGATACCGAGATCAAGAGTTGCATTCAGATCGTCGACGAAACTAAAGACCATATCTCAAAATTGACAGACCACATTGGCCGCCAAAGATCTGCGACAAGACAATGATCTAACAGATATGTACCAACTCTTGGTGGGGTTCTCTCGAGCGCTTCTAAAATGCTCGACGCGAAGTGGGAACCCATCTTGAAAAATTTGGGATACCGACTTCGCTGTGGACTCGCATCAAGTGGTGGTACATGGATAAAGAGACGGCCGCCGAGATGGCGAAACTCGAGAGCTACAACCGGCGCATCACCGCGGTTCAGCTGACGTTTCTCTTGCGGTAAGCACACATCCCCAAGTCTGCCATAAACGGTGGATTCAGAGAATATTTAAACAAGTTGAGTATAGGAAGTCAGACAGCCAAAGCCGTGAAATTCTGAAAGAGGTTCTACGACATGCTTAGCATGGCTTGGAAGACATTCCATCTCGAGTTAGTACAGGATTTGGTCTTGCGCAGCGAGGACTTCCCTTGCGTACGTCCCAAGATCAAGCCATATCTTTGACGCTTTGTCGGCCGATGGATTGCTTTTCAGCTCGCCCGGAACGAGGATTTGCGACCAGTTTGCGCTCCCCTGTGGAACCTTGGATTGGCTTGTTGGGTTGTGCCACTGGCCTTCGGCTGTAACGTTAAATACGCGACACTATGCTACTACGACTTTCTAAAGAGGCCAATCTCCGCTTGACAAGTCACCTGGAAGGCACCCTGCCATCGTCTCCGGCTTCACCAAAAGAACTTCACAAACGAATTGGGGTTGGAACACCTTGGGGGTGGTGGAATTTTATTTATGTACAGATCTATCTACTCCTCGAATCTAAACAGATTCGACGAGCTGCCGCCATCGTTCGGCAGGCCGCCCAAGAACCGGACCTCGAGGGTGTGCAGGTTGCCGCTCAGGATCTCCTGCTCAGCGCCCTCGCGCATAAAGGCCTCCATGTCGTGCTCGCAGTCCAGGTATCTCCCCCTCATACTGTTCCCGACGCGCCCGGTCGCGAGGAACACGCACACGGCACCGGCGAGATCGACGGCCGTGTTGAAGTTCTCCACCCACTTGGGACGGTTGGCCGCGAATTCGGGATATGCAGCCGCGACGGCCGGATCCATCGTGCCTGCGAAACGGGATTAGGAACGAGGCCGCGTCCTTGTTGCCGCGGGTGTTATCCCGGGAGGGGGGAGGCGGGTGGATGGGTTGAGGACTTACGCTCCGAGAGATCGGTCCTGACTGCACCGGGATGCAGGGCATATAGTTGGATTTTATCACCGAGGCCATCGGTATCCAGGTCCTTCTGGACGGACTCGGTGAACTTGATCACAGCGGCCTTGGACGCGCCATAGCTTGCCAGGTAAGGCACAGTGACGGTGCCCGCCCGGGACGCCATGTTGATGATGCACCCACGCCCGCGGGCTTTCATCCCCGGCAGCACCTTCATCGTCGTGAGTATGACCTGGGATGGGGCGTCAGCTCAGCGCGCTCCCCCGAACCAAGGAGGACCACAGGCCAAGGAACTCTAGTTATTTACCCCTCCGAGGTTGATCTCAATGTCCCTCCAGATCGTGGAGAAGGTCTCTAGTAGGATGGGCTTCGCATTGCACACGCCGGCCACGTTGATGAGGATGTCGATCCCCCCAACTTCAGCGAGAACATGGTCGAAGACGGTATCCACCTGTTCCTGCTTGCTCACATCGCACGCGTACGGCAGTGCTCTGGCACCTTGGGCTTTGCAGAGGCCGACTGTCTCCGCGAGGTTGGCGAGCTGGAGATCGAGAAGGACGAGTGTCGCGGCGCCCGCCATGGCAAAGTGCAGAGCGGTCTTCTGGCCGATGCCGCGGGCAGCCCCTAACAAAACAGTGCGCTCGGTTAGAGTCCTAATTATTATTTTACTGCTGGGGGTTGTGCAATCGGAGGCTGCCAAGGTTTCTTACCCGTTATTAGGACCACTTTGCCCTCATGGGCGTTTTTGAAGTTGGCCGCATCGACGTATGGATAGATGCGGTCGTATATCTTGGGTGCTAATGAGACCATGATTGCAGTGGGTACTTTTCATGCAAGGGGTTGCTCGATTAGAGATGTTGTCTTGTGTTCTTCCTTCTCTGCGCCGGTCTGACAGAGCAAGTCTTGAAGAGGGTTGCCGATGCTTTTGCCTGTTGCTGTCACTGTCAATCCGCGCTCGCATTGGCCCCCTCAGGTTTGTTCTGTGCTCCAGTGAGCTATCGCGACCCCGCAACACCGCTCGGCGGGGTATGTGGGGGTGGGCGGGGGAATTATCCACACTAATCCGGACAGCTTCAAGGGGATTGTGCTTGTATTTTGAGCTACGCTAACTGCCGAGTAGCCCATCCCAACGCTATGAACACAACAACTCGTAATTAGATAGGGACCTCTGAAGAACTGAGCAGCTCGTGACATCTTGCTCCAGAACGGCCCCCCACGGATTTCCCTCTTCTAGAGAATGGTGCAAGCTCCTCCCCAAGATGACGAGACGCTCCGTCTTGCAACGTTCCTGTCGCAGCTGGCATATGAAGATCTGCCCCCAGAAGTGATCGAGCAGGCCAAGCGATCCATCTTGAACATCCTAGGATGTGCCCTGGGATCCGCGAACGCGTCACCCGCCCGCAAGGCCGCCGCCGCGCTTCTCCCGGCGGGGGTTCCGGACGGGACCGGAGGCGCGTCCGGGGCCACCGCCACGATATGGGGTCGCGCCGAGCGCGGCAGCCTGGACGATGCGGCGCTCCTCAACGGCATTGCCGCCACGACCGCCGATTACGACGACACCCATCTGCCGACCGTCATCCATCCGTCCTGCACGCCCATCGCGGCCATCCTCCCGTTTGCGGAAACACACCACCTGTCGGGAAAGGAAGTGATCCTAGCCGTCGTCGCGGCCGTCGAAGCACAGTGTGCAGTCGGGCTGGCAGTCTCCCCGTCCAGCTATAAGAAAGGATGGTAATGATTTAAAGCCCGACCCAGGCCCCGGTCACAGTCCAGCCATCAAAACTTGGTGGGCGGCCTTGGCTAACACGTCACCTCATTGGACAGGCACATCACAGGCTTGACCGGCTCCTTCAGCGGCGCGGCCGGGGTCGCCAAGCTATTACGGCTCCCGCCCGGCCAGTTCGCGGCGGCTCTGGGGCACGCGTCCTCGATGGCGTCGGGCACGCGTGCAATGTTCGGGACAGACACGAAGACTCTGCACGCGGGCCTGCATGCTCGGAACGGCATCACGGCGGCGAAGCTGGCGAGCGCGGGGTTTGCCAGCTGCGTCGGCCCCATCGAGGCTTGGGCGAGGCTGGTTTCGACAAGCTTCGATGTGACGCAGATCGCTGCGCTGGCCCGTGGCGGGCCGTGGCAGATACTCCAGATTGCATTCAAACCGTACCCGTGCGGAATCGTGATCCACCCGCTGATCGATGCCTGCCTCGAGATGCGTGCCTCCTTTTCCCGCGCCGACGCAGCAGTGTCGACTGGCCCGACAGGCATAGACGACATCGCCGAGATCGAGGTCGTTGCCAATCCTCAGCTGGTCCGGCTCTGCAACGTGCGACACCCCCGCACCGGCCTCGAGACCATTTTCTCGCTCTATCACGGCTGCGCCGTCGCCCTCGTGCATGGCCGCGCGGGTCCTGCCGAGTTCTCCGATTCCGTGGCCGCTCACGACGCCCGGGTCCGCGCTGTGAGGGACTGTGTCACCGTGCGTACGGACGAGATGATGAGGGATGATGAGGCAATCCTCCATTTCAAATCACTCCCTTCGGCAGATGGCGTCGTTCGGGAGACAACCGTACGTGTGGAACACGCCCTCGGATCGGTGGAAAATCCCCTAAGCAAGGAATTCCTAGAGGAGAAATTCTCGAGTCAGGCAGAGTCCTCGTTGGGCAGGGAGAAGGCAAATGCCATCATCAAGGCATGTTGGGAGCTTGATTTGATGGATGACGTGGCCGACTTTGTGAAGCTGCTGGGGACGACCGTAGTATAATTAGTTAAACATGCTTCGTCTTTACCCCCATTCCTCCAAGTCCCATCAATATGCTTCCTTCCCATAATTAGGTGCAGGTGTCACGGTCCCAGTGATCTATCTATAAGTTGACGCATTGCCCCCCCAATTAATCTCGCGTCCGCGCTCTCTGGTCCAGTGCCGCTATCATCCTGGTTTCGTGAAGCCGCAGCTGCTCTGCTCTCCTATGAGCCACTTGCGTTGGGAGAGTCAGTAGTTAGCCAAGACTCGTGTCGTGGTTATACAAGCATCTTGAAAAGGGGGGTGATGTAAACCTACAAGACCACACCCAGCCGTAATTCATCATGGATTGAAGGCCGGTGAGCGACGCAATCGCAGGGTACTGTTTAACCTCCAGCCCATGGAACATCTGCTCGTCCATCTCTTCTATGATATCTTGGATGATACCACGTAACAACAGCGCGTTTGGATCCGACCGTCCCTGCTTCGAGGCTGCGAATTCCCAGCAGGAGACGAGGAGCGCTGCTTAGGTCAGCTTCCAAGCTCTTGTGAGATGATGCGGACACTTACCCCCTTCGAATCCACACAAGACATTGTGGAATCCCATCTCGAGCGGTGCGGTTCGCGCGACATTACGAAACCCCTGTTTGGCGCGGACCAATATGTACCCGGCAGCCAATCGGGCTGCTTGGTTGAGATCACGCCACTGTACCTCACTCTGCGGAGTGAGCAGCTGCTCCCATGCTTCCATCGATATTGCACCGTTGGCCGTCGGGATCCTGTGTCCCCTCGTCAAGTTTCTGTCTGGCGCGGCCTCTGGCGTCAACAGAGGAGCATCACCCGACAGCACCTTGAGCCCAAGCGATGCCTTCATATGCTTCAGCAAGGGAGACGCATAGGTGTGATAACAGGCGGTCAGGAATAACGAGACACAGTCCGCTAGCAAATCCTCCTTCTTGTCGCCCGTTGGGCATTGCGCCGGTCCTTGCGGGTGGTTCTTCCAAGCCGTCTCCCACGATTTCAACGACTTTTCCGCCGACGGGATCCAGGGAGACCGCATATTATACGAGCCCGGCGGTGTCGTGCGTTCGAGGGTCAGAATGTAGACCAGGAGGCCTGCAATAAGAGCAAGCGTTCCAAACGGACTCACCGTCGTGGTGAGGGGGTCGCCTTGTATTAATGTGGCCAGGGAAGAGCCGAAGGTCTCGGGATGCGACTCGGCCTCGTTGGAGGTTGCTGTTAACCAGCCATCCCTTGTCGGTTCGGTCCAGATCTCCTGTGGGCAAGGCAGCAGCACGTGGTGAGTATCTTCGAGGTTGGGGAGATGCACCGCCACTTGTCCGTCGGCGCCAAATACAGCGCAGAGGACCAGCGTCCATAGCTCAGCCCTGGCCATGTCAATAAGAGATAATTACCTAGATGGTGGGAACGAGGTCGCACGGATTCATACCTTCTAAAGGACTCGGCATAGATCCACGAAGTCCATTCGTCGCAATGGCTGCTAGGAATCCCGTTCCGGAAGATCTAATTAGCCATTGGATTAGTATAATACATAGCCCTCTAGAAGTGGAAAGCAATAAGGGCAAGTAACCTACCGATCCAGCCTTCAAGAGATGCACGAGACCAGAATCGACCAGTGTACCATCGTTACTGCACAGATCATATTGAGCCAGCAGCACTCGGCTCTGGACTGCACCTATGACTGCACATGGATCCTGTTCGTGGATATCAAGCAGTGCGCGTTGTCTTTCTGCCTGTGGCCTGTGAACATCGTCAAATTACACGAGGGAGATAACCATGAGGCTGCGCACCTGTTCTAGGCACTCGCTGGCCATTTTATGAAGAGCAGATGCCCTATCTGGTTCACTCGCATAGAGTGCTCCGATGGTGAGAATGGCCAAGGTGAGGGAGGCTTTTGTTTTTTTAATAAAGCGTCAGTCAGCAGGAAATCCCCTTCCAAGATAATCAGGGGGGCAATTCAATCAAGTATTATTACCTGGTGCATCGGCAATCTTAAACGTGGCAAGATGCACGATCGGAGTGTGAGGGTCGAAATACCGGACATAGGCTGTAAAATAACGACTGATCATGTTCTTCGAGAGCGGCAGCTTCGTGCGATCGCCATCTGTCGAAGAGGATAGCGATTTGATGGTCTCCACGCAGGCGCTCGCTTCCGAGTCGGTCACCACAGGGGAGTGCGCAGCAGTATAGGCTTTGTCCGTCGTGGCCATGATATTATGCAGGTATTCTTCATCCTCGGAGAAACCCACTGGTTGGGAAGGCTGCGAGTGTTGGGGGGGTTGGGGTGTAGTAACAAAGAGGCCCGACTGGAGGCCCGAAAAGCCCGGCGGGGAGGGGTGTCTTCTGCCTGGAGTAGATGGCGGCATGTTGGGCGAGAGTATCATTGCTAGCTCGTTGATGTCAAAGAAGCTTGACTCGCCATCCGGGAACCACAATGGGTGTTCGTGCAACAGTGAACGACTGCGATCGTCGGGCTGTTGAGGAGGCTGGAAGCCACCTATCCCCGTAGGGACAGTCGCGCTCTCCAGATGGCTCAATAATCCATATATATTCTCCCCGGGCTGCTCAGAGAATCCGTGGTCCTGTGGCGCGTCCATGTTGCATGGGTCGTCTATTTGTTGACTGATTGCATTAACATGGAGGTCGCCCAATACCGAATCTGCTCTCCCCCGGCTGAGAGCACGGCGAGAACCTTCTGCCAAAAGTCTCTCCACGACGATGGTGTCTGAATGTTCGCCACATGGCAGAGATCCAGGTGCTTCTGTTGAATCCGTGTTCACAGACTGTGGCAAGGAATTCGGGCTGGACATATCCACATCGACCCCCGAGGGGGAGTGGGTTTCCCGATCAGGATGGAACTTCCGAACGTGTCGTAGCAGTGTATCCTTTCTGGAGAATCTGCTGTGACATTGGCGACATTTATACGGTTTGTCTTTACCGTCTGAGGAGGGTGGTTGTCCCGTTAATTAGGAATAGGGTTTGCGGGTTGATCCGGGCCTGTGCAGGATCAACTTACGGGATTGCTCATGCCGCCGGAGATGTTCTCCTCGAATGAATGACTGGCCACATATTCGACAGACGTATTTGTTCCTCGAAGCTTGCCGGCGAGCAGGCGGCTGTGTTGGCTCGGGTGGTCCATCTATGTTTTGCCCCAGTGTCGCTCCTTGATCGTCGGTCTGCTCAAAGACGGGACCCTCAAGGCTTACGAGACTTTCATGATCCGAAGTCATGACGTCTCTTTGGGATGGCTACTCTTAGGATGCTGTTCCTATCGGGTCCGGAAGCTCTCGGAGCTCGCTGAGATCTGACAGCTGAAGAGCTTCGGCAAATAATTGTTGATTTTGGAGCGGGGATCGGGCTGCACAGACCCGGCGGTAATTAAAGTGTGGGGAATTGCAGGACCAGGGGCGATAAGGTCACATGCGCCTTGGCAGGTCTCGGTCCCACTCTGATAAGCCAAGGAGCGAAGTGGTAATTCGTACTAAGGAGGGAAAATGCGAGGGTGGTCTAGCGAGTATGTACTGCATGTTTGGCACATACACATGTTCAATCCATTCTGAGATCCTGTCCAATTGATTGAACTGTTCTGTGCAAATTCGCGGCTGCTAGAAGCATTGCATGCAATCTGCCCGCATAACCTGGATTTCCCCGCTTAAAGTGGGTCTTCTGGATACCCGCTGCGATCTGAGCCTTTGGGTTATTGGGTTTCAATTGTTAGCATGATAGGGGTAAAACACAACTTGGAAAGGAGTGGCAGTATAGTCCCACCAGGTACTCGTGCTAACATTGAAACCCCGGCGAGGTGTAGTATGGGTAAGTTTTACTACGGAGCCCTGTATTGCGGCTAGTGTGTCTTAGTTTAAACCAATCAACTTCCGAGTATAGGATTTTATAGCATTCCATTGGGTGCAATCACTGCCTCACAGCAGTCTGGCACCGACGCTAACAATTCCTTCAGCCACAGTAGCATATCGTAAGAAGGCATCCAATCCTCCATCCAAATTCCAACCGTTCTCAATTGGATTGAGATCTAGGAAAAGGATGGCCAAAATATAACATAAATACTGCATTCTTGAAAGTCTCTGAAGAAGCTCTTTGCCATCGTCGCGCCAGCATATCTACATCTAGCCATCAATAATAGGTACATTATAAGTCTGGTAGAGGGTGCTTGGTCAATATAACCCCAATCTTCCCAACAGATGCCATAACCTTTGCCTGCTGGCCCAGAAATGCAGCCCCAAATCCCTCCCCCCCCCCCAGTGTCTTTCTTCAATACAAGTCTCATCCCACTCCTCTCCACGTCGTCAGATTACATGTTGCTTCCAGTGATTGATGTTGGCGCCCCTTTCGAGCAGGACTTCCGAGTTGGCCCGGGACCCGCTGCAGTGCAGAGCCGCCCTACCTAATTTGTCTTCAATGTTGAGGAGGCTTGGTCGGACTTCAAGAAGCCAAGCGGTTGCCTGCGAGGCCGGGCTGGGCCGGTCACAGCCAGGTGGAGCGGAGTCCTCGTCATGCTGTCGAAAGGAGGCGGCTTCTGAGGATCTAAGCCCTCTCTGTGAGAGTTGATAGGTTCCAGGATCCGAGTCCCGTCAGGCACGCTGGCAAGAAAGGGACCTGCTTCCAGCAAGGCCGAGACGACGTCGACGTCGTGATAAGCAATGGCTTGTGGGATAGCAGTCATTCCGTTATATGCTGCGTCCGAGAGGGGACCAGGCGCCTGTCGAATGACTACGGCACGTCTTTCCAGAGGCGAGGAGTAGTTAAGTGCACATCCCAGGGGGGACAACGAGGGGGAATGAGTCATCCGGCGCTACATCTAGCAAAGTCTGCAGAATAAATAGGTTGTGATATTTGACTGAGATATGTAATGCGGTCCATGTTCTCCGCTAACCTGATTGTACATCCTCGAAGCTCGTCGTCTGCCAGCATGAACAGCCACTGGAAGAGGGTGCAGCCGCAGTCGTCGGAGGTGTGGACGTTCCCATCGCTCTTAATGAGTGCACCGAGATTGTTCACGTCCCCACGAGGCAAGCACCGATCGTAAGCGACTGATGAGCAGGTTGGTAATCCTTTCTCGATAATGGCTTGATGCATCTGTCGAGGATTGTATACCGGGCTGGAGGACGTAGCCGAAGACCTGTGATACTGTATGGCCAAGTTTCCGAGCAGCTTTGGCATGTTCGACCGCCTGAGTATGGGACAACGACGTGCCGAATCCGAGGTGATAGCAAAGTGCCAGGTGCCATGTTGCATCAGCGTTATCGATAATGCGGGAGTACGAGACCAAGGTCTGTAGGTCTGGGAATATCTGAGCCTCATGCTCCCAGGCTATTCCCTGGCCGGTCTCGAGGCGAAACATCTAGTGCGCCGCGTCAGAATGTCCGCGCTCTCTCAAATCATATTGGAGTTTGACGTAGTTTGTCCATCTTGTGACTGGGACGACGCCCAGCTGACCAGTGAAATCCAAGCTTCTCTACCTCCCATTGTCTCTGCCGCAGCCAAAGCTGAAGCACTGAAGGTGCTCCGGCCCACGTTTGGGGCCGGATACGTCCACTATAAGACCACTCGGGGTTTCCACGGTGTCGGGCCATCTTGGCCTGCGCCATTTGAGAGCCGGTGAAGCTTCTTTGTCAGTAGTTTGCTGGGTTAAACGCCATGGACAAGTTAGCTCACTGCCGGGCGAACATGAAAAAAAGCTTCATGAGGTCCGATTTCGTTGAGTCGGCTCGACAGTAGGGTGAGAGCTAAGAGAGCACGAAGCAAGGAGCCACAAAGCGGGTTTCCTTTCGTCGCCGGTACGGCTTTTTTGGCCATCTGAAGCAGGGCCTCTGGGCTCGAAACGTAGAGAGGCTCGTCATCATTGCCCGTTGGGTCACGCCCGGCAACATGCTGGAAGAGGCGAGAGTTTGGAGAGGAAAAGCACGCGGCCACACTTTTGCAATGACGTAAATGCCCAGCTAAGCCACCGCACGGCCTTACCGGCGTGGCGGCGTGACAAGGTAAGTAGTCTAACCAACAATTGTTAGCTCCGAGTGTTCCTTCGGAAGTAGGTACACGTGTATTTAAAGTTTCTTGCGCAGGGCAAGAAAGAGCCAATGATCTAACCTAAACAACATACAAGCTTCACGGCAATGGACTTGGCGACGCAAGAAACCAACCCTGCCTTGCAGCCAGCACCCAGGAGCCGTGACCCCTCGCTCCCATTACGATCTAGAATGGGGACATCACCTGCATCTCCACTCCCATTCGTCAAGTCGAAAACACCGTTCCGACCCAGAGTGAGCAAACCCAAAGTGCGGACGGGATGTATTGTTTGCAAGTCAGTAAAACCCAAATACACCTTTGACGTTGGACTCTAATTAATTAAGTATTAATGGGCAATTAGGATTCGACGAGTCAAATGTGACGAAGCAAAACCAGCATGCCTAAGGTGTACTTCCACAGGCCGGAAGTGCGAGGGATACGCGCAGTCGATGCCCATCCAGGGGAAAGACACATCGACAACACCAGAAGACAGCAGCGTGGACTCTGACTCCAATCGCAGCTTCACATTAATCCCTGTCCTTTCCGGCGCGAGTGTAGATGCCACCGAGAGGCGGTCTCTCCACTTCTTCTGGTTGGCAACGGAGAATGACATATCTCGGCACTTCGGGGACGACTTCTGGAGGGGGCTAGTTCTGCAGATGGCCCACGCCTACCCTGCGGTTCAATACGCTCTGCATGCGACGAGTGCCCTGTACGAAGCATACATGATGAACAACGACGCGGGCCTTTCGCAGGGAATGCTGGACATACCGACCAGCCGCGCGGCCATGCTCCGACAAAAGGCGGTCAAGCTCCTCTCGGGCCACATGCTAGAGGACAGGCTCCCGCGCCAGGTCGTGCTGACTTGCTGCCTGTTGTTTGTGTGGCTAGAGTTTCTACGTAACGATTTCGACGCGGGTCTGACCCATCTCAAGAGCGGGCTGCGCATCCTGCTAGAAATGGAGCAGGAGCAGAAGCAGCAGCTGCACACCCCAGTGTCTTACTCGGGCTCCGTCCCAACGCTGCAAGACGTCGATGGCACCATCTCGCACATGTTCACGCGCCTGCAGATCCAAGCTGCCATCCACGGCTATCCCACTTCCGACTTCAACTCCACGCCGCTAAGATTTCCTTCCGAGGCCATCATCGAACACATCCCGCAGTCATTTCGGGGCATCGCCGAAGCGCGGCACTGGCTCGACAACATCGTGATACAGGTTTTCCAACTCATCCGGCAGAAGCAACAGTTCGAGGCGAGTCAGGGGCCAGCGGCTACTCTCTCTCCTCACTGGCCACTGCTCATCCGTGCCCGCGATTCACATCTGGTGCGTCTGGAACAGTGGCACAGGGCGTTCCGGAATAGCGAGCACTTGACGCACACGCCCGGGGCAGCCTCGCCGGCGATCCCCCTCCTCGGGCTGAACCACGCGATGGCGGCCATGGTGATGAAGAACCTGTTCTCCGAGTCAGAGTTGACATACGACCGGTATCATGCCGACTTCGAGCGCCTACTCGGACTTTGCGAGGCCAGCCTCCGGCACTCCCGGCGCGAAACCTCCGGCCCAGTCCTCTCGCTCGACGTGGGCGTCCTGCCATGCCTTTTCTACGTCACTCTCAAGTGTCGCGACACGGCGATCCGGCACCGGGCGCTGCACCTGTTGGAGTCGGCACCCGACCGCGAGGGCATGTGGCACCGTAACAGCATCATCGCAGCTGCCACCTGGAAGGTAGCCATGGAAGAGCAGTGGCGGGGTAGGGCTGAGCCGGGGAAGCAGCTGCTGCCTGAGTCGGCAAGGATCTACCGCGAGAAGGTCATAGTTGCAGGGACCCAAAGGGGGCCCGCTAAGGTAAAGGTACGCTTTGGAGGCGGGCCCCCTGGAAGTGCCGATGTTGACTGGGAGGTAAACCGGCTCCTGTCCCGGTTCGGAGATATGATTTGAGTCTTGTCACGAAGCGAAGCGTCCAATACATGCAGGGGGTTGTGTAGATCGCGAATCTCATATGATTATGATCCTTTAAATCAAAACCAAGCAACGTACGCATGCAGAACCAAGTGGTTCCGCAGCATTGGAACCGCGCCAGGAGGTAACCCCGGTAAAATGGTGAGCTGACCATACTACTCTGAGAGTAGGCGAGTACGAGCGACCGAATCAGAGTGCGCGACACGCCGCGCTAAAACTGGACCCACCTCAAAGCCCCCAATTTCATGGGGCGGGTCTGTAGGATTTCGGGATCAGCCACAGCAGAAGGAAGGATTACGAGCCGCCAAATCGGTGGGCGCGCTGGAGTGTAATTAGAACGAGGAGATCAAACTGAACACGCACTTCGAAATCCTTCAATTCCAGAGTCCCGGACTTGTTCTGTATGTAATTATTTGTTTCTTTGCCTATATATAGTGTTCCCCATCTCGCCACCCAGGACTGATGGTGATGTGATCACCTCCGTCCGCATTCTTTGTCACTCTTTGCTCATAATCATCCCCGAACACAATGCTGACTCTCAAGAGCGCCCTTCCTGCGGCAGTATTGCTGTTGCTCTGCCCTCGCAGTTTCGCGAAGTCTACCTGCGCGAAGCCCATCCGCTGGGTCGACTGCTCCGAACATGTCCCTTCGACCCTTGATCTGACGGGTGTCAACCTCAACAACCTCCCTCCCACTCTCCACTGCGGCCAGCTCGATGTCCCCATGGACTATTCCAGACCGCTCTCCCCAAATAACACCATCACGCTTGGGTTGGCCATGTATCGTCCGGCCAAGCCCAAAGGCGTATTGTTTATGTTTGTCAACCCCGTAACCATCCATCCATGTTTATATGCCACTAATACTCCTTTCTGGTTTACAGAAACACCGGAGGCAGCGACCCAGTAGCAGTAGCAGCGTGGCAGTTTGCCCTGGGTCAGACCACCGAGTTCTCAGGCCTCACAGACTACGACTTGATGAGTATGAATCACGCCCTCCCGTTCCCTCGGGGCATGTGCGAAAGGAAGAAAAGCAATTGACGTAGTACTTACCTCCTCTAGTGATGGATGTCCGAGGTACTTACAGCTCAAATCAACTTAATGTCTCCCTTGAAGTATTCGGCGGTTATCCACTTGAATAGTTAGTAACATCGTCACGAAAGCCCCCCTGTCTAGGGATGCCACGCTAACATCGTCTTCACCCTTCCAGTCCCCAAAGCGAGGCAGAGTTTGAAGTCTTTCGACAAGCTTCGGCCGAGGTGTTCCAATCTTGGATCGGTTCCAGCTCCCCACCTGGTATCATTCAGTTCGTCGGGACGAAAGAGGTGGTGCGGGACTACGAAGAAATCCGCAAGGCGCTTGGATATGACAAGGTTCATTTCCTTGGGGAGTCATAGTAAGTGAAATGACGGCGGCAGGGTGTCCCCAAGTTTTGTGATGGATTCTAATCTCAGTTGGTGTTCCACTTCCCTCAGTGGCTCCTTCAGAGCTCAACGATATGCCCTCGCTTTCCCAAAAAGGGTCGGCCACTTTGCCCTCGATGCTGTTGTGCCCTACGGACGCGTGCGTGGACCCAACCCAACCCTGTTTAAATCTCCAACCCGTCACTAAAAGTCTCCGATACCTAGAATCTATACGACGAGGCACAGGACCACGTCAACTCGGTCAACCGGGGAATGCTTCGGGCAGATGCATATTGCCAGGCCGAGCCTTCGTGCCCCTTTCGAGATCAGGGCGCAGGCAGCGTGCTCAAGGTAAATTAATCCCTTTGGTGGTGAATCTTGGAGACTGGGTGGTGTGCTCGCTGACACTGGAGAAACCAAGGTCTTCCAAAAGATCCTGGCGAATCTCAAGCAAGCGGCGGAAGCATGCACAGATCCTACTGACTGCCCGGATCTACTCCCCGTTCCGGCGGTCCAGCAAGCGATGCTTTCGAGCCTCCAGGGCCAACCCGACTTCTCCACGATCATAAAGGCATTGGAAAGTGCGGTGCAGGGAGATTTCAGCGCTTTGCTAGGAGACCAAGGAGCACCTACAGTCGAGGGCGTCGTGGCGCTGCCCCTCGAATGTGGCGATATTCGTAATTACAATCCTCTGACTCAAGAACTTCCGTCGCATTGACCTAATCGTGTTCTAGCCTACAATACATACACCTATTCGGATTTCAAACGAGCACTGGAAGTAGGGTTGACTGTAAGGCGATGTCTCTCCGATGGCTTTCGAGAATGCAAGCTGATCAAATGTGCCAGCGAGACGTGACCGGGATTGGGATGACACCAACTTGGCAGCTCCAGGTAAGAGGCATCGGGCCTATCTCCTTCCAAGTCACCTCACCTGCCCGCCATTTAAGGCACTCTGCATCACAAACTGACCCATATCGCGATAGCTCTACTGTTCTGGGTATCCATTCTCAGTATCTGGCCCACCCAACTTGCCAATCTCGAATAACATGTTGCTGGTAACAGCAGATTTTGACGTCGAGTAGGTTTCAACTCTCTACACAGTCATGGGTCTCTTCCTTTTTGCTCACCATGTACAGCGCCCCGACAGAATGGACCACCTTCGCGTGGGGGAATGCTCGCAACTCTGCACTTGTCGTCCGCCACGGAGACGGTCATGTCTCCTTCCTGCGTAAGGACTCCCCACAACCCCCAACCCCCACCCCCTTGCCCAATCATCGTAGGACGGAGACATGCTCATGATTTTATACTTGCAGACGAAAGTCAGACATCGACATCGATTACCAAGGAATTTCTTCGCACGGGGAGACTCCCAACACCCAGGCATGATACAAACGTATCGGTATATTCACCCGGCATGCACAGGCCTCCTGTTTCGAATCCATACAAAGTCCCCATCCTAGCGCCTCTAGAGTAACAAGCTCTTGGTGTATCAGAGGCTAGGGGGTGCCTATGGGCTTGTACAGAGATCAGGGCTTAGATCAATGCATCCGCGTGCCAAGATTGTACTTTTTTAACTTCATCCTGTGTCCTTCAAACTACTTCGTTTCTGTTAATAGATGGAAGGCATGGGAATTTATTACATCTCTCATTAGACTAGTTCCTATACTACATTTTTACTTCGCTGATCGGTATAGTCTCAGCGTACTAATATAATCTGTGCATCCGAAGGGACCAGTTGGCTCTTCCTCGATACTGTCACCCCCGAGTTCGATATTTTCCTCCAATCTATCGCCTCACCTCCTATCACCTTTTACTGAGTCGCAGGCATGGCGGGTAATTATGATATGCGGGATCGCTCCACCAGGTTATCCTGGATTAACCAATAGAAGCTGCTCAAAGTCGAATTCCCTCAAGCCGGGCACATTTGTGAAAAAGTCGTCCAGCCACAGAGACTCGACAGAATCAGTCCAGGTGGTCTGCTCGGCGTTGTTGGCTCTATTAGAACCATCGCGATCATGTGTCATTGGGGACGAGTGCATGTCGAGTATGGCGCGAAGCTCCTTCGCGTCCTCCTCCTTGCGCCGCTGATGCAGGAGGATAAGCAGGTAGGCCGTGTCATAGGCCTCCTGCATGACGGCGCTGGTCCAGGTATCCCTCACCTGCTTCAGCACCGATAACGCCTCATGCAGTACTTTGAGGGATGCTCGACTGTCCAGGGCAAGCAATAAACAGATGACTTGGAAGGGAATGTTGGCAGCGTGGTGCCAGGGGCAGTACTCGGACACCATCCTCCGGGCTGCTTGCAACCCCCTCTGTACTAGCGACAGGACTTTCTCAATGTGGCAGTGTGCCCTGCTTGGCTTTTGGGCCCGCAGTCGCCGGAACACGCAGAGGACAAGGTTGACGTGAGCCATGACCAGTGGGGGCACCTCGTGCACCTGGTCCAACAGCTGTGCTAGATCCGACTCCAGATCCTCCGCCGACCTCGTCTGGTTGGGGTCGAGCACTTCGGTCAGGGGCATCAGGCCCAGCAGCTGAGATGTGGGGTCGCCGTGCTTCGGAGTTAGCGGCCTAGTGGAGGCATTTGGAAGCGTGATTCTGGCGCGGCCGAGATCGAACGATGCCCAGATGTTCAGATGCTGGGCCATCCCCCACAGGCGGCGCCGGACGTCCACATTGACGGCTTCTGGCGATTCATCGAATACCGTCTGGGATGGCACCTCCTGGTGGACTCGAGCCGCTTCGGCGACATGCATTAGGGAACAGCTCGCTAGCCATGTTGCGTGTGGCGTTGCAGCCATCCGCAGATAGGCCACCCGTAGGACCCATCCGGCAACCGTGTCGATCGAGGGTGGCGAGGAAAGGGATTCCTGCTCTAGCAGGGCCCTGGCCGACTCGACGAGGTCGGGCTCTATGGCCGGAGGCGATGGCTGTGAGAAGTGGAGGCCAAGAGCTGCCACGCCGCAGAGGACTTGATCGTAAGGATCGACTGCCCCCCTATCGGTGGCCCATCTCTGGTCGAGCCGCTCCAGGAATGTGTTGCGGTCGATGAAGCCATAAACGACGGCCACCTTTTCAAAGTATGTCTGTGACAAGCTTGTCATCTCAGCATGCGACAATATGCTGGTGATGGGCCGCGGGTTTCTCGTCACGTATCCATCGCCAAGCCGCTGACCGGTATTCCACGCGAACAGACTGAGCCGTGGCGCATTGTTTGGGTCGATGTTCAAGCCTAGCTTTCGGGCAAATGCTGCGCCCGAGTTCGCTTCGAGAGATTGGACATGAGCGCGAGCTTCCTCTGGGAGAGCAATGTGACCACCAGCTGACCCCTGGCCCCTCGTCCCGTGGGATTTCCGGGTTTCGCTGCCATCGAGAGGAGAAATTGGCGGGGCAGAGTCTGGAGACAGTCCTTGACGAGCGACCATACTGGGCCTACCGTTGCCTGCCCTCGCTGAAGCCGCGTAGTGGCAGTCATACTCGAACTCGGTGCAAGTGCCGCACGGATCCTGGCCGTTGCATCTTCGCTTGCGCTCCCGACAAGGAACGCAGGCCACTCTCGCGCGGCGCCGCTTCCTTGGAGCTTCTCCTACTTGTGGAACCATACGTTCCTCGCCCATCAGCTTTGATGGGTTGGCTCTGGGTTTATCCGATCGTCCCGAGGGAGTCCAATATGTTGGGTGACTCAGATGGGATGGGATCGAAGTTTCGGATGTTGCGGGAATTGCGGATCTGTGGTCGCTGATTTTGGTTTCGAAGGGGCTGACTAACCAAACAACCAGCTCCATAAAACCTCCCTTAATGACTGATGCCCTGGCATTTGGGCAGGATTGCACATGATAGACCTAGTGGCATGGGATATGATTATTTACAGACGAGACTGGAAAAATATGGGCGTTGAAAAGATTCACTTGGTTTGTAACGAGCCCTGGCAGGCGAGAGAAAATTCAGCGAATGCGTCATCTGGGGATATTGCGGGTATTGCGGGAAGAGCCCCTGGAGAGATCCATATGTCTATATATATATATATCCAACTTCTTTCCCGGGTGATAGCTGTACTGGCGAGCAAGTCGAAGGAAAAAGGAAAAATATCGTTTGGTTCGTCGCCAGCAGCCTCTTCCAAACTCATTCAAGACTCCAGACCTCAGTCATGGGTCCCGAAGTACAACAAACCGCCGAGGAACATGACTCCACCACCTCTCGGGATGACGAAAAACAACTTCCTGCACCTCCAGACGGTGGCTCCCGGGCTTGGCTCCACGTATTCTTCTGTCACATGGTCTTCTTCAACACCTGGGGCGTTACCAACAGCTACGGCGTTTTCCAGCAGTACTACACGCAGACCCTCGACAGCGCGCCCAGCAGCATAGCGTGGATCGGAGGGATCCAGATGTTCCTCCTGTTCTTCGGCGGCGTTTTCTCCGGGCGTGCCACCGACGCCGGGTACTTCCGCCACTGTTTCTTCGCCGGTGTCGGACTGCAGGTTCTCGGCATGATGCTGGCCTCCCTCGCCTCGCGCTACTACCAGATTTTGCTCAGCCAAGGCGTTTGCGTCGGGTTGGGCAACGGCTTGGTCTTCACGCCGGCCCTCTCGGTCACGAGCTCGTACTTCAAGAGACGTCGTGCCCTCGCCGTGGGAATATCCGCCGCTGGTGCCGCGACTGGCGGCATGGTGTACCCGGCGACAGTCAACTCTCTCCTCCTTCGTTCGGAGCACCTTGGCTACCCCTGGACGATGCGCATCTTTGGGTTCATAATGCTGGCCACGTACATCCCGCCGATGGTTGGATATCGTCCGTACCTGCCCCCGCGCTCGACGGGACCGCTCGTTGATCGGTTTGCGTTCCGCGAGAAGCCCTTTGTGTTCTTCACAGCCGGCATGTTCTTCGCCTTCTGGGGCCTGTACATGTCGTTCTTTTACCTGGGCATTTTTGCGAGGGAGACGCTCCACATCGGGGACTCATTGAACCTGCTCATCATCCTCAATGGAGTCGGGGTTGTTGGGCGCATACTTCCAGGGTTGATTGGTGAGCGATTCACGGGGATTACAAACATGACGATTCTTTTCGCCATCATATGCAGCCTGTGCATGTATTGCTGGTCCGCAATACATAGTGCCCCGGGCCTCTACGTCTGGGTCGTCGTGAATGGGTTGTTCGCCGGCGGTATGCAAGCTCTCCTTCCCACGCTAGCGACACGCCAGGCTCCCGAGCCGGATAAGGTTGGCACCTGGACGGGGATGGTGCTCACAACGGTCAGCTTTGCCTGCTTGACATCGGCACCGATCCAAGGCGCGCTGATACAGGCTGATGGTGGAAGCTACTTGGGGGCTCAAATGTTTTCGGCTTCGTCAATTATGTTGGCTGCTGTCTGTTTGACTCTGAGTCGGTGGAGTCGAGTAGGTTCGGTGTTATGGGTCAAGGTTTGACAAAGTCAAAATAATCTGTGCCTGTGGTGTGGACAGTGAGTGAGTAATTATATTTACATGTCATTTTCCTAGAAACTTCCTCGCCAGCCGAGCAATGGCAGCCAGCTTGCCCATCTTGTCCCCGTACTTTATTTCCTCATTCACGGAATCCTCAAAGGTGTTCCATACCCAGATGTATGTTGATTTTGACTGGCCCATGTTAAGAAACGCGCTTCTCATACCTGCCGGACTGACGTTCAAGTCATTCGACGTGATGGACAAGTGCTCGGCCATGCTGGCAAGAGCTCTCTGATTCTCTATGGTCCAGTAGTGACCGAGCCGGATGCACTCCAGCACAAGCGTGGCCAGGCCAGTGGCCAGCGCCGTGGCCACGGAAGAACCCGTCTGCGCATCCCCCAGCTGCTTGTTAGGTGCCTGATCGTTGGGGAACATTTGGTGGCCGGGGAACGAGAAATTCACGCGGTGCGGGTCGCCCACCATGTCGAGTGTGGTCCCGGTCGCCTTTGCCGCGCCGATACGAAATATGTCGGCCATGTTGGAGGCATACGGATACGTAATGTCTCCAATGTCGCCCTGATCGCTTGCCGCGCAGAACATGATGATTCCGGCATTGGTGGCCTTCCGGATGGCGTTGTCAAAGTCGACTTTCTCGGTGCCCTCTGGCACCTTTAGTGTCCAAGCCATACAGATGATCTTGACCCTTTGGTCAATGGCATGCTCAATTGCCTATATGGTTCGAAAGAGAGTTAGAAATGTGTTTCTGTGGACGGATCGGTGCGTTACTGTAATTACTTCAATGGCACTCCTCGTGTCAATAGGCAGAGACGATGACCCATTTTGAGGCATCAGAGTCCGAAGCTTGATGACGTAGATCTCGGCCGTGCGACAGATCTTGCGGATGAATTGAGCCATCGATGTGCCGTGTCCACTGGTCGAGATCCAGTAAGGGGAGTTCCTCTGGCCATTCTCGTAAAAGTCGAAGCTCTTGCCCCTGAACAGTTTGCCACCAAACGAGGCGCTCGTGGTTGTAACGCCATCGTCGATCAGAGCGATTTTGGTCGGTTTCAGGGCAGGGCGTTGCCGGGTCAGTTCATCGCCTGGCCGCGGCACCTGTAGGAACAAGTTGAAGAATTCGGCCATGCATTGGATCCATCGGTGCTGATCCACTTGGCTTTCCTGCCTCGATGCGCCAGCGGAAGCCTCGGCATGCTGGCTCGGGGTTTCTCGAGGACCGCCGCTAGGACGCAAGAAGTCGACTCGCGGTTTCTGCTGACCGTCGTCGGTGGGCCAGAAGTGAAGCAGTCGTCTTCTGAACAGTTCCAAGTTCGTGTTGGTCCGGCTATGCGACTCGAGGCCATCCTACACGAACAAGGGGGCCGGGGGGGGGGGTTAGCAAATGCAACAACCGGGCGGGCAGCAAGGATAATTAAGACGTGATAATAATTACCTCGAGAACCACGACGAAAAGTGTCTCCAGCTTGGGCAACTGCGGTAGGCCTTCTTTTTCGCTCCAAGCTCGCAGGGTCGCGTTATTCCCGCTCCACTGGAGATAGAGCTCGCGCACATGTCCACCGATTCTGCAGATCGAGGACGGACAGAGATCAGGCCGGCGCCAGTCCAGAATCTCAACCTTCATGTCGTGGAGCGCAGCTTCTATCTCTTCGTCGCTGTGGCACGCCGGGCCCATGTCATCCACAATGACTCTGATGACGCGCTGAACTCCCATGCTTCGCAACCAATCGAATATGCGCCTAACATCGTTTCGGCCACGGCCGGGGCGTGGCGCTCCGTCTTTCCCCAGGCTGAACTCCATCTGGGGAAGCGCGACATACTGCAACGTCGAGTCGAACTCGAGCGTCGCCCAGTGTTGCTGGAACTCTTCAATGGTCATCTTCGTTGTAGGTTTGGGTACGAAGTCAAACCACAAGACCTTGGTTGACGCAGTTCCTAATTAATTAGGTCGTCGGGTGGACCTTCTGATTAGCCTTTATTTCAGAGAGAGTCGGGGATGGGTTTTGTTTGGCAAGGAAGAAGAAGGAGTGAGTGAGTGCAACGGGAAACGAACTGCCTACCGCTGTCGTCGTTGACGGAGAGGCACCGAACGGCATGGTCGGGACTCATCATCCTCAAGCAGAGCAACTTTAATTCCTCCCTAATCTTGTCCGCGACATCCGCCGAGATTTGCCCCTTCTGGGGCTTATCGTTGTTGCTTCCGGCCATGTCTTCGTTTGGGAAGTCTGGTATTCTGGCCATGGCCTGCAGGAAGCTGTTTGCGGGCAGGATATCCGTGTCTGGATGTAGCCGAGGTCTCATTACTGGCGTCATGGTCGGCTTCGCGGATCCTGGAGGGATCGGCCCAATGCCCCCGGCCTTTGGGTTGTGCCGGTCTCTTGCCTTATTAGCATCAGGCATTGGTACAGCAGGCTTCTGTGCATCGAGCCTTTCAGCTACCGACGGTGGCTTCATCGGCGATCTCGGGACTGTCAAAATTGTCAGATCGGGCTTGCTCGGGGCAGGGAGTCGAGCTTTCGCCCTCGACTGGTCGAACGCGGCAATTTTGCGCGTGTACTCGTGATACTGGTAGACCGAATCAGCCCGGTCGGGGGGATAAGTCGTCTTGATCTCCAGCGCAGACGGGCCCCGCGCCAGGAGGTGCTGCACAACCTCAAGCTGTCCCTCGGTGCATCTTCTGTAGTCGACCGCTAGGTGAAGGGGCGTGCGTCCGTTGGAGTCTTGGACGCAGAACATGTCCTCCGGCACCATCTCGATGATCTTCTTGAGGAGGTTGGGGCTGAAGTTATGCTGGTTCCTCATGGCTGTGTGTAGGACCGTTGTGACGCGGGTGTCGACGTTGAGCAGGACTTCGAGCTCGTACTTCAAGGCAGCCCGGACTCGGTCGGTTGTGACAGGACCGACGCTTTTGAATATGCCGTCAAGAAACACCGTGTTTCCTTCGGCGAGGGCGGCATGCGTTGGCGACCTGTTGTGGTTGTCTAGCGCCGCCATCTGGCTGTGACATGTGCCTTTGCTGACGAAAGATGCGACAAGCCACTTCACCGGGAGCTTCGGGCTCGAGTCGTAGGCGAGAACGTGGAGAAACGTCTTGCCGTCGTTGGTCCTCCGCAGGCGCAGGGTTTCCAAATGGCGATCCATGAGCTCTGGGATCTGACTATGCCGCTGGTCTTTGGTCATCTTCTTCACCTCCTCGCGGACCCCCTCAAAGACCTTCCGAGCCTCGTCGATTCCCCCAATCTCCACGGTCGATTCCTCATCCGTATCCGACACGATGATATCTTCATCGTCCAAATTCCTGTCATTCATTGTGAACGATGGTGGTGACGGACTAAGACGCAGCCGTTCGGCATGTAATTAGTCTGTCGGCTTTTGTAATATTATCTATTTATTTAATCGCCGTCTCAGCTCTCAACTTGGAGGGTGAGGGGGCTGGGCTGGGCGAGTTTCGGCAGCAGCCCGGTGAGAAGCCCGACCGCTTGTTACTTTCTGCGACTTCCAATCGTCCCGCCTTACGGACCCGTATAGCCTCACGGTTCCAGCTCCCATGCCCGCATTTGTTAGATGCTTAATTAGAGGATAATTACTCCACACGCACATATGGCGTATCGCAGCTACAGTTCCTTCGACGACAATGGTCTCGACAACCAACCGGGAGCCGGACAGGCGCTTGCCTCATTCGCTGTGCCCCTGTACATAACTGGCGACGACGAAAACACGTTCCGTGTCAAAAACAAGTCTTTGGCCGACTGGCAGCGGCGCTTGGTCATCGATCGGGTCGAAAAGGCGCTTGATATCCAGTGTCTGCTCGAGGATGTGGTGCACGGATCGTTCACCGAGGATGGCAAGTTGATGCCCGCCACCCTGATGGTATTCAAGTTTCGGGTCGATCCCAAGAAGCATTCGCGTCGCATCATCCGCGCCCTGATCAACATTGAGTTCATCGCGATGGATGCGGGCGACGAGCCGCCGTCGGTCCATGCGATCGCTCCGGACGAGAGATGGTCAGTCGTCCCGACGACCGACCACGAAGAGATCACCAAGGGCGGTAGGCTGACCTTGGGCCTCTCGTCGTTGATTCCGATCAATCTGGGAGGGGAGGCGATGCTGGAGAAGACAACGAGTCGGGACATTAGCGACGCCACAACCGTCACTGGGTCGATTCATCACGGCGAAGGGATCGACTCTGGAGACCCTACTGCCTGTGCCTGGGCCCTCCTCGAGAACAAGACCCGCAAGACCGGAGTCCCGGATAGCCTGAAAGTGGCGATTGTCTTGAAGAGAAAGGACGAGAAACCGTTCAAGGCCGCGGTCAATGTCGAGGCTCGCGCTGACCTGTTCACTCGACTGGAGTGGATGTTCAGCAAGGTTCCGTTGGATGATCCAGTGCTCTTCAATCCGGATCTGGAGCCAGCGGGGAGGGAGAGGCCGTTCGCGAGGGATGCACTTGGTACCAACTTTGACTGCGTGGCCGATGTGACATTCAGAACGGTGGTCAAGGATGCCGTCAAAGGGAAATGAGCCGTTGAAGACTGCTGGTTGGATTTGGCATGGCGGGACGGACGGACGGACGGACGGGAAGGGCCGATCCTTTATTTCACGGTGTACCTACTGTAATTATTAGTTTCCGACGCTACACTAAGCCTAGGTAGTCTGTCAAGCAGATAATAGTGGCGCAGCCCCGGCTTGTCAGGCTGAAAATCCTCTGCAACGTAACCAGTACATGCTCGGTACGAACTCCATGTCGCATTAGTGATTGGATGTCCACAATTTTCATGTCGGCGGCTCAACTCCCTTCCGTCACTTGGTCCCCTCGAAAATGTACCTAATTAGCAGGTCATCGAGTCCAGCCTCTCCAGTCTCAAATCGCGTCCCAAAGCACGCGCTTATTCCCAGACAACGCGAGAAGGGTGCGCGCTCCAGAGTGCAGAGTGCGTAGCTAGCGGCCATGCCTGCCGACAACGCTTCCACCGACCCGGTGCCTCAAACCGGATGACTGTATGTGCAGGAGGCAGGCCCAACGACCAAAAGCTTGATGTGGGATATCTCTCATCTTTCAACGGGCTTGCCGTGTTGAACTCTCCCAATGATGATGCTTTGATCCAGTGAGTGACTAGGGCAACCGACAATCGCGTCCGAGTTAAAGCCACTGACTTCATTTCCACGAAAGCGTCATTGCTGTCCACGGCATCTATGGCATCCGACAGAAACCGTGGGCGCGCTCCGACTCGCCCGAGTCGACCTGGCTGGAGCCTGCTTTCACAAGGGCGCTCCCAGGTCCAGTCCGGGTCATATCATACACGTATGAGTCGCCGCCAGCATTGTTGACACGATACGGCATCCAGCAAGAGGCTGCTCGTCTCCTAGACGCAATCTTATCACACCTGGAGTCTCACGCAGAGAAATACGAAAGCGCCGAGGTGAGCTGTTCCTCCAGTCCTTGCGTATCCGTGCTACCAATGCTCGACCGGAGGCTCAACTAGAGAGCAAGCAGCTTCCATGACTGACTAACAAATAACGCCAACAGAAATCTTCATCCGTTGTCTTCGTTTCCCATGACATCGGCGGGCTCCTCGTCAAGGCCGTGGGTGTGGTCTCCTGACTGCTTTTCTTCCTCCACGGTTCTAATGAAGACGCAGGCATTGATTAAAGCAAGACTCATGCCCGAGAAATACTCGAGGCTTACGTCTATCGTCAGGGGCCTAGTACGTCGCCCCAACATCTGCAATTATCTGGAAGAAAGAATATATGACTTGCGAGTATTGACAACAGTTTCAACTTTGCAGATGTTCTTCGCCTGCCCACACAGATGCAGCAGCTTGCAGAGCCTTCAAGATCAGTTTGTGACTCTGCTCACACGGGACGAATCTCCACAACAAGACAATACAGCAACGCTGGCCCGGAGCCTCGCTGAAACCGCAATCGAGATCAACGGCGACTTCATCCATATGGGGATGCTACTTCAGGCGGGTGTCGCCAATATTTTCTCAACGGATGAAGACGTGCGGCTTCGGGTAAGTCCGGACAGTCACGTCACTGCATTTAACGGCTTGTCCGCTCTCATGAGTAATTAATTCTGCACTTTTCTGACAACCTGTGGGCGCTGAAGGTGTTTGACAAGTATACTGTCACGCTGGATATCCCGTCAGAGCGGCGGGTCGCGAGTCCCAAGCCCCATGTCAACCTCACCAAGGCCTTTCTCCACTTGAGAGACATCGATAAGCCGGACTTCAAAGGCGCCGTGGACAAGAGTTGGGCCTGTGAGTCATTACCCGCGGTGCCTTTTTTAATCTTGGTCCCTGACATCAGCGCTGTGAAGTCTCGGACCTAGAACCTGAGACGGTTAACAGGTTGCACATGTTCATCTCTCAGGTCGCCCCCATCTATCCTCCAAGGCGCGCCGCGGACCCATCAGACATGTCTGCCCTCTCTGGCCAACAAGCTGTGCTCAAAGACTTTGTGGGCCGCAGGAGCAGCTGTGTCCTTCACGTCGGGTGCGCATCTGGCACTGCTGCCACGTCAATGGCATCCGAATCTATCCTGTCTTACATGTCCCAGTACGCCCCTAGACCGAAGACTTTCCACTTCGAATTCGACGCCCGCGACGTCCGTCTTAACAATGTCGACGCCATGATGCGGTCACTCTGGGCCCAGCTAGTTTGCGACTCAGCTTGGCCACTTGCGTTCCGGATCAAATGGGCTCTCATTCGACAGTCTGTCACGAACCCACGCCTTGCTGCCGACAGCTTGTACCACAGCTGGAGATATTTCCACTTTACTAACGACTGCGACAAAGCCATTTACGTTGTGAATGGTCTGGATAAGTGCGACGAGTCCTGGCGATGCTTCGTGTCTGAGATTCGGGACATCATCAGCACCACCGACAGTCTACTCAAGATCATCATCTTGACTGCTGACGGCTCAGAGAAAAGTGCCGAAATTCGGGACATGCTGGCCACGCTCCCTGCGCAGAACCACGCGGACCTTGACGCGTCGTCAGTACTCACTGCCGGGTCGGGGAGCTCGCCCACAACGCAGGAACGCTTCCAACTGGCGCTGCTTCTCGACAAGATGCCGAGGTTCAAGCCTCTGGCATCGAGCCTGGAGGCCTGTTTTTTGAAACCTGGCTGGGACTCGGATCTCGTGCACGTGGTTCTCAAATGGCTGAGACACACCAAGCTGGCCACAAGCGTTGTCGAAACACAAATCCGCGCCATGGATCCATCCTCCCCTGCATCCGTCTTCGCAGCCATCGTCGGTACAGTCCCCAAAGAGCGCCAACTGTGGTTGCGCAGATTTCTCTTCTGGACACAGGTTGCCAAGCGACGCCTCCGGGTCAGGGAATTCTGCGCGGTTTCGACGTTGGCGGTGGAATTATCGAGAGAACCCGACATCTCCAAGCTGCAGCCAAGCCACAGCTTCTACTGGAGGTGTGCCCTGGACGATGTCCGAGAGTGGCTTGGCGGCATATTTGTCGTCAGGGACGGCGAGGTCTGTCTCGGACACGACGCATTCGACGAGGTTCTGAGGCCAGAGACAAGCGATGGCGAGCTCTACAGAGGTCACTTTGTCGTTTTGGAAACCTGCACCGCCTATCTCTCCCTTGCAGGGCGTGGGAGACACTCGCCAGTAGTATCCGTACTCGACTCTGAACCCCGTCAGAGCGACGAGGGCGACTCCGATCTGGTGAGCCTGGTCGGTTCTCTGCCTTACGCGATTGAGCATTGGGCTTCGCACTACAAGCATCTGAGAACGAGCTCCGACGAGTTCATGCACTCCCAAGACCAATTTGTGGCTGCCCTGCTCGGAGATGCAAACTTCCTGCAGTACTGGGAACCGGCGTACCGCAACACACTGAGCCCGTTTATGCGGCGACCGGTCTCCGAGGAGCGATTGAGTCCGCTGGTCGCCGCAGCTGAGCTGGGACTTGATGATTTAGTGCGAGAGTTCCTACCCGCATCTAGCGACGAGCGCCGGGTTGCATTGGAAGAGGCAGCTAGAAACGGAAGATTACGCACAGTCATGATCCTCCTGGAACCTGACGCCGAAGACGACGGGGCGAAAGCTGAATCTCACATCCCCTTCACCGAGGAGGCAGTCCTGGCAGCTTCTGTGTGCGGCAACGACCAGATATTCCGAGAGCTGGTGAAGAGGATGGTCCTTTGCCGCAACCAGCATCAGAAGAAGAAGTACTCTTCCTTACCCATACTCCTCCTCCAGGCTAGTTGGCTGGGGCTGGACGATGTTGTCAAGCAGCTGTTGGATCTTGGAGCAGACCCCAACCTGCAAGATATGACAGAGACGAGTGCACGCTTGCCCCTCCACTTCGCCGCTCGCAGAAACAAAGTGCATGTCCTCAGGGTGCTCCTGGACGCCGGAGCAAGTCTCACTGCGAAGGAACAAGACGGAGCCGGGGCGAATGCCTTGCATGCTGCTTGCAACTATGGGGCGAAAGAGTGCGTCGAGGAGCTGGTGAAGAGAGGCGCACCGTTGGAGAGCAGAGAAGGTGCTGGGAATTTAACGCCGTTACACCTCGCCAGCCAGCAGGGCTATTACGAGATAGTCCAGTTCCTGCTCGAGCAAAGGGACGACCCCCAAGATTATACGGAGGCAGATGTTTCTCCCCTCTCTCTCGCCGCTATGTATGGCATGCCACGCTGCGCGGAGATGCTTCTGCGACACAAGGCCGACCCGAATGTGCCCAAAAGCAAACCACCCCTCAGGGGTGCGGTCATGAACGAGGACATTGCCATGTGTCGTATGCTTCTCGATTATGGAGCACACGTCGACCACGTATTGGAAGGACAGTCGCCATATCTCGTCCAGGCGGTCGAATTCAAGAACATGGAGCTCGTGAACCTTCTACTCGAGTACGGGCCGAATGTCGACCTCAGCCAAATCAACACCGGTAGCACACCGTTGTCGATGGCCGCAGCCCTCGGGTTTGGCGAAGCAATCCGGCGACTGCTCACTGCCGGGGCAAGCATTGAGCTTCAGAACTCGACCGCGCAGACGCCCCTTTGGTCCGCCGCTCGAGAGGGCCACGAAGAGGCCACCAGGATCCTCGCAGAGGCCGGCGCCGATGTAAATGCGCCGGCTGCCTCCGACTGGGCGCCTCTGCAGCTTGCCTACAACAGCCCCGGCGTAACACGCATTCTCCTGGATCACGGCGCAGATGTGAACCATGAGTCGGCCGGAGGCACAGCGCTGCGCCTGGCAGCATATTGGAACGAACCTGAGGTGGTGAAGCTGTTGTTAGAGAAGAATCCCAACCTGACAACCGCGTTCGTGACTGCACTAGACAAAGGGCACCATGAGATTGTTGGGCTCCTTCTGGAGGCTGGCGCCGACGTCAATCACGTCTATCCCTTGGGCACGGGCTTCAACGCCTTGCGCCGGGCCATCAAGGCGGACAGCGACGAATCGGTGCGGGTCCTCTTGGAATTCAATCCTGATGTCAAAACCCGGGACTACGAGGAACGTACTGTACTCCACGCGATCCACCACTCGACTCCCGTGTCGTTGGTGAGGCGACTCGTCAATGCCGGGTCGGATCTAGATGAAGAGGACAATGTCGGACGCACGCCTCTCTGGTCTGCCGTCATAGGATCCAACGTTGAGGTAGCTAGATATTTGGTGTCAAAGAAGGTCAGGCTGCAGGGCTTTGGTGTCCCCGGTGAGGACGGCCTGATGCATGCAGCCTGTCGGTTTGGCAGCCTCGCCATGGTCGAATTCATGATGCAACAGGGTCTCGATGTCAACGCCGACGGCGGTTGGCTGGGGACGCCCCTGCAGGCCGCATGCTTGCGAAGCCCGTTCGACAGCTTCCCCGAGGAGAATCAGGTCTCAATCGTTCGCTACCTGATCGGCGAGGGCAAAGCAGACGTCAATGCCGCCACGGGGTTGCATGGATCTCCCTTGAATACTGCGGCCGGCGTGTGTTGCTCGGAAATTGTCGGCCTGCTCGTCGACGCAGGGGCTAGGGTTGATGCGGCGGACCCGGTCGTTGGAATGACCGCCACGCACCTGGCCTCCTCGAATTCGCTCGCCGCCCTCCACGCCCTCAAGCTCGACGAGCACGACGACGACGCAAACTTCAAGCGACGAGACCTCACGGGCAGACTTCCGCTTCACTACGCTGCCTCGAGCGGCGACGTTGAAGTCTTGAAGGAGGTTCTGGCGAGGTCGCGGCGAGTTGGCCTGCAGATCGACGAGCGCGACCACGACGGATGGACCCCTCTCATGTGGGCTGCCAGGACGACGGGCTTGTGGTGGACAACTAGGACATACGATCATGTGGGCGTCATCAACTTGCTCCTGGATGAAAATGCCGACACATCCGTCACTGCGCGCGGGATCCGTCGAGAATGGACGCCGTGGAAGGTGGCGAGGTATCACGGTGCTGATCCAGAGATTGTGCGCCGGCTTGCTCCGAAAGGCTCTGCAAAGAGCAGCAACGACGCCACAACACCAAAGAGTTCACCTGGGTCTGCCTGCAACTGCTGTTTTCTGGTACGTTTTGGTCCGGAAGCATTTTCCTTCTTCTTCCTGCTCCCCAGCTCGACTAACACGGGCTGTAATTACCCACCAATCAATTAGGGCATCTGGGGTATCTTCTACAAGTGCTTCTCGTGCAAGGTCAGTTTTGACTTGTGCTTCAAGTGCTATCGACTCAAGGACGTCCTACACCCACAGCACGAGTTCGCCGAGTATGGCCAGGATTGGGATGAGCAGATGGAAGAGCCTGTTGCTCGGGGCATAGTTCGTTCCGATACCATGGCCTCCGAACATGCCATTGACGGCGCCGCTGGAGAAGAGGACGATGACGAGGAGGTGCCGTACGACAGCGGTTCCGAGTAGAGTGACTTTCGCAGGACAGGCTCTGAATAATGCAGCATTATATCACTGCCTCGAGAACCGGAATACATCTACGAGTTCACGTAGAGTGCCGTAGTACCGATGCCCTAATTATCATCTGCTAACTACACCCTCCCTCCCTCCCTCACTCACTCACTCCCACCCAAGACGCCAATCCCCCTCAGCAGCCTCCGCCTCAGCACCCTCTGATACCACCATCCGAGGTACGTCAAGACCGACACAAACCCCACAGCCGCGTACCCGCACGCGCTCCAGTACGCGCTCATGGCGCGGTGCTCGGCCGTGTCAGTGGCGAGGTTGAAGCGGGCGGCGTCGCGGTCGCGCAGCCAGGCCGCGGCGGGGATCGCGCACAGGCAGTTGCCGTACACGCCGAGCAGCTGCAGGATCGTGCCGGCAAAGGCCGTGAACAGCGCCGCGCCGAGGGCCGCGAGGGCTGGGGCGATGAGGGCCGCGGCGTGGGGGAGGCGCGGGCAGGGGGCGCTGTGGTGGGTGCGCCAGGTGCTAACGACGACGAGGATGAGCTGCGAGGCGGTGTAGACTAGGAAGGTTAGAGCTCTAGAAGCAATGGTCAGTCTGATTTTGTGTAGTACCGTTACTCTGAGGAGTGTGAGCATGTGAGGTGCTGCTTACCGGCAACTGATACAGATCCTGGGCGTTGTGTATGAAATCACAAAAGCCAGAGTGGTCGGATATAGGATCAACAAGAAAGCAGACAGGGGGACGAGCATCAAGCAAAATATGGGCTGCAGCTCAGGCTGCCCTGGGTGTATGCATCCGCTCATCCTTCCCGGCGAGGCTCTGTTGTTGCTTGGCTGGAGCGTCCTCTCTAGCCACCTCTTCTTCATGATCCCCCTGTCCCACAGCGCAACCGGCATGAACTCGGCCTTGAACACGCGCGACATACCAAAGTGGAACCTGTGCGGCCCTTGATCAGCATGGTGTCGCCTCTGGTCCTTGTGTCGGTCCTTCTGACTACCGTGGCCCTTATCGGCGCCGGCCACGATGCTCGCCACCGTGCTTGGGTTGTTGCTGGCAAGGGCGCAGGAGCTGATGATGGTGACGTGCGTGATGACCGTCCACCACATCCCAAACGAGAGCGACAGGGCTGTCGAGTTATCCCCGATGTGGTCGCGAAGGGTATCGAGGGTGACAACGAAAGAGCCGATGAAGAAGAGGACTGGTGCGCCGACGAGAGAGCCGAACGTACCCTGGCAGTTGAGCATCGAGATTAGATGGGTTTTGGTCTCTTCTAACCTAGGCACGACGGCCTCGTTTGGGACTGGGGTCGTGGTGGGTTTGGCAGCCGGCTTCACACCGTTGGTGGTCTTGGCTGGTAAATCTGCGCTCGAGAACTTGTGTGCTGGTTCTGCCAGCCGAAGCGCGGCCTTGATTCTAGTATCTGGTGCGTTGTGTTCGAGATCCAGATTGCCACAGAGGACTGTAACCATGAGCTCAACTCGTTCGTTCGCCGACAGGGACACGTTATGGTCGATGTATCTGAGGATTTCAAAGTCGAGAACCAACTCGGTGATGCCTCCAACAAGGATGGGTCCGGCACCGACGAATATGGTGAAGATCCAGACCGTCATGTCAATGGTCACAATAATCCCAGACACCACCAGAGAGGCGAGGAGACGGGGGAGCCTTAGCAGGCGCTTATCGCCAAACTCGAACAGGAAATCCGGGACTTCCCATTTCCGCCGTCGTGGGATCGTTATGCAGAACACCACTACCGGGAAGATGTACTGGATCAGTAAAGTGACGGGCCCGGTGGATGTCGAAAGCGGCGAGAGGTGCCAGCCAGGGCATATCTGTTTGCACGTGCCGTAGTCCATGAGCACCATGGGTGCCGGCTCCGAACCGGGGGAGTAGGTCTGGCCACATATCTGGTCAACTCGGCTAACGCTGGCGTTCATGTACTGCGAGAAGCAGCTGTACTCCTGGCCCGGCAGAATCCACGATGGAGTACAGCTGGCGGGGAATGAGACATTGGGGCCGGTGAGACAGCTCTGGGCACATCCAGGCGTGCTTCGGCATACCTCCGTCACGTTCTGGCATTTCTGGATGTCGCAGCAGTATCGGAACTGGCCATCTTGCGCGAGTACGCCACCGGTAGAAAGAAGAAAAGCAAGGATCCAAGTAAAAGAGAACGTGAGAGGACAGAGTTGGCAACTCGTCCTCAAGGCTTTCCATGTCATCAACAGCATGTTGAGCTATTGACGGCGTTGCTGAAGCACATGTTTAGGAGTAAGGAGTCTTGATTAGTTTCGACGGATAACGGGGATCTCATATACTTACTCGAGAGAGATGCCAGCATTATTTGGACTTCGTATCACCGCAAAGCACAGCGATGCTTGACATTCCTCGTGGCAGCCTTGTCTGGGAGCGTTGATTTGTGGCTTGATTATGTGCTGGCAATTGTGCGATACCCCATTGGCCAGACTGCCAAGGTGTGGTGTAGCACTGCCACCGCCCACGCATCCGAATCACCCTCCACGTTCGCCCGATGACTCCCATCCTCCCAGCCCCAAGCGGGACCTCCCACCCATGACGACCATGTTGGTGGCGGAGCCTGTTGAACCTGATACTACATGCGTACTGTCATATCCTTCTTGAGGCCACAGTCCTAGTCAAAGAAGACGGAAATTTCTATATTTGGGCGGCTGAAGGCTGGGATGTTGGGCAGGAAAGTGGAGAGTCTGGCTAGGTGCGTGTTTGGGCTATGGGGATGCCTGGTGCCGTCACACCCTTAAACCAGTGTGGGTAGAGACAAAAGGTCCTCCTAAGGTGCTAAACTGCCGAGTCTTACACTCCCCCTCCTCAGTTCCACTTTACATCAACGTTTTTGGATGACAATTGTAATAATTATGCGATAAAGAACTTCAACTCCATCCGTGCAAGCCATGACTAGGACTGCTATAGGCATGCTAGAACGAGCAACACTTGCAGTAGATATCCATATATTAACTGGGCTTCTACTTGGACAGTTGTGGGTTGCCGGAAGCCACTAATAATTGTAATATTGTAACTTGTAGAAAGCGGTCCGCGTTGGCAACGGAACTCGGAATTCGAACCCTGGCCGAAACCTAGCCCGGTAACTAGACTGAACACTACAGACCAAACTACTAATTCCACTGCACTGCTTTCTCGCTCAGCTCTGAGGTACCACCCAAGTCTCTTCACCGTCCACAACCCGCACCCTGTCCTCCATGTCCTCGTCGTCATCGCCGATCTCGTCATCAGCCTCTACCTCATCTAGCCCCTTGGGAGCAGCAACAGTATCATCATTATCCACAAGCGTTGCCCCACGACGGAAGTGCTCGCCAACCACAGCACCCGGCTTCCTCCAGAAAAATCCCCTCTTGAAGCGCAGTCTCTTGACGCGAATCCCAACCACAAAGTCATCCGACTTCTCCCACTCCACCGAGCAAGCCTCGTCACCCGCCCGCTCAAACCGCGGCCCAACCTCCAGCCCCTCGATACCCCCCGACTGGCTTAACCCCAGCTCAACCGCAACACCTCTGCTCCGCCCCTCACTCATCGACACCGCCGGGCCACGCGCGATCTTGAGCCCCGTGACCATGTAGACGGGCTCAAACCCGCCGCCCTCGACAAACAGCCGCACGTCCCGCACATTCATGCTCTCGACCATGTACGCATCGGTAGCCGTGAACGTGATCTCATCCAGGTGCTCGAAGCGGAACGTGTGTGCGGTGCTGCGCTCCGCCGTGGCCGAGACCTCGCCGCCGACGCCCTCGACGCCGACGAACCTGGCCCACACGCCGTACCGGCCGCTCGCGAGCTGCGAGCGCGTCGCGGTGAACCCGCTGGCGCGGTGCTCGTAGACCTTGCCGGGGAGAGGCAGACGGCAGGTCTCGTTCACCGGCTCCATGTCGGTTAGGTTGTCGACGATGGTGCCCAGGTGCAGCGGGCCGTCGGGGGGCGGCTTGATGGTGAACCGGGGTGCCAGGTGGAATGTTGCCTTCATTTTGGGGTCTGCCGTTGCAGGATTCTTTCTCTGTGGCGGTTCACAGATTGCTAAGGCTGGCTAGCATAAGACGGAGAAGATGAAGATGAAGATGAAGTTTGAAAGAACCCGAGTCCTCCATGCCCTCCTTCCTTTCAATAGAGCACCAATCACGAGGATACTATTGAGGCGGGCACCAATCATGGCTGAAGGTCGCCGGTCGGTCACATATTCAACGCTGCGGCCTGGGTGTCCGATCATTGACTGCTAATTACTTTTTTTAGGCATACGTGTTGTCGGGTGCAGTTTACATTCAAGCTTCTATCATAATGAGTCAACAATAAGGCAAAAAAACATCAAGAGTTCGAAGGTACCAACACTCCCAAGTTGCTCCATGCTGTGTCGACCCAGAGATAAGCAAAGAAGCCCAGATAATACACTCAAATTTATGGACATGTGAGAATACGGACGCAGTATTTCCACCCCATCAGTGTGTGTCTACTGGATGCCCACGTCGTATCTCCACGCCCGCGGCACGACACCCGTGAGGATGAAGCTGCGTAGCTCCTCGCAGACCTTCTCCCATTCCTTCCCCGCCTCGGCCGGGTCATCCATCGTCAGCTCCGGGAACACGCGCCACGGCGAGATAAAGTGGTACTTCTGGCGTTCGGGGGCCATGCACGCGAGCAGGGCCCGCATGCCGCGGTACGACGACAGAAACTCGGGCCCGTCGGGCTTCCGAAGGCGCGTGTGGGCGAACTCGAGAATGTTGGCAGCGATGCCGGCCGCCACGGGCGTTGCGAACGACGTCCCCGACTTGAACACGGCCTGACCATTCCACTCGGACTCGATGCCCGTGCCGACCGTCGAGAAGTTGTCGCCGACGACCTCCGGGTTCGGATTGAACGTCGCCGGCGTCCCGTACCCGTCCGACGCGTGGATGCAGATCACGCCCGGGTGTGAGGCCGGATATGCCCGCGGCTGTAACCCCCCTTCGTTCGCAGCCGCGGCAAATATGAGCTTGCCGCGATGGAGCGCATGGCTAATGGCTTCTGCGACCACCGGCACTTCCTTTTTCATGCCAAAGGACATGGTGATGATGTGAGCGTCGACCGTTTCCGCGGCCCATGTAATCGCCTATGAGAGAGTGATGAGCCCCCCCCGCCCCCCCCCCGACTGCATGTGAGAGAAGCCCTCGGAGTGCTTACATCGACCATGTCTTGGACCTTGCTCTCGTCCAGGTGCTTGTCCTCCGATATCTTAGCCACGTATATCTCGGCAAGCGGAGCCGTTCGAAGAAGTAGGCGTGTTACGTGTGTTCCGTGGCCGTACGAATCTAGGAAGTCTTTCTTCGCAGTTCCCGTGGGACCCCAGCCGGCGCGGATCCGTTTCTTGCTGAGCGCGCCGCGGATGACGAGATCGTTCTTGAAGTCCACCCCAGAGTCAAGAACTGCGATCTTGATCTTCGCATGCTTGGTTGACTTGTGGATCTCCCTAAGGGGATCGATGTACTGTTCTTTGAACAAGTCGATGCGGTCAAAGAACTTGCGACATGATGGGATCAGGCTGTTGGGGAGGGGAGCTGGTGAGCCCATAGCTCCGGACATCAAAGTGTGGGTGGGGCATTAGTGCATATTCGGAACTAACGCACCTTCCTTCGGTCGAATCGTTATCATCGAAAAGAGTGAGAATAGAGACACCGGGAGGGAGCCGTGCAAAGGAACCAGCAACCACTCGTTGGATCGTCTGCATGGGAGAATTCTGAAAGACGCCCGGGGGACTACAAGGCTCGCGCCCTGCTCCCGTAGTTGTAGCAATATCTGGAGAAGCGGCGGGGGTATCTGGAGCATTCAGCTGTTGATCTTGCTCGGCTTGTTCGCCGAGAGAAAAATGCAAGTCCGGACGCTCTGGCGGAGTCAAGGACCACATCTCATAGTTCTTTTCGAGATTGGAAATGATGACTTTCCGGATGAGTTTCTGTGCTTCCTTTTGTCTTGTCAGTCCTTTGGCCCGGAGGAGTTTGATGCCGAAATTTAGGCAAGCCTTGACGGCTTCCCGATAGGCATCGTTCTTACTATCCTTCAGCTCGCTCTCGGCAAGCTGGAGCAGAAAGCGTCGGAGGTCCGCATTTCCAACAGGCTTCGAGTCGTTGCCTTCGGGAACAAGGCTGCGTCCGATGTGAACCTCCATGAGAACCTGGGCAAGAGCCAGCCACATAGGGTAGTGTAGTTGCTTGAATCCCTTGTTGTTCTTCGGCCCCTGCAGCTTGTCCATGTCGGCAATCTCCAAGGGGCAGCGGATATAGGGGCGGTAGCGATTGTGAACGACCCCAGATCCGGGGCTTCCGTGGCTGCTAAGAAAGAAGATATTATCTGCCTTCCAGCTGCAAGACCCCCAGGGTCCGTCGAACAGGTAAAACAGGGAGCGAGCAAGGTTCAGAGCGAGGAGATATCTGTCGCTCCATGAGTAGATCCTACTGTTATCCCCGCCGACATGAGGGAAGGCGTGCTTATCCAATAGGTCGCGCAGGGTGATAGAGGGGTTGGCGGATGGAAACGATAGCTCGTGCTGCTCCAGATTGTCGGGAAAGAAATGCCGTTGGTTGAATGTGATATGGAGAACACCACCGAACTCCTGGCCGAGTTGAATCATGCTGCAAATAGTTTCGTCCGAGTCGGAATCGTCTGCAGGTGTCTCAGCGCGCCTTGGTCAACCAGCTGGTCAGCGGCTGGACAGTCCCAGTAAAGCAGCGGCGAGAAAGATGCTAATTAGTGTCCCCTCTCGGGTGCCTACCTCTTTACGGCGCAGCAGGTTTCCTGCCACTGTGAGGATTCTGAATCAGGGCAGGGAGACAAGAGAACCTCGAATTGTCCTTCTCCCGTTCCGGCAGTGGTCTTCCTCGCTTCATTGAAGCCGTTCATTTGCAGCATGGCCTTGTGTGAGCACTCGGACGCCAGTCTTTGCAAATGCCCGTGTAAGTCCACCAGAGACCTACGGATCCTCCCTTCTGCGTCCCGGTCGAAGTGATAGTCGCTTGTTTGGCTTATCGCCACGTTGGCGTTCTCTTTCCGGGCGGCAGCATTATCGCCCTCCATCGCCGTGTTGATGGCAGTAAGTGCCCGGACGGTCTTGGAGAGCCTCTTTCGGCTTGGGTCCAGGCGGACCGACGTTCCCGTCACGACAACGTTCTCAATTGTCGATGCTGGCCACGGATGGCTCGCGAATTAGAGCAGCCCAGCTCGCAAAGAATGCCGGATGCGCACTTACATAGGTTGGTTCCGAACTGCTGCTCAAGGCAAGTCTTGAGTTCTTCGGCCGGTTTGAGATAAGCCTCGTCAAGATCGGGGCCCTGCGAGTTGTGTCGGCCCTTGCTAGCCACGTTATGATTGAAGGTTCTGGCTTCGAACTTGGCGAAGGCCCTGTATCTCCGAAGCGCCCCATAATCACTGCTAGTAGACGAGTCGACATCGCTTTCATCGCTTTCCTCGGCAGAGCTTTCCGGGTCTTCCGGACCGTCCCCACTACGGGTCTCGTCGTCTATGGGCTCCCGGTCGGCCTCCGACGTACTGCGACGTCTGCTCGTGTCGCTCTTGAATGATTCGTGCGCTGGGAGGCCACGATAAAATAGCATAGAGCCCGTCTGCAACAGGCTTAGGATGGCCGTTCCCACTACGATGGACGTTCCCACTGCTTCCATGTCTTAGGGGCCCTGTGTTGCTGTATCGGCATGTAGGAAAACTGGCGCGGAGATTGATGGGCTGTGGTGTGGTGGCCGCACTGATTCCCACTCCATTCCACCTCGCCTGAAGGGACGACGACAAAGCGACTGGGCATACGGGAGCCCCACGGAGAACAACAAATCAGAGTCTAGCGGGGTAGCCGCGCGCTGGCTTTGAGGGGGGGAATAGGTAGGTTAGTGGACAAGGAGGAAGACCACTCATCTTCTGATATGCAGCAGTATTGCTCTGGAACGAATCAGACTCGGGAGAAACGAGGAGGAGCACCATGCAGGTGTGGATGGATGCCTAAAGCTTGGCGTCAGGCTCTTACGGGCACCGAACCAGATACATGTCTTAGGCAGGCTCCAGTCATGCTTCGAGGAAAGAGGGACCTGGGAGACAGTTCCGAAGGGAGCTGCGCCACACCAGCGGCAGCTCGTCCTTCCCACTTGCGTCTTGCCGACAGGGCGTTCCCTCCACACCCTGCATCCTGTGCTTTGCAAGTTTGGCCAACTTGCACCTCGTCATTAGCAAAGAAGCTAATCCAAGAGTTGCCCACTCTGTCTAAGCAAGAATAATGGAGGATGAAAAGATGGGGGGAGTGGAAATCGCCCCCGAAAGTCAACCGATCTACGATGTGGCGCAAGAATGCCTGAGCCTATTTCAAAAGTGCCCCCGCGAGCCGAAACACGGCTTTGGGGAGACGCTTTCGACGAGCCAGGAGCGCTTTCGCTCGTGGGCTGCCTATCTCGGCGTCTTTGCACTCAAGAACGTCAGCCTAGATACACGGCTGAGGTTCGAACCTGAGATTCGAGACCTGGCAATGCTGCTCCTGGATGTTTGTCGGAGCGACTTGCGACGAGGTAATTAATGATTAGGGTCCCGGAAAAGTGGTCAAGTACTGAAACAGATATTGACAACTCAATACTTGTCCAGCGATTCGGCTTGCTTCGAAGGGATCGCTCATACGGCGCGACTCGTTCCCCAAAGAGGGTGCCGCGGCCAGTTTTCCTGGTGGCGACCCCCTACCTCTGTCGAAAGAAGCCAAGGGTGCCCTTTACGGCATCGTCGGGTCTATCGACAGGCTTCACCGCCTCGCTGTCAGAATCAGAACGTCGTCAAGGGACGACCAGAAGCTGGAGGAGAGGGTGGCCGAGTTCGCGAAAAAGCTCATGCCTGACGGTTTTGGCGATATTGTTTGGCTTATCCTGAAGTACAAGTTTCCAAAGGCGAACGAAGGATTGATCGAGAAACTAACCAAGAGCATCGTATTTCGCCGCCACCGTCTGCTATACCAACGCCACCATTACAAAAAACTAAGCTACGTTCGATTTCAGAGCACTTCCCAGACTGAGCAGCCGCCGGATTCGAGCGTGCCTATAGCAGTGGGAGGAGAACAACAACATCAGGAAAAGCAGCAGCCCTCGTCACAAGCGGATTTGGATGGCAGGCGGAAACGCTGGGGCAAGCGCCCCGATTGCATGGGGGAGGGCACAGAAACCGAATTCCTTTCCAACACCAACCCGACCCTTTTCGTGAGGGACCGGTTTGACCGGCAGGACGATATCAGGGATAAGCGACCAGCCCCGACCGTGGTTACCAGCGGATCTTCATGGGTGGGCAAGATCGTGTACCCCTGCGCCCCAAAGGCGGAGGGAGCTTCTTCCCACACAACCTGTCCGTTCTGCTTTCAGGAGCTTCGCGTCGTGGATAATGAAGAACCCAAATGGTGGAAGAGGCATGTTGACAGCGACTTGCAGCATTTCATTTGCCTCTCCGACCAGTGCCCCCAGTCGCTTCACTACTTCAGCACTTTTACCTCCTGGCTCGACCACATGGAGTCGGAGCACGAACCAGATTGGCCCATGTTCATCTACCCAAACAGCAGCGAATGGAGATGCCCTCTCCCTCGATGCCGCGTCGATACCTTCCCAGACGCGGCCTCGTTCAAGGAGCATATTGCCGCGCTTCACTCGAACGAGATTGACCCGTCCGACTTGGAGCTAGTGGCAGACAACAGCAGACTCCCTCAACCTCGAGAAACCGATTTATGTCCGCTGTGTCACGAGTCAGTTAGTAAGACCTTACCTCCGATTCAGGACGATGAGACAGCGGAACCGGAGGGAACCAAGGAAACCGGGAAAACCAAGCAATCCGAGGAGAAGAGGAAGCCGCGGAAAGCGGTAGTGAGGTTCGTCGACGATGACAGTCAGGCCGCAAGCTCTGGAGAGACGGAGCCTATAGATGGCGATATCAAACAGAAGAGCCATCAGCCTGCTGATAGTGGCGACTCAACCACGGGCGTGAAATCCACGTTCACGATGGCGAAGCACATTTCCAGGCACCTGGAGAATATCTCGTTTCTATCTCTTCGCGGCCTGGAGCCCGACGATGACGAGGACTCTCCGGGTTCGGGGTCGAGGCTGCAGGGAAGCGACCACTCTAGTGCCAACGACTCGATCGCCTTCGAGTGCGTGAGCGAACGGGCTGAGACTTTTGTCTCGTCCGAAACTTGGGCTTATGTGGTACGTGTCCGGTTTGTTTCCAACCCTTCAGCATAGTTAGTACGTACCCATCGAGACTGGTGCAGCGAATGCTAAACAACATGATTTGGTCTCGCAAATCAGCGAGGCAATCTTCACAGTGCTGGCGAAACCGCGCCGGCTGTTTTCGCCATGCCCAACACCTCGCGAGGAAGGGCCGGCGGAGAAGAACACGAGCGGGACTACCTAGACTTGCCGGACCGTGGCATATTGGCGCGTTTGAGACTCACAGGCGATGAGGGTAACAACGTCGGTCCGCAACTCGTCCCCTACCTCAAGAAGAAGTTGATGGAGTACGCCCTAGAAGGTTCAGCAAAGCGGAAGGTGCCCGAGTTTCTGGCCGAGCGTTTGGCAGACGCAATGGTCCATCGTCGCAGGAAATTCCTCTACCTGCGAAAGCCTCAGCGGCTGTGGGTGGGAAATTTCATGGAGTCAGTGGCCACACCAGAGGAAGAGCAAGGAACCCCATCGAGCTCGACGAACACCATATCGTCTTCAGTCTTCGTGGATTCGTGGACATCTTCGAAACTGGTTCCGCTTTCGGTGGCCAATAGCGAGACGACTCCAACGATTCCCCGACCTCCAGCAGAAGCCCAGTCCAGTGAAGAGTTTCGCTGTCCATACTGTCGCCTTCTTGTTCCCAGCAGTGTTGCACTGAGCAAGACTGAATGGAGGTAGGCAGGACCTTTAACAACTGTTCCCCTTCTGTCTCCCTCCCACCCCTAACTTGCGAGACCGCGTCATTAACATGGAGAAAGAAATCATTTCATTGCGGACACGGAGCCGTACTTTTGTCTGCTGCCAGACTGCGCGACGCCGTCCAGGAACTTCTCGTCAATGGAGAGTTGGGTGAATCACATGGGGGCCGAGTGTCCGCAGCAGTGGCGGTGTAAAGGGCCGGGGCATCCGGAGGTATCGCTCTCGAGCAGCGAGGCCTTCATCAACCACGTGCGGGAAGCTCATGCGGGGAGGCGATACAGCGACGACGAGCTACCTAAGCTGGCCGACTGCGTCTCAACCCCGCTCGTGGGCATCTTTGCTGACTGTCCGTTTTGCGGTAAGACGGAGGGCGATATTGCCCGGCATGTTGCCAACATGTTGGAGACCGTAGCCCTCGGGTCGACGCCGTTGCCGGACCAGGAATCCAGGCTCGAATCCGACCTCACCCAGCTCGCTTCGAGCCTTGACAGCGGCTTGACGAGAAATAGGGACAACTTGGCCTCGGAGCTGCCCGCTGATTCGCAGTCCCCCGGGCCAGAGCCTGGGGGTGATGACTACGTTGTCCCGGATATGGACGTCCCCGAAATTCGGGCTGGAGAGAGCATCCGGCTGGTCTCATGGGGGTTCATCCTAAAGATTTCGCAGCAGCATCGCCCGCCCTACTCCAACAAAGCCTTGACACATGGTATCTAGACGGTATTCCTTTTCCGCACTCAGCACATTGGTAGGGTTGGAACTTGACCTCGAAATGATGCAAGAGACAGCGATAAATATCGGTGATGGGTTGCCAGAAAGGATGTAATTAACCACCAAGTGTTTAGGTGGGACTAGCTATTTCTAACAGAAACATAAATCATGCATGCAAAAAGGTTAAAACATTTAATCATGAGTTTACGCGTCAAAGTGATGTAATTAGCCGTCAGTGTCAGTGATGTAAGGTGAGGGGAAGACGCTTGACTCCTGCCGTAAATCTATGCCACCACCACGAAACTTCATGATCGTTGGCTAGATATAATACAGTTATCACTTAAAACTTGCCAACCACTTCCTGTGATGCTGCTTCTGCTTCTAACACTTCCATACCACTTCCGTTAAGTATTATTACCCGAGCCAGCATCTTGTATGAATCGGCTCGCTGGCATCTCCAGGCATTTACCATCATCTTCCTCACCAGTCCTCCACACTTCTGTCATCCGCCCATCGCCACTTATCTTGAGAACCATCGCAAGCATGCCGGCCTCTCACTACAACGCCCTTTTCATCGGCTCCGGTCAGGGCGCCAACCCGCTAGCCAAGGCATTCGCCAAAGCCGGCAAAAAAACCGCCATGGTTGAGCGCTCCTCTGTAGGCGGCACATGCGTCAACGTCGGGTGCACACCGACCAAGACGATGATCGCATCGGGGCGAGTGGCGTACCTTGCCAAGAGGGGCACAGACTACGGCGTGAAGGCGAGCAGGATCGAGATCAACATGGAGCGAGTGCGCGAGCGCAAGAGGGCTATAGTAGAGCAGTGGCACAGCGGGAGTGTACGCGGCCTGGAGGCGGCGGGCGTGGACATCTTGATGGGCGATGGAAGCTTCATCGGGGAGAAAACGGTAAAGGTGGCTCTAAACGACGGCGGAGAACGGGTGGTAACTGCCGACACCGTGTTTGTGAGCGTCGGTGCCCGGGCGTCGCGACCAGATACTCCCGGCTTGGACAAGGTCGACAAGGCACGCGTCCTGGATTCGACCTCCATCATGGAGCTCGATGCAGTGCCGAAGCACCTTGTGGTGATTGGCGGTGGATACATCGGTCTCGAGTTTGGGCAGCTGTTCAGGCGACTAGGTGCCGACGTAACGATCATCCAGAGGGCAAAGCAGCTGGTGCCCCGGGAGGACCCCGACATTGCGGACTGCATGCTCAAGATTCTCGAAGGGGATGGCATTGCAGTTCATCTGTCCAGCACTGTGCAATCCGTCTCAGCTTCTTCCGCGGACGGTGGCTTGCCCTTCAATGTCAACGTGCAGACACCATCGGGGATGCTGGCAATTCCCGGGTCACACATCCTGCTAGCGGCAGGCAGAGTTCCGAACAGTGATTCGATGAATCTACCTGCTGCCGGTATCAAGACTGCGTCAAAGGGCCACATCGTTGTCGACGATAAGCTCCAGACCTCGGCACCCGGAGTGTACGCGCTCGGCGACGTCCACAGCGGCCCAGCCTTCACACACATGTCGTACGACGATTTCCGCATCATCCGCACCAACCTCCTGCCCGGCACCATGTCTGCCACCACGCCGGCCATGCCCACCACGCTGACCTCCCGCTCGCGGGTCTTGACGCCGTACGTCATGTACACGGACCCGCAGCTCGGACATATCGGATTGCATGCACGAGACCTGGAGGGCCGGAAGGTAAAGACGGCAAGCATGCCGATGAGCTACGTCGCACGGGCATCGGAGACGGACGAACCGCGTGGGATGATGAAGGCGGCGGTGGATGCTGAGACGGGCGAGATTCTTGGCTTCACCTGCTTGGGAATTGAAGGAGGCGAGGTCATGTCCATCATGCAGACGGCGATGATGGGCCAGCTGAAGTGGTGGGACCTCGAGGCAGCAGTCTGGGCCCATCCAACCTTGGCGGAGAGCTTGAATAACCTGTGGGGGTACTTGGAGTAGATAGATGATTCAGCTATAATTACAATCTCTGTCACAGAACTAGTTAAACATTGTCCAACCCGTGGCCATCGCCCAATCCTACAGCCTTTCCAACCAGTTAACCACGCGTGTATATACCATTTCTTACTTCCTTGCAGTTTCCTCCGTCTGGTAGACGTCGTGCCTAACTTGGATAGCAGTCTCGGGCGGCTCCGGACTGTGCGCCGGTGATGCGGTTGTAATCTCGGTCTGCACAACCGGCTGTGTCCAACGCACCGACCCCTGAGACGGTCTCCGAGAGCTGCCTGCCGCCGGCCTGCTCTCCAACGACGACCTCTCGGACGCTCCCGTCGCATGTGGCGCGAGCCGCGAGTCCACCCCCCCAAGCTCGCTCCGCGCAGTCTGGAGCCCAAACACCCCGTCGGACGTGTCGCCACCGCTATCGACGCGCTGCATCCCGTACGCCACAAAGGCAGCCGGCGTGCTCGACATGGGCAGGGGCCAGTTCTTCGCGGCACCGGCGCGCGAGCTCGCCCCCGCGGAGCTGCCGGTGCCGAGGCGGCCGCGTTCGGGGTCCTTGCCGCTGACCGTGTGGCTGGAGTGGGCGGTGGTGGTGCCCGCCTGGCTCGACAGCCAGGGCGCGTAGCGGCCGACGAGCGGGCGTAGGGTGGGCAGGCAGGCGCAGGTCAGGCCCGAGGCGAGCTCGCCCATGGACCAGCCGGAGGATTCGACGTTCTCCCAGGTGAAGTCGTCGTACTGCTTCAGGAAGCGAATACGGACCAGGCTGATGCAGACAGTGCTGGTTTGTGCAAACAGGTCAGTGTGTGGCGTTCGTTTCTTGGAGATGAGGGCTGGTGATAGATATCTGGGGAGGGTGCGGGTGAGTCAAGAAAAAAAGGAAGGAATAGAAAGAAAGAAATTCAATCTTACAATAGACCCAGGCTGAAGATGCCAACAAGGATATGCCTCTGCCGGCGGGGAAGATTGAGACTCTCGAGGACGGGAATTGGAAGAATAAAGATCATGACGTCGGTGATGATGTTGCCAGCGGCATTGACCTCCCAGAAAGGGTGGTTAGAGATGCACTTCGCGTCCTTCGTCTTGTCCCAGTAACCGCTAATCGGGTCGCAAGTGAATATGGCAATGACTAGTTGGGAGAGCACCCAGCAGCCGACAAACACAACCGTGCCGACAAAAGAATAAAAGATTGGCTTGCTCGTGCGCTGGAAGATGCGGTAATACTGCGAGAGGAAAGTCATCTTTATGGCCATTAGGGAAGCATTGTACATAACAATCGAGACGTAAAGTGTCTGTCCGGCCACGTTAGCCACCATGGAGGCCTGCGTTGGGAGGAGATAAACTTTACCCGCAGGTACCGCGGGATCAATTCCTGAGGAACTGTCATTGTATGCCGGCCGAGCCCGAAGTTTGTGTCTGGATAGGATGTAAGTTTGGGTGGTGATTAAGGGCTAGGGGAGATATAATTAATTACTCACTGTAAGCTACGGCGAAGTCGCATCCAAAAACAAGGAGCTGTGGTGCTAATTATTAGATTCCAGAAATAGAGGCAGAGATAAGAATACGGGGATTCTAGGGACATACAAGAGCTACAACTGCACAAAAATCGTCGATTCCAAGCTTGTTTATGATGGCCTTTCTCGTGTATATCCGGAGCGACACTGCTATGGTGGCGACGAGGAGCGTGAAAACGGCGACACCGATAGTGACATCCTCGCGGTTCTCGGATGCCATGTCTGTATCAATCGACATGTCTGTGATTTAACTTTTTTCGCTTCGCAAGGGCGTCTGCAATGATTTCGTCTGAAGATGTTGTCCAAGATGGGTCATACAGGGGTTTATCTCTGGCACACTCGACGGTGGTAAATAAGTGACCTTTTGAGGGGATTAACAGATAATTAATTAGCCCAATACTGTGAATTCGCCGCCGCCAGTAATTTACACTATCTATTCTAGGTATTGTACAATAGGAGGCTAGCAACGACCCAAGACACCCAGACAGCCCCTTGGGCCGTTCATCCCATCCACACCAAAGCAAAGACCTCGTCGCTGCTGGTCCGCATGTGACTACATCCGTACCTACCTGCCACTGGTTAGGTAACCAGTGACGGGCCAGTGATGAAATTGACGGGCATAATCTGCGTCCTTGGTGGTTGGTGGCGTCATTGGTTCGTTGAGGCTTCACACCATCCCCATGCCAGCGTCGATACCAACGTATGTGCGCGTGCGATGTTGAACAATTGGTCTGTGAGAAATGATATTTGCATCCGTGCCTCGTGCGCGGGGGGATCATCCCCTCCTGTACCTGAAAACAAGTCCAAGGGCTACGTCACTGAAGAGGTGTTAGCTCGGCGCACGGCCCCTGGTGCCCTGTTTCCCGCTGCCACTGCCACACCCCGTTGCTCACTGTTGCCACTAATTAACAGTAATCTACGGGTGTGCACGTGGGTGTATCTGCACGCCATCGTCATCCTATCCTTGCTACCTATCCTATGGCTGCCCTAGATCACCTAGTTTTTAGTGTTCCAGACTTAGACGTTGTAGACACTGGTACCGGCTCCTCCTCCTCCATCGAGCCACTTCATCGCGGTCTAGCCCATCAAACCCGGTGATGAGCAGCTACCTACCTAGGTACCTAGCTGGTGACCAGCAATGGTAATAATAAAGCAGTGGTGAGGGCAACAAAATTGGCAAGAGCGATGCACAGCGACAGCAAGAGCGATGCACAGCGACAGCAAGAGCGATGCACAGCGACAGCAAGAGCGATGCACAGCGACAGCAAGAGCGATACACAACACCAGCAGGAACAATGGACCGGCGCAGCAGAGGCAATAGATAGCAGCAGCAGGAGCGATGGACAGCAACAGCAAGGGCAACAACAATACTTAGCGATAATTAGAACTTGCCACCAATCCACACGTAGGTAGTGTATCTGCGAGACATCGTCATCCCACTAGTAGCGGGCTCCTCCTCCTCTATTGAGGAAGTAGCCACTTCGTCGCGGTCTAGCGCTTCAAACTCGGTGCTGAGGAGCCAACTGGTGACCATCTCCAGACCGTCTGCATCTGGAGGTCCGCCCTGGAGCTCCGGTGATCCGGCTGCGCCGGACAATGCGTTGAGAGCAATCAATGCCCACTGGAAGTCGATCATTCTCTTCATCTTCTCCGCCTTGCCGCTCTCCATCTCCATCTCGACCGTGTGCCCGGAAAACAGCTTTCTGCCCGACTGTCCTCTCAAGATAGAAACGCAGCCTCCCTCCTCTGGCAGATCTCGGATGTGTTCAGGCTGTTCTTCGAGATCCGAAAACATCCTTTGGCCGCCGCCAGCTTCAAGGTCAAACTTTCGGTGTGGATTTTGATTCCCTTGCTGATTTCGAGGCATCCAGCGGAACTGGAGCCGGAACACGCTTATGCCCGGGCTGCGTCGCAGCAATGAATCCATCCCACTTGAAGGCAATAAGACCTTTCCCCCACCAGAAATGAATCTGTTTGTTGAGAACCAACATGTTCCACACCTTATGAGAACTGCCAACCCTCGATGCAACAAGCTTGGCCAGTTCGATGCTGTCTTGGGTTCCAAGGGCCCAATAGCAAGTCTTGACCACCGCTTGCGCGTCGGCCAGATTCTTCGGCGTCGAGTTGAACGCGAACGGGACGATGTGGCAGACATCCGGGTCTGCTGTTGCCGTGAGGATGCAAGCTTCCTGATCTTGAGCCAGGCACTAATTGAAGCACAAGACGTCAGAATATCTCCACTACCATTAAAAAAGTACCCGGGCGTGGAGAAGCGCGTACCTTTCTCGCCCCGGCGGACCTCACCCGTTTGGGGATTTATGCTGACCATTTCGGACTCATAGGAGTCGTCAGAGCCGTCCTCTTTGGCCTTGCGTTTTGAGGCCCTGCGCGGCTTGCTGGCGCCGGTGGAGGCCGCACTTTTCGGCGCCGCGGGGGAGACAGGAGGATCCAAGACTGGCGAAATCAGCACCCGAAAAAGGCTTACAATATCGAGCAGATTAGCAATAGGAAACGTACAGTGCTTTATCAGATCCGTGATCCTCTTCAGATCGTCGGACAGGTGGTGGGGTTGAAGGTGCTTGTGGTTTTCGAAAATGTCTAATGGCGCCATCATGACTGCCGACAGCTCCATAGCTGTGAATTCCCATTGACTGTCTACCATTCGGATTCGCTTCAATATTTTCCGAGCATATTCCAGGCGGATCGCCACTTCTTCGGTGGGTACAAGGTCCCTAACAGGGGAGCTTGGCGAGTGCTCGGTGAGATACTTGTCGAGAACGTCGACATCTCCCTGCATAGTTGTAGTGTCGTTAATAAACGTGTCGAGCTCAGCGTGGACGGTTGGGTACGCGGGTCTGGGGGTCAACCGGCGCCCATCTTCGGTGAGGGTAACGAAGCTGGGTGGCATGCTGAGGCTGCGCGAGGGTTACAGAGGTGAGGCGCGGGCTGGTGGAAGAGGGAAAAGTCTCGGTCGCCAGTCAGAGCCCTATGTGACTCCCAGAACTCAGCCAGGCACCTTCCTAGGTAAGCAGAAGGGCCCTCAAGTAGGTAGGTGCCACATAAGTAGAGGGAAGGTACTGTTGGGCAGGATGGGCAGGGGATGGAGATGGAAGCTTGAGGTTATTACTACGGATGTACACGAAAAGGTAATACCGAACCTTAATGTTTCCCCGCCACAAGAACCCAATCGAAGCATCTTAGAATGCCGGAAGTTTGCCTGTCACTAGCAAACTCTGTGTTAAAAAACCTTCAGAATAAAGCCAGTTAACATTGCAGTTCCTGGCCACTGAACGATACGAACTTCCCAGAAGTCGTTACTAGGCCCAGAATACCTACTTGTTTACAGTTTTAGTGCCATAGTCAACTTGGCCAGGTGTTGAATGACGCTTGGTGTGCGTGTGTGTTGAAAAAGGAGGTGGGGGTTCTCTCATCATCCTTCTTCCACAAGCTTGTATAAATACCATCCAGCTTGGAGAAAGGGTTCAATTTCCATCTATGGGAGGTGATTCGAAGGATAAGACCATACAGAACACTGCATCTATTACTGCTGGGAGCATCTTGAAGCTAGGGCTCCCAGCTCGCCCACCACCGACACGAAGGAGGCGGTGGCTTACTCAGTTGAGTATTGCGACGCCGGCGACTACTTCATGGGCATGAAGCCCGGAACGGCATTTTCTACCTCCCCGTCGCGCGCAAGGAGATACCCGTTGCCGCAGGCTCGGTCTTGCAGGTCGTCGCGGCCCTCGACACATTGATTTCGTCATGGAACGACCATAGATACGGGCGGGAAACGCATCATCAGCTTAGCGGCGCTTGTCCAGACCCTTCGCCGGCTCGTGCGGGCGGTAATATCCACCCGTGAATCTGGAAGGGCGAGTTCTACAACGTCAACAACGTCAACAACATTCACGACATCCACTACGCCAATAACTTTGGGGATGAACTGGCCAAGTGTTCGTGGGAACTGCCATGCATGGCCTTCGGCCGCATCCTCCGCTTGATTTCCGATGGACACGACACGACGTCCTTGAACCCCGGACATTGGAACCCACGACCTTGAGATGGAGAGGTGACTCGAGAAATGGTTTGAGCTTGCGGAGAAACGGGGCGCCGTCATGCTCATTGACAAAGCCGACGTCTACATTGAGAGTAGGAGGATTACTGATCTACATCGGAACAGTCTGCCGTTCGGCAAGACTCCTGTCCCCGACTGTCCACGTGCGACAGGCTCTACTCCTCACGACTAACCGGGTTGGGCCCTTCGATGACGCTTTCATGTCACGGGTCAACATCATCATTGGCTACAAAAACCTCGTCGAAAGCAGATCTGCACTCAATTCTCAATTCCTCGACGATCTCGACAACGAACGTGATGACTTCAGAGTAATGCGGGGGGCAAAGGACGATTACGTCCTGCAGGATGACATGGAAATGGGGGAGAGGTCCCCGATGGTAATCATCCATAATGACCTCCCAATTCCCTCCAGCATCCAGGCGAGTCCAGGAACGATCAGCCAACCCCCGATCAGAAAGGACTTCGAGCAAGTACACTAGGCAATGATACTACTGATGCAGCAATTCAAGATGAAAGCAGTAATTCTCGTATCAACGTCCACGAGGGGGATTGGATGTTGCATTGCCAAGGCCAGCACCACGCCTTACCGATAGGACGACCGGGGGGGCGACCCGGAACTACGGGCACAGCCGGCAAGGAGAGAGCGATGACGCTAAGCTACAAGCGGCTTAGTGTTCCAAGTTTGCCATTTATGGAGCAGCAAGGGGGTGCAAGTGGAGTCGCGTGTCCATGTGGGGAGGAGAAAAACAAAGGGAAAAAAGAAAAAAAAAAAGAAAAAGGGAGCATGGCTGGTGACAGGGCAGTACCTAGGTACAATACCTACCAAAGCGGGCGGCACCTGTGGACGGCCCGGATTTGTTCCATTGTGTCACGGTGCAGGAGACAGCAAGTAAGCAAGAGGACCTAGGTAGTCCACAAACCGGTTCTCTTCAAGATGCATCCTTCTTCTTTGCATGGTACGTTGTAGGTACGAGAGCCGATTTCCCGGCAAGTGAGAGTTCCAGGGCAGAAAAGCGTCCAAGTCTGGTCATCTTTCGAGTGAATCTCGTATTTCCGCAATTCCCTGTCATGGTGGCTGGCTTAGTGTGGCTGCCAGGCCAATAGTCTGGTGTGGGCCCCACCCTTACTGGGTCGCTAGCTGGAGGTCTCCCTGATTTGATGTGATTTGATGGTCAGCACCAGGGTTGTGCTTGCAGAAGGCTGCGACGCGAGCCAATACGCACAGGCCCGTCAGGGGGAAGGGAGATTTGATCCCCACTAGGCGGTGGAAAGATCTCCAAGTCTGTGCTAGCGTTGCAGGCTCTCGTATGGTTGTTGGAAGGAAGTGATGGATCAGACAGCAAGGAGAGGGCCGAGGGACAGGGGAGCTCCATCCTAGAAATAGCGACGGGTTCCCCCCCCCCCCCAATCTAATTGAATTGATTGATTGCCCGCAAGTCGCAAATCGCAAATCCCAATCCCACGTCATGCGGCCGTCTGTTATTCTACTCGCCGCCGCCTCGGCGGTGTCCGCGGCGGTATGCCCCCGCGGAGGCGCCAACCTGCCCGCAGAGGCGTTCCCCCGGTTCCAGACCATCTCTCTGGAGGAGGCCCAGGCCGGGAAGGATCTGATTGAGTTCAACCGGACGCACGGTGCCACCTCGCTGGCAACGGGGGGGACGGTGCAGACGGCGGCGTCGGCGGCATGCGCCGCCAACCCCAACATCCGCTACGAATGGCGCTCATACTCGGCCTCGGACCGCCTCGGGTTCGTCAAAGCCATCAAGTGCCTGATGGGCAAGCCGCCGTCGGGCAAGTTCCCACCGGCAACAAGTCGCTACGAGGACCTGGTGCGCCTCCACCAGCAGTACATGCCCAACATCCACGGCAACCCCAAGTTCCTGATCTGGCACCGCTACTACCTGTGGACCTTCCAGATGGTCCTCCGCAACGAGTGCGGCTTCAACGGCCCCTTCCCGTGGTGGGACGAGACTCTGGACGCCGGCAAGTTTGGCCAAAACGACATGTTCACCAACAACAACTACTTCGGCCACCTGCCCGGCGCCCAGAACGGCCAACCCGTCTGCATCACTAGCGGCGCCTTTGCTGGGCTCACCTGCAACATTGGCCCGGGCTCGGGCAACCGGCCTCACTGCCTCTCGCGCGCCGGCGACGCGTCCTTGACCTCGCAATGTAACTCTGCCTTCGTCAACACGTGCAACTCGCGCGGCTCCTATGCCGACATGGAGAGCTGCAGCGAATACGGGTAAGTCGACTCAAATCCCTGGAGGAGAGGAGAAGAGAAAGAAACGTGCCTGGCCAGCCTGCTAACACATCCATCTCCTGTGTAGCCCCCACGCGTATGGACACAACGGCATCGGCGGCGTCATGTCGGACGTCTCGGCGAGCCCCAGCGACCCCATCTTCTGGATGCACCACAGCTTCATCGACCACAGCTTCCGCATCTGGCAGAACGCCAACCCCTCCCGCCTAACCACCATCAATGGCAACGACGCCAACGGCAACCCCCTCACTCTCGACACTGTGGTCTCTATGGGCGGCATCATGCCCGACGTCAAGATCCGCGATATTCTGGATACCATGAGCGGCGTCACCATCGGCGGCAAGCCGTGGTGCTACCGCTATAATTACTAGGTCGGACATGGCGTTCTCACTCTAATACACAGCGTTGGAAATTAATTTGGGCTTGGGGACATTGCATAACTACTCCCCATTACTACATAAACCTAGCATTCATTTATTATTAATATTTCCTTGTACCTATTACAATAGACTACAGCTTGTCTAAATCTGCCATAATTTAGGACTGGAGCGCAGCTGAGGCTGGCTCAGATTGACTCGGGCATTCTTTACCGGTCTGCCTTCTCTCTACTCTCTTGTGAGGGAGGGCAGTTGGAGTGACATACTGTACATCTGTACATGGAGATGAACGCTTGCAGCACGTTCGAAGCCAACTCATCTTCGGCAACTCCCATTCCATTGGCATCTCAGCAATTGACTCCACTGATATCAGCCGCTTCATTCAAGTCTCTCCAAAAGGGTCCCTCAACCATCGTGAGGCGTCATCTGTCATCCCAGATGACATTCAACCACCACGTGATTGGCCAGGTGACTAGACCCTGCACTTGTAGTAACCAATAAACATGCGCTGAATATTTCGCGTTTTCACACGTCGAGAACGTGGGATGGCCACTGCAAGCATGGGATTGGCGAAACCTTCAATGGCAGAAGAGGGGCTTACACTCTCACCTTTGTTCACACAGGTACTCTCCTGTGCATAGTTATTGACATCCATCTTCTAATTGACAAATATCTACCAGACATTTGCAGGATAATGAAATTGGACCGGTGGGGTAGACCAAGTGCGAACGAGTTGTTAGAAGATACATGGTGGGGAAAGCACGCTCTTTCTCCCCCCTTCTGGACCGCCCTGTAAAGTGGTCTCGTTGATCCTTCTCGCTGTAGTGGGTGTATTCCCGGCTTGTTTTGCTATCTAATTATGTTAAATATGTCGTTTGGAGATCCTACCCCTCTGCCAGATATCCACTGTTCCTTCAGGCTCGACTGCCTGCTGAAGCGAAATATGCGATCCCAGATGATTCCTCTGAAGAGCCACGCAAACCACACGATGTAACACGGCGAGGGGTTGCACAAGGACCGCGACATCAGCCTCGGCCTCTTCAGCCATCCATCTACACACCTGAAGCACGCAAAGACACCCGTCAGCAACCCATAAGCGGTTCATCCATCCCTCCGATTCATCTGGAGCTTAGTTCCTTTGGAAGTTGACTCTACCCATTCTATCGGGTCTTATTTTGGTAAAAGGCTGGGAATAGTTGGATGATCGGTGGTAGACAGTGTGTAAGCTGAAACCGAGGCTTGCGACCATAGGTTAGTAAGACGGGCAGGTGGCAGGTGGCAGGTGGCAAGGGCAGCGCCACGCAGATCTCTCGCAGATCCGTAACTGTTGCGCAACACAGCGCTTCTAACATTCCCGATATGTTGTTCTATTCGTTGTTTCCACTAATAGCTTCGCCAATCGCATTGCTTAGCGGGGGTGAGACACTGCAGGTACGACGGATACGCTGCAGCCCTCCTTTAAGCCTCCGGTTGTGGCGTATCTCAAGTTCAACTTCAACTTCAACAACGTTGCCGCGGATCGTCATTGGTTTGCTATTTTCAGAACCCGAGCCTGTGAAGACTTTGATAGTCATGATCACCACTTACGTGGAAGCTGAAGTCTTACGCCTCGCCGTGGAACCAAACTCGACAGTGGAACCAGGATGCGGTGCCATGCGGACACTGATAGAATCCCATTGGCACGGAACAGCATTGAAAGGCGTAACATTCGCGGAGCGAAATGCGATTGCTTATGCCCCTGAGCCATGTTGGTAGCTGACCGCATCTCTCGTCTAATTATAGGTGTCGACAAGCATAAAAGGCGGCTCCTCCTCCCTCGACAACCTATCCTTCGCAAATCACTAAAGCCATCATCAAAGATAAACACCTCTACCACCATCACATCACACTTGACAACCACACTTGGCCACTGCCTCTCTAACAAAAACCACCGCCGCAATGCAGCCAAAGTCCCTCCTCGTCCTTCTCACCGGCGTCATCGCTGCCGTCGCCGCTGCGCCCACTCCGGAGCCCGAGCTCCAGGACCGCGACGAAGTCGAAGCCAGGTCCAAGTCCTGGACGGCCGAGGGCGGATGCAAGACCGATTGGGCCGACCGATGCAATGCCCAATGCATCGGCGAGGGCGTCAAGAAGCACGGGTGCACGAAGAGTGACGTCAGGTCGGGTATCGAATCGTCTTCCTGCCTCGTCGGATGGAACATCTGCCACTGCCAGTGCTAGATGCTCTAGTATCTGCGGCATGCAAGGCGGAAATTGATGTCATGATCAAGGACACCGTCACTAGCAGTGGGGCCAGAAATGTATGGGAAGATATGCCGGTTCACATTATGGAATGGACCTGGGCGCGTTTGATGCGATACATTGAATGTACGGCAACGATGTGAGGGGGATGGCGCTACATCAATCAGTCTATGAAAGGCCTGTCATTCGTTTCGCAACCTTCGTTTTAGCTCAATATTTAGCTCAATATTTCTCAGGCTGGTTTCCTTCTTGACCCTGTTTGAACAGCTCTCGAACGATCCGTGAAATCCCAGCGCATGTCTGAGCCCTCCCCCGCACCCCTTTTCTATTCCTTTTCCCCCCACCCCTATGTTCCCTCCGATTGTAAGGCTTTGCACCTCTGCGAAGTACCTTTACAACATGCTACGACTTGATCAAATTATACACTTAGCACGAGTACCTAGCATGACGTAAAAGTTAGAGTCTACTAGGGCCTGTCAAAAGATTTGCCACCCAACTGACACCTGGCGTGCACAGACCCCTCGTCCCTGGGAAATTCTCATCAGGGATAAAATACTATTGCCAACTGATTGAAAACCTCTGATAAGAGTCGATCGACGATGGACTCCAACGGAACCGACCCATCACGGACACGAAAATACCGATCAAGGAGGCAAAGGCCGTAAGCTGACTTCTTTTATTGGTTCACACTTTATGCTGCTGAGCCTCTCGCTGATTTGGAACAAGATGTGACAATTGCCGGCGCCGCCGAGTTTGCTGTCTGCGAAATGAGAACGAGTCATGTTCTCTGTGTCGGAGCCGCGGATTGAATTGCACCTTTCTCTCGTCGCCAAATCCAAAGGTTCGCGCATCTCCGGCTGCGAGTGGAAGGAGTAATAAACCTGGCGATGATGTCATTGTCCACACCAGTGCCGCCCCATCGAGACCATGGCCGACACGGTTCCAAACGGAGGAATGCCTTCCTGCAGTAGGTGTCGGGGAACAAGTCTCTGCGGGGGAGGACACCTCCAACAACCCGGGGACTCTCCAATTTGTCGGTCTTAGTGGTGACCAGGACCCTTTCATTCTGCAATATTGCCCGACGAAGCGCGTTCAAGGCATCGACGGCATCCAATGGACTTGCCAGCGCCTCGGCAACGACCCGCGATTCCCGGCCAGCTTTACGGCGGTGCCTGACCAACATCTGGACGCCCGCCCCAGCTATTATCCCGTGGCCCGCATACAGGAGATAGCGTCACCTCACCACGATCAACTGGTTAACGCCTTCTTCGAAGTCGTCCATCCGGCCCTCCCGATCCTGGATCCACAGTCGTTTTCCTGCTCAACGGCTTGCTCAACACTGCTAGCTTCTGTCTTTGCCCTCGCGCACCTTTACTGCCACGAAGCCCAAGCCATCAACCCCTGGCTGTTTATGGATTTCAACAGTCAAGCTCTACCGATCGAGGCACGCAATGCGAAGCTCGAGACGGTGGAGGCAGCACTGCTGCATGCACAGCGCCACACGTACGTTTTCCGGGCCCCGACGATGCCGGGAATGTGGGCCGAGGTCGGCACCATCGTGGGCATGAGTCAGGATGTTGGGCTGAACATTGATGCCTCGACATGGAATATCCCAGAGGGCCAGAAGAAGCGGAGGAAGAGACTCTGGTGGGCAGTCTACATGCAAGACAAGTGGGCCGCCTTGACTCTGGGTCGGCCTTCATACATTCATGACGACCAGAACGACGTCGGGGATCTCGAGGTTACCGATATGATCCCCGACCAGAGAGCCGTTGCAGATGTGCGAGGCCTTCCGGCCAGGGTATTCGTTGCGGCTGCCAGGCTGACCGTCATTCTCTCCGATATTCTTTCTCAGCTGTACACCGTCAAGGGGGTGAAAAGGCTCCATTCGTTGGAAATCCAGGAATGCCATGACATCGCCAGTGCTTTCTTGGCACGCCTCGACAGGTGGAGGGAAGAGCATCTCGCTCCTCTACTTGAACACCATATCATGCACGATCCTACAGGTAAGGAGGAAAAGCGAGGTCCTAAGCAAAGTAATCAGATCGTCACTAACACCACCACCGCAAAGGCAACTTACAGCTCGCTTACTACACCATCGAGATCACATTATACCGCGCCATCCTCCGCACTGCTGCCGGCCGTCAATACCGCCAACGCTCAGCTGCTGTCGTCTGCAACGTCATTGATTGGCTGAAGAACCTGCAGGTAAACCGCCTGTCGGGATTTTGGTGGCTAAGTATGGCAGCTCCCGGTCACATTGCATCTGCATCTCAAATTACTGACGAGTGTTCCCCTTACAGCTTCCAAGATCAACTTCGCCATCGCTGGGGGGTTTATGGTCGGCATGTTCCTGTCCGCCACCGAGGACGACGAGGTGAATTATTGGATGAAGCAGATCACGACATATCGCGACCTGCTCAAAGCACATTCGGTCAATTTCAACATCACAAAGCTGGCGTCCATTCGAATGGACCTTCTGCTCCAGCGAGACTCTTCCAACAACGCCTCTACCGGCGAAGATGAGGCGGAAGCAGATCTAAATACACGCCGTGCGGCGGCACAACTACAGGAGCTGGAAGATCAGGAGCAACGGGTCGCCAGGGGAGGCAGTGTAGGCGAGATCAATGATTCCTCATTATCCGAGGCTCTGCGGGATGACTTCCCGGTCGATCCCGCGGTGGCGTTTGGCAACACTTACGGACTGGAGTGGGACGCTGGTCTCGATCAACTGCTTTCTAGCTTCGACTACATCTAACTAGGATGAAATAGAGACAGTCACTCCTCGGTGGACAGCTTAGCCGACCTGGAACAATCTTGCCTCCCACGGCCGCAGTATGCTGTCACTCTCTCCTCCAGTCTTGTAGTTCCCCAAGACCAGCTCGCCCTTGAAACCAGCGGGCATAAGCGACGGGCCCAGATGGACCACCTCCTCGGAAAAGTTCAACAACACCAAGGCGTCCTTATCCCCCTTGAGCGACCGCCTATAGGCAAAGACACGCTCATCCAGCGGCTCCAGCAGCTCAAAGTCTCCATAGACCAGTGTCTTCCAGCTCTTCCTCAGCTTCATCACACTTTTCCAGAAGGCCAACACGCTGTCTGGATCCTTGACCGCGCTCTCGACATTGCAGACGGTGAAGTCCGGGTTCACCTTCCGCCACGGCGTCCCCGTTGAGAACCCGGCATTCGGCAGGGTACCGGACCACGGCATGGGGGTCCTCGCGTGGTCTCTTCCCCTCCGCCAGATATCGTTCATGACATCCTCCATGTCCGGCTCCGGGTTGCCCGTCGCCATTTGCTTCTTCTCCTTCTCCTGTCTGTAGTGCATCTCCGACACGACGTCGCCGTACTCCTCGATGCCCCACTCCTTGGGCAGGTTGATCATGCCGATATCCTGGCCCTGGAAGACGTACAGCGTCCCGCTCAGGGTAGCCAGGTACAAGGCCAGCAGCTTTGAGGACAGCCAGCGGAACTCGGGCTTATCCGAGCCGAACCGCGACGTCGACCTGCCCTGGTCGTGGTTCTCCATGTACAGGCTGTTCCAGCCGCCGTTCTCCTGCATGGTGGTCTGCCACTTGTTGGTGATGCTCTTGAGGGCCGGGAGCCGGAAGGGGCGCCACCCGAGGATGGTGTCGGGGACGCGGTCCACGTCCATGTGCTCCCAGGGGAAGATCATGCAGAACTCGTGGCGGTCCGGGTGCACGAACTGCAGGGCCATGTCGGGCTCCTCGACGTGCGGGGTCTCGCCGACGGTCATGACGTCGTACTTGGAGAGGACCTTTTCGCCGAGCTCGCGCAGGAAGTCGTGGCACTTGGGCCGGTTGAGGTACAGGTGCATGGCTGGTTGGTGGGGGACGCCGGGCTCGACGATCTCGGCGTCGGGGAAGCCTGGAGCCTTGGCGATGTAGTTGATCGCGTCGACCTAGTCGTTTATATTCGAGATTAGTCGGGGCCTGGGGAAGGTCGGACGGAGAAAGAGGGAGTAAGGGATGGTAAGCGTACACGGAAGCCGTCGATTCCTTGGTCCAACCAGAAGGTCATGATGTCTTGGACTGCCTGTCGGACCTCGGGGTTCTCCCCTATTATTTATTTCATGTTAAATCTGGGATCATGGAATGTCAAGTATCGATTGGGTTGGGATATGGTCGGTCATCTTACAGTTGAGGTCTGGCTGGGTTCTGGTGAAGAGGCGGAGATAATACTCGTCTGTCGTCTCGTCGTACTCCCAAGCTGACTCGGCGCCAAAGAAGGACCTCCAATTGTTCGGCGGCTGTCTGTTCCCTTGCTCATCGTACTTTGGCGGCTGCCAGTAATACCATGATCTCTTGTTGTTCTCCTTGTTTTTCCTTGACTCGACAAACCACTCGTGCTCGTCCGAGGTGTGGTTCACCACCAGGTCCATGATGATCTTGATCCCAGCCTTTTTCAGGCCAGCCTTCAGCTCCCTCCAGTCGTCCAGCGTGCCGTAGGGAGGGTGGATGTCGCGGTAGTCGGAGATGTCGTATCCCATGTCCCTCTGCGGGGATTTGTACATCGGGGACAGCCATACAACGTCGACGCCGAGGGACTCGAGATAGGGTATCTTGGACGTGATGCCCTTGATGTCGCCGATGCCGTCGCCATTGGAATCGCAGAATGAGGCAGGGTAGATCTGGTACACGGTTGCTTCCTTCCACCAAGTCGGTTTCTTGTGGAGGTCCGAGCCGGAGAGCTGGGTGTGCTCGGGCTTGGAAGGGGGGGCGGGAATGCTGTTGGAGATAGCCATGGTGGACGGAATGCTATCTGACGACAGGGTGCTTTCTGGAGAAGTTCTGTCTCACGGAGAGTGTTATCTGGCGCAGAATGCTTTCCGAAGAAGAATACATTGGTCAATACTGTTCGAGAAATGCCATCTTTTGTACTAGTACCTAGTCCACGCATTTTCCTATCTCACAATCTCCAAAACTTCCACGTTCCCAGTCCATCCCGGGGAGGGCGATTCGGCATTGGCAAGGGCGGTGCTGCGCAACGCGCAACGCGCAACAACCCTGCCCGTCTCCAACGCGCAACCATCCCAGATCCGTGCTGTCGGGTCTCTTAGGGGGGTTGGATCAAGCTTTGCGCTAACCAGCCTGCACTAGGGGAAATTTCTGACTGCCGAGTCGGACCGACGCTCGCCACCCCCTTGCCCTATCAGAGTTGCGCAACGCGCAAGTGTTCTCCAACGCGCAACGGGCAACAGCCGCGCTATTTGCAACCATGGTGGAGTCTGGAGATTGTGAAGCGAAAGACTCCTCAATCAGGGCCCGAGGAGTCTGGAGTCTGTGGAGTCTGGAGATTGTGGCGTCCAGTGCCACCCCCGCAAAAGATATCAATATCACTTCCTTTGAGCACTGGAGAGCGGAGGTTGAGTGCTACATAAGAACGTGGCATCGCGGCCTCTCTCTGCGACCATGCAACCTGCCCTGCCTTCTTACTCAGAGTGGACATCAGAGTTGAATCTTTAGTCCTGATAAGCTCGTTCTCGTCAGCAACATGGGTATCATGGGCATCAACTTCCACAAGCCACGCCTCCTGTCAGAGATGACATGGCGGGTGCTTGGGATATACATGTTTGTTTCGGTGAGTCGTCCCCACTGTCCACCATCTTGCCACTTCTCTTGGACCCTTGACTAACGCATCCATCCCTCAGTTCGGCTCCTTTGTGGGTTCTCCAACCGGCAGACATGCACCGTCCCTCTCTTCCTCCCTTCCTCCCCCTAACCGTGTCAAATCCAGAACTTCGGCTTCGATCTTGCATGGTGGTCGTCCTGCCTCGGCCTTCAACAGTTTGCCGATGACTATGGTGTCCCTAAGGGTCCTGGACAGCCGAATGTGATCCCAGCCTCGTGGCAGTCTGCTGGCACCGGCACGCCCAATGCGGGCATGGCCTTGGGCTGTATTGCCGGAGGATATTGCAGCGCCTATCTGGGGCGGAAGAAGACCATTGTCGTGCTTTCCATCATCTCCATCATTGGTGTGGTTATTCAGTGCGCTGTTCCGGTTAGTCCCCGCCAAATTACGACCCAATTCCTTCGTTCTAGACGACTCCCAAGATGAAGAAGTCAGTTACTAACTAATGCTTTGCATCTCGTAACAGTCCTACTGGGGTATTGTTGTCGGCCGCACCATTAACGGTCTCTCGATGGGCATGGAAGCCAACGTCATCCCGACCTACAGCGCCGAACTGGCTCCTCCTGCTATCCGGGGTTCGCTTGTCAATTTTTACCAGTGGTGGCAGATTGTCGGCAACATCGTCTCGGCCAGCTGCATCTACGGCACGTCCAGGACCTTGACCGGACAGTGGCAGTACAGGCCCGTCATGATTGCCCAAGCCGCGGTTCCCGTCATCCTTCTGTGCGGTATCTGGTTTATGCCCGAGTCGCCCAGGTATGTGATTTTCTGATCTACTGATCCTCCCTATCCCAGAAAGCACTCGTAATAACAACCCTTTACAGATGGCTCCTCATGAAAAGCCGCCGCGCCGACGCCGAGAAAGCCCTCGCCTCCCTCCGCAAAGGCCAAGCAACCTCGCAAGAAGTCTCGTACGAACTGAGCCTCATCGAGACGGCGCTCCAGGAGCAGCTGGATCTCTCGGCCAACACCACGTACCTCGACTGCTTCAAGGGCTCCAACCTGCGGCGCACCCTCATCGCGGTGCTCGTGCAGCTCATGCAGCAGATCCAGGGCAACGCCTTCATGAACAACTACCTCGTCCTGTTCCTGCAGCGCATCGGCATCCAGAACAGCCTGCAGATCTACATCGCGCAGAACGCAACCCAGCTGGGCGGCATCACGCTAGCCTTCTACGCGACCGACAAGATCGGCCGGCGGCCCATCCTCATCGTGTCGGCCTTCTTCATGGGCGTGCTGATGTGGGTCGTCGCGGGGCTCGGGTCGTACACGCACGTCCAGGGCGCCAAGGCGCAGGGCTGCGTCGGCGCCATCCTCATCTACCAGGCCATCGCCGGCGGCTGCTGGGGCAGCTGCACGTGGATCACCACGGCCGAGGCCGCGGCGGCGGCGGTCAGGGAGAAGACCATCATGACGGCGACGTTTGTGAGCTTCTGCATGGTGCTGCTGATCACCTACGTCAATCCCTACGTGCAGGACGAGGGATACGGTAACCTCGGAGGCCGCGTCGGGTTCGTGTACGGAGGTTGCTCCTTCTTGGCGCTCGTCTGGGCATATTTCTTCTTGCCGGAGCTCAAGGGGAGGAGCTTGGAGGAGTTGGACGAGATGTTCGCCGCACGGGTACCGACGAGGAAGTTCAAGAAGTACGTCTGCACCGGCATCGGCGCGGATATCACGAGGCTGCAGGACAGGAATGCCGGTGCGCATGCAAAGGAACTCAGTGTTGAGCCTGATATGGTGGAGGAAGAGGTTACTGGGGACCCCGAGAAGCGTGGATAACTGCTTGTTTGATATGCTTGCTAGGAGACACACGGAGAAGAGAGCGTGAGCGAGAGCGAGAGCTGCAGAGACAGGAAGACAAAGAGACAACGAGACAGCGAGACAGAGAACGGAGACAGTGAGATAAGCCGTAATAGTTTTTTAATCCACACCCCTCATATCCTTCCCTTCATATGCAGGATCGACAGTCCCCATCTTGATCTTGCTGCCACTAATCAATCATTCGGTTTTCTGGGCGCCTTCCTTGGGTTTCTGGCCGTACACCACAATGCTGGGAAAGCAGAGTTCATCAGCAACCACTCCCGACTCCTTGCTCCAGGCAGTATCAACAACAAAGCATGGAAAAGGGTCTTACATAGGCCAGTAGCCGTGAATCCTCGGATCCCTCAGGTCCCTCCGCACGTCGGGCAGTGAGGCCAGCACCTCCTCCCTGGTCATACCGCCGCCGCGAGTCATCAGCGCCATGCTGAGTCCCTCGAGCCCGCCGTCGACGTTGGCCAGCGTCCAGCGGCCAACCTCCTTGTGCTTCTTGAGCCGTGGCCACGTGTTCGTCGGCCACTTGAAGAGCCTCCTCTCGACGTTGACGAAGCCGGCCTCGGTTAGGCGCCGGTCGTGGTGCGCCGCGTCAGTCACATCGCGTCCCATCTTGCGGCTCGCCTCGATGATACGGTTGATCCACTGCACGATGGCCTGGTCGTCGTTGAGCGTGCCGTCGTCGGATTGTAGGGGAAAGCCGATGTCGATCAATTCGAGCCAGCCGCCTGGTTCCAGCCGACTGCGGGGATTGATGGCGTTAGCTGGGCTAGAAGGAAAGAGGGGGAGAGAAAAGGGGGGGGGGGGGACGGTTGAGGACGACTTACTCGTACGCCTGCTTCGTAAACTTCGCCCAGTCCGCAAAGCTGCCAACCATCATCCGGCTGAAGATGTAGTCAAATTTCTTGGACCACGTCCACTCCTTCTCGACGTCGTCGATTTCAAACTCGCAGTTGGGAGGAATACTGCCAAGTCTGTCAGATGTGATACTCCTGGCGCAGCTCCCCAGGCTGGATTTTCCTAGGTTACTTACAAAGACGGCTGTATTGGGCTGAGATCTACTCCAACAACCTAGACGAGCCACGTCAGTGGTAATTACCTAGTTCAGTAGCTCAGCAGTCCAGTAATTAGTCGTGGAGGGGAGTTGCAAGAGATGGCCGTCTCGTGACGACGAATTTCCATACCTCTGCGTTTGGATGCTCGTCGGCTGGTGTGATTGATAAGTGTCAGCTGAGGTCCGTGAAAATATAATTAGGGGGTCATAGTTGGCGAGAGAAAAAGGACAAACCGAATTCGATGGCCCATATACCAGTTCCGGTCCCGACGTCGAGAACGCGCTTTGCTGTATCGGCGCCAGGCGCAAAGTGTCGCCTGCCTCCAAAGGTCAAGAGAAGATGGTGGTTTTGGATATCTAATTAATTATAATTATCAGCTTGTTGGTGGCTCGGCCAAGCGTCGCATCGTTCTCATGTCACGCACCGAGTCGATTATTCTCTTCCTAGACGCCGGCCTTGTAAGTAATCATCGTTTCAAGTTTGCTCGTCTTGAGGATTCACCCAGGCTTACGCACTTCGTCATTCGGCCATACGTATTCTGAACGGCTGTAAGCGATATTATCCTACTACACCTTGAACAATTGATCGAAGCTTACTTCCTTGGCTAAGGGCATGATACTGCCGGCCATTCTCCTGGTGGTAATTGTAGATGCTCGACCGTAGCGATGCTGTCGAGATGTCCTCGGGGTTCTGAGGCCCACCTGAGTTCAGCGACCGCAGTCAAGTCATGGTAGGGAGGCTCGAAGAGGCAAACTCACCACTCCGAGTGCCGAATCGGCGTCAGAAAAGTCGTCAGCCGCCTGTATCTCAACGTTAGCATTATGTCTCCCCAGAACAAACGACATCTTCGACATCTTTGCTGTCGGCGTGGCATAATTACCAATGGCTCGTCATCAGCAGGCGATGGCGCATGAGGAATACTGCTGGCCATCCTGGACGTAAAGTGAAGAGGTCGGGCCGCTTGAAGCTAGCTGAATAAGAACTGCTTGTGCACCAAGTCTTCCTTGGGGACCTGGCCAGGGGATATTCTTCGAAAGAGGGGAGAAGGAGCGAGGGAAATAAAACAAAAACGGGGAGAGACGGCCAGTTTTGCGTTTGCGACATTGCTGTGTCTCTGCATGAACCCCCCACCTTCTTGCCGCTCGGGCAAGACTGAGAGTTCCCCGAATGCCAAGAGAGTAGCAGCGCATGTGTTGGTAACAGTGTTGATTGGGCTCACATCTGCGATTATGCAGCGGATGTCCAATGCTTGCTCCGCGCCATGCAGGAGAGCCAATAATGAAAGCAATGGACGTCTGATTCGGAAAAGTGGCACGATAAAGTAGGGGCGAGACCTTTGTAGACCGAGGACCAGCTGCCTGCCATGGGAATGATCGCGATGGTGCCCTCAGACAATGACATCGTCAGGCTGGGCCCGGTGGTTGTGTCACTCCTCCGGTTCCTTCCTCCGAACCCCCTCGGCTTGACCTGACTCAATCCCACTCCTCAACTCGGCATTGGTAAAAAGAACCCGTTGCCGAGACATCGCCAAGACATGCTCCGCGCATTTGTCCGGCTGGCCTCGACCAAATGGACGCCGAATCTGAACTCCGCCCACAACCCCTTGATTAGCCAGCGACCTCCACTCCATACCTGTCTACACCATCACGAGCCCAAACGTCTGTAAGCGGCCCAGGCACACACAAATCGACTCCGGAGTTGGGGCCGGGTATCCACTCCGATCCTCCGACGCCGAGACCCACAGGCTCCCGCCAACATTGAGGAGGGCATCCGCATCTGGCCGCCCATCAAGGACATCTCCATCGATACGACTTCGCAGTTATTGATGTGCAAAACTCATCAAGAACTCCTTCTCTGGTGTGTCGATTCAGTCCAATTTGCTCCGGTGGATTTCACAAGGAGCGGACTTGGCTGATGGCTCTCACAGATGTTCGCAATACGCTCGCAGTTTGCCTCAGCTTAAGGGCCATTAGCCATCAGGTTCTCGTGTTAGGGAGGGATAGATAATTACAATGTAGATGGCCAAAGAGTAGAGGCTATGAAAACGTACATAAGTCTTCCAGATCGATCTTAACACCCACAGCTTGGGATAGCCAAATGGTGAATGAGAAACTTCGACCATGAAATCCCTCCTCCCCCCCCAAAAAAAACAACAACATGAACGTTCATGAGGGTTGCCAGAACCTTGGTTCCTCAAACTAATTAATTAATGGCCGACAAAACCTTCTCTCGTCCATAATAAATAACTTATCAAGAGGCTGAAGTTGAGTTTACCAGAAGGAGAACTGAGCCCGTTATTGACTTTACCAGATATCTCCTACCTGGTCGATAATTACACGTAAGGTTAACAGGGCTTGGCTATAATTAGCGGTGCAGCAGTGATCTAGCCAGCCTTGGCTCACAGATACCCCTGGATCTCACCAGCCTAGATCGTTCCACATAAACGAGACCCGTGCAAGACTCGAACGACAAAAGGAGTTTGATTTTACGAGCTGTAATCGATGGGAAGGCTTGGCATTTTGACGATTTTATGGCGTGAGGTGACGTGCACCTCCACCTTGCCTCTAGATTCAGCCGCGGCGGGATGGAGCGGATACAAAGCGTGGAGGTCAACTGCCGGCAAAATTAAATTAAGCTCCGTGGCCATGTTAAGCAGCGACGGTGCTAATGATACAGCTCCCGGTTAAGGCAAAGGGAGGTAGGAGCACACGTTTCATCCATTGAGCTTATCCGGGAAAAGGGCCAAGATGTAATGTGGCAGCTCGATGCATCTTCGATGATGCCTTGCCCTTATTCTTGCCTGTCGTATGCAGGTACACTACTATGGTAACCTGGGAGTTCCGAAAGACGGCAGTCTTCTCGTTTGGTAAGCCGTGTCAAACACACACACACACGCACACACACAAAAACGAGCCAAGAGATGATGTTCCAGAACGCCATCGTTGCAGTGCCAAGCAGCCTTCCCGTCCTCGGAGTTACCTGCCACCTGCACCACGGCAGAATAAGCTTGCCAAGGAAAAGAAACGGTACAATCAGTGGTAGGCAAGGTGACATCGACTAGAAAGCAAGCAGTGCGTAGTGCGTAGTGGTGAACATAGTAGAGACGGTGCCGACATCCGACGCGGAGTGCTAGCACTGACAATCTGTAAAGCAAGTCGCCTCCCTTTGGTGCAGGGCACTTTGTATCAGCTATATTCTCCCCAATGCGGCAATATTGACGACTTCCGAAGCGCGTGTGTTCTTTACGGAGCTGTTAGTAATAATAATATTGATTGCATGAGGTAGACCCCAGAATCGGTTCCTGAAAGTGTGAACCCCCCTTGTAGTCACCCTTGGGGCATTCCACCCACCTATACCCGACCACTCTTATTGCAATGCGTGTGGAGAAGAGCAATAACGGGTATCCCGACGTCATTCAGTTTCACCACTTTCAACACGTGTTTTCTTTTTTAACATTCTCAGTTTCTCCTCCCAGTCCCCTCTGCGTCTCCCCCGCCCCCCAGCCCCCCTTCGCCCTTCGCCCTTTCCCAGGTATTACCCCGGCTAATTATTCCCATCCAAACGGGCCAGATCAGCATGGCCTCCGCACAAGACACGCCCCACCCTTCGGCGGAGAGGATCGGGCTCTCGGGCCCCGTCGACACGACCGCGCCCTTCGACCCGGCCGGCGTGGCGGGCAAGACGATACTGATAACGGGCGGCGCGTCCGGGATTGGGGCGGCCTTCGCGCGGGCCTGGGCCGCGCACGGCGCCAACATGGTGGTCGGCGACGTCGACGAGGCCGCGGGCCAGGAGCTGGTGGCCGAGCTGCGTACGTCGACGGGGTCGCCGCACCACCACTTCCAGTTCACCGACGTCACCAACTGGCAGAGCCAGGTGTCGCTGTTCCAGACGGCCGCCCGCCTGAGCCCGACAGGCGGCATCGACGCCGTGGTGCCCAACGCGGGGATCGCGCACGGCGGCGGTCCGCCCACGGCGGGGTTCGAGAACCCGCAGGGGCTGGACGGGAACAACCCGCCCGAGCCCAAGTTCAAGGTCGTGGACGTCAACCTGACGGGGGTCATGTACACGGTCCACCTGGCGCTGTTCTGGCTGCCGCGGAACACCACGCCGCCCGACAAGTTGAGCGCCGACGGCAAGGCCGGCTGGCCGTTCAGGGACCGACACATCCTCCTGATCGGGTCCATAGCCGGCATCATGCCGCTCATGGGGTCGGCGGACTACACCGTGTCAAAACACGGCGTCACGGCGCTGTTCAGGTGTCTGCGCGGCACGGCGCTGAAGCGGGGGATACGCGTCAACATGATCTGCCCGTGCTTCATCGACACCAACATGCTGGCGAACCCCGTGATGCTCGTCCTCGCCGGCGGCGGGCTGGGCGAGCTGCGGGATGTCGTCGACGCGGGGACGCGGTTCATGGCGGATAGGATGATCGCCGGCCGCGCCGTGGTGATCGGACCGAGGATGAAGGTCGAAGACGGCGAAGACGGCGAGATCCGGCTGGTCGGGATACCTAGCCCAGGGGACGAGACGAAGGGTGTGTGGGAGTGCTATGCTCATGACTATGAGCATATGGAGGCATTCTTCTACAGATATACCCGCCTATTATATGCTTTTGCAATGGTCAGGGGCTGGCTTGGCTGGGCAAGGGATGTGGTGTGGATCATATTTCGTAGGAAGAAGTAAGGATCGCCAGAGGAGGAGTTAGTATTAGCATGGCTTATTGGGACCGAGGCCTTCATTTTTGTCTAGACCCAGGGAGAATAGAGGGTATCGTTGTTGACCTCCCCCTTGAGCGTAACCGAAGATCCAGGGCACCGGACAAACATGCTTCAGACTCAACGAGAGAGAACCCATGCCCGACGTTCTGGCCGAAAAAAAGCCTTGATAGCATTGCCTTGTCCGGCAGCAAAAACTGTGGACTCCATCATACTAATTCTACCCGTTCAACTTTAGAGGAATGTGTTATTTCTGGCCGTGAATGTTCCAACACAAAACCGACTTGAGTATCCGTCATCAGTATCTAATTATAGCTCTAGAAAAGGTTCATGGTCGACCGAGCTCGCTGTATCGTCGTACCCCCATCTCCTGGTGCTAATCAATTCTCTAAGCTGGGAGGGGTTGTCCCGAAAGTAGGTGCTTCCTCAGGTTCGTCCCGCGGGGGGAGGAGGAGGAGCTGTGCTTAGTAGCTAATAGAGCTAGCATGCCACCCATGACGAGGCGGCGTTCTGTAACTTAGCGCCCATGCGCGTCCTCTTAGCTCGCTTAACCTACGGAAGCTTCGAAGCTGCATAACAGGGAAACTATAGGCCAGGATTTAATGCACCCTCTTAAACGGCATGACACTTCAACTCGGTGAAAGATGTGTAGGATAGCCGCGCAGCCGGGCCGGCTGATCGCCAGGGGACTCCCTCTTTTCAGACCAGTAAGTAGGCATCTCAGCCGCTCATTAACTGGCCACGAGGGGTGATTAATAGAAGGAGTACCGCGCCCAAGTTATGCCATCCGCCAGATCGGCATCAGAGCTCGAAGAGCAGTGAACCAAGCATTGGCCACCAGTCGGTGGCTCGAGGGTTCTCCCTCATATGATGCTCTACTCCGCGTACGAGAGATAAAGACATATGCTTTTGTGAGGACCCAGTGGCAACTCCGGAGGGTGATAACGGCCCCGCGACCGGAGAAGCAATTAGTGATCGACAGCTGCTACTATCAGATCACTTATCGAGGAGCAATAATTGACAAAAGATAAGAACCCCAAGGGTCCTTAAGTGAGACGCGCGTTCTGACTACGCAGGAGTGCTGTAACCGGGCGAGCGCCAAGACCCGGGAATGCAAGGGGAGGGGGCGGGCGATATTATTGGGGGGGGGAGGGGGGGAACGTTGTTGGTTTCGGTGGCGGTTTGATGGAAGGGATTGTTCAGATAGTCAGATAGGGCATGTTTAAGCAATATATTGGGATGATTGGCAGCAGTTTAAATTCTACGTTTTATGTGGATTGGCCCGTAATTGAGCAGTGCCGGGTGGCTTTAATCGGGGGTATAAGTCCCATATAGTCCCCGTCAAACGACGAGGCGAAATACCCGATTTGGCCAATTTGCGGGTCAAGCTCCGTAGCAAATGCGGGCGTTTCCACTTTTCCCACGACCTCGCCTAACTGGCAACGGTATTTAAGAGTCTTGGCACTCATGGGAGCCATCTCCAAACTCATCTGCCGGCTCGGAACAAGCAAGTTGACGGATATGGCATGGGCAATAGGAGAATGCGGAACAGAATGGGGAATGAGATGGGCTTGGTGGATTCGTGGCTGGAAACCAGTGCTTGGAAGTCCAACCTGTTTTTTTTTTACCTCTTATACCGATGCCTTGGGCGCCATCGGGCAAGTGCAGTTCCAGCTGGTGCTCTTCGCTTTCTTTACCCCCAACCGCCGCCCCCGGTACATCCCCGTCAAGTTCGACTTAGCAGCTGCTGCACATGCTATTGTTGCATGTCTCCAAGCAGTGCTTGCTTGCTTGCTCGGGCTGAGATAACCGGATCTCCGATTCCGAATCGTGACGATTCACCTTGTCCACTCTCTCCACCTTGGAAGCCATGTCGCCCTCCGCCGTTCAGATCGAAGATTTGAGCTCGGCACCGTCAACACCTGCCACCGAGATGGCCGACAATGCGTCTAACGGGTCGACGCCTGGGATAACCACCCCAGGAACCCCATCCCCGGGAGAGCCCACGTATGCCTTCTTTACCAACGGCACCAATGGCGCCAGCAACGGCACCAACGGAACCAACGGCACCAACGGCACCAACGGCACCAACGGTATTCACAGAACGAACGGAACCAATGGCACCAATGACACCAATGGCACCAATGGGTACTTTGCTGCCAACGGTGCCGCTCAACCCGCTACCGGAACCAAGTTCGAACCTGTCGCCATAATCGGCATGGCCTGCCGCCTCCCCGGTGGAATCTCGGACCCGGAAGAATTTTACCAGCTCTGCTGTCGTGCCCGCAGCGGCTGGTGCGAGATGCCCGAGGAGAGGTTCAGCAAGGCCGGCTACCACCATCCCAATCCCGACAAGCTGGGCTGCTTCAATCCCGTCGGCGGCTGCTTCCTGACCGAAGACGTGGCCCTGTTCGATGCCCCGTTCTTCAACATTACCGAGAGGGAGGCCATCTCGATGGACCCTCAGCACCGTCTGATCCTCGAGTGCACCTACGAAGCTCTTGAGAACGCCGGCATCCCCAGGCACAAACTTGTCGGAAAGAATGTCGGCGTTTATGCCGGCGGGTCCTTCACCGATTACGAGCTGAACAACCTGCGAGACCTGGACACGGCTCCCATGTACCAGTCTACCGGAAACGCGCCCTCGCTCATGTCGAACCGGATCTCGTACTATTTCGACTTCCGTGGCCCCAGCCACACGGTCGAGACGGCCTGCTCATCCAGTCTGACGGCGCTGCACCTCGCCATGCAGAGCATCCACAGCGGCGACTCGTCTCTCGTAGTGCTGGCTTCGAGCCATTTGAACCTTCTTCCGGACCATTTCGTCTCCATGTCTTCCCAGGGTCTCCTGTCCAGCGACGGGAGGTCTTACGCCTTCGATTCACGGGCAAACGGGTTCGGCAGAGGCGAGGGTGCGGGCGTTGTCATCCTAAAACCCCTCGCCGACGCCCTGAAGGACAACGACAACATCCGGGCGGTCATCGTCGGAACGGGCGTCAACCAGGACGGGCGCACCAACGGCATCACCATGCCCAACGCAGACGCGCAGCTAGACTTGATGAAGAAGGTCTACAGCGACGCGGGCCTTGACCCAAAGGACTGCGGATACGTCGAGGCGCACGGCACCGGAACCAAGGTCGGCGATCCGCTCGAGATGGGGGCGCTGCACAAGATGTTCGCCGAGGGCCGAAACTCACGGAAGCCGCTCTATGTGGGCTCCGTCAAGACCAACATCGGCCATCTCGAGGGCGCCAGCGGCATCGTGTCCCTCATCAAGTCGGCCATGATGCTGCAGAGGGGCTACGTGCTGCCCAACTACGATTTCAAGAAGGGCAACCCGGAGATCCCGTTCAACAAGTGGGGCATCAAGGTCCCCTCGAACCTCATCCCCTGGCCGAAGAGCAAGAAGTACATCAGCGTCAACAGCTTCGGCTTCGGTGGCGGTAATGCCCACGCCGTGCTGGAGGCACCCCCCAAGCGCCTGAACATCCCGACGGCGTGGGATGGCGAGTACGCCGAGCCCCGCCGCCTCTTCGTGGTCTCGGCCCACAGCAAGGAATCCCTCGCCGCCCAGATGCAGAACGTGACCGTGTATCTGGAGCGCCACCCAGTGGCCTTCCAGTGGAACCTGATGGCCAACCTCGCCTACACCCTGGGCCAGAGGAGGTCGTTCCTGCCCTACAAGGCCGCCGTCTGCGCTGCCGACGGCGCCGCATTGACCTCGGCCTTTTCCATGGCGCCATCGAACCCCGTGAGGACGACCACCCAGCCCAACATCGGGTTCGTCTTCACCGGCCAGGGCGCACAGTGGCACGCCATGGGGCGCGAACTCGTCGGCGCGTACCCGATCTTCAAGCAGTCGCTCGAGAAGTTCGACGCCTGCTTGGCCCGCCTCGGCGCGAGCTTCAGCCTGATGGAGGAGCTCAACCGCGACAAGGATACCTCCCGTCTCTCCGACGCCGAGCTCAGCCAGCCCAGTTGCACGGCCATCCAGCTTGCCCTGGTCGACCAGCTATCCGCGTGGGGGGTCCACCCCAAAGCAGTCGTGGGCCATTCCAGCGGCGAGATCGGCGCCGCGTATGCTGCGGGCGTTCTCACCCTCGAGGAGTGTGCCGCCGTCGCGTACTACCGCGGACAGTCGGTGCTACAGCTGAAGGCGGCCCACCCCGGGCTCCAAGGCAGCATGCTCGCCGTCGGCGCCGGACCGAGCGAGATCATGCCCCTGATCAAGACGCTCAAGGCCGGCAAGGCCACCATCGCCTGCGTCAACAGCCCCGGGAGCATCACGGCCTCGGGCGACGAGGAGGCCATTGCCGAGCTGCAGGCCAAGATCGAGCAGAAGCAGCTCTTCAACAGGAGGGTGCGCGTCGACACGGCCTACCACTCCCACCACATGGAGCTGGTGGCCGACTGGTATGGCAAAGCCGTCGGCGAGCTCGTGCCGACGGCCAAGTCGGACGTGGCTTTCTACTCGTCGCTGAAGGGCCATCGCGTGGACTGCTCCGAGCTCACGACTTCCTACTGGGTCCGCAACCTCACCCAGCCAGTGCAGTTCTCCGGGGCTCTCACCGAGATGTGCACGCCCACGGCGGGAGGCGAGAAGATCGACCTGCTCGTCGAGATCGGACCCCATTCGGCCATGGGAGGCCCCGTAAAGCAGGTACTCAAGGCCATGGAAAGCCTGACCAAGAAGCCCCTCTATCTGTCTTGCCTTGAACGGAACAAGGACGCAGTCGAGACCGCCCTCAACCTGGCCGGGTCTCTCTTCGCGCACGGCGCCATGCTCGATTTCGAGGCCATCAACTTCCCCGTGCCTCCCGCCAAGGCGCTCGAGGTGTTGACCAACATCCCCAAATACCCGTGGGACCACACGAGGCGGTACTGGTGGGAGTCGCGGATCAGCAAGAACCACCTCCACCGGCCGTTCCCTCGCAACGACGTGGTCGGCGCGCTGGCCGACTACTCCAACGAGCTCGAGCCGACGTGGCGCAACGTGATCCGCGCGGACGAGCTGCCGTGGGTGCGCGGCCACATGATGCAGGACATGATCATCTACCCCATGGCCGGCTATCTCGCCATGGCGGTCGAGGCGGCGGCGCAGAGGGCTGCGCTCGCGGCCAAGTCGTTTGACCGGTTCGCCTTCCGGGACGTGACCATCAGCCGCCCGCTCGTCATCCAGGAAGGGTCCGACGCCGAGGTCAACATCACCCTGCGGGCCTACACCGAGGGGACGCGGCAGTCGTCCAAGGACTGGGACGAGTTCCGCGTGTTCTCGTGGAACCGGGACCGCAACTGGATCGAGCACTGCCGCGGCCTGATCCGCGTCGAGCAGAGCACGGATACCAACGCCGTGCACGACACGGCAGCCGACGAGCGGGCCTCGCTGGAGGAGCGCAAGGCCAAGGTCGCCGCCGGTTGCAGCAGCAGCAGCGGCGTCGCCGTCGATCCGAAGGAGCTGTACCGCGAGCTCGAGGGCGTGTCGGCCAAGTACAACGCGCAGTTCCAGTCGATGGAGAACTGCACGGGAAGCGACACCAACTGCGTGGCCGACATTGTCGTGCCCGACACGAGCCGTGGCATGCCCAAGGGCCACGAGTCGCCCCTCATCATCCACCCGGCCTTCCTCGACCAGTTCACCCACGCCGCCTGGGTCATCCTCGGCGCCGGCCGCGGGAAATTGGCCGCCCTGTACATGCCGCGCTTCTTCAAGAGCCTGACCATCTCCGCCGACGTCTGCCGGGCGCCCGGCGATCGGCTGCGCCTCTACGGCGAGGGGAATCCGGACTTTAAGAATCCAGGCTCCACCAAGATCACCATGTTCGCGACCACCGAGGACGGCGCCTCGGAGCTGATCAGCATGGACGGGCTCGTCGTGGATCCGTTCCTGGATACGGGAGGTCTATCAGACAAGGCCTCTACCCGCGAGCTATGCTACAAGATGACCTGGGAGCCGCTGTCGTCTCCCGAGGACACCAAGACGGATGCCGAGACCAACGGCGCAGAGGTTGTTGTCGCCGCCACCCACACCCCCGAATTATCGGAGAGCATCTCCATCATCTGCACGCCACAGCAGGAGAAGGCGCTGGGGTCGACATTGAAGGCGCAATTCAGCGGGTCCAGCAAGACCAGCATCACCATGGGATCCCTCGACAAGGCCGACACGGACGGCAAGCTCTGCGTCGTCATCTCGGAGCTGGACCAGCCCCTGCTCGCAACACTCGATCCAGCCAACTTTGCCCGCGTGCAGAAGCTCGCCCAGTCTGCAAAGGGCATCCTCTGGGTCGTCCGGGGAGCCCACACAGACTCGACGGATCCGCGCCTCGGCATGATCCTCGGCCTGGCACGCACCGTCCGCTCCGAGACGAGCCTGAAGTTCGCCACTCTCGACCTCGACGGCGTCACCCCGCTCTCTGCCGCCCAGGCGTCGCAGCGGATATTCGACGTCGCCCGACACGTCTTCGGCAAGGGCGCAACCCCCAGCTCGGACATGGAATTCCAAGAGCGAGGCGGCGCCCTCAGCGTCTGCCGCGTGACCGACGACTCCGAGATGAACACCTTCGTCGAGCAGCACACCAACCCCTCGACAGACCCCTTCCTGCAGCCCTTCAACCAGCCCGGGCGCCCTCTCAAGCTGCACGTCGGGACCAAGGGCGCGCTGGACACTCTGCACTTCATCGACGACGCCATCGCGGCGACCCCGCTCAGACCCGACGACATCTCCATCGAGGTCAAGGTGACGAGCATGAACTTCAAAGACATCATGGTGTCGATGGGCGAGGTTCCCAGCCCCTACCTGGGCGTCGAGTGCGCGGGCGTGATCAGCGCCGTCGGCGCCGCCGTGACGCACCTCAAGGTGGGCGACCGCGTGTGCGCCAGCTCCGAGGGCGCCTACTCGACCTTCGTGCGGTGCAGGGCCACGAGCGCCGCGCGCGTGCCCGACTCCATGACCCTCGAGACGGCGGCCACGGTGCCCGTGGTCTTCAGCACGGCCTACTACAGCTTGTTTGACGTCGCGCATCTGCAGCGCGGGGAGTCGGTGCTGATCCACGCTGCTGCGGGGGGTGTCGGGCAGGCGGCTATCATGCTGTGCCAGATGGTCGGGGCCGAGGTGTACGCTACGGCGGGGAGCACGGCCAAGAAGGCGTTCCTGATGGAGACGTACGGCATCCCGTCTGAGCGCATCTTCTTCAGCCGGGATACTTCGTTTGCCGTTGGTGTGAAGCGCGCGACGGGCGGGCGTGGGGTCGACGTGGTGCTCAACTCGCTGGCCGGGGACGCGCTGCGGGCGACGTGGGAGTGCGTCGCGCCGTTCGGCCGGTTCGTCGAGATTGGCAAGCGCGATATCCTCGCCAACTCCGGGCTCGGCATGGCTGTGTTTGAGCAGAACGCCACCTTTGCTTCGGTCGACCTCACCGTTGTTGCGTCTGACAGGCCCCTTGTCATGAGGCGTCTTCTTGAGGATGTCCTCCGGTTGCTTTCCTACGGCGCTGTCAGGCCCATCTCGCCTGTCACCACGTTCCCCATCTCCAATGTTGAGGCCGCCTTCCGGACGCTGCAGGCCGGGAAGGTCCACGGCAAGATTCTCGTCACTGCTGGGCCGGACGACATGGTCAAGGTATGTTCTTTCCCCTCCTCCCAACAAGACTATAAACGGGAAGCTAACACCAATGTCCAGGCAACCTATTCCTCAAAGACCTTTGACAGAATCCTCCGCAGCGATGCAACCTACATCATCATCGGCGGCACGGGCGGTATCGGCCGCAGCATGACCAAGTGGATGGTCAGGAAGGGAGCCAAGAACATCGTCATCGTCTCCCGGTCGGACACCATCTCCGCCAAGGTTGCCGAGGTGATGGAAGACGCCAAGAGCCTCGGCGCCAACGTCGTTCTGCGCCGTTGCGACGTTTCCGACAGCCAGGATGTTGAGCGCATGGTCGGGGAGATTGGGGCTCAGATGCCGCCGGTACGGGGCGTCATCCACAGTGCCATGGTTCTAGACGTGAGTGTCATCACTCCAAACACCCTTATCTTGCCTCACTAACACAACATCCAGGACGTCCTGTTCGAAAAGATGGACTTCACCCAGTGGGACAAGGTCGTCAAGTCCAAGGTCGCCGGCTGCTGGAACATCCACACGGCGCTCTCTCACGCAACCCTCGACTTCTTCATCGCCCTGAGCTCGGTGGCCGGCATCATCGGCAACCATGGGCAGGCGGCCTACGCCTCGGCCAACACCTTCCTGGACTCGTTCGTGCAGTTCCGCCGGCGCCAGGGCCTCGCCGCCACGGCGCTCGACCTCGCCGCCGTCAGCGACACGGGCTACTTGGCCGAGAACGCCGAGAGGCAGAGGCAGGTCATGGAGCAGATCGGCGGCGAGGCCATCGCCGAGCGGGAGATCCTCGCCCTCGTGGCGGCCGCCATCACGGGCCGGGCCGAGGAGACGTGCGGGTCGCAGGTGATCACGGGTCTCAAGCTGCCCGCGGCCACGTTCCCGAGCCTGTTCTGGTCCTCGGACGGCAAGTTCTCCGAGCTGGTGGCGCGCGCCGCGTCGGAGCAGGGCGCCGAGAGCGGCGCCCAGGCGGCGGTGTCGCCCGGCGCGGCGCTGAAGCGGGCGACGTCGCACGCCGAGGCGCACACCATCGTCGTCGAGGCGCTGATGGACAAGACGGCGTCGGTGCTGATGCTGCCGCGCGAGGAGCTCGACCCGACCAAGGATATTGTGTCGTACGGGCTCGACTCGCTCGTGTCCATCGAGATCCGCAACTGGATCACCCGCGAGCTGGGCGCTGCTCTGCAGATCCTCGACTTGCTCAGCAGCGGGTCGTTTGTCGCCATCGCGGAGCTAATTGTGAAGAAGACGGAGCTGGTTTCGTTTGAGAAGTAGGCTTGATGAGTGTGGCGTGCCGGGTGTAGGGGTGTTTTCTGGGGAGGTGTTTTTCACGTTTTACATCAGGTTGCTTCATTTCACTACGATTGTTATTATCTGAGAGATTTGTGTTTTTCTTTCCTTTTTATTTGCGATGGTTTTTGCTTTCTTTCTTTGTCTTCTTCTTCTTCTTCTTCTTCGTCTATTACTAGGCTTGCAACACATTCTGATCTTCTCTGTATCTAACCTTTTTGCGATGCCTTTGCATAACGGCAATGCTCTGCGAAGTTTTGCCTTACATAGTTTATATATCTCTTGGTATCCGTAGCAACTGTGTTTTCTCGCCGTATTTCCAGGTTTCCATCTCCGCAATCGCCGAATGGTCGTATTCGACACAGAGCTTGAAACTAGTTGTCTTGCCTACGACACTACCCGAGACTATCCGAAAATATCCAGCTAATCGCGCGTCCCTGACGAAGGTCGGTCAGCCTCAATCGGAGAGGACTGAGGCGGCGAGTAGGACCTCCCAGGAGGCGGAGGGCCTTTGAGGCCTAACAGGAGCGGAACCCTTTCTCGAGGAAGCTCCGTGGACGGAGGACTCCACCCGGTCGGCCTAGGCCTGGTGCCACGCGTATCGGGCTGCGGCTGCGGCTTGTGAAAGTAGCTATACCAATACATGATCTCCTCTGCCTTCGAGTCAAGAAGCTCATCTAGGGTGTCGTCTCCGGCCTCAGCATCTTCGTCTTGTTCGTGATCCACAATGACGACCCGATCCTCCGTAACGAGGCAGTTGACAAGATTGGCATCGTACGGCACGACACCCAGGCCCAGTATCGCCTTGAGCGACGCCCGAACCATTCGCTCGATTTCTTCCGCGCTGTATTCTATTCCCCATCGGTGATGGCGCCCAGGTGTTTGCCCCCCACATCCGACAAGAAGAGTGCCCCCGTTCCGTCAGCTCTAATCTCCCCGTAGAAGACAGGCACTACCTGTCCCTGTATGAGCTTGAGCTTGTTGTACATTCGTATCTCGGTGTCGAATTCCTCCTCCCATTCCGCTTTCAGCTTCTTGATGATGACCGTTCCGGGTAGAAACGGCCCCGGGAACCAGGTCCGGATCCAGTCCTGCGCAATATGGGGGAGCCACCGGGTGGTCCACAGGACCGCATGCCCCAAAGTCCCGTGATCGACGTTGAGCCAGAGGACGTTGTCCCAATCGCTACCAACGCGCCTTGCTAAACCAGACACGAGACTGCAACCTAGCCAAAACTAGAGCCAGTCAGCGCGAATTCCGCAAGCAACAAGTGCCCATTATACCTTGTAGTGACGCGGTTTCTCGGCCTCCACCATACTTTCTTTAGATCATCTAGATGAAGAAGCGCGTTGTTGTCCAGGATTTTGTTAATATGGTATGCGGATCACATCATTGGCTCAGCCTCCTTGCATTCGGCCCCTGCCTGGCCGGCACCCAACATAGAATGTGGAATATGCCAAACCTAAACCAAGGTATGGGAGAGTAGGACCAAGTTAAACAGACAAGTCTAGCAGGTGCAGCAGATCCATAGGGTACAGGATTCCCCTATGGAAGCCATGGACGAGATGGATATTTACGAATGACTTCCTCCAAGTATTAGTCCAAGTATTAGTTCTTACCTTAGCCCTCCCTAGTGTGCGTAGAACTAGAGGAGACATGCGTGCTTGATCATTTGTTGTCGAGTGTGGGATGTGGAGAACGGCTGGCTCGAACAGAGAAAAAAAATTCCACGATTAACAGCACTTTGAGCTTCCCAAGAAGTGAGTCGCGGGCCACGATTTTACAATGGCGTCGAGGGGACAGGTCGACTTGCATTCGTTATTTTGATCGAAGCGATCAGCAGCTGAACACAGGCCCAGTAGTGGCCTGCATTGGTGTTCCGTATCTGTTGGCGAAGCCAATGATGAATACCAAGGAGGGGTAAGGCATCTGTGAGGATCTGCCTGTAAGCCCAAGCAAGATGGCACCCCCTCATTGGGCATGGAATGGGCCAGGGGGCGTCGAGGACTGAGATGCTGCAGTCTTTCATTGGTCTGAGCAATCCGAGAGAGGGGGACGGAGAGAAGCTGAACTCGTCCACGGATATATCAGCTGCAGCTTTTCTCATGTCCTGCCAATTCGTAGTCACTTTCAGCTACCATGTAAAGTCTGTGGACGCGAATTAACTCGACAAATTGATCCCGTACCCAGATCCGTGACAATGTGCGGCTTCGGTTTTCGACGACGGGCCACGGAGTCCGATGAGGAGAATCTGGACGGCCCGGCTCGTCCGATCAAGAACCCACCAGACGTCACGGAGACTCCCAGCAGCGCAGTCCCTAAGGCAACACCTGAGGCACCACCCGAGGCACCACCCGAGGCACCACCCCTACTCCGTGTCTCAACCGATATCTCCCCTCCCGCCAACCAGCTCTGCGACACCTGCAAGCTGCTAAAGCTCTCTCCAAGACGCTTCGTCGTCCTCCCAGGCGACAAAGAATGGAACAAGCCCAACCAGCCCGACGACCTCAGCATCTCCTTCGGCAAGGTCTCGGACATCAAAGAGAAGAAATTCTGCCCGCTATGCCGCCTAGTCGTGCACGCCCTCGGCGGCGCCAGAGTCCCGAGCTTCGAGGACGGAGAGCCCGTCCGCGTTGACCTGAGCTGGAACACCGACGGGCCCAGGCCCGACGCCAGCGCGCCGTGGAGCCACGTGCCCGAGATCCGCACCCTGAGGCCGTACGCGAGGAAGCTGTCGGGCGGATTTATCCAGTCCGAGAGCCTCAATCTGTTCCCCGAGATCACGCTTCTGGCCGACGACTCTCCCGTCCCGTCAGCCACGTACTTTGTCCGGCCCATCTGCGCGGAGCAGATCGACTTTTCCCTCGCTCGGAAGTGGCTGTCCACCTGCGAGTCGCACCACGACAAGACCTGCCAGGAGGCTGTCACCATCCAGGAGATGGGCAGGTCGCATCCGGCGGACGAGATCCCGGACTTTCGGTGCCTCGACGTGGAGCAGAACTGCCTGGTGAAGGTGCCGAGCGGGAGTCGCTACGCGGCGCTGAGCTACGTCTGGGGTCGCCAGGAGTTCTTCACCACCGTAATGGCGAACGTCGATGACCTTGAGCGGGCCGGATCCCTGGAGGAGCGCGAGTATCTGAAGCAGATACCGCAGACGATCAAGGACGCCATGCAGGTGGCCAGGGAGGTCGGCATCCGGTACTTGTGGGTGGACAGTTTGTGCATTGTTCAGGACGACAACACGGGCAAGAAGTTGGACACGATCAAGAAGATGGACCTGGTGTACAGCGCTGCGCACTTGGTGGTGGTTGCCGCCAGCAGCGCGGATGCGTACGCAGGTATTGCCGGCATCCATCCGGGAACTCGGGGGGTTCGCCAGCCCATCGAGGAGATTGCGCCAGGGTTCCGACTGGCTTTCAAGACACGATGGCAGGATTATATCAAGGATGCCGTGTACTACACTCGCGGTTGGACGTTAGGACACCTTCATTCTCTTGGCTGACTTTGTTGTAAAGCTGACCAAAGTAATAGGTTCCAGGAGACGCATTTCGCCACCCGATCTCTGATCTTCATAGGCGGGCAGGTCGTTTTCAGCTGTAAATCCGTCAGTGAGTGGCAAGAGCACGTGTTTGAGACGGAGGCCGAGATAAGGGGCAAGAGCGAGGAAGAGGGCCGTGGCGGCGGCCCCTTTGAGGGGGACGACATCGGCAATTATGAAGGTCTGATCCAAACCTTCTCGGAGCGCGTGCTCTCCTTTGACTCGGACGTCTACAACGCCTTTGCCGGGGTAGCTACCCAGCTCTCTTTCCGACTGAAGACGGACCTGTGCCACGGCATCCCGACCGCCTACTTCGACTGGTTCCTCCTCTGGGGTCCGCTCTCGAACCAGGTCCGGCGACCCAATGCCCCGAGCTGGTCCTGGGCCGGCTGGGTGGGCGGCTCGTTCCCTCGGATATGGGACTGGTACAACCGCAGCATCCGCCGGGTCCAGAAGGCGATCCGGAAGCGGACTTGGGTCATCTGGTACCACCGGCTGAGCCACGACTCGACGCAATGCTTCCTCGTGCACACGCACAACAAGGCAAGCGAATCATCCAAGAAGAAGCTGAATTTCTACGGCGCCAAGTCCCACCCCCGCTTCGGCGACCTGGACTGTTCACGCACGGAGCCAACCGAGAGGATCCTCAAGATACATGCGCCTACGCCTGCGCCGACGTACACGACCGACATACTGAGCAAGCGGGCTGGATCCGGATTCCTGCAGTTCTGGACCGTCTCCCTGACGCTGAGGCTGGATGAGCCGACGAGCATCGCCGAGGACGTGGGCCCCGAGCATACCCGGCGCCGGCTGGGGATATTCGGGCGCAGCGGGCACGAGCTGGGGACCGTCTCGGTGCAGGGGGACTGGGCCAAGAAGAATGCCGTTCCAGTGGAAAGGGAGTTCATCCTTCTCTGCGAGGGCAGGGATGAGAGGGCCGAGGGTGGGAGGATCGATGATGAGGAAGGATGGAGGTACATGGCCATGCTTATCGATTGGCATGGGGAGTATGCGGAGCGGGTTGCAATTGGGTCAATCGGAAAGGCGGACTTGAAGGAGGCCCTTGGGGATGGGGCTGTCTGGAAGGAGATCATTTTAGGGTGACGAGCTCGTTCTGTCATCGATATAACAGCGTCATGTCCGAGCTATTCGAGGGGCAGAGCAAGGGGTAAAGCGTAGGAAAACGTGCCTGGTCCTGCTGAGACCACTCTCCAGCAGACATTCTCTCTGTCGGTTGTCGGAAATATAACCTATCAGCACACTCTACTGAGGACACACAGGACATCAACGTAAGGAATATGATACGATTTGATCTGGCACCCATCGTTGGTTTCCCTCAAGGTAGGTAGATATAATTAGATATACATGACTAGACGGAGATTCCGTTGCCAACTTCAAGGAAAATGTTCAGTTCTGTCTGCCTCTCCTTAGCATTCCGCGAGCGGTAGCTCACGAGAAAAGACGACCCTCGAGGTCATTTCTGAGGGCTATTAAGAGCCGTGTCCGTCGTGCTATAATTACAATATGAAGTTCCCGCCGCCCGTTCCGTTGCTTCTTCCTACACAGACCGGCCGTCAAACCAGATTAATCACCCGATCCTCGCTCTCCGCAGGGTCTTCTGTTTCGTCCACAGCGCTGCCGTGGTGTTGCACTTCCTCCACTTAAAGTTGATGGCCTCGGTGACCGGATAGGTGGTGTTGGTCTCGGGAATCTCGTACTTGCCGAAATAGCCGTACGCCTGGGTACTGTTATCTGCCTTGGTCTGGGTCGTGAGGGCGACCCGGACGTTGACGTTCAGGATGCCGTTCGCGTTGCATGGCGACCATATATTGTTAACGGGCAAGACAGCATCGACGAATTCCGTCTTGGGCAGGTCGTCCGTGTTTGTGAGCTGTTCCTGGGTCGTTTCCTAAGGGGGGTGATGGTTAATTTAATTCGATGGACAGCTCTTCCGTGGCTTATCTCGCCACCCTCCCTTAATTACTTACCGTTTTGGAAGCATCCTGTGACCAGAACGTCGTTAAATAGAATACAGCCGTAGCTCCCTTTTCCACTACGGCGTAGCCCCGGAGCGTGACGTTATCGGCGCTCAACTGCCAGCCCGTCGGGTTGCTGCCGAAGTTAATATGGGCCATGCAATTCTTGGTTCGGTCGGTGGGATTGCTGGTGATTCCAGCGGAGAAGTTGCTGAGTATGATGTCCCCGCCGGACCTCAGGTCGCCGATTACCGATCCGTTTGGGCAGCCGTTCCCGGAGAACGACACTTCGGTGATATTTGGAGCCGAAGGGGGTTCATCAAGGTCTGGGTCATCGCAGCCAACAACGGGCCTGCAGGACAGCGCACCCAGGAGGAAGGGGAGATATGTCTTGAGTTGCATGATTAATAAATTGTGGCCTTGGTTCTCGGAGCGGGAGCCGGGTTTCGAAGTTGGTCAGGGGCTTGCTCAAGAATGAAGTGGACGGACGATCTAGGGAAGGGGGCAAGCGGGGTGTATTTATTCACATTTCAAGCTTCCTCGTCGGAGGTCGGACCTGGTGGTGATGTTTGCAGCACTCGGTGGTCCAGAAACTGCGCGTAGGATTTACCAAGTTGATTGTGCCCGACATGGTCCTTTATCCATATTGGGACCCGCCTTTTCTATGACTGGTCTTTGGCAAGTTCGTGATATTTATGGAAAGGAAGCGGCTCGATCAGGTATTTTGCTGCACCCCAATTGGCTCCCCTGAGTAAGCTTATTGATTAACGTCCCCCTAATTTTTAAAACTGGGTTGCCGGGCTATAACGTTCCGTCCGGGTAGCAATGGCGGCGGCGCGGGAGGAAAGTTGGGGGGCCAAGACGTCATCGTGATAATTTGTAGCACCGTTGACTTGGTGATGGTCTTTTCTCTCAATCCTCCAATATCATCTGTGGCTTGGCCACTTTGCCAATAAGAGCTGAGGAGTGGGTTCTTCGATTGACTGATGTGATTTTGTCTTCCCCTGGAGTGAAATCAGCTGGGTCTCAACATGGTGGAAGAGGACGAGCTCTCGAGCGATTCGATAAGTATCTCCTTCAGCTCAATTAAATACTTACGTTACGCTCGATAACTGCAATGGGTTCATCTTATAACAAGACCCTCCCAAACGATCTCAAAAGTCGCCTGTAATTCCGACTTCTCTGGACTGTCTCCTCAACGGCCCCCAGTTTCAGGGTCTGTCTGGGGGCTGAGATAAGGTGCTTAGCGCCTTATGGGGGCGGTTTATCTCGCCTTTATATATTTGGTGCCATTCCAAACCATCATCACATCTCCGATGCAGTATAATTAATAATCGTATCGACGGGCAGGCTTCCCGTAGAACCTTTACGAGGCAACTCTAGCTTTCGGGCCGCGCACTCGAGGTTTCGTAAGAGGCCATTACTTTGGAAGAATGTGTGCCTCCGGGCTGCAGTTGCAGCATGGCTTTCCGCTAGCCCGAGATCGACAGCGCCGGCGTCACGGGATCAAAGTCACCTCCCCCGAAGCTCAACCACGACCCCGGCTGCAATTTCGCCTGCTCTAGGCGACAAGATCAGCCCACTCCGTCGGCGGCACCGTGTGGACACTCATCAAATACTTACCCCTGACCACATCGTCCAGGTCTTGGCTGTGTCGAGGTAGGACAGGTAGACCTCCCCGAAGACGACCAGAATGACCAAGATTTGACTTCCGTTCTGCAAGAAGGGGACAGTCGCTTCAGCTTTCCTGGCTGTGGATCGCAATAACCAGAGCCAAGATGAATGGCCCATCGCATGTTCCTACCACTCGCCTGTATCCTATTTTTTCTCCTGTCGGTGTCGGGACATGATTCGTTATCCTGAATGGCTTACCAGCGTGATTTCCTCCCAGACTCGATCGATCCATGGTCCATCCACCGATAGCTCCTCAAGTTCGAGTAACGAGTAACGCCGAGCAGCACCGGGACACCCCATCCACTGGAAGGCTCACTGGATGCTGCTCTGCCCGTGCGACATACTCGGCTGCTGGGTCGCGGGCGTCATCGGAGGAGATGGCTTCTACGTGGTCGCAGGACTTTGGTCTTTTGTGTCATACATAATATCTCCAAGATGCATGGTGCATGGGACAGAAACCACGGCACCCCAAGCACATCCTCATAATTAAAAACGGGTGTATAAAACAGCATTTCCATTCAGGACCAGAACCCTCAGTCCCTGCCTCCTTGATGTCTTCAAACTGAGGTTCAGGTGCAGCCCTACTGCGGCCCGCCAAATGGAAACACGCGCCAAAGCCACCTCTCCGCCTCGAGCTCCTCGTCGAACCTGTGGCCCCATATGCGACGGTAGATGGCCTGCGCATCTTTGTCGAGCTTCGACGACCGCATAGCCTTGATGAAGTCCCAGTACTCGGGCATGAACTCGGCGCCCTCCCAGTCCACAACGCCGGACAGGCGGCCCCCGCCGACGAGCACGTTGGGGAAGAAGAAGTCCGAGTGCGTGAACACCGACTAGTGAGTCCGAGAAAACGCTGTCGGCACTTCTCGCTTCAGGTATGGCTCGACGCTCTTGGCCAGCTGTGCGTTCAGGTCGGCGTCGCTGTTGTACGGGCCGCACCCTCGTCCTCCTCCTCCTGCGCGGCGGTCGATGATGGGGCCCCCCGACACGTTGGCGAAGAGGTAAGGAGTCTTGTTCGGGATCCGGTGCATCTAGTCCAGAACGCCGGATAGGTCGTCGGCCAGCTGATCGCGCTCCTCGTAGGACATGCGATGGAGAACGTCGTGGACGCGCACACAGGACAGCCCGGTCATGACGAACTAGTAGTCGCCCCCGTCTGCGGACGTAGTCTGGAATGTGTCGATGAGACGAGGTGCGGGAATGGATGGCGCCTATCGCTCGAGAAGCTGCAGTGCCTTGGGCTCGTTGTGCTGGGACCGGGCGCATCTCTTGGCGTAGAGGCCCAGGGGCAGCCGATGCACGGCGTCCGATATATCTTGCGGCTTTCCTACATCCAGGAGACGGCGCCAGCAGAAGGTGCGGATGAACTTTGGCAGGAAGGGCCAGATACTGCGGGCCATGAGCTGGATATGGCGGTTGAGCAATGCTATATTCGCGAGAGCGAGAGAAAAAGGCAGTACTTGTCAGCACCGGACCTGAGAAGGATAGATAGCGAGAAGAAGAAAGAAGAAAGAAGAAAGAAAAAAAGAAACTGACACAAAGTCTGTCGAGGCGGCCAGCCTTCGGCGATATGCTCCTCAACACGGAAGTGATGAAGAGCGTTGGCGAATTTGTGATGGACTTTGAGAAGAAAGGAGCTCGGGATAGGAAGTTCTTTCGGGTCCTCAGTCGCCACCTTCTTTCAAATCCGCTACTTGGCCCCCCAAGTGTCTGGACCGAGTCCTCTAGTATCTGGCAGCCACCACCAAGTAGCTCTCCGCTCTGGTATCACTTGCTCCATTATGATACGCCTGTGTTGGTGGCACAAACCTGCTGATGGAGTGACACTAGACAAGGTCCGGCACGAGGCTAGAGAACATGACCTGAGAGATTGGGAGCAAACGCCACTTGACTTCATTGACGACCTTCGTCCCCGCTGGGAATTGGACGTGCAGACATTTATGAAGATGTCGGTCGAACTTTTGGTTGGAGAGGCCATCAAGAAGCCATTCTATCCTTGGAGACTCTTCTGTACGCTGCCGTCCACTTGTTCGGCTGGAATTACGACTTTCCTACCCTAGGAGCTCTCCTGTGGAGGATAGGCTGCATGTTTTTATCCGCCAACACTGTCACATTCTGGGTCTGCGAGACCACGGCCGGGATCATGCATAAGCGCCGAGGGTTGACTGCCTCGCTCCCCCCCCCCCCCCCAACAGAACTTGGACATGCTTCGCGCAGCAAAACATACATTAGACGCCAACAACTCCCGAGGACTCAGGGTGCGAAGCTGTAAAGAAACAGTCGGGCTAACACGCTCAACTCATTTGCGGCGAGTTATCCTTCATGTCACAAAGCAGTTGCGCAATCCTTGAAATGCCGCAGCCTCCGGCATCCCCGGCATCTCCAACATTGTCGCCGGCCACACAATCTTCATCGGCATCGCCAACACGGCAAAGGTAGAAAAAAACCATCCCCCGCGTCTTTTATCATATGACGAGATACCGGAATGGTACCAAGACAACGAGCAAATTCGGCACGGTTACCGGCCCGTGTCGTGCTCCGCTCGCGTGTCTCTTGCCAGCTGGCTTTACCTCCACAACGAGTCGGTGAACATCTACTCGCATTTGATCCCCGCCATCGGATTTCTTCTTGGTGAGTGGTACATCTTGGAATACCTCCATAGTAGGTACCAACATGTCACCGTTGCGGACCATCTAATCTTCGCCTTCTTCCTCCTGACGGCTACCGTGTGTCTCGGTCTCTCGGCAACCTATCATACCATGATCAACCACTCACAACGGATCGATGCCCTGTGGTTGCGCTTCGACTTGGTTGGGATAATTCTTCTCACCCTGGGCGACTTTGTGTCCGGTATCTACTTGGTCTTCTGGTGTGAGCCGCTGCAACGGAAGATATACTGGTCCATGGTGCGAACGCCACACACTGCACTGCACTTCCACGCTTCAGGATACGAACTAATCATGTGCCAACTTAGATCTTCACTCTTGGCGCAATCACGATATTTGTTCTTCTGAGCCCAAAGTTCCGTGGCCCTCGGTGGCGCACCTTCCGCCTCATGACAATTGTGGGCACTGGCTTGTCCGGTCTTGCGCCTCTCGGTCACGGAATATACATGTTTGGATTTGTCCAGATGCTGAAGCAGTCTGGAATGCCCTACTACCTAGTCGAAGGCGCCCTTTTGGGTCTGGGAGCTTTTATATACGCCGTGAGTTAGCCCCTCTTTCGGGAGCAAGATGGATCACCCAGTCTGACAAGGAGTAGGCGAGAATCCCCGAGAGTCTCAGTCCCGGCAAGTTTGATATATATGGCTCGTCGCATCAGTTGTTCCACATTCTGGTGGTGATCGCAACCGTGATTCATCTCGTCGGTATTCTCGCGGCATTCGACTACAACTATAATCATCGGATTTGTACAGGGAGGTGAGTGCGATGTTTGCAGTTTGGGGAGGGGGGGAACGCTTGAGCCCCAGTTTGAAGAAATCAAGGAGGCAAAACACTGAGGGTTCATTGAATGGGACTGTGCATGGCACCCCTGTTTTCAATCACGAGGATGTGCCCGGGGCGCCATAGTTTCTATCACATGCATCTTTGGGATACGGGTGTGCCAACATTGGGGGCATTTTGTAAGATTTGGGCCATCTGATGGTGTTGTTGGTCTTGTTAGCCTTGTTCGGATCACTCGCCTCCAGCCAATCCAAATTCCTGGCCAGCTGCTTCATTCACAACCAGTCGTACCTTCAGCTCTATGACAAGCCAAGACCTTTCAAGCGCTTGAGTAGTTGCTTATCTTAACCCTCTCCTCGTTTAAAATGACAGTGTTCGTCGCAGCCTGCTTAGCTTCCTCCTCGATATCCTCCACCGTACTTCCCAACGTGATGCTGATGTAAGCCTCATTGGCTTTTCCAAAGCCTGAAGGAGCCAGGTACGACAGGTAAGCACCCCAAAGCGCCGAGTATCCTCTAGCGGGACTTGAGCAAGGCCGTCGCGGAGAATGGTGTGCATGTCGGGGTCGATAACTGCGATTTTGAGGGCGGTGATGACTTCGTCCGAGTAGATGACCGACTCGCTTGTCCGATAATCGTAGAACCAAAAACCTGTCGGCCTCGTGATATGGAAGGTCCAGCCTTGACTGGGGCCACGGTGGAGATACAGAGCCCAGTGTCACCTGTTTGAAACCTCTTGCTCGGAGAGCAAGACGTACAGGCCATTGACTTCGAGGCGGAGAATGGAATCGCGCGACCCTCTAACATTAGATATTCCGGACTGGCGGCTAGAGCCTTGAGGCTGTTCGCCGGAGCTCTTAGAGGGCTTCTGGCTCGACTTGTTGGAAGAAGAGAAACCCATGACTTTTATTGATGATGGTGACAAGAGTACAGGGTAACCATGGAAATGTGTGGTTTGAAGAATGGTGATGTTAGAGTTGGGGTAAGTGGTAGGATACGACAGTCGGGTCCAAGGATGGATCCTATTGGCTGTAAATGGACAGCGAGAGTGCCAACCGCAATCACATGCAGAACCTTCCTTCAGCGCGTACTTTAGGTATTTGGAACTGACAGCAGTGGGCGGCTGCGGCATGTTACGCTGCTAACACCTCGGGCAGAATTACCCAGGTTCACCATTCCCAGATTTAGTGCATCGAGTACACGCTAGAGCCTCTTCAAGATAATAAGATCTATTAAGCAATGGAGAACGCCATTTCTCAAGCAAGCGTTCGAAGAGGCTAGAAATGTTATCTTGCAAGCTAATCTCACGCACATCGAACACAAGCTCCTTGTCGACTTCATCGAGCAGGCAGCCAGCCCCGATTTGGCAGCATGTGAAGTATTGAAAAGGGCTAGGTGCAATACGGGCCGTCCCATAGAAGAAACCCTGCGTGACTTCAAGAAGGATTGGCACAGCCTGGTTGCAACAGGTAGGTGGATGGATGGATGGATCTGAATTGAACCCAATGCTGAATGAACCCTCCACAGTCGCTCACTCAATGCCAAACCCGGTCCATGATCCCACCCTCAGAGACCTCGTCTATCGTCGCGATCAGTCCCGGCGCTGCGTCACATCTCCGGAACGCCGGCAACTCGCTCCACCGGAACCGACATTCATCTTACCGCCGTCTCTGGCGCGCCTCCTCGGAGATGAGGACGGTGTACCACGCTCGCTAATGGACGCATTCATGACCCCGTCGGGAGCCTCTCAGGTGTGGAACAAGCTCCCAGACACAAGTGCTCAGGACATGCTCGCCAACATCTGGCTGCTCGCACCAGGAGTGAGCTACGCCTTTTGAAATGGCCATCTCCAGATCGGACCACGCAGAGTGACCCGGGAAGAATTCGATCCGGCTGCAGCTGAGGAAGGTGCATCGAGGGCCTAAGTGAGTGTCTTACATCTTCCCGACCGAGCCAGGAACCATTCTCTATTCGGCGCGCAGTCTATTGAACGAGGGTTACTAGTACCACATAATGCAACTCTATCCCGAACCCTACGAAGAAGACATTCTTCTAGCCGATGGATATCCTTTCGATAACGAGGGCGGCTATCTCAACTTTGGTCTACAGACCTTGGCGATCTTGTCCTGATTCGACTTGTGCATATCCATGTGCGAATGGGGAACCAGCCAGTGGATATGCTTGGACGTGGCGGGGAAGGGAAGGGTGTCTGTGTCTGGAGCCATGATCAAAAAGCCGCCCATGTCGGTGAAGAACCAGTGTCGCATCGGGAACCGGAAGGGCACAAAACCGAGGCACCTACGGCACAAAGCACTGGTATTTTAATTTTAATTTCAGCAAGTCCACCTACCTTGTTCTCCACAACAACCCTCTTTCCATTCTTGAGGTAGCGCGAGTCTTAGGGCCCTCGCCGACAGCGCAATATTGGTAGATGCCAAGGATGCTCCCGAGCCCGTGGACGGGGCCCGTGGACGGCCCCGTAATAATGGGCGGTAGCGCAAATGAGACAGGCATATCCTCGAATATCGTCACTTTTTTTTTTTTTTTGTTTGGGCGTGGGGACTGGCAGATCACCTGACAATGCCATCCAATTTACCTCCGGTCCGTGCGTTTTGCCGCGCGTAGTGTAGAGGCTCTTCTGCCACGTGAGAGGAAGCTTAAAACGCACGAACCACCAGAGCCCCTGAGATGTCCCCAGCCGCGGCCACTTCCCTGAACTCAGATGGTTGCCCATAATCGAGATAGAACACGATGGGGATGAAATAAGTTGTATATGATATCAATATTAGACAGTTGAGAGCTATACTAGGAGACGTTGCGGTATAATTCGTTCAGTTGCTACAGTTCGGGTACCCGACGCAAGACCGCCCTCCGTCACCCAGGCCAGAACAAAGTAGAAGAAAAGCCCTCCTTCCTGGCAAATTGGTCATGCTCTTATTGCTGATGAGGCACATCTTTTAGACGGTGCCCTTGTCCAGGACAGCTCCGTGCTGGCCACCAGCAAACGTGCTAGTCGGCTTCCACTTGGCAGACGTGCGTGGCGTGCTTTCCTCCATCATCTTGTCGACTTGCTCAAGAGAGAGGCCCTTGGTTTCGGGCACGAGGAAGTACGAGTACACGAACGCACAGGCGCACAACCCGCCCCACACGAAAAACACGGAGGATTTCATGTTTCCCTTGTGTTCTCCAACCATTTGGGGAGTTATCACAGCTGTAAACAAATCAATTAGAAACTGTAAAAGGATAATAAGGGACCGGAAAGACTCATATTATGGTATTCCATAACCAGTTAGAAGCCGTAGAAAGACCCACGCCGCGAGATCTGATGGGCAGTGGGAAGATTTCGCCGATGACGATCCAGGCGCCGGGACCCCAGGTGGAGGCGAAGAAGAAGATGAAGATGGCGATGAAGGCGATCTGTGCGTTAACAGCAGAGATATTATTGGCTCGAGAGAGCGTGCTTGACGCGTCAGACGGGTCGGGGATGTCGTGGGTGCGGTTGAATCCGACGGTGACGCCGACAATGGCCACGATGAACTGGCAGACGGTCATGGCGAGAGCGCCCCACACCAACAGGGGACGGCGGCCAAAGCGCTCGACGGTCCAGAACGAGAGGGGCGTCGAACAGACGTTAACGAGTGTGAAGATAAGCGAGATCAGGAACGTGTTCTCAATGGCGCCCGTGGACTGGAGGAAGGGGGTCGAGTAGTAGAAGATGAAGTTGACACCAGTCCTGGCAGATCAAAGTTAGCATACGACACATATGAGGGCGGGAATTGCCGCCGAAAATAAGCGTGATAGGCCCACTTACCACTGCTGCATCATCTGAAGCGAGGTACCCAGGATAGTGCGGCGGAGGTTGGACTTGCTCTGCCAGAGACCGCCCTTGAAGCAATTGGCCCAGCTGCCGAACCAGGTGGTGGAGGGAATGAGCTGACGCTCGTATTCCTCGTTGGCAACGATCTCGGCAAGCTCGACCTGGATGTAGTCAGATTCCTTGGGCTGGCCCCGCAGGCGGGAGAGGGAGTCGGTGGCGGCGGCAAGATTGCCACGCTTGACGAAGTATCTTGGGGAGTCGGGGAGCAGCATCAAACCACCACCGAGGATAAGAGCCCAGGGGAATTGGATGGCAATCGGGATGCGATAGGCGCCGGTGTCAGGGCGGTTCTTGGTGGCGTAGACGACAATCGAGGCGAGCATGATACCAATGGTGATGCAGAACTGGTAGCCGGCGACGAGGGCACCTCGAACCTTTCGGGGGCACTGTTGTTTTGGCGTGTGAGCGATTGCCAGCTGCTATTATGGGAGATAACGCGACTTACGATCTCGGACATGTACAAGATGACGATAGCAGACTCGAAACCGACACCGATACCAGCGATAAGACGACCGGACACGATGGCACCAAGGGAATCGCCAGCGCCGGTGATCATCTGGATGACACAACCGATCATGTAGATGAGGCAGCCCAAGATGACGGTCCACTTGCGACCGATGAAGTCGGCAGCATCACCGGCGATGATGGCACCGAAGAAGGTACCGCAGGAGAGAATGGAGACGATGAGCGAGCTGTGAGACTCGGAGACGGTGTCGGCCAGAGGACCCTCGACGGCGTGGATGAAGATCTTGGACCCGAGGACACCGTTGATGTAACCGGAATCGTAACCGAAGAAGATACCGCCGAAGGAGGCGAAGGCGCAGATCAGGTACGCCTGCCAGGTGACGGGGGCCTCGATGCGTTCGACATCGTCGGTGGTTCGTAGGCCAGTGGTTTCCAGGCCGCTGGTTTGCAGGCCGCTGACGGCGGTTTCGTCGGCCTTCTCAGACATCTCGATATACTTGACGATTTGCGGGGTGGGTGGGAGGAGGCGCGGGGTGTTGAGGGGAAGAAGACACACACACGAGGGAGAGGAAGGGGGAAGACGAGCGGACGAGTCGCGTGGATCATCTCCTTTATTAATTCCACAAGCCACGGTCCGGGGCCCCTGATAAAGAAAACACCAAGAGTGTACAAGCTCGAGCCCACATGCCCCCGTTTCCGTTTGCCTTGCCCCTGCCAATCCCTTGTCGCTTTCACCACCAGACGCATCCACAGTAAGCTTTGTGCCCCTAGCCAATACGCTGCCATTGGCCCAGCCCGACCTGCAACCGTTACCGTTGCATCGCAAGACGGTCGACCCGGTCACACAAGAGAAGCAAAAGGCCAGCCACGGTTGTCTGCAAAGCTGGGGAAATTGGCCGTTGCGGCGTTTTGCGGGGCGGCCAAGTTCGAAGAAAAATTAAGCATGCACACGCGCCGCAGGTGCAGAGCCGGTCGTTGACTCGGATTGAGATCGAGGACCCCTTGCCGATCGGTTCGGTGGGTCGAATCTGGACCTGATTGGCTGTCAACCCTGGCGGCACCCCCTGGAGAAGCACCGAGCGAGAAGTGCAACCCCTGCTGTCTCCAGCCGCCACGCTGGATTTAATTGGATCGGCGGCATCACTCCACTAGCGCTAACTGGCTCGGATGCTGCATGGCTTTGCTAATTGACCGAGGCCCCTCCGTTGTGGAAGGATCCTGATTTTTTGCAGCCACGATTCGTGGGTGCCACGAGTTTGTGACCCATGCCAGCGACAGAAGAAAAAGAGTGAGACATTCGGGAAGACCCTCGTCAAAACCCAAATAAACGCCCAATGGACCCCAAACCTTCATCATCTAAGACTTCCTGCGTAGGGCAGGCCCAAGGGAAGGGGCCCTGCACATGGCCTTGGTTGGAAGACCCCCGGCCCGATTGGCACTAAAGGTTGGCCCGAATTGATTGCGGCTCCACTCTCCACAATCTCTCCGCGCTCTTCCCGCTGGAGCCACAGCGGAGAGAAGAAACGATGGCGCTGCTGCACGGCGTGGCGTCGCGTGGCGCTGCGCTTCCAGAATCCAGACCGGGACAACAAACTCACGTGGGTTTTGCTCAAAACCTCCGGCGACGTCCAACCGGATCAGACGACCCCCCGGGAAGCGATTTCGAAGTGGTCTTTGTCCCTTCTTCACGGCGGCCAAGCCGAATGCATGAGCGCCGAGACTAGCTAGTATACATGAAGCCGCAATTGGCCACAATGCAACGTCTGATGAACCTGCTTCTCGGGCCAATATGCATTCTTCCCTTGATTGGCTGCTGGCGGCAGTTATCCCAGTTACCCGAGTAGGCACCCTTCCGAGCGGAGGAAGAAGCTTCACTGGAGAGAAAAGAGACGAGGTTCATTTCAGGCCATCATTACCACTTACCACGAAATAACCGATGAATAAGCCGCCCAACCGAGGCTTTGTTGGCGCTGGCGCCTGTCGATCTAGAGAGAAACAAAACGGAGAGAGAAGCAAAGAAAGAGGACACTCGCCCCCAAACTTGATGCATAAGCATTCTGCATCAAATGAGTCCCATGATCGAGCCATAATAATCATCTGATCCCTTGGCTTCCTCCCCAACCAAAGGTTTGACCAAAATATCAAAACGTTCGGGCCTACCCCAGTTCCCCTCACACCCGCATCCCCAAATCCTTCGTCTCCAACTCGGGCAGACCTGCAAGCGTGCATTCGTAGACGTGACAGACGACCCTTTCCCACATTAGCGTGTCCGTTACCTCAAGGCGCATGATCCTTGACAAGTGGGAAACGGCCCTTGTTCATCGGAGCTATTCTTAGTGCCTTGTTTTAAGCCGCCGCTTTTGGCAAACTGGGCCGAATGCTGCAACACCTTCGCTCCAACCCAACCAGCTACTCGTCCCGGGAGTCTGGACACGACAGGGAAGACGCTGGACCTTCGTTCCAATACGGAACGTTTCTCCTCGTCGTGTTCCCTGCATCATCGAGCTCTCGTTTGGGCGTCCCGGCGATTGGTCGGTTAGTTCGGCGAGCTGATGAAGACATGACTGATCTCGTGTGCGTGATCTCGCTCCTCTGCCCCCCCCGGTTTTGAGCCTCCCCGGAATGGCCCCGGAGCTAGCCCCTCATGACGACGTTCTCCGGCCTCATGCTGGGGGAATAGTGGATCAGCCCAGTGACGATTCACACCCACTTCTCCTCTGCGTTCTCTGCGTTCGCTGGTTCCTTGTGGGGAATTTGGCCGACACCAGCACATTCTTTTCGCCGAGTTCTCCATCGCCGAGTCCGTAATACGGCCCTACCACAGGTAATTATGGCCCAAGGCGGTGTGGACCGCCCTCGTCCTGTTTCATGCCCTAGAGCATGCTGAAGCCAGGAGAACGTCCAAAAGGGCCGAGGCTCAAGAGGATGACCCTTTTTTTCAAGGAACATCACAGCGCAAAATAGAGAACCAAACAAACCTCCCCAAACATGGAAAGGAATTGACATGTGGTGATTCGGCCAGCCAGCGCCCGTTGCCGTTGCCGGCGGCAGAGTTTCCTTCCAGTCTACCAACACCTGGAACGAGCCTCCCTTTTCCGAACTGTTTATGCATGTATAAAGGCTTATAATGACATTACTCTGGGCCGGGTATGCAATCGTCCTCGTCCGTCCTCCCACTAATTACATGTAGGAAGCTGCTTTCTCTGTGTGGGAGGGGGGTGCCTACTGGGGTAACTGCCGCGAGCAGCCAATCAAGGGAAGAATGCATATTGGCCCGAGAAGCAGGTTCATCAGACGTTGCATTGTGGCCAATTACGGCTTCATGTATTTGGTTATAATTCAGTGAACAATCCGGCCCAGTAGTTTGGTTCTCTCATGATGGCCAAGGACAAATCAGGTGCACGCTTATCGTGTCTGCTAGGTCTGGGGGTTTTGTGACTCGTTGTGACGTTGATGGGCTTGTGAGGCAACTGTCGTGAAAAATGGGAGAATTGCTTGCATCTTGCCCATTCATCACAACTTTCTGACTGTCGAATCATCGATAATTACCTGTTTCTACATTACCACCCATTGAATCACCCGGATTCCATATTTTCAATCGCTTCAGGGGCCTTGTTGCTATTGCCTATTGCCATCACCACTACTCAAATTGGGAAGCATGGATATCTTGTCAGCTGGGCCATTCTTAGAGAGATTGAGCGTCCTGATCCTCACATGTCAGTTTTTACCATGCCATACAGCATACAGGGTGCATGGAGTGTCCCAGAACGCCCGACCTTCACCTCGACCTAGACCCTGACCGCGTCGTGTCCCACGCTGTCGCCGGCGCTGTGTCGGTCCTGAGCGCCTACACCGTAGAGCCGTCAGCCCGCCGCGTGGTGTACACATCTTTGGCAGGCGTGGCGATACGTCGAGGTGTCGGGTGAGGGGATTGCCCTCTAGCTCGTCATGACGGGTGGGACCGGCATGGCCGAGTTCTGCGCCACGCAGGCCCCGCGCCGCCTGCCCCCGAAGGCCGAGGTCTTCCTCTCCCACCAGCCCCTCGCCGACCCGCCCTTCAGCCGCCTCAACGGCGCCCGGGGTTCAACGGCAGCGACGGCACCGGCAACAACGCCTCCTTGACACGCCTTGCGGAACAGGAGGGTGACGAGGCGAAGGTGAAGCGTGTGTGCATGCAGAAAGTCAAGGAGCAGCGGTACTCGAATAACGATACGGCGACTCTCGTGCCCCGAGCTGGTCCCGGACCCGCTCGCGATCCTCGGGCTGTGGACGACGAGGATGACAAGGTGCCGTTGGTCCAGAAAGAAAGACGGGCAAGACAGCAGCCCGCGACACCGTGATGCGCGACTACGAGCCCGACGTACTTGCCAAAGAACCCACCGGTGCTCCACTGCTTGCTCGTCCTGTCCCGGAACACCTTGAACTGGCCGTTTTCTGTTTACGCAGCCCTTACGCGGCATTTTCCCAGGTGGCAGGAACGTGGCTCTCTTTCTACGGTTAAGTTCGAGACACACTTTGACCGCTTCCGGCCCGTGCGCCCTACAAACTGGAAGGGCAAACCGGAAGGGCACCCTGCCAAACTCTGCAGAGGTCGCGGACGCAGCGCTGCTGTGTCGCGAGTGGTGCGCGCCCGACAGCCAAGGCGGTAGAGGACGGATGAGTTGACGAGGATCCGTGCCGGGCTCAAATCGGAGTCCGAGAGCCCACCGGCCCCGTGATTCGGGAGTGCTGGTACGGAACCTTGCCTTGGAGCTTATACGGAGTCACATCGACGTCGAACTCCGGTACGGTAAGGCGAATAGGGTGACTCGATGTGGCGTCGCGGAAGCGACGACTCCGTAGATTCCCTAGGGCCGTTTTCAGGATGAAGAGATAGGCCATCAAGTCGCCTCCCAGTTGCCATGGTGCATTCCTGCTGCCGTGGCTCAATGAAGATATGCAACGTTGGCGCATATTCTCAAACTCGCTTTGCGACATAACTTCTGCCTGCTCGTCAAGGGTCACCACAGGGCAGCGGCCATTAACTGTAGTATAGCTGGTGATGTGGCTTCCCCACTAAAACTTCACCTTCAGCTACCCCTTAGAGAGAATATGTAGGTTCAACTCATTAATTTTCTAGATGACACTGTCGTCACTGCTACCCACCCCGTTCTACCTTATCAAAGTTTGGCATTGCCTAGTTCTAGTGGCTGCTATATGGTGCTTCCACGTGGAGAAAGTCCATGATAGCGTCGGAAGTCCAGGAATCAAACTGCATCGAGACTCAAACGGCGCCTCTTACAGATTCTGGAAGCAGTCCACTTCAAAGTTGACTCCCTTTCTTCACAACTGTTTATCGAAGGGAATCTCGGGGGGTCTGCGCTCAAATCTCGGGGACCTTTTGGTTTGTGAGTATCAGGTGGCAACGGGCTGGAATTCTTCTGGCAGGTGGTTTGAAAGTGCCAGACGGTGCCATGGTATCAATCGCTGTCGCTGTCGCCGCCGCTGTGGACTGTCGGTGCGTGTGCAGTTGCAAGTTCTTGCCACCTGCTAGAAATTTCAGCACCTGTTACGCACAAACCACGGGCCCCGCAGTAAACAGCCGGCCCCCGAAGTGCATCCCTTATCCAAACATCGGCGCCGCATTCAAGTTCGAAATCCCGGGAGATCAGACTACTGCCAACTGTCACATTGTTCACTACCCAAGTTGGCTGTCATATCCAGCCAGACGAGATTTTGAGAGGGCGTGGCCATCCATCCCCATCGGACCCCAAAAGTGCATCTTCGCCAAGAGAAAAAATCTCTGCCCCGCCAAGGCTGGCGATGGCAAGCGTGGCAAACCTCGACAGCCCGGCGAGTCATCCGGTTCTTGGCAACGAGTCGGGACCCGTGCACAAGCGGATGAGGATTTCGAGAAAAGAGATTTTTCTTTTGGTCATTTTCATTTTCATTTCTATTTCAGGGGGGGCGAAGTAAGATGAAGTGCATCCGGAACGGAGTAGCCAAGATCTCCCGGTGCAAGTCCGCGCCGTTTCGGCGCATGCATGGTGTGGATCCCCGGAAGAAGCCACATGAATTTCCAGCCGCATTTCCCGCCCTTTCAGCTGTGTCCGGCTGTTGCAGTCGGCAGAGCCAATGGCGATACCCAACCGCTCTCCGTGGGACGTGGAGCCATGTCTCAGAGTGAGGTGTTCTCCGCAGTAGTCTCGCAAGAACCAACAAACACCCGCACCCGACGGCCGCTTAGGCAGCGGGGTCCCCTAGCCTAGAGGCAGAAATAGCCTATCAAACATGCGAGTCCTCTACGAGTATTATTACACTACTGCACAGTAAGTCGAGAGAAGGTCAAAGGGGCAGGGGTTCGCCTATACATAGGACGGATGACCACCCAGTAGTGCGCATCTAGTCTCGTCTTTCTCAACTGCAATTCCACAGGGAGTCAATACCCAATACACACGTCACCAATTGTGTGGAGAAAAGCGGCGGACTGTGCAGTGTGCAGGACACTACGAGTCAAGAAGGAATGACCTGGGAAATCAATGACGTCGAGGTCGGGGTTCCTCCCGTCTCCACAGATTCGGTTTTGGCTTTTCCTGACGTAGGTAGACTGAGATATAACTTGGGTCGATCTGCCAAAAACCCCGGCTTTCCCTGGGCACTCCTCTTTATTTTATTTGGGCAATTAATTACGAATTTACACATGTTTTGTTTGCCAGCGCTGTCGCGATAACAACCCCGTATCAGCCCTACGACTCTTTCCCAGTCCAAAAATCCGACCAATATGGGGTTCCCGAAACCTAGCGCCGAGCCTCCGAAGCAGGGGGAGATGCAATATTTCCCGCGGATGACCACGACCATCCCGCTCAAGTCGGGCGAATTCCGGCGAGTGCTGCACACGGGGCTGTACTCGCAACTGGTGCTGATGGCAGTACCGGTGAGGGGAGACATAGGCGAAGAAGTAAGCCCTCAATGAATAATCAGCATTGCCATTGCCATTGCCATTGCCATTGCCACAGCCATACCATCACCATCACCATTATCACCAGGGGGGAGGATCAAGGCCATACACACATGCACACACACACACACACACACAAGCTTGGCAGACAGGCAGGCAGGCAGACAGGCATAGACCAGATGACTAAAGACTCGCGGCAATCAGGCCCACCCAGTCGACCACAGCATGACCTTCACATCGGGCACCGGGCTCGTGCAGATGGGCGAGAAGGAGCAAGAAGTCCGGGCGGGCGACATGGTGGTCGTGCCGGCGGGGACAAAGTACCAGCTCCTCAACATCGGCTCCACGCCGCTGACGCTGTACACCATCTACGCGCCGGCCGAGCACGAGCCCACGACGGTGCACCAGTCCAAGGAGGACTTCCTCAAGGCCGTCGAGGAGGGCCGCAACGAGCCGCCGGCATGGAGCCAAAGGGGCAAAGAGGAGAACGAGAAGGAGGGGATTGTCAAGACTGATTAACTAGCGCAGTGCCTGCTCCTCCTGGTTGGAAGAGGGGGGCGATTTGGTATTTCATGGGCTCGGGTGCTGCGCAAGGTAGCAAGACCCTGCAGGCCATGCAAAAAGAAGCAGGTCACGGACGCGACGCCGGGGGGATGGACGGGCAGTTGCTCGGCACGGAGCCGGCCGTTGGGATTTGCTTTGGCCTCCCTCAGTTCTTCGAATATTTAGCCGTCCAATGGATTTCTACTTGGTTACGAATAACTGAAATGCAGTTTTAACCCGACATTTGTCGTCGTCAGTCGCAGCTCCAGGCTGTGCAGGCGAGCATCATAGCACAGGGGCGATGTCGCTAGATGACGTCAATACGGAGGGGCGAGGGGAAGAAGAAGCCCAGTCTTTGGGGGGGAATAAAACACTGTAAACTGTCTAGTTGCAGAATTTGAATGACCACGCTGAATATCAAGTCATACCTAGGTGTTCCACCCAAGTATGGTTCTGAGCTCCTCAATCCCGTCGTACACGTCGACACCGCCATTCGCCTCCAAGTCATCCAATGCGAGCTGTGCAAATATCTTTGCGTTCTTCAGATCCGTCGCCGCCAGATACAGCCGAGCCAACACCTCGTAATGTTCCCCGAGATGTGGAGCCAGATCTTCCTTGCGGATGAGCTCCAGCATCTCGGCGTTCAGTTCAATGGCGCCTTGGAAGTCTCGGTTCTGGACGTGCTGGAGGACTTCTTTCCTGATCACCTGGACCCTCTCCCGGCGGCGGTCCGAGGCTGCGATCTCCTCTGCCGGCGCGGAACAGAGCGAGCAGCTGCACTTGAAGCCCCATCTCTTGAGCAGCATCTCCTGACGCTCGGCGTGCAACACCCCGGGTTCGAGATCTGCAGCACCCAATGTGTCAGCTCGCCGGATGTCATTCCAACGAGAGAGGGAGATAACTCACAGCTGATTGTGATCTCTTCACCAGCCTCGATGTCGCGGAATGCCACGACTCGCTTGGCCAAAGTCTTCTCCAAGAATCGCGTGAATGCGCTGGGAACCTGTCAGTGACTGCCGATGTAATAATTACCCTGATTATTTCTCGGCGAACCTACTTCGGATTACACGCATGGTTCATCCTCTGCAGGCATTGTTACCATCGCTGCCCCTTCTACCCCCTCAACAGCCGCGAAGAACAAACTCACCGATATCCTCGGAAAGAGCGCCATGCGGGAGCGATCACTGATAGTCATCCCAAACGTGTTGGTCCTCATGACGTCCTCGGGGAGAGGCGCGCCGGCCTTGCTGCTCCGGGCGAGCGACAGCACCCCGTCCGAGTTGGGCAGCTGCTCCATGGCCCGCTGCAGCAGCTGGTGGCCCTTCTCCCTCCTGACGCGGCCGGGGAACTCGGTGTCGACGAGGATGCTGGCGTAGTCGACCATCAGGATCTCGCCGTGACGGATCCTCCGCGTCGCCACGACCCCCATGCCCCTCCCGGGGATCTCCCTGACCTCGTACGGCGGCGGGTCGGGGGCTTGGTTGCCGAGTTGCGGGTCCTGGGCCGCGTTGAGGGTCGTAAGGAGATCGACCGAGCTGGCGGCGATCTCGGGCGTGGTGATGATGCTCACCCCATGGTTGCCCTGGAACATGGAGTTGGTGAAGACGCAGTACTTTGTGTCGGCGCAGAACGGCCGGTGCGTCCAGGGGGCCCAGCTGGCCGGGTCGAGGCCCACGCTGTCGTCCATGGCGCGCGGGCAGTCCCGGCCGCCGTTGTGCTGCAGCAGGCCGAGGGACGGCCACCCGCACTGCTCGGCGGCGAGAACGGCATCCGAGATATCATCCAGGGGGCTGGGGCTGTGTATCGCGGAGCAGAACCCGCAGAGGAGGAGCACTGGCGAGAAGCGGCGAGGACCCATTGTCAATCAGTCAGCTGCGGAACTGGGGGCAGTTGAACAAAAGTCATCCAGACCCTCCAACTCCTGCCCGGGGTAGGCGACATAATATTCCCAGCATGGCCCTGCCCCCGTCCTGAGATTCAGCTAGCAAGCCACGTTGCAAGTCATCCGCACCCGTAGATGGATATAGATCAGCACGAAGCCAAGGAAGCCCTTCCCATTGTAAACCGCCATCCGGTTTCATTGTGATAGTCGCCAAGCTGCTTAATTGCATTACCTGTGGTTTTGGACCCACAACCAAGAGCCCCAAGACTCATTTAGCCGCCCGTGGGTCCATTCCAAGGCAAGGAAAGGCTCTGTCGAATGAGAAAAAAAGGGTTTTGCGAGTTTCGAGGTATTTGCGGGAAGAGCTGGGCGCAACAAAATAAAATGGCCGATTCAAAAGACAGCTGTGTTGCGCCATTTCGCGGTTTTTGCCATCGCATCGCAGGAGCAATTTGCGCAAGTTCAAATTCCAGGGGAAGGACGTGCTTTCGGCTCGGTGGGAGATCGACCCTCAACGGGGCGCGGAGCACGCGGCACGCAGGTAAAGGCCCAAGACCCCACACGGGAGTTTGTCCTCATAATCGACTTCATCCGCGGCTTGGCTCCGAATCCTCCTACCCCAACCGGCCGCATCGAGCCGGCCGATCTTGGTGCGCGTGCAACGTGAGGCCTCTTCCTTGGCTCTCATCCTTCGGCGCCAATCCTCGACCACATGAGGCATGGGCTTGCGAAAGCGAGGCTCCGGTTGGTCGGATCGGGGGAGCCTAGTGCAGGTTCAGACTGCACGTGGCATGGGGATGTGGCATGGGGATCGAGCCCATTTCCTCCCTGCCGCAGGACCGGTGGCCAAGAACATTCTTATGCGGGATAAGCTCGCTCTTGGTTCCAGAATTTAACGGCTGGGCCGCCAAGAATGCCATCGGGGCACCGTCCAAGGAACGCCGGTACTTTCATTTCTGGATTGACTAGGACTGGTCGGCATCCAGGAAGCAAACAAACTGGGTGCAACAGCTGTCGGACGTGTCTACATCTGGTGACTTCTTTCCCTCCGACATAGCTTGCTTCTTCCTTTTCAGTGGCTCGGGCCAGCGGGGCATGCACCGTCTTGTGTCCCCATACTTGCAAGGTTCCCTTGGGCCGGACGTCAGAATAGGCTATGCCGCTAGGGAGTCCGTCGAGAAAGCTGACTTTGAGACTACGCTCTAGCGGCATATTGTCGGCTGGGCTCTCATTGCCTGCGGGACTCTTGATCTGGCCATGCTCGCCAAGATAAGATCGTGTTGATGCTCCACCATGCGCCGACCAGTGGGCCAAGCTTGGCTCCGATCAACTGTCTCGGCAACTGAAGGGCACTCACCGACTCGCGATGTAGAAGCCGAGGACATGACCATTATTTCTTTTTTTTACCGCAGCGCCGCACGTAGATCTCCGCCATTCCCTAATCCAAGTCCTGCACCGGCGGCACAGTCACGACCGTCGTAGCATTCATATCCCCACCCCGATAAGCATACGTAAACGTCCACCCCGACCCAGCCCCCCCATGCTCGCCCCTGTTGTTGACAACGACAACGCCGCTCAGCACAGCCGGGTACCTCCTCACCATCCTGCGGACGGCATCCTCGGCGGCCTCCCGCGGCGACATGCCGCGCCGCAAACTCTCGACGGCCTGGTAGCACGGCAGGAACCGCATCATGACGTCCCCGTCCCCCGTCGCCCCGCACCCGCCCACCTCTCCGTCGACGTACGACCCGCTGCCGACAATGGGGCCGTCGCCCACGCGCCCGGGTATCTTGTGCGACGCCCCGTTGGTCGACGTCGCCGCCGCCATGGCGCCCGAGGAGGAGATGGCGATCATGGAGATGGTGTCGTGCGCGGCTGCTACTGCTGGGCGGTCGGGGTCCGGATCCGGATTTGCATCCCGCCGGGATGATGAAGACGCGTCCCCAGCCGCCGCCGACGTCCCGAGGTGGTTTCGCGGGAGAGGCGTGTACGGCCCACAGGAGCGGGACGGGTCGGGGGTGACGGCGACGCGGAAGTTAGGCTGGCAGCCCGCGTCCCTCCACAGGCGACACAAGGCCGCCGACTCGGGCGTCGCGAGGCCGTAACCACCTTCCCCTCCGCCTTCCTCCTCCTCGTCGAAGCCGTTCTCGACGGCAAACCGCGTGGCCAGGTCGCCGACGAGCAGCGAGTGGGCCGTGTGCTCGAGGACGCGGCGCGCGACCGAGACGGCGTCGCGCACGCGCCGCAGCCCCGCCACGGCGCCCGAGTCCATGGTCGAGCCGTCCATGACCAGCGCGTCCAGCGTCGTCTCGCACGACTCGTCCGGCGAGCCGCCGTACCCCACGCTGCCGCCGCAGCGGCCGCGTTCGCAGGCCCGGCAGCCCATCTCGACGGCGTCGAGGGCGGCAGAGGAGGCTGACGATGCTGATGGCGACGAGGTTAGGGCCTCGTAGGCGGCGTCTGTGGCTGCTGTGAAGGGGCCGCCCCACGTGTTGATCACCATTGGGAGGCCTGGGGAGGAGGAGGGGGACTGGGCATGCTTGTGGGATTGGATGAGCAAGCCCGAGAGGGGAAAGGCGGCGACTATGCGCAGCCAAACGGTGAGGAAGTCCCACATGGTTTGAATAGAGGGCGGCCAAGACGAGAGACAAGACGTTAAGAAAGGGCAAGGAAGGAAGTCGAGTCAACAATTGGATGTACTTGCCCCGCGAGGTTTGGTGGGATAAGCTTGTTAATTGCATGCCTACTGTTTAAATTACCACATTGGTGGAAAGAGCTTGTTAATTGCATACCAAGCATCACGCGCGATCAAGTCTTTGTCCAACTAGTCGCATAGATATCGTTATATAACGTAGTATGGAAGCCCGTATTATCACCATCGCTGACGTGGAAGCCAAAAAACCATGACACGCCAAAATTTTGGTGTGTTTGTCGAAGCTATTATATTTTAATAATACACACTGGAGTAAGGCTCCCTCCCAAGAATGTTCAAACAAGGGAAAACATCCCAAGAACAAAGAGAAATAAAAGACAAATCCCCCATCGTCATCATCATCAGCTACTTCATGATCTGAACAGGGCAATGGTCTGGACAAAGCCATCGGCATTGTCCGAGTAGGACGCGACGTCGGTGCCGTCAACGGTGATCATCTTGGTGGTGCCGACGGTGTTGAGGTTGTACACGGACACGCTGCTCCCCTCGACGCTGAAGATGCGCTTCTGGCACTTGTCGGTGTTGCCCTCGTTGGAGCACGTCACGTCGTTGTTGTCGAAGAAGCTGTACAGGCCCGCGCCGTAGACGAGGATGTCGCTGCTGTCGACGATGCGGACGCCCCAGCCGCTCTCGCCCGTGGCCAGGACGGGATCGTGGTAGGTGCTGTTGGTGGGGAAGGGGATGGTGGCGTCCGGGTTGGGCTGGTAGTATGCCGTCTCGGTCTGGATCTGGCCCAGCACGATGTTGGTCGAGCCGTGGATCTGGTACTCGTACAGCACGTGGTGCTCGACCGACGTGCCGTACAGCCAGATGTTGCCGAGCGTGCTCTCGATGAGGAGGCCGCGGCCGGCATAGATGGTGATCTGCCTCAGGTCCTTGTCCTCGACGTCGTGGTCCGCCACCCACAGCCACACGTTCTCCATGTACAGGCCCGTGGCCGACTTGGTGATGTGCATGCTCATGAACGCCGCGATGCACTTTTGAGCCACGTTGTCGGCCGTGACCTTGGTGTCGGGCGTCTTGGCGCACTCGGCGAGCTGCAGCTCCGAGCCGGCGAACCCGCCGATGCGCGTGTGCACGTCCCACATGCCCGAGGGGGTGCCCTCGGAGGCGAGGTTCCACTCGATGAGGATGGCACCGGCCTGGGCGCCGCGCGTGCTGACGATCATGTCGGACCACTCGACCTGGCCCACCGACCCGGGGGTGCCAACCTGGACGACGGGCTTGGGCAGCCGGAGGTTGGCGAAGTAGTCGCCCGACGAGAGGATGACGGGGTACGCCTCGCCGACGATCCTGGACCCGGCGGGAACACGGATCGTGCTCGTGACGACATAGGTGCCGGCGTCGAAGAAGACGATCTTGCCCGCGGCGGCCGCCGCCTCCAGCACCTCGTTGATCGCGGCCGTGTCATCGGCGACACCGTTGCCGACCGCACCGCCGTCACGGACGCTGACAAAGTCCGAGGCGAACGACTTGTCGTACTTGGGCTTGGACCGCTCATAGTAGTCAGAGCCGGACACGAGGCCCTCTGGCCGAGCGTTGGGAGTGATGGCCCCCTGGAACGCGGTCGGCCCCGTCGGCGTGTACTTGTGGCCCCTGCCCCAGCCGGCGATGGTGGACGCCCCGCTCGATCCCGGCAGCACCGTTGACTTTCCGGGCCCCTGGATGGCGACGGGCACGTTGCTGAGGCGGACGTTCTCGACGATGATGCTGTTGGCGGCGGCTGGCCCGGAGGCGTCGCTGCTACCGAAGGCGATGCCGACCGGGGTGTTGTTGATGTCGCTGTCGACGAGCACGACGGAGCCGACGCTGAGAGCGCCGTTGTTGACGCCGGTGATGTCCAGGCCCACGCGGCAGTTGTTGATGCTGAGGCCCTTGTAGGTCCAGCCCCAGTCCCAGAGCTTCTGGATGGCAACGTCCGAGTTGTGGAAGGTCAGGTTGCGCATGGTGAACTGCTGGTTGCCGACCGAGAGGCCCTGGGCGCCGCCGTGGAAGACGAGGTCGCCGACGTAGCCGCCCGAGCCCTCCTCGATGAAGAGGCCCTGGTGCTGGTTGCCCGACGCCGTCGACATCTTGAAGACGATGTTCTCGAGCGACGTCGCCTGCCCAGTCGGCCAGTGGATGCCGGCCACCAGGACGGACGGCTTCACCGCGGTCAGGTCGACGATGAGGTTGCGGATCTGGCGCCAGAAGACGTTGGTCGCGCCCCAGCCGAGCTTGCCCGTGCTCTGGTACTGGTCGCCGTCGATGAGGAACCGCTCCTGAAAGCTCGAGCTGGCCTTGATGACGGGCAGGCAGATCGGGTCGCCGATGATCTGGGTGTAGTAGTAGTCGATGATGGGCGCCGACACGAGGTAGGTGCCGGGCGGGAAGTAGACAATGGCCGGCGTCGTGGTCGACGAGCCGCAGGTGCCGGGGCCGCACCTCCCGCCGTCGCTGATGGCGCGGTTGATGGCCGCCGTGTCGTCGGACACGCCGTCTCCCTTGGCGCCAAAGTCCTTCACGTTCCGGAACACGCTGTAGCCCGACTTGGCGAGGGGGGCCTTGCCCTGGTGCTTGATGTTCGACAGCCAGTAATCGGCGCAGGCCGGCGCGCTTGGGGTCGGCGTGGACGAGCTGGTGGGGAGGATGGACGACCAGTACGTGGTGTAGTACGGCGGGATGGTCGGTTCCGGCTCCGAGGAGCTGGAGGGGGGGCTGGTCGGCTCATAGGAGCTCTCGACCGTACTGCTGCCCTCGGTCTCGGTCTCGGTCTCGCTCGCCGGATACGAGGTCTCGGTGCCAGAAGGCGCAGCAGTGTACGAGCTCTCGCTGTCTCCGCTCGTGGGGTATGGCCCCTCGCCGCTCGACGGGTAGGTCGACAGAGAAACAGAAGGATAGGAAGAAACAGCAGTGTCCGTCGGGACACTGCTCTCAGTGCCGCTGTAGGTGTAGCTGGCGCTCGACTCGTCAGACGAGGTGAGAGGGGGGCTGGTGCCATACCCAGTCTCGCTGACGTCGCCGCTGCATGGCGGCGGTGGGATGGTAGGACATGTGGTGATGGTGCTCTGGACGATCACAGTAACCACGGCATCATGGGAGCTGACCGGGTAATCGGCCGATGCCACCGCAACCAAGCCCAGAATGGGAACGATTGACTGAAAAGAGTGAACACGCATCTTGAATCATAAATGAGTGACTTGGATGCGGAGAACACCTCGAAAAAAGAGCGGATGAGGGTGAGGCGAAGGTTGACGATCTCCTCCCTTGCCTTGACGCTGGAGAGCCCTCATGGCCGACGCGGGGGGGGAACATGGCAGGATTTTATTCCAGTCATAATTACGCTCCGTATCCATCACGACCCTGTCGCGGACGGGGGGGGGGTTGAGGTGCGTCCAGCCAGCATCATCCAACAGTGGTTGAGTGAATTGCACTTGGAGATTAGCCCCTGCAGCAGCGCCTCGGCTAGGCTTAAACCAGCGGTCCGCATTCGATAATTTGGTCACAGTGCCCCTGTGTGACCACGATTTCAGGGGGGCTAAATTGACTAGGCGCCAGGGTACGTGCTTGGCGTTTGTTTGGTGCATCCGCGAACAAGCCACAAGCCGATGTACCACCGCCTCAGCTCGAGATCTTGATAGCGGCGCCGACGCCACTGACATGCTGATGACAACCAGGAGCCATGGAACAAGCCCCGACAACATGGCGCATAGGTCAGGACGCCATTTGCATGCACAAATGTCTCGTTTGGCACGCCATTGCCACCAACAAAGTTGTTCCCCTGAACAGTCCCTTGCTTCGCTGACCAAACAAGGTTAGCATTAGTCTTTTTAACGTCGACCTGGGACCGCCCCGCGCTGGGAAATGAGCTGTTGTGATGAACCCCTGTCTCCGTCGTATTTGCTTACTTCCATCACCGGGTATATGAACCAACGTCCCCCCCTTACTATCCCTTACCATGCGGTAGACGTCATCATAAATGACCCGTAGGGCAGAGGGCGGGGCCATTTTTCGGTTCCTGCATTCTTCCGTCTTTTCTCTCAAGATATTTTCAGGCACACGCTGCTCCTTGGTTGGCCGACACGCTGGGAAGGAAGGCACACGTTACCACCGGCACGCCGGCAGCAACTTGATGACTCGAAATGATGATTGGCCGACCACAACACTGGTGGTGATGGGAAGGAATACATCCCCGCTTCTAACAAACAAGCACCAATTTCGGCATCAAGGTTGCGTACAGCCCCTTTGCTATGTAGCTATGTGGCCGGGTGGTGTACTGTACTCTTTGGAGTTGCACATAGCTTCGTGGATTTAATCTATCCCACGGTAAGGGCCTTTTACTTCCCCGTCTCTTTTCGAGCAAAACGCTGTTCCAGGCATCGAACGAGTTGAGAAGCTAGGGGTGATTGATAATATTGCTATGAAAGGGATATGCATATAACAAGGCTAATCTATTATACTATCCACGTGTGTGAAATGAGTAAGTGTTTGGGGGGGGGGCACTTTATTGCATAAAGCGGGTCACCTTGCATATAGATTACATACATATTTGCAAACAATCTGTGCTGAAATCATGTGACATGAGTTAATGTGACGGGAATCGCGAGAGGGAGCCTCGCAGTGCATACGACATGATGGTTGGCCATCCCGGATGACTGTGTCGCGCACACCCTGGACCATCTGATGCGACCACAGACCCAGGAACCAGGAGGCAGCAGCATGTCAGCCTGGTGGCTTGAAGCCATGGGCTGAAAGGATGACAGGCTGAGGGGCTAAGCGCCTGCATTGGGGGGTAAATGATCGTCTCAGCTGACGCTTACCCAAGGTATGTACGCTTCTTCGGAAATCCAGCTGGGAAAAGGTGCCGTGAGACAAGAGGAAACTGGCTAATAAACACTGCGGTTATCCACGTCGCAGCCTACGGTGCCCACACCTCGTCCCTCGTACCTCGCCCCGAAAGTTCGCCTCGTGAGTTCACTCTTGGAGTCACACAGCCGCGCCCAAGACTCGGACTCAGACCTCAGGCGCCCTCCGACCAGGCACGCGCCGACCGTACAGACCCCTTCTGCCTCGCCTCGCCTCGCCGCGCAATCGTGCCTATCCATCATGTCGCCAGCACACAATACGTCCTACGGGGCCGAGATGCAGACGAGGACGCGCAAGGAAAAGAACTTCTCCCAGACCGAAGCCGATTTGCCGAGAATCTCGCAACACACATCCTTCAAACTGCTTGACCCGACCATGACCAAGCTGACAGCCTCCTCGAAGCTGAGCGACCTGCTATCCTACCTCGGCCCCTACAACCCGCGCCCGATCCCCATCACCGAACACGATGTCGTCTGGCTCTTCGACAACATCGCCTTCCGGGGAGAAGGCGGGGATTGGCAGGCCGAGTTCCTCGCCGCAGTCTTCGCCCAGCACTCTTCGTGTAAGGTCATCGACGTCGTATCGGAGGTGGCCGACAAGATCGGGCTCGCCAACGGCGAGCGGGACGAGGCGACAATCGAGAAGAGGATAATACCGTTCCTCATGGACGTCCAGCCGGGCAGGGTCGTCAACGCTGTCTTTGGGCACCACAACGTCCTCAAGCTGGGGCCGGGCGGGAGGAATGGCATCAGCAGCGACATAAAACTGCTGCCCGCTGCCCACCCTGGCGATGTCGTGACCACGGTCGCGGACGTCCCCGAGGGGGCAAACGGGCTCCTGAAGATGAAGACGCTATACACGGACCCAGAGGGCTGGGCGGTAATCTCAGGCACGTATTGGCGTTGGCCCTACTCTTCGCCGGCAACTTTGCTAACCTTGTTGTCCCTGCGCAGACGTCGACGACACGATCAAGGTCACCCAGACCAGCGATCCCATCGGCATCCTGCGGTCGACCTTCGTCTCCAAGCCGGTGCCAATAACGGGGATGCCGGAGCTGTATGCCTACATCCAGAAGGTGCTGGCTCCCAAGTCCCCTTTCTTCTACCTCTCAGCCTCGCCATACAACCTCTACCCGTTCCTGCACGACTTCCGCGAACAGTACTACCCGTTCGGGCAGCTGGTGATGCGTGACTCCAACTGGATGAGCATCCCGGGCCTTCTCGCCAACCTGACGATGGGCACCGAGGAGTACAAGGTCGACCGGATGCGCAAGCTGCACTCGTGGCTGCCGCGCAAGAAGGTGGTGTGCATCGGCGACTCGACGCAGAGCGACCCGGAGGCGTACGGCGACGTGTACCGCGAGTTCCCGGGCTGGGTGCACGTCATCCTGATCCGCAAGGTTACCGACATCGCGTCGGTTGGCATCGCGGCCAAGAACGAGCCGGAGCGATTTGAGAAGGCGTTTGAGGGCGTCCCGCGGTCGGCCTGGCACGTGTTTGAGGACCCGGCGGAATGCTACAGGATTGTTGAGGATGCTCTGGCTTGATGGCATATAGAGGGAAATATTGGCATTGGGTCTGTTTCTTTTCGGTCTCTCCTTTTCGTCTCTTTTATCTTCTCTGGCTTGCTTGACTCGAAACATGATTACACGACACAGATATATCCTCTTCCCGTTTTGCAGCATACCTTATTGTCCATCACGATGCGGAGCGAGATGCCCATGCGACTGTATTCCATATTATTCATTAGTTAGGTACCTTTGGGTGGGTCTCGGTGGATTCAATAGTTCAAGCATTCCCGGCGGGTCCAGTTGGCATCCGTCCGTCCATCCCGCCCGCCTTATGGGACGTCATCTACCCCTCCACAGTCTGCAGCGTCAACCCCGCAGTTCCCCGGCAAGCCATTCCTCCGCTGCGCCCCTCCTTGCAGCTACCTATAAATCAATACTACCTCCCTGCCAGTTTTATATGGAGAGGTCTGTCGTCTCGGCCGCAATTCGAGCTTCTTCGTCCATTCTCCGCCAATCTCGCCCCCTCCGCCATCCGAATCCAAATCCGAATCTCACTTCCACTCCGAATCCGAACCCGCACCACCCCCAACGTCACCTCCGCCCCCTTCCCCCTCGACCCCGCCCAATGGCGCCAACCACCCCCTACGAACTTATCTACTGGCCCGGCATTCCCGGCCGCGGCGAGCACGTGCGCCTCGCCCTCGAGGAAGCCGGCGCGACCTACACCGACACAGCGCACACCAAGGACGGCGTCAACACGGTCCTAGCGCACATCAAGGGCGAGATCCCCGACGACGGCATCAACCCCCCTGCCTTCGCTCCCCCGATCCTCAAGCACGGCGCCCTCGTCATAAACCAGACGCCCAACATCCTCCTGTACCTCGGCCCACGCCTGGGACTCGTGCCGGGCGGGAACGACGACGCCGCCATCTACCGCGTCAACTCGCTCGTCCTGACGGCCCTCGACGGCCTCAGCAACGAGCCGCACGACTGCCACCACCCCGTCGCCACGGGCCTGTACTACGAGGACCAGAAGGCCGAGTCCAAGCGCCGGGCCGCCGACTACGTCCAGAACAGGCTCCCCAAGTACCTCGGCTACTTTGAGCGCGTGCTCGCGTCAAAGTCCAGCGGGGACGGGCCGTGGCTCTACGGCGGGGCGCTGTCGTATGCGGATCTGGTGCTGTTCCAGGTGAGTTTTTGCTTCTTTTGTGTGTGATTTGATTCGCGCCTCCCTTCCTACCGGGTCTGATGTTAATATCATGTTTCTTGCAAGTGTACCGACGGTGTCAAGTTCATGTTCCCGAAGGCGATGACGAAGCTGGAGAAGTCCGGTGACTACTCGCGTGTTTTTGCCCTGTACGACGCCGTCAAGGCACGGCCCAAGATCAAGGAATACCTCGCCAGCGACCGGCGGCAGGAGTACTCGATGGGCATTTATCGGTACTATAAGGAGCTGGATATCGAGGGCTGAATCCGGGGATGGAGGGTGACCTTCTAGGTAGTAACTCATAGGCAGGGCCATGACCCATGATCACCCCATTGAGGGGCCTGGCAGTAACATGGTATAGTATAATTAGGTAGCATATAATTAGAAGGCAAACGGGACATATCCCGCCCTCCCCCCGCCCATTAATGTAGCCCTCTCAAGGGCTCATAGCAACACTAGCTCAGAAACCCCGTGATAGCTTGATAGACCCCAAATCACTGCCCAACCTCCTTCCCCTCCGTCTCCTCCGCCAATCCCACGCGCTCAACCGTAGCCTCCACCTTATCCGTCATCAGCTCCTTGACGCCCCTGAGGAACACAAGCGCCACGATGGCCAGCACCACAAACGGAATCACGCTAGCCCACGCGAGCCGGTACGCCGCCGCATACTGCAACCTACTCTCGCGGACAGCAGCCGTCCACACCGCGGCCGACGCGCCGGGGACGTCTGCATCGCCGCCGCCGCCGGCCAGGGCCGCGAGCAGGGCTTCGACGCTCGACTCGGGCAGACCCGCCGCGGTGGCGGCCTTGGCGACGGCGGGCGCGTAGCGCGAGCCCATGCGGCCGTTGATGATGGCGTCGAGCACGGCGGAGCCGAAGGCGCCGCCGATGGCGCGGGCCGAGAAGGCGAGCCCCGTCGCCGTCGAGAGGAAGGCGTGCGGGGCCGTGAACTGCACGCAGGCGACGAGGAGGGTCAGGGGCCCGGACTGGCCGATGCCCGCCAGGACGTTGAAGCCGATCTGGGCGGAGCCCCAGGCGGGTTTGATGGTGGCGTAGCAGATGCAGCTGGGTTGAGGGTGGTTGACGGGTTAGGGGGTGTGCGATGGAAATGGGGGGAAGGGGGAGGGGGAGGGGGAGGAAACAAAGACTCACACGACGAGGAATATAACAAAAGTGACGAGCAAGGGCGACTTCAGGTCCTTGTACCGGGTCGCGTACCACGTCACCGGGATGGAGGCGGTCAAGTTGACGAGGGTGAAGCTCAGCTGGCGGACCGAGATGCGCCACGAGTCCTGCTCGAAGCCGAGGTGGAGGACAATCTGCGGCACAATGGAGTTGACGGCGCTGTAGAAGATCCAGCCCTCGACTGCGAAGGCGAACACGGACAGGGCAAAGTTTGCATTCTTGTGGAAGAAGACGTGCGCCACCAGGCCGTCTGATCGTCCTTTCCATTCTGGTAGATGTCAGCTACCTAGTTCGTGATCACATTGTAAAGGGAAAGCAGAAAGTATGGGAGGAATTACCGTAGAGGCTGAAGGCGACGAGCAAGACAAGACCGATGGCAAGGGGCGCCGCAACGTGAGGATCAGACCAGGTGTATGCGCCGCCCGCCCAGTCAAGGGCGAGGAGCATGAGCGTCGCGCTGCTCATGAACAATGCGGAGCCGATGGGGTCGCACGCCCAGATGTACTCCTTGAGGGTCATGTTGGGGTATTCGATGTTCTTGGGCGGCCAGTAGAAGCAGAACAGCCCCACAGAGGTGATGCCGTGGAAGATGGCCTGGATCCAGAAGATCCACCGCCAGCCGTCGGTGCCCACATTCGTGACTGCTCCTGCGCCCAGGGTGCCGATCCTGTGATCAAGAAAGAAAAGAAGAAAAAGGTCAGCCTGGGGATTCCTTGTTTTCTCGGGGGTTTGTTTGGTTTGTAATTATCCAGGGAATACGAACAATCCGCCAATGGCGCCGCCCATGAAGGCGAATCCGTTCGCGAGGGCGCGGTACTTGAGCGGGAGGATCTCGGCGGGGATGGCCTGGGCGATGGAGATGGTGGCCAGCGTGGTGCCGATGAGGATGCCGCCGCCAATCAGCATGCTCATCGACGTCGCCTTGGCCGAGATGACGGCGCCGGCGAAGGCGATGAGTGGGGGTACGGCGGCAAGATATTTGCGGTCCAGCACGTCCGATAGGCGGCCCACGATGGGCGAGAGCACGCTCTGCATGAGAAGGGGCCCCTGGATGATCCAGCCCGCGATGGGCCCGTCTCCTAGATCCCGGACGATGAAGGCAATGACTGATCCGGCAGCCACGACGACGAATACCTGGGCCATGATGCTGGGGTCCGGTTCAATTAGCAGCTGGGGGGGACAGCCTGGCAACACGCCGAGTTTTCCCTCGGGGTTGGGGTCTGATGACTCACGCGAAGCAGGCAATGAACACGACCAGCCAAGATCTCCAGGTCAGATCAATTCGAACGACGTCCTGGACAGCCTCTTGCTCAAGCGGAATCATGTCTTGCCCGCGGGGCCCATGGTAGCGATGCGCACCATCGGACACGGCGGCGGCGGCGACTTCCACATCCGCCGTCTCGTCCCGTGTGGTCGCCGTCGTCTTCTCAATGTCTGCAGCCATGGCTTTTGCGATCGGTTGGTTGGTTGGCTGGTTGGCTTGTACTGTACTGTATTGGCCGTTGTTGCGAGAATCAGGTGACGGAGGGAGTGGGAAAAAGAATCAATTCTTCACCGGGAACTCATTTGTTTTCTTTCTCCGCCAAGCATCACGGGGACATGTTACCCAGGGGGCTTCTGCCGATGAGACCAACCCCGCCCCTGACGGCATGGCATTGAGCTTTGCGGGCCGGGGGGAGCCACTTATTTCGGCAGATGCATGTCGGCCTGTCACATGGCGGGACCAACCAAAACTAAGACAGACTCGGGTAGGTCATATTTTCCCCGCAACGAGAGTGGAGTCCATACCGGAATGATGATTGTTGGGGTAAGGCACGAGACCGAGGATGCCAGTTTGGTCGTACCACCTTGGGGCGAAACTTGGGCTATGCTCGGTGCTGGGACGGCAAAGCGCTTGCCCATCGATGGCCAGCACCTCGGCCGTTGGCTTTGCCAGCAAATTGCCAGCATACAATATCAGCAACTGAGGTAGCTTTACACTATTTCAGGGGAACCAGTTCTCTTCACCCACAAGCTTTGACACCTCCGATCACGCCCCAGTCCCGAACCGAGCCCCTCACCGACGACCACGAACCCACCTCGGCGCATGGAATGTTCGGAGGCCCCAGCGCTGCCGAGTTGGCCTAGACCCTTCTCTTGGGCTTGGATATTGAAAATGAGGACGTGGATATTGAAGACGGAGGGCGTTGGACTTGGACCTGGGTGATAAGGACCGGAAGTCTTTGCTGGGTCGGCGCTAGGGTTAGTTGGTGGAGGCTAACAGACTCGCCAATTCTCCGACACGTGGTAATTACCGACAGCGATGGCTACCGACAGCACGGCAATGGTTACCTACAGCAACAGCAATAGCTACCGATACCACAGAAACTGCAATTGAAAGTGCCGGAACAGCGCCACGCCCCTGCCCACATTCTCCATCGGCATCGTGCTATGACTCGAAGGTCAAGTATAAAACCCAAAAGAGATGTAGATACGGCGGAAGCAACCCAGGGCACACATTCAGCGAGAACTGCCATACTACCACCATACCTACCTACCAGACGAAAAAGAAATTATCCATCGACATGGCCGGCATAAGAAAGTACTCTCCCCTTAAATCTGGCTGCCTAGTATTTTAGCAGTTGGAATCTAGGCTCTTACCCAACTTGTAGATGCCTTGTATGCGAATTGTTTCACGGTCAAGGCTCCATGATTCTATCTCGCCATGGATGCCGCCTTCCAGGTTGATATTTTCGCAAGGTCATCAGCCGGGCTTGTTCCTATCTTGGTCAGGGTACCCTATCTTTCCTTCGATGGTATGTCGTTCGCCATCAGAGGTTGACTCTGTTGATATCGCCATGTCGCCACGCCTCTGTGCAATGTATTCGGTATTTATCTCTTCTGCGATGGTACGTCGTTCGCCATCTGAAACATGCTGCGTCTGGATGCATGATGTAATGCTCTCCGAATCTTGTCGTCCTAGAGCCGCAGATTGTAGGAACCAGAGTGGTCGTAAGTGGCATGCCTTCAATCCTTCTTCTTGGTGACCGTCTTTCGACCCTGTCGCCATTTGCCTTCGTAGTAATGACGGTTTCAGTGTCACACCTACCAAAGACGTTAGCTAATATTTATGTAGCAATGTTCAGATAATTAGAAGAACAGACATGTTGGATATCGGTAGACATATTTTGATAGTCTTAGTGAGCCAGCCACCTTGTGCCCGTGCGAGGCTGACCCACCCGTCGGGCTCCCTACTATTGTGCCGAGCCCATCTGTTTTCAATGGGTACCTATATTCATCCTCTGCCCGCACTGGTCTACTCCCCTTCATAGGTACCTCAAGTTCTACCACCATTTTGCGTCACAGCCCTCGCCCTCCAACTCTATGAGGTAATTTACTCCCCTCATATCCCAAATCTTACTACCATTGCAATCATGGCACCCGAAATCACTCACTTCAATAACCTGGACTCTGTTGCAGATTCTTTCGACCCAACAACCTCGGACTTCCTATATGCCACGTTCGCAGTTATCGAGAGGGATGATGCTGTCTACTTTGGCCAACTTGCTATACCCAAGCTCAAAATAACCTTCAAGGAGTACACATCTGCGCTTGTGCGGCTTCCCGATGCCGAAACCTAACCTGAATTCCCCCGGGGCGGTGAACTCACCCTAGCCCCGGACGGGCTGGCTAGCAACCTCTACGTCAAACGGCCACGGCTGTTTTAATACGAGGAGTACAAGTCACGAGATTGCGTCGACATCATTCCTGCTCTACTCCTCGAAGAGGCGCACACCCTGGAGGCGATTTCCAGACACCCTCACCCCGGCATCGCCGTGTACCATGGATGCCGCGTGCGAAGGGGGTTCGTCACTGGGCTAGTCCTCGACCGGCACGTCAGTGACCTCAAGCACTACGTCAGTGACCACATGGGACCCCTCGACAAGGGGCCCTTCATGGAAGCCCTGGAATTGGCTGTCGATCATCTGCACTCCCTCGGCCTCGCTCATAACGACGTCAACCCCTCGAATATCTTGATCAAAGCTGCCGGCATGCCGGTCCTCGCTGACTTTGACTCGTGCCGCCCGGTGGGACAAAGGCTGACATATAGTCGCGGTACACCGGGCTGGATTGACAAGGACGATAGCTACGATACGTCAGAGACTCGCCACGATACGTTTGCTATGAAGAAGATTCGGGCGTGGTTGGACGAACAGACGACCGGCTCGTAACCTGGCTGTACTACTCGCAGCCTTGCCTATGGCACCCAATAATTAGTCCTAACTATCCGCGAAGACCTTGCGGTGATTCTCTCCATGTCGGCGATAATCTGAAAAAATCCCGCACTCTGGAAGAGGCTGCTATGCTGTGTCGTTGACGGTGGTGTTTGCGGCGGAGTCTGGCAGATCATTGGGGTCGATGAAGCCAGCAAGGACTCGCGGGTTTCGAATATCAAATGGCCTGACCATCTACAATCTAGAGCCTAACATGTGTCATGCTGGATTGGGAATAATGAGGCTTGGCTTCTGTTTCTGCCCTCCCCATCATTTTCAGCTCCCACGCCATGGAATGTCATATCGTGGGACCGGAGATGGCTCTTCTCGCGCATGGGTGTCTCTGTAGGGCAGCCTTGTTTATTCTCTTGAGGACCTTCTCAGTGACAGATGTAATAGCTGGGTGTCGCTGATGAGTTCTAACACGATGGGGTTGTTGAACTTGTTGCGGACTTGTTGGCGTCCTGGGGCCGAGAACTGCATTCAGGTAGGGAATTTCTCTGCGGACATGCGCCATTTGCTCTGCAGGCAGGTGGCAAGGTGGCAAGTTGGCAAGTTGGCAACAGCTGCACCGCTATTACTATTGTTATTTTCTTGACGGATTGGTACGGCAAGAGCATCTGCATTGGACCCCAGGGTGGTAGATCAACAGCGACGCCGACCACCACGATACAGCCGTCACAGACTCCCGGCAATGGCAGCATCCCGAGCGGTCCGGGCTCGGGAACTGGGGGCGTTGGCACCGGATACTACCGCAGCGTCGTGTCCCCGCCCGAGGGCGTGACTGTCGCCAAGGGGACGACGCTCAACTGCGGCAAGTGGCACATGGTGGAGTCCGGGCGGGACTGCGGAGACATCTGCCTTGCCAAGGGCATCCCCTACAGGCGCCTGTATTTTACATTTGGTTGTTTCAAAACCCCATCCCATATCGTCAGTAGTCTCTCATCTGAGTTCTGTGGTGCAAGTTTCCACAAATCCTGGCCTTCCAGGTCCCGCCACAATTGAAAAAAGCCCCCAGTTGACAGTTTCATCCACCCGAAGTAGCTTTGAAGGCCGACTCGTCTGTTTCCCCTATGCTGCTCTAGTTTGTAGTCAAGCTCCACCATCTTTACCCACAGAGGACGAGAGCTAGTTGGAGTCTGGGCCGCTTCCAACACCTCGTCATCGACGTACAGGAAGACGCCTTGTAGTGTTGTCAAGGTCCCGCCGAGGGGCTTGTCGTCCGTCGGCCGCGGGTCGGTTTCTTTGATCATCTCCCGTACACAGTCCATAGACATGCCTTCCAGAATGCTCTGGTCCTCCTTGATATCAAGTTTAAGCAGTGACAAGAATTCTTCGCATCTCTGCGTCTCCTCGTCAGAGAAGTTGGGCGGGTTTCCCCCGCGCGGGACCCGGAGGCCGAGCACTTCTGTCCGAACGTTGGCACGGATAGCCTCGAGAAGTGACTGCCAGGGTACGTCGGTTGTCGCGCCGTAGGCGATTTTGTAGATGGCAAAGCCCCAGGTCTGGGTCTCACGCGCCCTCACTATGGCAATATAGTCCTCAAGTTCAGACATATTGCCGTCCGTGCTGCCACAACGCGCGCAAAACTGGCTTGGCACGAGGGGAATTTCAATGAGTTGAGCACCACTGCAGCGGTCTTCAGGCCGGCTACTACGTGTGCGTTGGTGTTCCGGGAACGGCCACGCCTTGCACCGTTGCCCACCCGACACCGACGCAGCCGGGATCGGTGTGCGGGTCCAAGACCTGGTATGCTGTCGCAAAGGGAGACACGTGCCAGTCGATCGAGAAGAAGTATGGGATCAGTGATGCAGACTTCCTGAAATGGAACCCGCAAGTTGGTGGGACAGCTTGTGGTGGTCTTTTGGCTGGCTACAATGTGTGCGTGAAGGACTGATCGTTGCTGCCATCGTATGCTTTGTGTTCGGAATCCCGAAGGGGGGGATGGGTTATTTCCATTTTTGCTAAGTGGCAAGTTTAGCCGGGGTGGCCAGAAACGAGGCCCCGGGCAGTGCCACAGGCGCCCACACCAGCTCACCACGATTCAGGTTAAAGCAGCAAGAGCTCAGGGCCATTGACCACAATGGCAACTGCTGAGGGCAACTCTCGGGAAACGCATAGAGCTGTTGCCATCTCCACCTGTCAAAAAAGAATTGGCTGCCTGCAGAGACAAGCTCGTCGGCCAACGCCCAACCCACGGCTGACGTGACGGCCACATGGAGAAATCCGAGTCCCAGGTTGACCTCAACGGTGAACAACTCAGGTTCTACGGTAACTCGCAACTAATTAACATTGAATGCTCCTCAGCTACTACCCGGATGGACTCCACCCAGCTGGCTCCGCAAGATCCCTGCCAGAGCCACCTTCCAGAAGACCGTCGTTCTTCCTCGCCTGGGCAGAGCTACAGCCTGCCTTGGTAGGACCACAACCCACCGTCCTGACTGCCCGACTGATTAGCCAAATCACCTGACCGACGAGATCCCTACCAGAGCCCTTCCAAACGCCGCGCTCCTGGCCGACCTCCCGACTCGCCGAACCAGGCGCCGACTAGATATGTCCTTTTGCCTTGAAACTACTCTTTTGACTGCAGTAGTCAACGCCAACCAGCTTATCGCAGGAAAATCGCCTCGGATAGTAACGGCAAGAGCGATAGGAGCGAGCGACAGCAAGAGCGATAGACAACAACAGCAAGAGCAATAGACAGCAATAGCAATAGCAATAGACGGTAATAGGCAACAACAACAGCAATTGCCACCTGTGATTCACCAACCGTCTGCCCGCGGAGCAAATTGCGCATGCCCCTGACGAAATTCCCTTCAGGTGAGCCATCATCAGCCAGCATTGTTGACAGACGAACCAACATAGACACCACAAGCAGTGTCGAAGAAATGATTTCCCGATGTCGTTGAGACATTAACGTACACGCCCCAAAGTCGGGAATTGGGGAACTTGGGACACGAGCATGTCGGTGGGCTGAAGGTTTGGGTTTCCCAGAATGGGATGGGTCTCTGGTGGCACCTTGCCAAGAACATCCGTTACGGTATCGTCAGCAGACCTAGTTGTTAATGAGGAACAGTGAAAACGAAATTGCAACGGGAGTCAACAGGGAGTCACCGCAGGGCCACCACCACCGCCGCCACCACAGCAGCTTCTGCCACGTCTGGCCCTGCCCACGCCGCCACCACTACCACCACCACCACCACCACCACCACCACGACGCCAACCACCACAGTGCCTGCCACTGAGGTCATCGCTCCTACCGCTCCTGCCTATGCCCCTGCCCCCGCCGCCCTCACTGCTGCCGCGTCCGGCCCTGCCTATGGCGCCCCCGCCACCACCACCACACCCACCACCACAGCAACAACTGCCCCTGCCCCTGCTGTAACAGCAACAGCTACCAACAGTAACAGCAATAGTTACCAATATTGATACATATCACATTAAAGTATCACACCTGGTATCCCCTACTCGGTTCGGAGGTCAAGTATAAAACCCAGAGAGGAATTCAGACTTGGAAGCAACCTAGGTACCCAAGCATACATCGACGCGTGCATGAAGAACATCAATCGTACCTTACCTACCAGACAAGCACCACCTTCGATTCACTATGGCCGGCGTAAGTACTCTCCCCTTTAGGCTTATCTGTCTAGCATTTAACACATATTAATCGTTGTGCAGCAAACGATCAACGTTTACGGCGGAACTTTCAATAACTACGCCGGGAGCGGTGGAGGAGGAGGAGGAGGAGGAGGAGGAAAACGGGGAGGCGGTCGCAGTGGCTGGTGTTGGTGGGCCTCGCGATCGTCGCCCCAAGTCGAAGAAGAAGGCTAAGGGGTTGGCGGTGTGGGCCTGCGGTTGTCACCCCAAGTCAAGAAGCAGAGAGAAAAGTCTGTCGCACGGGCCCGCCGCAGCCCACGCCGCAGTCCACACCACCTCCGGAGCCGCCACCAGCACCACCGCCGCTCCTGTCGCACCACCGCCGCTCCTGTCGCACGCACCAGTACCACCACTGCTCCTGCCGCCCCCACCCCCACCCCCACAGCAGCTTCTGCCGCGTATGGCCCTGCCACTGCCGCCAGAACCGCCTTTGGCAGTCCAGCCTCTGTCGCACCTTCTTCGGCGACCGAGCTGCCACCAGCACTGCCTTTGGCGGACCAGCCTCAGTCGCGCAAGGTGCCTTACTTGGCGACCGAGCTCCCCCCAGCGCCGCCTTTGGCGGACCAGCCATGTAGAAACGAGACCATGTGTTGAATGCGACGACCGAAACGTTCGATGTTAGTATCATCGACTTGGCCCCCAAGATTCCCGTGCAACACTATCTCGATATCTGTAGTTCGTGAAGCCGTTCCGAACCAATTGCTGCGCCTTGATATTGATCTTGAATTATCCTGCCCTGTACTCGAATAAATCACCTCACTCAAGATGTCTTTTACCCACGATAAAACCTGAGTCCCGGCCGCCGGAGCACTACCGGCTCTAGAGAAGCCCATCGACGCAACCCTTTTTCGCTATTGTTTCAAGAGAGCTGGCGATAATCCCCAGCGTGCCTCTAAGAGACTGAGGCCAGAGAACATGGTTGACGCTGACCTTTCTGGCGATGAACAGGACGCCGATGCGGATTTGCTCCGCGGAGAAGAAGACGAGTACGACGGCGAGGACAAACCCGACAAAGTCGACCAGCCTCCCAGTTAAACCCTGCTTCCCGGACTCTTCGAGGAGGGGAGAAGAACCAACATCATGAGCATCCCGGCATCGATTCCCGTGTCAAAGCTGCGGTACCCGAAGCCGGACGAGCCGCTGACCAGGGCGGGCGTGGCGATGCCGGGGAAGCAGGACGCGGCGGACGCGCCGCGTAACTCGCTCCATGCCTTCACCGGCGGGGCGTGGGTCGGGGCCAAGATCACGGGCATGATGGTCGCGGCGGCGTTGAGCATCCTCGCTCTCCTTGGGCTCGCGAACGGCCTGCTGGGCTGGTTGTGGGATTTGTATTTCGACATTCCGACCCATCGCTGAGCGTGCAGCTCATTATGGGGTATTTATTCTACACCGCGGCGTTCCTGCTCGGCGTGGAGAGGGGCGACGATTTGTTGATGGTTGCTCGGTTGATTGGGGTGAAGATTGTTGCCAACGAGTTTGTCGCGGTAAGTGTTGCTCCGAGGACACAAGACTCTACCCTAGCGAAACTGGGACATGTCTATCAAGTACGAGAACCTCACTAAGCACCCCGAGTATGGTCCGCTGTCTCCGCGATCGCCACATATGCAATTTGCGGGTTGGCAATATCAGCTCGCTAGGGGTTCAGATCGGTGTTCTCTCGCAGCTTTCTCCGGCTGAGGCAGGCGAGGGCGGTGGCAGAAGTTGCCATGTCGGCTTTGATCTCTGGTATTGTTGCGAAGCTTACGAGTGCGAGTGTCGCGGGCATGTTGGTTAATAGTGCGGTTTGAGCCGCAGCTATGTAGCAAGCACGGCTGAGAAAAGCAGAAACCCTTTTACCGCTCACAAGATCGAAATTGTCAAAGTCGACCAATCCGTCATATTGTATCTTGTCACAATTAGCTCAGAAGGTAGTGACATTGTTGATCATCCCAGAAACGCAGCAGCAAGGAAACTCTGCCACCAAGCCAGCATTTTGCCCCTCTGGCCTCGACAACTGCAGGAATAATAACCTATGGCCATCGTGGATCCCGGCAAGGTCATCCGAGCAATCATCACCCTAGCCCATCTACGGGTTAGCACACGCGCCATTGGTACATATGAAGTTGTCCGAGCAGTCGTCGAACGTTTGGCAGGGGCAGCCTAGGCGACAGGTCAGCAGATGCGGGGGCCCTCCTGGGTTATTCAGCGTGATACTATGGTACCACGACTCACCTATGCAGTGGCCAGCCCAGCTGCAGCCGGTCTGGCATCCGCCCCCGCCTCCGCCCCCGCCGCTGCACGACTGGGTAGCTCCGGGGAAGACATGGTCGGTGTGGCAGCTGTTGCCGCTCCACAGAGCAGTACCTGAGGTGGTCAGAAACAGGGGGAAGGGGGGGTGAGGACATTGTGAAGGCGGCACATACTGTCCACGGCAAGGTTGTTCGGCGGGCTGCGGAGGACCTGCTGGCCGCCGTTGGGGGTCAATGCGTTCTCGCACTGGATCTGAGCGTTCCCGCCGTTGGTGCTGGGGGTTCCGGTCCAGATGTCGATGTGCTTCTTGTTGCCGTTGTTCCAATCGTCGACTGTCAAACAATCAGTTAGCCCGCTTGCCGAGTCTGGGATGAGGTCTGGACCAATTACGCACTGCACTGGGCGCAATCGTCCTCCATGCGGAGGTACTTCTTCAGGTACGGCACGTAGATGATCTCGCAGACGCTGTACTCGGACGTGGAGCTGGCGAACGTGAGGGGGTCCGCGTAGGTGCCGGTGCCCCCGGCGATGAAGTTGCGGCCCCCGCAGTTGTGGGCCGTCGCACCGCCGGGAGGGTCGTTGTCCGGGGCTCCGTAGAAGGTGATCTGCACACCGCTGGTGGTGGAGCAGCCCAGGGTGACACCGAGTGTTGACATGAGTACACTGAGAACTGCCGTGGTCCGCATCTTGTCGTCGTCTTGGTGGAATGAGTCTCTGAAGCTGTTTATGTTGGAGGCAGTGGATTAAATTGCTTGTCTCCTCCGGATAAGAGTCCGACTAAATATATATACATGTGCGTCTGTCCGCTCCTGCACTTGAAAACTCACAGGGCCCTTCCCAGGGGTGTAAATGTAATATCTTTCTGCAATCCATCATGTTACAGCCGATCTGACTCAGCTTATGGAATGGTATTTCACGATGGGACTCGGAGAAGAGCCTCGCAGCCTGCATATGCGCTCTCTATTAAGGTGGTCAGCTACGAAAGGCCCTTATTCTACACCCAAGTATCGTAGGTATACCACGTCGAAATTGGAGTGGTGGTGGCCAGTTTACTAGGCCGACAGCAGCAGTGCTGCCCGACATCCGTCAGCGACATGCCTGGTGTTCCCATTCCTCAGCAGTACTACCATGGGGGGTTGCACTGTGGCGGAAATCCGGGGTTGCCAGTGGCGCGTATCACTTGGATTTGCATCCAACGGCATATATCTGTCTCACTCTTTGACTGCCAACCTGCTGTGCGATCTGGAACTCCGAGTACGAGCCTCTCGCTTCTGCATAAATGGGCCGCTCTTCGGGGGTATGACTAAGGCCCAAATATGTCGGTCATTCTATGGGAATTGATTTTGGCCGGCGCAGCGGGAAGCAATGGCACTGTAACACACACCAATTAATCACAGAGTAATTAGTCGCAGCAAGGCCTAGACCCTGAGCCGACATCCGGGCTGAAGCCTGCATAGAGTTCACTCCGGCGTTACAGGGCTGAGCAGAACTGCGTTCCCCCGCATTGGGCATTCGCTGATGATGGTCACCGGTATGCAGTAATTAATTGTGAGCGGCTCGGGCTCCAATGTCGAGCTTTGGAGTCCATCACATTCGGCCTGGGCCGCTGTTGACGCGAGAGCGTCGACATGAGATTGCCTCGCTTGGAGACAAAGACGTGCCGTCGACGGGATTTCCTGAGCCGACATGCAGTTCTCCTACCTCCTGGGGAATTGAAGCGCCCCGTCGCGTCTCACTATTTCGGTGGGGTACGTAGCCTAATATTGAGTCCGATGTATGTAGCTGGCCGACTACTCCACGCATCCAGATGGCAGTGCTGATGTTATTGGGGGGCTTCAACCTCTGATCCAGAAGTTGGATTGTCCAGAGCCACCTGATGAAGATTGTGCCGTGGCAGCGTCTGGCATGTCCGGCATGTGTGAGGCGGCACACTGTTCTGACAAGCAATGCACAATGGACCTAATTAGAGCGAGGGGAGTCTCTGCAAACTCCATCGGACCAGTCATGGTGAACTTCACCGCCACGAGATAACCGTGGCTTTTCACACGCAAGAGCCTGCTCCAGTTGGTTCCAATGGATCGGAAGGAATCAAGACCAGAAGCTGGCGACGCCGAGGACGGCATGGCTAATTATCTGGGGGTCGGCCATTGAGAGCAAGGCACACAGGCTTCGTTTCGTTAGTGTTGAATAGGTAGAACGCCTCATCATGTTAACAATCGACGACAGGCTTCATCTGGGTCTCCCTTTCTCGGCAGTATTTGTCTGCCCATCGTGTGTCGAGCGCCTACTTCTTTGTTCGGTCGCTTCACATCTATCAGAACCATCATCAGCTTCTCCTAATTACATGGTGGAAAGGAAGTCGCTTGATAAGATCAGACGAGCATTGAAGTGGATACCAGCGACAGATGTCGGGCGACGAGGCCGTTCTACCCTGCCCAAGGAAATGATGGATATAATCACCACCATTCAGTCATCTCCGGCGTAAGAAATGAAAGGGTAGAGCAATATTTCGTGGCATCATCACAACCAGCTCACCCTTATGGTGCCTGCACTTGGAGGGAGCACTGATTATAGACCCCTCAGGGACAGTGAGTCAAGAGTAATTACCTGAGACCAGGGTAAGAAATCCCGCACACCACACCGTTGATCTCTGGCTAGAACCTTTGATAAGAGTTTTTCCGCTATTGATCGTTGCTCTGTTGAAGATCGCCAAGCTTCACTAGGAACGGACTTCCGACCGTGACACGTAACAGCACCACCACGATCCATCTTGACCTCCGTCTGCGCCTACCGACGTATCCATTTCGGGAACCACCGGCTAGATCCCTTGCACAGATGATGCCAAGTTCGAGCCAATCTGGGGGGTGTTGGAGGAACATGTATTGTGTTGCGGGGGGGTTTGCCGATAGCTGTTGTGTTAGCCCCTTGCGTCATTGAGCACGCAATCCTTAGATCCAATCTCGCCAACTCGATGGCTCCATGTCTCCAGTTAACAGATTGCCGCTCAGGACGATATATTAGAGATGATGCGGCATCCTAGAGTTTTCGGGGGAAAAGTCCTCAGTTTGGAATTGAGTAAAAAGTGACACCGTCTCTCTTCCACCTCTCAACCTCAACCTGCAGGCGTTTGTGTAAGAACTTATTCATCCAGTCACCTACACACCACAATGGCACCCGGAATTTTGGTACAGGAGCCGGTCCAAGTCCTCCCTAGCAGCAGGACAACGGCAGTTCTGAAGAATGAAGACGCACCCCGCTCCATATTCCCAGACGGCATCAGGACGTCTGGCCAACACCCACCCCTATACGAGGCATTGAGGCCGTACTCGGAGTTTCCCAAGGAGATCAGCGGTCCGACAGTGTGGACAAAAGAGGAATATGTCAACAATCCCGAACGATGGGTCCACCCCTTCACTGAGGAGGAAATCGGCGAGCTGAGCGAAGCAGCCGACCGCTTCATCGCGAGCGGTGCTCCCCTAACCGGGATCTCCAAGGTTAGTTAACCAACATCCCCCCCGGGCATTAATGTGCTCTTCACCTGCCATGCTGACCCCAGTCCAGGAGAACTTCCGGCTCAACAAGATGACCAAGGTGCTGCAAGTGCTGCGCAACGATCTGCTCAACGGCAAGGGCTTCATCCTGTTCAAGGGCTTCCCTGCCGAGGCATGGGGCCCGCTCAAGACGTCGGTGGCGTACATGGGGTTGGGCCAGTACGTGGGCTACTTCGTGTCCCAGAACCGGCACGGCCACGTGCTGGGCCACGTCAAGGACGTGGGCGACGACCCCTCGCAGATCCACAGCACGCGCATCTACCGCACCTCCGCGCGCCAGTTCTTCCACGCCGACGACTCCGACGTCGTCGGCCTGCTGTGCCTGCACCGCGCGGCCGAGGGCGGCGAGAGCGACATCGTCTCGGTCCACAACGTGTGGAACGCCCTCCAGCGCGAGAACCCGGACGTCGCCGAACTGCTGACGAGGCCCGTCTGGTACTTTGACCGCAAGGGGGAGGTGTCGGACGGCCAGGAGGAGTGGGTGCGCCAGCCGGTCATCTACCTCGAGAACGGCGGCAAGGGTCGGCTGTACTGCAAGTGGGACCCGTACTACGTGCGGTCGCTGACGCGGTTCTCCGACGCCGGGATCATCCCGGCGCTGAGCGAGGAGCAGGAGCACGCCATCCAGGTGCTGGAGGACACGTGCAACAGGCTCTCGCTGCACATGATCCTCGAGGTGGGCGACATCCAGTTCGTGAGCAATGCCCACCTGCTGCACGCGAGGACGGCATACAAGGATTTTCCCCCGCCGTCACCGCGTCGCCACCTCCTTCGCCTGTGGCTTGCAACCCCCGAGACGGAGGGCGGGTGGGCTTTGCCGATGCCCGACAGCAAGGAGAAGAAGCGGGGAGGCATCCAGGTCAACAACAACCCGCCACGGGCGCCGTTGGACGCCGAGTGATTAATTAAAACACGTACGAGGGTGGCATGGATATCTTTCGGGCGCAAGGCAGGCAATTCGGAGGCGAGCGGTTTGAAGTTTTGTAAAAGTATGGCTGGCTGCCGTTGTCAGCATAAAACAATTATCGAGGGACTTGAATGAGAGCACTCGATCCCATGAATATTTTCTCCTCTTCCGTTCATGCAGAGTTTTAACTGGCCACGCCGATGGATCGTACATGCATACCTTATGTGGCGCAGTAATCTACCACCTGACGACCGGGCACTCCGCATGCAGGGCCAAGAAAGCCCTCAATCGGGGCTACATCATCCAAAACAACCCTCCCGAATCGCTGGTCCTGGGTGAACGGTTCATGTTTGAGTGATGCGCGAGACATGAACCCCGACGCTTCCGGCCTCGACCCGCCAGAGGGCAGCGCAGCGGTGGCCGAAGCTGTCGGCCCAGCCCGACCGCAGCTCTCAAAGCGCGGAGTGGCCGATACCGGTGTCTCCATCGTATACGAGCCGAACTCTGAGCCTGTCATTGAGTAAGATGTGTCCGCTAATCCAGTCCCAGTAACATGTTCCTCGCGCACTAAACCCACCCAGCATTGTCTTTATCCATGGCCTTCAGGGCCATCCCTTCAAGACGTGGGCCTTTGAGACCAATAATGGTCGCAAAGACTCGCACGATTCCTCCCGCCAGGGGGGAACATCCCCCAGTACCGGCCGCAAGATATCAGCCAAGCTGAAGAACTACATCTCCCGACTCAGCTCGGCCAAGAGCGTTCCCCAGGAGTTGGTCGACCAAGGAAGCTCCCATGTCTTCTGGCCTCGGGATCTGCTTCCAATGCAGTGCCCCCAGGCCCGAATACTGGTCGTTGGCTACGACACGGTCATTGCAAAGCACCAGTTTGCCAGGGCCGCCAACAAGAACAGCATATTCACCCACAGTAAGGACATTGTTAATGACCTGTCTCGCTCGCGACCCAAGGGAAGACCAATCATTTTTGTTGCTCACTCGCTTGGGGGAATCATTGTCAAAGAGGTATAACCTGAGCGACCACGGTTATCAATCAGGGTCTGGTAGTTGACACATGGAGTAAATTAGGTGCTGGCCATGTGCTCGACCTCTAGCAACGAGGAATTCGAAGACATTCTCATGAGCACCACCCGGGTCGTCTTCCTCGGCACGCCTCACAGGGGCAGCTCAGCAGCAAGGATAGGCGAGATTGCACGCAAGGCCGCCAGCATGCTGTTGATGGACACGAATGCGCGCATTCTCGACAGCTTGGCCTTGAGGAACTCTGACCTTGAAAGGTGCCAGGACATCTTCTCTTCGCTGTGGTATAAACACAACTTCAGCGTCAAGACATTCCAGGAGGGGTTGCCGCTGAAAACACCCATACTTTTTGGACAGTCGAAGATGGCCAAGGTAATTAGACCATGATTATCCCGTCAAATGCTGTCAAATGCGACAAGCTAATGAGCGTGGTCACCAGGTTGTGCCCGACGTATCATCGTGTCTCGGTTATTCGCGCGAACGGGCTGAGACGCTTGATGCCGATCACAGGTCAATGTGTCGGTATGAAAGTGCTCTGGATCCAAACTATCGGAAGGTGTCAGAGGAGCTGCGAGCTGTCTACTCCGGTTTTCTCCACAAAGTCGACCTCGATGAAGTTGTGATGAAGGCCAGCCTACCGCCTGCCAAACCCACGCTGACTTGCAGTGACCAAGGTATGTACTGTAGCTACCTACTTCTAGTATAAATACTGATCCAACTTGCGTGCTGCAGAGCAGCTGGAGTACTTCAGATTCCCGCAAATGCTCCTTCGGCAGCACACCATAAACTCGCCTGCCGAGAACACCTGCCAATGGCTATCCGAGACAACCGCCTTTAGAGATTGGATCGAGCGCAGAAATGTCCATGTACATTTCGGCCTCCTGCAAATCACGGGCAAGCCAGGTTCCGGGAAGTCAACTCTGGTAAAGAGAATCTACCAGGTAACCCGCTCCTCGCTACGTGCAGCAGACGGAAATTTCGTCGCGGGCTTCTTCTTCAATGCCAGAGGCGACACTCTGGAACGCTGTGCCGCCGGACTCTTCCGCTCCTTGCTGTACCAGATTGGAAACCTGCATCCTTCGTGTCTTGGATCGATCAAGGAATATACAGTAACCGAGCTAGCGGGGTTGGAGGACGACCCTGCCAAATACCTGAACGTACTCATGTCTATCGTTGAAGAAATATTCTCAACTAAGGCTATTGCTCCGCGAAGAAGCATCATCTTCATTGACGCCCTGGACGAGTGCGACCCTGACGAGGCCTCAGAGACGGGATACTTTTTTGCGAGGCTTGTCAAATCAGCCTACAAGGCTGGCATCAAGCTGGACGTCTGCATCTCCAGACGAGAGTACCCGTCTCTCACTATTCGGGATTGTCAGGAGCTCTGCATGGAGACGTACAACGCTCAAGATATTCGACAGTACATCTCCCAGAGGCTTGAGACGGTGGGGATCGCACCCGGAGACGCAAAACTCTTGCAGGACCAGATTTCCCAGCGGTCCAATGGCATATTTCTCTGGGTCGTTCTGGCCGTCGAAGGGGTCCTCAATGACGTCGAGAACGGGAAAAACGCAAAGTACATCCTCAAGCGAACCAAGGCACTCCCCAAAGCACTCAAAGATCTCTTTGGCACATTGCTGAAGGAGATGGATCCCGAGGACCGAGAGATTTCACTGCGGCTCTTCCAATGGGCAGTACTAGCGACCAACCGCCTCCGTCTCCGCGAGTGGCACCACATCCTCGCCTTCGTACGAGAGCCCCCTCCTGTCTCGTTGAAGGAATGGAGGGAATCCGAACACCATACCGAGACAGACGGCCAACTAGAACGCCAGATCCGAAGACTGTCACAGGGCCTACTCGAAGTCAAGGGCGTGGTCGATAGCATCATCCCCGAGGAGAATGGCGATGTCGGGTCCATCCTCGCCGGCGCCGGCTCCCTCGACAGCACCACGGGCGACACCCGATTCCTGCAGCCCATACACGAGAGCGTGGCCGAGTTCCTCGTCGAGGGCCACTCCAACAAGTTCTTCCTGAAAGCCCCCGACTACGACTTCACCGGCGAGGGCCACCTCTCCATCGTGGCCACCTGCCTGGACTACATCGGCATCAGCGAGCTCGACGGCTACATTGCCGCGAGGGGGGCCGGCTCGCCAAGACGCTTGCGGCGCCGCCGCAGCGCCACGAGCTTCATGTCGTCGGCCTCGGCGTATTCGTCGCGATACGGCAGCCGCCGCAACAGCCAGCCGGCGGCAGCCGCCGAAAGGGCCAGGGTCATACTGACCGCAGCCGAGGTCGTAGCGGGTTGGTCTCCCGTCCGGGAGAGTGAGCCAGAGCAGTTTGAACAAACGGCCCCGAGTCCGGCACTTACTTGGCCTAGAGAGCTTGACATTGGTGAGAGTGCAGGCGGTGACACGTCAGAAGACTCGGTGCGGGCCCTTGCAGACCACCCCGACTTGGAATTGGAGTCTGATAGAGACGCTTCCTCATGGTACGACGGCGACAGGAACAGCAACAGAAGTATTAACCTCTCCATTGCGGGCTCGAAGACGTCTCAAACTCTCGAGGAATACCCCGCTCTGGCTTCGTATGCCATCAACAGATTGTTTGTACACGCCAAAGATGGCTTCAAACATGGCGCGGACCCGAAAGAAGTCCTCCGAAGGCTGATCGTGCAGGACCGCTGGTCCCGCTGGTTTGCTTTACAGGAGTCCACTACGAGAATTCCTACCTGCATGTCTTTTCTCATCAGCAGGGAATTGAACACCTGGGCCTCCCTTGCAGATCAGCCTGGGTACTTCACCTGACCGGCATATCCATCCGGCACGCCCGATAAACAAGGACGCTGGCGACAATGTCCCAAAGGAGATGGTGATATTTGCAGGCCAAGGCCTATCTACACTTCTTGTACACGAAAGACAACCATGCCGAAGCAGTGGTGCGAAACTGGGAGCTTCACCGCTCTGAGCTTGATGAAGGCGTGTGTGGGAGACGTCTTCCTTGGCCAGCTAGCTTCAGTTATTTGCAGCTGTAATACTACTACTTGTCGAGCCCCTCGCTGAGCAAAAGTTCAGCGACGCTGTCGATAAAATGAAACCTCGAGCTCAAGCCCAGGGAAAGCAATATTCCATCAGAGTTGTTGGGCCCTCCGCAGTCAAACCCACACAGCCTGTCCATCTTCGTCATAGTAGTACTCGAGCTGGGTATCGGGATCCAAATACACTATCACGCCGTTTTCCGCATAGCGGTACAGAATTCCGGTGTTCGGATCTATGGTATACTTGTTGTGGTCCGTGGCTTCTCCCTTGCTGCTGCTGCTGCTGCTGCTGGCGGCGGCGGAGGGGCAGTGTTTCCCGGAGAATATGTGCTGCTTTGACGAAGAGCCCTTGGAGGATTCAGCCTTAGCCTTAGCCTTGGCCTTGCCATTGCCCTTCTTATCGCTTGAGGCGGCATCTGCCTCATCGGCCGCTTGCCAAGCGGCAACAAATTCAGGGCTAAGCCACTTGGCGTTGTCCTTGCCCACTTCTTCCACTGTAGCGGCCGTCGCTTGGTACCGGGGGAACTCAGCCTTGGAGGGCATCACGGTCCCGTCCGGATATACGTGCAGAGATACGCCCGACCCCTTGAAGTCCTCCTTTCGGCGGAACGCCGCGGATGCGTGCCACGGATCTTTCGTTTTGTCCGTCGCATGAGGGGATCCGCTAGAGACCGAGAACGTTAGACTCAGAATATAGACTGAGGTAGATAGGATGCTGTGCGGGGAACTTGCTGGAACTTCATGAAGGGGGTCTTGATGGGCTCCTCACAATCACACCCGCATCTACAAAAATGCCATGCCATTTCAGGAATCCATTCGCCACTGGGCACGCTTCTTATTCAAGGAATCGAAGATGGGATGTTACAATAGCTCCTTAGCTGTCTTTCTCTTCTCAGGCAACCACTGAAGCATGCCCAAAGCAAAGTCGAGGATTCTTTTTCTCGTCGCCACGCAGATTTGCAAGAGGCTCCTTAAGCTGATATGTGCGAGAGAACTGCTCCCTCTTAATCAGCTCCTCAGGCGGATCTCCCAGGAGGGACACCATTTGAGCAAGGTGGACATGTGCGTCGTATTCGCCATCCTCGCCAGCAGGCCGGTCGAATAGGCTGATGTCTTCTAGGAGGTTCCACATCTGCCAATATTAGTGCTGTCTTTGGGAGAAGTGGCCATGTCTGCTTACAAGGAGGCCGAGATTCCAGATGTCGACGCTGTATGACCATGGGCAGCCAAGTGTCACCTCTGGGGCGCGGAAGCGGTGAGACTGGATAGCAGAGAAATGGCCTTGGCCTTTGGCTAGCCCAGGCAAGGCGAGATTGGAATCAGCTAGCTTGGGTAGCAATTTGGAGCCTTGTAGGGGACCAAAGTCGCCTTCCGAGAGGTAGGTTATACGACCATCCCTAGAGACATGGTGGGGCTGGGGATTCTTCATTTGGAATCTGACAAAATCGTCACCATTATATTGTCATCCTTGATGTCTAGCAGGTTATTGTCAGCATTGGTAAAGTCACAAGAGGTGCCAGTACAAGCGTTGAAACGCCTTACCTGTGTGGATAAGACCACAGTTGGTGTGTAGATAATCTACAGCCTCGAGAAGACAATAGATAAAGAACTTGAATAAAGGTGGTGCCAGTCTCTGTCGTCGCAGTCTATGCTGAAGTTGAAAGAGAGTTTCTCTCATTGGTGTGTAGACAAGACAAGAATGGGTTCCCTCGAGTCTTCTCAGCTGGAGTTCGTCGATAGGCATGCGAATGAATGCTAACCCTTCATGCAATGGGTCAGCATTGGCGATAAGCATTGAAATCCTAGTCTCCCAGGCTATGTCTGTATCAAGGGCTGCAATCTTGATACTGACATAGCGAAGAACCGATGACTTCTTCCACCTCTTGCTGACATGAAATGTTAGACTGAGTGACTGAATGATTAGATGTGCAAGACAAGAGGCAGCTTACAATTGGAGATTGACGGTGGAGTTGGCGCCATACCCAAGCTTGACGATGGTCTTGAATCTGCCATTGAGTATCTTGCCGGGGCGCGTCGGATGGAAAAATCTCAGCCGATTGCCCGGAAGCAGCTCCTCCTCAACAGGTTCGTCGATCATAGGAGCCATCGGAGCCATCGAGACTGAAAACCGTCGGTGCCACAGAGCTGACAATCTCTGGGGTCGTTTCTGCCAGAGAGCTCGCAGCTTTGCAATGATGGGTGCATTTTCCATTTTCAAGAACCGTCGCGCTCCAATAGTTATTTGAGCGCGGTGGCGCCCTACCCTGGGGGGGTGCTTGACGATTCTCAGCGTCAAGCATCGCCTTTTGCGGTTGATTGTGAGGCGGATTATTTGTGGGTCTGTTGATGGGGAGTCATTACAAAGCCCTGATGCCCCAATGAGGTGATTTTGGCATCGCTGGAATCAGCGAAAAAGTGGTGGTTTTGGTCGTATTATATAGCTCGGACAAGTATCCTACTACCAATTTGCGGCGTGTAGGAGAGGCGGGCGGCAAGGCAAAGGAGTTCTCAGTGGCAGAGATCGCCAATAATTACTTAAAGGTGATATTATTATCACACCTAATTAACTCTAGACTGACTTGATATCCATTTCCGTCATATTGGTCCTCCCCACCTCTCAAATTACTGGCAGATGACTTCATTCCCTCAAACGAGAGCCAAAACCTAGACCAACCCCAATTTCCATTTCCATCCCTTCCAGCCTCAGCCATGCTTCGGACAACGAGCCGGCACAAAGTCGCCCGTCTCGGGAGGAGAGTGGTTGCAGCAGTCGAAGTGATCCTCCCGCTTGTCGAAGAAGTGCTGGATTGTAGTATGCGTGTCGCAGCCGAGATCGGCGAGAAGCTCGAAGACGGTGTAGTCCTCGGATCTGCCGATCAGCTTCGCCAGCACCGCCTGGAACTCCTCCGGTTTCGATTCCACGGCCCAGCGGACGATCTGCGTGCACACCTGGACCCAGTTGGTGACCGTGTCTGGGTTGAGGGTACCTTCCATCAACCGAAACTGTTAGAACCGGAGGTTTAGTTAGTTGATCAACAGACAGCTCATCAAGAAGGGCGGGACATCCAACCAACCTCAACGGTTTCCTTCTTCCCCAGCGCATCCCCCGGCGCACCACCCACCCACTGATCGTAGATCCCCTGGAAGTTGAATGCCAGCCTCCTCACCAACGGGTCGTCGTAAGCGCACAACAACCTCGCCACATCCTTCACCGTCACCCTCCCATCATCCCGCCACAGCAACCTAACCCGCCCACGCAACATATCATAGAACACCCCCTCCCCCAACCCCTCCAGCACCCCCCCAGTCCAAACCCGATACCCCCCAAACGCCGCCTCCCCACCCACGTCCCCACGACCTCCACCAGCATCCCCTGTCTTCGCCATCTCCGAAAACTGCCGGAACCGCGCATAATGCAACAGCGCCTCCTCCCCGGACCCCTGCACCCTCCCCGGGTGGCAGAGCCCCTCGAGCCTCCCCTCGGCAAGCCAGAGGAGCGTCCTAAGCTTCCTCAGCAGCAGTGCCGTGAAGGGCGCTGTCCGCAGACCGACGTGCACCTGCAGCGCGCACGTGCCGTTGACGCGGAGGCGGCAGCGCCGGCGGAGGAGGCGCGTCGCGCGGGCGAGGGCGGCGTGCGTGCCGGAGGAGGAGGAGGGGGCGTCGAAGATCGGGGAGTTGAGCTCGACTTGGGCGAGGCGGTGTGGGGGTGCGGGGGGGTCGGAGTCGCTGTCGGAGTCCGGGTCTGGGTCTTCGGGGCGGATCGAGTGGTCGCGCTTGATCACCCAGCTGTCGTACGTTTCGGGGTGTCGGTTGCTGGGGCCGTCTTCGGCTATGACGCGTGCTCCGCCTGTGAGGCGTCGGAGCTCCTCCTCGTTCTCGAGGATTTGCTTTATGTGTTCGTAGATCTTTAGTCGTTCGAGTTGGCTGGAATGGTAGTTGCGATAAAGTGGCTGGTCGAGGCCGAGGGATGTCAAGCGATCGGCTCCGAGGCCGTCCCAGGGGTCTTTTTCGTCGCCGTCGACGTAGCCGAAGAGGAATTCCCACTCTACGCCTACTGTCAATGCGGTCGCCATGTTGAATAATGCACGAGCGACTGAAAGGATCCTGGCTATGTGTTGAAGTGCAGAAAGCGAGGTTGAAGTCGGGCGCCCTGAAGCTCAACTTAAGTAGTTGGGTGGGAGGCCTGGGAACCAGCGGAATGGGGTCAATATATGCGGGTGTTACAGAGGTTTGGGGTGTTGTATTCACCAGAAGGGTTACTAAGACGGGTGAATGCAGGTCGGCCTCTGTTGCTCGGACATGGATTTTGTGCTGGGCTCACGGTGACCCTGAACGTCAAGCTTCGGATTAGGAGTACGTCGATGTTCGTGAATAAATAGACATAGGATTGGTAGTACTTCGACGACGGGCTCCTTCGCATCGTCTCCTGACTTGGCCGAGCCAACAGCACTCAGTAGAATCAAATCTCAGAACTCCGTAGAATCCGTAGAGCTGTGTGTCTTAGCATGCTTGACCCTTGGAAGTGAAAGTGGCCCTCCAAACTGACTGGGCGACACGAGGACCATCACTCTCACTTGCCCCGTCACCCGTCAGATCCTCCCTTTATATACAAGGTCAAGAAGTGCCAGTAGCAACATAAAACGCCCGATTGGTGTAGCGGTAGCACAGAGGGAGTAGTCGCAGTAGGACGCGTGAAGCAATAAGTCGGCCAAGTTAAACCTCAGGTCCTCGGTTCGAGCCCGAGATCGGGTAATTTTTTTCTTCTTTTTTTTTTCTTTCCCTCACCCTTGCTGTTCCTCTCCCTACCGCGCGCTCTATATTATCATTTTAATTATTTATCTCTGCCTGGACTTGTGGATCTGTCTGTGCCTTCTATCTATGAGGTTCATCTAACCGTCCGTCTCAGTTTACCATTCTCCACACAGCCGCTTTGTTGGAAAATCAGACACATCCGATTGCGACATAGAAATTCCGTCGGATTGCGATCATTTGTATGCTGGGGACGACAACGATATAGACTTCTTCCTGACTGTGCCTATATTCCACGGGAATTGGGGAATACGAGCAGGTAATCGGATGGCGAGTCAGATGCAGTGGAAACATCATCCTGCAAGTTCAAGGATTTGTAGTCAGAGATTGATCAATATAGAGTCTATTTAATCTATCGTTGAACGGTTCATTCAGCATCTGGGGGTAGACGAGAGGAGGCCGAGGGGATTTCTTCGGAGAAGACTAACACAAAAGTAGGAGGACCAAGAAAACGGATGCGATTCCCGTATCGATAATCACCAAAATAAGCAAGAAGAAGTGAAAGAAACATCCAAATAATAACCGAACCCCTTCCTCTAGATTCCCTGCCCCCCTCACCAACTACACCCCCGCAGAAAACGCATCCGCATTATGTCCCCCGACCCGGCACCGCGCGGGCACGACGTCGCCCAGCTCGGGGCCCGAGTGATCGCAGCAGCGCAAGTGGTGGCCCCCGTGCATCTTCTCGCCAAAGTGCCCGACGGTGGCGGGCTCGCATCCCACGTCCTCCAGTAGCCTCAGAGCGCGCTCGCCGAGATCATCTGTCCCGAGCCCGGCCCTGGCCTGAACCCGGAGGAGGAGGTTGAACACCACGCGCCCGAAGTCGGCCTCGCTGGCGTCCCGGGCCCACTGCACTATCTGGGCGCATGCTTTGGCCCAGTGGACTACCGTGTTTGGGTTCAGCGTGCCTTCCATCATCCGGAACTGTAACCAAATGTTAGAGATATGGCAGGGAGAGCGGTGGTACGAGTGAGTGATGATCTACCTCGATGGTATTCTTGTACTGGGAGTTAGTCGTCGGCGCCACCGCCGAGCGATACAGACCCCTGAGGTTGTATGCCAGCCTCTCATAATCGTTCTCGGCAACGAGCAAGTGTGCAACGGCATCAACGGTGCTATTCTTGTCGCTCCACAAGACCATGAACCGCCTCTTGAGCTCCACGTTGGGCGGGGCCTGCCTGACCGCCTCCCCCATCCACTTCCTATGGTCCTCGAGGAGGTCGCTCGCCACTTCCGCCGTCCAGATGACATCCATCTCGGCGAGCCTCGACCGGGCACTCAGCTTGGGCCGGTACATGTTCGTCCAGGACACGGTCCGCTTGTCCGCCCAGCCCCGACTGGGGTGGCACAGTCGGTCCAGGTATTCCTCAGCAAGCCAAAGGAGCGTCCTAAGCTTCTTCAGGTGCAAGGCGGTGTAGGCGGGGTCGGTCCTCGACCCGACGTGGACTTGTAGGGCGCAGCGGTTGTTGACCTTGAGCCGGCACTCCTGCTTCAGCAGCCGCGTGGCCCGGTCCAGCACCCGCAGCACATTCGGGTCACCCAGGCTCAGCACGGGAGAGTTGAGCTCCACCTGCTCCCACAGATACTGGCCTTCCTCGTCGGGCTCCAGCCTAAGGGAACAGTCCCGCTTCACGCTCCAGTGGTGGGAGAGCTCGTCTGTCAATACCCGCTCGGTATAGAAGGTATAGTGTGTTAGCACGCGCGCCGGCAGCAATGCTTGGAGTTCCGAATCGGTTTCGATGAGGTCCCTGATGAGCATATGCACTTCCTCCCTGGCTCCAAACCCCCAGGCCTTGTCGGTGCGGAACAATGGCTGGGTGAGATTTGCCGCAGGTGCATCCAACCCCTCCCAGGGGTCGCGCCGATTGCCAGCGATGAAATAGAAGAAAAACTCCCACTCCACACCAACGGTAAACTGGTTATCCATGTCGTCGGTTATCTTGTTCGGAGGTCTTGGCAGATGAAATACTGGGACTGGCGGTTGTGGCTGTGCCTGAGGGGGAAAAGGGAGTAATTATCCAAAAAAGGCATATGGCAAGAGGATGGTCTCGGGTTATATATGCTTGCTAATAGTTGTCGCGAGGGCAGGAATGGATGAGGGTATGAGGCAAATGAACTACCATGCCAGGGCTACTGCCGTAGCTGGTCGATATCACTTAAAGAGAAACAGGCGTTCGCGAATCGAGCCGTGATGTAGAGACGCCTCACATTCTGGCCCTGGCATGCCTGACGCCAGTGAATCTGCCGGACACTGCTGAGCCTCGAAATCCCCGCTCAAAGTTGTGGGAGGTTCGCTGATAGTGGATTCTGGCGACGTGTGCCTGGTTTCGCAGTGGTACTTGTACAACATCAAAAATCCACGATAACCCCGGCCCTTGGACATTCGTTTGTGTCACTACTTGACTGCCGGCGGAGAGGAAGGGGACGGACTGCATGTCAGTTCTGGGTCCAGCAATCATGCAATCATCCCGAGGCAGCCGGGGTTCCCAAATGGCCGTGAATCGCATCTTTTGGGTCACGAATTTGCCATCTGTTGTTTGCTCCCAGGGAAGGCCAAGAGACGAGCGTGGCCTGATCACTCTTCCCTCGCCATGGTTTCCAAATAGATCCTTGCGTGATTAAGCAACTGCATTTCTGATGCAGAAAGGGGACACATCTCGTTGCCGAGGCATTGTTCTAAGCAGGGTATGGGTATATCAACGCTGTCTTTTCTCCTCCCCTCCAGCCTCCTCGGATTCCCTCTCCCACTTCCTTTCCAACTCCAAGAGGGCGTCCAAAACAGCCGGTGTCGCCTTATCCTCGATGACCGACTTCTCCCACTTGGTCATCTCCCTCAAGACGTAGTCCGACACGGTAGTCCTATCCCTCCCCTCGGGGCGCCCGATGCCGACCGAGATGCGCGACCACCTCGGGTCATTGTAGTCCTTTGGAAGGAGGCTGGAGTTGACGCTCTTGACGCCGTTGTGGCCGCGGTGGCTCCTGCTCCACTGCCGTATCTTGACCACCCCGAGGTCCTCCTCCAGGTCGTCGTGCACGAGGACGAGGGACAGGTCCGCGGGGGCCAGGCCCCGGTTCGCGAGCATCTCCTTCCACGCCTTGGCGACCCACGGCCCCGAGATGTTCATGAGCGTGGGGCTCTGGAGGAGGGTGTATTTGGGGCCGGCCGAGGCGAGGACCGACTTCTTTCCGTGACGCTCCGACGCGAAGGGAGGCTGCTCGGGGGAGAGGATCTTCTGGAGGGAGGCGACGGCGAGGTGGCCGACTGAGTGCAGCGTTCCCACGTAGGGCGCCGGATTGCCCAGGCTAATGACGAGGAATCGGGGGTTAAACATTTGCTCGAATCCCTCGGGGGTGTTGCTGCCAGTCGATGTATTGTCGGAGTAGGTAGAGAGTCTTAACGACGGAATCGAGGATGTGCCCTCTGTCCCCTTCACCGGCTAGCACCTCAACCCATTCATTATGCCTCGGGAGTCCTCTCGTCGACAATCAATCCTCAAGCCGGTTTTCTTCCGCCAACCGCTGTTGCTGTTGGCTTGAAGGTTCCCGTCATTTCGTGACTGTATCCGTTGTTCCTACGTCTGTGCGTTTTTCACTGGCGCCCCCACTGCGATCCGCCCAGAATTGTGGCTTCCCCGGATGACGTCGGCCCATCCCGTCCAATAGAATCCAGGGGAGCAGGACCAGGGCACAGCCATAAGAAACCTTTCGTCACCACCCGCGACCAACAGGCAGTGATACCATCAACAACTCTCATTCAAACACCCTGCGATCTCATTCAATAGTGATAACGAACTTCCCTCTAACTGTTCGTCGAATCTGCCAGCCAAATCACGCATTCCGCTCCCCAATAGAAGCCAGGAAACAGACAGACAGTCAGACAGTTGCCCACCATGTCTTGGGCAGGTATGCTTTTGCCCCTTACCCCCACCACCACCACCGTCCCGTCCTGCTTCTAATGCGGCGACGGGCAGGCTTCAAGAAGAATGTCAACCGCGCGACGACGCAGGTTATGATGAAGACTGGTCAGTATCCGATGATCCCTCACACCCCGTTGGTTGTCACCACTAACGAGGCCTCGCATTAGGACACGTCGAGAAAACGAACGATCGAGACTACGAGGTTGAGGAGAGGTACGAGTCTCCGGATACATGCCGCCCATTGCAGGCTAGCTACACAGTCACCGGATTTTGGCGACTAACCCTCTCTACCATAGACGGTTCAGGACCATGGAAGCCGCATCACTACGGCTACAAAAAGAGGCAAAGGGATACCTAGACTCGCTCCGAGGTATGACGACGAAATTGAACGTACAGGGATATATATGCTGACACCGTCTTCCCCTCCCCAGCAATGACGGCCTCACAAATGCGCATCGCCGAGACGATCGACGCATTCTACGGAGACGCGGGCGCCAAAGACGGCGTCAGCCGGAGCTACAAGCAGGCCGTGGAGGATCTGGACGCCGAGACGATCAAGGAGCTCGACGGACCGTACCGGACGACCGTGCTGGAGCCCATATCGAGATTCTGCGCATATTTCCCAGACGTCAACGAGTGTAGGTGCACCCCTTATCCGTCCCCACCCCCCGGGCCCCTGACTCATGAAACCACAAAAAAACAGGCATCAAGAAGCGCGGCCACAAGCTCCTCGACTACGACGCGCTGCGGGCAAAGGTCAAGAAGCTGGTGGAGAAGCCGGACAAGGACGTGACCAAGCTCCCGCGGGCGGAGAAAGAGATGGAGATGGCCAAGGCGGCGTACGAGCAGCTGAACGAGCAGCTGTGCGGCGAGCTGCCGCAGCTGCTCGACCTGCGCGTCCCCTACCTCGACCCCTCCTTCGAGGCCCTCGTCAAGATCCAGCTCCGCTTCTGCGCCGAGGCCTACAGCCGCATGGCCCAGGTCCAGCAGTACCTCGACGCCGACACCCGCGACCAGTACGCCCAGGGCGAGCTGGACAACAGGGTCGAGCAGGTGCTGCAGGAGATACGCGAGCTGAGCATCAGTGGGACGGTATAAGGTTTTTCGGGGTGGGCGGAATCTCTCTTCCTCTCTCGTTCGAGAGTCGCAAACACGCATACACACATACACATACAAGGGCGAAACCGTGACAGAGAAGGCTGGCATCGATGGATATGGATGGATGGATGGTGTAATGAACGAATCAACGGCGCATAAGGGATTTGGTAATTCGGAGTCGCGGGAGGTCCAACGGACGTGGCGACGCTTCACACATGAACAACTTGCTGTGATCTGACCACCCAAGGATAGATGATACGTATCTGGGGACAAGCGTTACAAGGAATGAACATGTTCCATTCTACTGCCGTGAGGTTCTGAGGGCGACCGCGTGTTCTCGTCCATCCATTTCTCTCGTCACACCTTTCCTTGTGGTCGCCGATGGGTTGTTGACTGTAGCCCCGAGTCGCAGAAGGAATTGGGGACGCCAAAGATCCTGAGACGGAGTGATCTTAAATCCTGGAGGCGCCGTGGCATTTATTAGAGCCGGAAGTCATGTACATGATTACATGGCTGGCCAGGTGGCGCCGCTGACTAGGTACCTACCACTGGCAACCAGGCAGTTACAGTTACAGTCTAGAAAGCCGTTGGACGGCTGCATGGTGCAGTGACGGGTGGTCTAGGATCTTAGTATTTGAGATGGAACACCTAAAAATAGTTGCCGTCTGCAACAACTCGGGTCCGTCTCAAAGGGCGCAACGTATTGATCTTCGACGATCAGCACCAGGGGCAGGTTGGCTCAGGAATTGACAGAAAGGGGAGAAAGGGAAGACAGGGGCGGGTGACACTTGTTGGTGCTGCCAGCCGCATCTCAACATTGGGAACCAGACTGGGCGCTTTTCGACTTCATTCACACGCTCTTGTCGCCAGCAATTTATCGCCTTATCGTAGGCCAAAAGGCATGCCAAGTCCCGATTAAGCGCAAACACCCCCCACCCCCCTGTGTGTGCACCGTGCCGATCGATTGCTTGCAGATCCGGTGATGAAACGACAGGCGAGAAATGCTGCGTCTCTTGGAGGCGATCGTCCCTGCGCGCGCTTCTAGAACGAGGCACTAGCGGTGGCTATGTGCAATTGGAAACAAGCAAGAACGGGTGCCGGTGGCCAACCGGCACGCGGTCTAGAATCAGAGTAGCTCGTCAATTGGATTTTCCATTCCGAGGCTGAAACAGGTTGCAAAACCTGCTCTGCCCACAGACACCAGTCAAATCGTGCCTCCCTGGTTCGCTGGCGGCTCCCAAAGAGATTCGGTTGGTGGGGCGGTCTCAACCTGGATTACGCCTGCAAACTTAGGTACACAGTCGAGGTCGGGTCTTTGCCCGGCTTCTCGGAATGGGACCAACTGCCGTTTCCCATTCGATCCCAGCGGCAAGAACAACAGGTCTGCGACTACTACGCAGTATGCAGCAGAAGGAACGAAGCATGCACGACAGGAACCGCTTTCCTCATCCAGTTACTTCGTAAATCCCAGGTAGGTACGGATCCGTACTGGTGGGGGCTAAGGTCTTTCGGGCCGGAACCTTGCTCAAAACCAGGGGCCTTTCGAGTCTGGACTCCTATAAGTGGAAGGGTGGGGTGGCATTCTCAAGGAGTGGCTTGATCAATTTGATGCCAAGTTCAACCTCCCTCCCACCATCGCTACCGCCGATCGACAGACGGATAAGTTGCTGCGCCCCCTCATATATGGAGATAAATGGGGCCAACCCGAGATTTACTTTGCTTGATGGTGTGTTGAGAGATTACAAGAAATGAGGTGCTCAACCTCGCAGTACTTTTGTGAGGACACGAGGCTAATGGGCACTGTGTTGCTCTGAGGACGGGCAATAACAACAGCAATAACAACAGACAAACAATCCCAACAGCGACCTCGATAATAGAAAGATACCCAATTAATTGACATGACTACCGCAAGCAGGCTGCTATTGACGGGGTACTGGCCAGTAGCGACCAATCTCATACTTGGCGCCGCGACAGGTTGAAACTTGCTTTCCCATATGCACCCCGCGGAGTACGGTTATTGTTAGACCGTCACTTGCCGATATCCATCTGTCAATCTGTAGCCAGAACCAGGCGTGCCAGGCACCATTTCCTTAGCGCCTCCATTAAAAAGCAAGGGGAAAAAGTACAGGCACGACACCCACAGACAGGCCTAGTTCCCCGCCCAACTTTAATAAGAAAGACGAAACTCCCACTGCCAAGATGGTGGTGATACGGTGCTGCGCGGGTACCTCCCATGTACACCCACCACTCCGGATGTTGCCACCGAATCACCATCACTCTCGCTAAACCCCATTCCTCCTCTGCCCGGATACAATTGCCTTCTTACCCGCCCTTCTTCACCACCTCAGTTGCTCCCTTCGCCCTGTTGGAAACTTGGCATCCCTTTTCCCGGTGGGCGACGTTCATTCCTGGAACCAACCCAATTGGCATGCTATAACTGGCATTGTCCAACCACCACCACTCGCTTGAAGGATATTATTCGAGAGTCTGGATACTCGACCGATTCCTCTCCATCTACCAACCTACCTGCCTAAACTCTGCTCCCGCCCGAGAAAACATCCCACCGAGCAGCGAGCTGCCAATACTCTTTTCGACCTCCGCAACCTGGAATAGTACCCGACGGAACCACGAACCAATATGCGTATCACGAAGAAGTTTGATCGTGCCTTCCAGTGGGCGGGCGAGAAGATGGGCGCCGAAGCCAAGACTAACATGTCTGAGGACTTCAAGATGCTCGAGATCGAGATGGCCCTTCGGTTCGAGGGTATGGGCAATCCTTCCTGATCGTCTCCCGCGGTACTAACTCGGCGGCGTCCCCAAACAGGCATGGAGAGGCTGCAGAAATCGATGAACGCCTACATCAAGTGGCTCGGCCGGCGAGGGGAGACCTTTGACGACAAGGAGAAGGGCCTCCCGGCCAGCTACCTCGGGCGCACCATGCTCAGCCACGGCGAGGACTTTGAGGCCGATTCCGAGTTCGGCAACTGCCTGATCGCCATGGGCCGCGCCAACGAGCGGCTAGCCGGGGTCCAGGAACACTTCGTCGCCGACGCCACTTCCACCTGGCTGGAATCCCTCGAGCGGTCTCTGGCCATGATGAAGGAGTACCAGGTTCGTCTTGTTGCCGCCGCCCCCTGCACCAAGCCATAACCTGCCCACCAGCTAACTCCCCCAATTCGCAGTCCGCCCGCAAGAAGCTCGAGAACCGCCGGCTCGCCTACGACGCCAGCATCACCAAGATGCAGAAGGCGAAGCGCGACGACTTCAGGGTCGAGGAGGAGCTACGCGCGAACAAGGCCAAGTACGAAGAGTCGTCCGAGGACGTGCTACGGCGCATGCAGGACATCAAGGACGCCGAGGTGGACAGCGTGCGCGACCTGACCGGCTTCCTCGACGCTGAGCTTGACTACCACGAGCGCTGCGCCGATGAGCTGCGGCGTGTGCGCCAGAGCTGGGCCGCCGACGTCAGCGGCTCGAGCGGACACGGTGATCGCGCCGGCAGTATAGGCGGCGGCGGAGGAACTGGTATGATCCTGGAGCGGCGGCCCACGGGTAGGAGCCGGTCGAACACGGCGCACAGCTTCAGCGACAAGCTGTCGCGGACCAACAGCAGGAACAACATCTACGAGGTCGAGGAGCCCCGAGCCGAGCCGGCGGTCCGCACGCCCATCCGCAACACGTCGCGCCCGGGCATCGGCAGCTCCAGCTCCAGCTTCACCTGGGCAGCCCAGCAGCCGGACCCCGCGCCGCGCCCGACCCTCACGACAGCGCACACATTCCACTCGGGCCTGAGTATCGACCGCGGCCGCGAGCAGGCCACGGGCCGCACAGCGGGGTCCGGGTCCGGGTCCAGCTACGGCGGATACAATAGCCAAGGCGGCGGCGGGCTGAACATGGGCTCCCTCCGTGCGGGGCTGCGGCCGACCAGCCGCGCGGCGGCGACCCGCGAGGTGGACGTGTTTGCGGACCGCGACGACGACACGGCGTCGGGCAGCGGCAGCCCCGAGTGGGGCGAGCGCAGCGCCAGCCCGGCCACGAGTTTCGATAGTCTGAGCCGCAGCACGAGCAATCTCGCGTCGTCATCATCCACCACCACTCTCGGCCAGCGCAAGGCGCCGCCGCCGCCGCCGCCCAGCAGGTCGAAGAAGCCGCCGCCTCCCGTCCCGGCCAAGAGGGAGGTTGGGTACTAGACTCCTGCCACGGGCTTGGCGGACGGATGGGATGGGCAGGGTGGCAGGGAGCTAACTTTGATCTGTCTGGTCGGCCTGGATACGGGGTGTTTATTATGCGATACGGGACAGGGAAATGCGGGAATAACAAACGGGTTCAATGGAACGGGCATGCAGGATCGAATCTGTTGGCAACGAGGATGGTGCCAGGCGTTGGATTTGGCATTGCCGCTTGGTCGCATCACTGGAGTGGGACTGGATCCCTACGAGTCATGCCCATAAATGTAATAAACCTATAGATTTGAAACATGTCGTAATGTTCTGTTTATGTATAAACTAAATTAAGTTGCTTACTTCAATATTACCTAGTCAGTGTGCTTCGCCGGAGCCAACAACTCGGGAAGGCACCTACGACTAGGTACCTGGTAGCCAGCGGAGCCAACGGGGGCCGGTGGGGTTACCTACATTGTCACCCCACTGTAGCTCGCCTAGGTCAGCTACCGGGTTGCAGCACAGACCTTGCATGGGTCAGCGATCGCAACTCTAAAATTCCAGCTCAAGGTTCTTCAACCCTCTTCAAGATCTCCATCTCGATTGAAGAGGCTCCTGGCAACGACATGGGATTCCACGCCCCCTTCTAGCGGCCAATCATTCCGATCATGAGGATCTCCACCGAGGAATCCCATTCTCTCTTGTTGTATCCGAGCTCGGCAGTCTGGTAAAAGCTTCTCACGCCGCGTTTGTCGACCTCCCTCCGCCAACCCCAAAACGCCATTTAGGGACCTCGCAAATCCTCCCTCTCCCCGTCGCATCATCGACAACGGGCACAGTTCCCTCCGTCCCGCCCAACATGTCAGCAGCAGAAGACATCCGCTACCGGCAATCGTCACAGTTCCGGCTGTGGTCCTTCTCCCCGGCCCAGCTCGCCGCCACGCGCGAGAAGACCAACAGCCTAGCCCGGGCCAGCATCTCGGAGCGACTCTCGACGCCCACCGCCTCGAGCACCAACACTCCCGACCCGACCGACCTCCTCCAGCCGCCGCAGCCGCAGCAGCCGCAACAACAACAACAGCAACAGCTCCCCGAGTTCCTCTCCCCCGCCGACGAGGCCCAGCTGCTCACCTTCTACACCATCGAGCTGCTTCGCGCCGGCGCCTTCTGCAAGATACCCACCGACATGCGGGCCACGGCGGCTGTGTTCCTGCGCCGGTTCTACGTCACAAACAGCGTCATGACGTACCCGCCCACCGACCTGCTGAAGACGTGCCTGTTCTTTGGCTGCAAGGCCGAGGGGTGGTATCAGAGCGCGACGGCGTGAGTGGGTCCCCGAGTTTGAGAAGTTGAGATGGATGCCGCTGGGGGAAAGTGGCAAGGCCAGATGGAGGTCGGGCTGCGTGTTTGTTTTGCTTTCAGGGTACTGACGGTTTCTTCTTCATCGCCTAGGTTCGCCGACCACTTCCCAAACACTACATCCGAGGAGATTCTTGCCGGAGAGTTTCTGCTATGCCAAAGCCTCAGGTTCGCCTTCGACGTCAGGCACCCGTTCCGAGCATTGGAGGGGGCCATCATGGAGCTGCGTCGATACGGAGACATTGAGGCAAGTCTATTGTATTTATTTTTACTACCATTTCTCTCCAAGGAGGAATGCCCTCTTTTTGACACACAGAAACAAACAAGGAACTCCCTTCTGCTCTACCTTATACCACACCACAGCTAACGTCGGTCCGCCCCGCCCACAGGACAAGCGCATCGCCTCGGCCCACGGCCGATCCCGCGAGATCCTCAAGTTCAGCCCCGTCGTCACCGACGCCTACTTCCACTACACGCCGAGCCAGATCATGCTCGCCGCCCTGTCGCTCGCCGACCGCGGCCTCGCCGACCGCCTCATCCACGAGGCCTTCAGCAGCGGGGCGGCGGCCGCCGCCGCCGCCAACGGCAAGGAGAACCGCAAGGGGGGGGGGGGCTCCTCCTCGGACGAGAAGGCGGCCAGGATGGTAGCAGTCGCGGCCGACGTCCGGGACAGGGTCGTCGGCGCCGTCGAAGCGTGCAGGGAGATGCTCGCCAGGGAGCCGCCCGAGCGCATGACCGAGTTCTGGGGCACGGTAAGCTCCCTCCCGCACTCACCTACGCACCTTCCCACAACCCAGCCCCTTTAAGTCAAGTCGCATGGCCAAAACATTTGCTAACCCCTCACACAAAGCCCGAATCCAACAAGGTCATCAAGCCCCTCCGCCAGAAACTCAAGCGCTGCCGCGACCCCGACCGCTGGGACCTGGTAGCCCTGCAGAAGGCTCGCCGCGAGCACCAGGCCGCCGCGCGGGGGAGGAAGGCCGGAGCAGCCGGCGGCGGCGACGACGACGACGACGACGACATCTTCATCCAGGGGGACCCCGACGACGACGACGGCGCCGTCTTTGGCGGCCCAATCGGTGGCGGCGGCGGTGTTGGCGGCGGCGAAGGGCGCGAACCCAAGAGGCGAAAGGTCGTGGGAAGGGTGCCTGATGACCCGTTCGGGGGCCCGCTTTGAAGGAGGATGGGAATGGTGGGGGAGACGATCCGCCCCGGGATCCGGAATCTTTTTTCCCCCAGCGGAAGAGGGGGGAAAAGGAAGGAAAGGAGGCAGATGGATGGCGGCAGCTCATTCGGCATGACTACGAAACTAGCGCATCGATCGTCTCGTCTTCCACGGGACTGAAGCTTGCTTTACTAGGTTTCGATCACCCTCCGGAAATGCCAGTCATAGCGCCGGGGATGCAGCGCCTGAGCTTGAATTCGGCATATGAAGGTGCAATGCGGAATATCTACTCCGTACATGCATGTCGTATCCGAGAGGTTAAAAGGGGGGTATGCTGTGGAGCAGTGTGAGACAACAAACAGCTCCACCGAATGCGAGATGTGGTCATTAAGCATGGAGAATTACTATCGCATTACTCGTACGTACATCATAGCATGCATGTCCGAGACCTGACCATGACCGAGACAGTCAATCTAAGAAAAATACAAGAACTAAAGGGAAAATGCGGGGGGCCCGGACCATCCAAGAACCGCATCGGATATGGGATGCGGATGGGCAACACCACACAGGGGGAGGCACCTTTCGATCCTCACCATTCATCCTTAGCCAAGTCCGTTCGGTTTCTCCCACTTCCGCTCAGCTCACTCTTGTGCCGTAAAAGATGCTCGCTGCAAAAACACCTGTGCCCCCTGCTTATCCTACCCTGTCTGACCCATGAAGGCAAAACAAATGTCCCCCTCCCCCAACTTCCTGCACTCACAAGAAACCATGGCGGGTCAACTCCTCCTGCAGAGTCGGGACGAGCCCCCCGGAGGGATAAAGGCGGCATCTGGCGTCCTTCCACTTCTTGACCGTCTCCATGATGGTCTTGCTGTTGGCCTTGAAATGCCTCCGGATGACCTCCCCCCAGACGCAGTCGTCGACGGTAGCAGCCACCACAGGGGCGGGCTGCGTCCCCATAGGTGCATGATGGAATGGCATCTGCAAATTCACCGGTGGCGGTGGCGGTGGGGGATTAAACTGTGACGGTGCAAAAACGTGGGGTGGCGCCGCTGGCACCGATGATCTAGACGCGGGTGAGGGCTGCGTGTGTTGATGTTGTTGGGTGGACGAGCCCACCGGCGGTGCTAGTCGCTCCTTGAGCCAGTATATCATGGCGTGCTTCATCGTGAAGGCTTGGATGGTGCTGTTGTACAGTGTGGACGCAGACTTGTTCACCACCGATTCGCGCCCAGGCTCGTTGTAGTAGGGTTCATCATTGAAGATCATCCCTGTTCGGGTTCTCAAGTCAGTCTCGTACAAGCAGTTGAGCCATGTTTCTGGTGGGCAACCGCAGATAGAAGGGGGGGGGGGGGGGGGGGTGGATTCCGATGGGGGAAAGAAGTCCAAGACGTACCTTGAATTGACACGAGGACCTGCAACAAGGTTGAGCGCTCTGGGTTCCATGGTTCCCCAGACCAGGTGCCCAACAACGAGAGACATACTATCGGCACCAAAGGAGTTAGTCACAGGGTGTCTCTTCAAATGCAGTTGAGGCGAAACAGCTCGGGGAAACAGGAGGGGATCAAGAAGAAAAAAGAAAGGGGCCACCAACCTTTTCCGTCCTCGTATAGGTTCGGGTTGAACCGCACCCTACCATGGCCGGTGGTGCGGAAGCTCATTAGCGGCGGCTGCATTGGGAAGGCGTCGGGGCAGAAGAGATCAAACTCAAACAGGCCGTTCTCGTACGGCGTTCCCTTCGGGCCGATCATGAGAATCTTCATGACGTCCAGCCTGGAGCTGCCATGCCGCACGTAGATTCCCTCGGGAAGCGATGTCCGAAGGACAGACACCTGCGCCGCCAGCTTCTTCATGCGGCCCTTTATCGGCATCGCACCCATCGAAGCAGCTGAACTGATGAATGCGAAGCCAGACATGATCTGCTGGTCGACGATATCGGTAACTGAGTTGTCGCGGTGCCACTCCCTGAACTCCTCCTGCGCCCTTTCGACCTCTCTGGATCGCGTCCAGACCACAGGCTTCTTGCCGCTTCCTGACCCTACGCCGTGGGGGCCACCCTGCTCCATGGCCTTCCGGGTCCCATCAAACGTGTCGGCCATGTTGCAGATCCGCCGGCACATGTCGAGCATGAATTGGCCATCGGCTTCCTTGAACTCGGCCAAGTGCGTCTGTGACAGGGAGACTTGGTAGAAGTGGCGGCACTGTGTCGCGAGCTTGACCATGACGCTGAGCATGGACTGCCCCTTCTCCGGTTTGGTTCGCTTCTCCCGTGAGCCCATTTTCCCGCCGGCGGCAGTGGTCCCGGCGCCGTCGGGGCCCTCCCTCCTTGGCAAGGAGAAGTACACCAGTTGCTCCTCTCTCCGATATATGTTCTGTTCGGCGAAAATGAGGTGTGACGTGCAAGTGTGATTGCCCAGGGCCTCGACGAAGTCCAGGGAGGTAGTGTACAGCCTCCCTTGGGCCGCTATCTCCTCGATCGAGTCGTTCCTCAGGAGTTCCATCGTCTTCGAGAGGAGGGGGCTGCGGCCAAGCATGAGTTGTACCAATGCGGGGGGGTCGTAGTCGAGGTTTGTCAGCCCCTGAGCTCGCGTCAGAGAGGGGAGGATGAGGGCGAGAGCCGAGAAGTAGGCTTCCCAAAAAGGATTCGCCGCGGTGCTTTTCCGGCATTCTATCTGCGTGTCCCTCGGAGCCACAAAGCGCTGTACCATGGCGTTGCCGAAGTCGTTATATCCACCGTACCCAGTACCCTTAGACTGGGCATTCGAAGACTCTGATTTCGGGGCTTTCAACTTGTTGCGCAGAGCCTTGCCGATGCTGCTGGTAGCGCTGGTAGGAGCAGAAGCTTCGGGCTCGTTGAGCGCCAGGCCACAGCAGAGGGACCAGATGAGGAACAGTCTCCCCTGCTCACAACACCATGCGAGTTTGAAACCTTGACCCGAGACGCGGTGGGGCAATTGGGAGTCAGGGTATTTGTTCTGCATCCCGCACCCAACGCAGGTCCAGGCCTTACACTTCCGGCAGGACACGTTCGAGTGTAACACGGCCCAGCCCTTCAACGCCGCCATTGTCCGCTCAATCACGTCCTCGGCGTTTTGGATTAGCGGAGAGGTGCAGATACGGCATTTAGCATCAAGTATTTTCTGACCAAACACCTGGAGCTCGGATTCGTTGCTGGATGGAGACAGCTGCGACGGCAATGCCCTTCCGATGTCGAAGATGTTGGTCAGGATCGAGGAGGGGTCCGCCCGGTTAGCCAGCAGGCTAGATTCCTCCTCCGCCTGCAAAGCCCTGGCAAGTGCCTCATCTTCTATCATCTGGTGTTGCTCCTGGATGAGTTGTGCAATCTCGGCGTCGTGGCAGCCCGGAGGGGCGAAACTATTGCCCATATCGTGAAGGGTTGCAAACTGTCGTTCCGTTGTTCCCTGACCTGGCTCTTTGTCCAGGTCCATAGGCTCGGGTTCAGTGGAATCTCGTGCCGTAAAATGACTGAAGTCTGGAGTAGAAGAAGAAGACGCAGTTAAGTCGACGAGGGAGGTGCGATTTTCAGGCGTAGTCTGGCTTCCCAACCCGCTGGTGAGGTCTTTTGAAATCGTTAGTGACGTGGATACGAGTCTGGGGGGTTGAACGCGTGACTCCGAGGTGCCCATCGTGGCGGCTCCGAATGACTGGCATCAATCAGTGCATCACTTGCTGTGAATGTTTGCGGCCCGGCCCATGGGATATCAACCCGCTTGCTATGGCTTGCAAGAGTCGGGGCCCTCATGCCTGATGGAAGGGCGGCTTCGGCGAGGAGAAGTGTGTTGTGGAAGACAGCGCAAATGCAAAAATACATACCTATCGGATTTGCGGCCGTTCCGCGCGTGGTTGGCCCTTCTGGAAAATCGGTTGCTGGAGAATAATGCGTGTACTCGACGAACATGGAGCTGGTCGGCGACGGGGTGGACCACACATTTCCAGTGGTTTGGGAGTCGTGAAGAGTGCTTGAAAACGAGGCTGGAAAGCTAGGTCCGGCGGTCGCCACGGCGAAGGTGGTGGAAGAAGGTTTGCTAGGCTGGGCGGGAAGGTAGAGGTTATTTTGGTTGCCTGAAGGTTGTCCTTGGAGGAAGCCATCGGTCGGCAGAGTCCTTGGTTGTTTGGAAGGGACAGCTGCGCCATCGTCGCTTAACCGGTGCCGCTTCATCTTGTCATTGATTCGATGAAATGTGCTGTTGATCCTGTTCTTAAGAGGCGCCATGACACCAGGACTGGGTGTGTGGTGATATGTCCTGCCAGAGGGGTCAGCAAACGGACAGTCGGGCGGGGTACGTGGGTACGAACTGGGTGAGCAAGTGAATGACTGACTGACTGACTGACTGACGGGCTGATTGACGGACTGGCTGACGGACTGGCTGACTGGCTGACAGACAGAAAACCAGGCGGATACAGACAGACGTTGAGGGGCGGAAGACACAGGCCGGGCCTCCGGGAAGTCGCCGTTCACACACAATGTGAAGTGCAGGGCAGGCAGGCTCGGTGGGGACTCACGGAATGTCGGCAGTGACGGGGCAGCAGCACCAAAAATAACGTCCTGGCCGAACAGCCTCGGGAACTTGAGGCGACAGAAACGGCGATATTGATTACCTACCTCTAGGTTGGTAGGTAGGAGGGCAGGCAACGACAACACCCCACACCTCACGCCTGGCCGCAACAGGCCGGCCAACCAGGTGTTCAGAGACGGACGGAAAGTATCTATGGAGGAGGGGAATATCTAGTGAACGACTGGGGAAATAGCTAAGACAATACAACCAGCTATGATGGCAAGGATAAGTAGAGGTAGGAATCGAGATTCGAGAATACCAATGTATTCTGGTGTATGCGGGAGGGAAAAAGCAAGAGGTGCGGTTGGAATTGAGGCTGCACCCTTGTCAACCACAGATGGGTAGGAACGGAAAGCCACCGACTGCAGTGACGCCTGACTGGAATTCATCCCAGAGGGAAGGAATAGGACTCACCGGTCCAATTACGTGACGGGTTTCTCCTGTACTAGGCGAGTAGGTACCTACCTACCGAACCTTGCGGGATACCTCAGGCAAGTGTCATGCAACGTGGTGTGAGGTAGAGTTAGGTACTCCTATGGCAGCCCTCCAGGCCTCTGCAGCACGTGGTGCCGTGTACAGCGGGGTCGATTAGGTAGGTAGGTATGTACCTACGATAGGTAGGTGCCTGTATGGCACGGAGGTAATGTACCTGTAAATTACTCAGGCACGTGTAAGTATACCTATACCCCCTTTCATATCTGCAAAGTTAGGTACCTAAGGTAGGTTGGACAAAGTTACTTTTTTTGCTATCTCGTAAATTCCAGGCGGCTGCCTGCCGGCATATCAAGTCCTGGTTTCCCCCCCTACCAGCTGCCGGGGCGGATTCCAGCCAACCAACAACACGAACGCAAGATAGCATGAATGAATCAACGCTAATAAACAGCCACGGGACTCGATGATCAGGTGCAGGAATCCAACAAGCCCTTTCTGGTTGCCCATTCTGCTCCTCATTCCAAGTTCAATTGCAAACCCCGCAGGTTCCTGACCGAATCTCCAAGTTGTCGCCCCGCTTCAGTCAGCTCCCGGGCATCCCCGCCATGTCCGGTGCAGGTGCAGGTGCAGGTGAAGCTGCAGCTAGCTGCAGCTCTTTTTCCTATGGTGGGAACGGCACATCCCTTCCCAAGCTCTTCGCAACCCAATAGCCCAACGACTCCCGGACGATGTTATTGCTAGACCACGTCCTGGAAGGGTGCGCCCGGTTGGCGAAATGCAGAAAGAAGGTGTCGCTCGCGCGGTCAATCACGACGCTCGTGCCGGTGAAGCCGGTGTGGCTCGCCGCGAGGGGGTTTGCCATGGGTCCGGAGGTGTAGAACTGGTCCAACTCGAACCCAGCGCCGTGCGCATCGTCGGGGAACCGGGAGTTGAAGTTTGTGAAGACGAGGTCGACCGCCGGCCCGGAAAGCACGCGTACCCCGCCGTACGTGCCGTTGTTCAGTATCATCTGGCACAGCCGCGCCGTGTCGGCCACGGTCGAGAACAGGCCCGCGTGCCCCGCCACCCCGTCCAGCGCCCACGCGTTCTCGTCGTGCACCGTGCCGCGCACCGGCTGCGGCCGCTGCGGCTCCCCCGGCCCGAGCACCGCGATCTGGAATTCCTGCGCCGCCGTCCGCCCGTACAAGGGCGAGGCCGGCCCCTCGATGTTGCCCCGGTTGAAGTACGTGTCTCGCATGCCCAGCTCCCGCGTGAAATCGCCGATCAGCGCGTCCAGCTTGCGCCCCGTCACGCGCTCGAGGACCAGCATGAGCGTCATGTAGTTCAGATCCGAGTACAAAAACACGCTCCCCGGCTCGTTTTCCAGCGTCTCGTTCAGGATCGCTTGCACCCGCTCATCGTAAGTCCTATACTGTGGCGAACTCAGTCCCGGGTCCGGTGACTCGGACAGTCCGCTGGTGTGCGTCATAAGCTGGAGCAGGGTCACGTTCTCCTTGCCGTTGACCGCGAACTCGGGGAGGTACTCGGCCACGGTGCCGTTGATGGTGATCCGGGACTCGTCGATCTGTCGCAGCGCCGCCACCGTGGTGAACAGCTTCGTCAGCGAGGCCATGTCGTATATCGTGTCCAGTGTCGCGTCCTCCTGATCCTCGGCGGGTAGCAGCGTTCCCTCCAGTCCGGAAACGTTGGCGTACAGGAGGCGCTTGCCAAATGCAAAGGCCGATACGATGACTCCGTGGCGAGCTATTAGCGTTGCTCCCCCGGGTTCGATGGGGACAACCTGGTTGTACGAGTGCGCCGTCCAGTTGCGCGTCTCGGTGTATGCTGTCAGATTTGCAACCATTTGGGATAAAGGCCCGGGAAGCATCCCCACCGACTCGGGAGATCCATGCCGGAGCGTATCCCTCGCCGAGGCATTGCAGCCGCTTGCGCTGACCACGGTGCCGGTGAGGGCACTGATACCAATTGGGATGAATATCTGTGGGTGGCGCATCTTCAGCTAGATTCGAGGTCGAGCTAATACTGGCAGAGTTGCCTTGACCAGGTGGAAAGATGTTCAGAGTCCCGCCGGATTGAACAAGAAAAAGCTGGGTATTAAGTAATACTCCAGTCTCAGGGTAAACAGCGGCGGGGATCAACCCGATGCTACTCTAGATGCCTGGGTGAGTTCACTAACGATCCTATTAGAGATATCGCACTAAAAACGTGAGAATTAGGGAAACCGAAACCGGGTTTAGAGGCAGGCGCAGCACAACATAGAGTATTGTTTGGGGAAAGATCGCCGAGAACCCAAGGGCTCTCCTCTCCAAGAACATGATAATGCAGCTTAGAGTGCCGAGCACTACCCTTTAGATTATCCTAATGTCACCCACCACGCTATTTTTACAGCTCTCGGTTTCTAAATATAACTGCCTGTTGTGGTTGACCTGAATTGATCATGAGCCTCATTTGCCTCCACTCGAATTAAAATGTGCCGAGGTGTTCGACCGAGCAGACTAATCGTGTATCAATTCTAGACCAGCTTGTTGAGGCCAAGAGGGGGGCGGGGACATCACCGAGTCGATATAATCACATCCAGCATTGTTTCTCGCAATCACCTTTCATACGCCAAGGTCGGATTCCCATTCCGGTTGAAGGAACCGAATTGCGAAATGAGATACAGGGACACTGAGAAACAGCGAAACTGAACGATCATCTGGTAACTTACAATGGCCAGCGTCGAGGGATGGGCCAAACCCGGGTCCTGAGATAAATCATTACGGGAACAAGGCTTCCCATACAACATGTCTTCCGGCGGCTCTCTCAAATGCCTCTTGCCCTGACTAATTAGACAACAATGTATTGGCCCCATATAGATCTAAGCCCTTACGATAATCACTTTTAATACAGACTCATCAATCATATCCCTCAGAGCGTTGAGTGAGGATTGATGCAGTCTCTAAGGCGGGGTCCTTACAATGAGTGGCAACTAATGATGGCATGATGGTGGCTGCTACGTAGTACCCCTTACGCCCCGTGTCAGGTTGGCTTGGGAATAATTCACGCTAAGCCAGTCCATCAACAGGGCAACCCCAGGATTGCAGCATGAGCAACGTGCAACAAATACAAGGCCTTGACACAAAAAAATACAAATAGGTATCAAAGTGTCGTCTAACAGCAACCCCCTTTCCTTTCGCACCCCCTCGTCCTCACCAACCATTACAAAACCACTTAATACTTCACCTCAAGTTATAACCATACATGAAGAAACCCCAAACCAACTCTCAGTGCGTCTTCTCCTCCACCGCCGCCCCAGTCCCCGCAGCCCCCTTGACGCTCCCCCTCCCGACAAAGCTCCCACTCTCCGCCCTCGAGCTCGAACCAGCGGGATCCTCGCCCGGCAGCAGGGCGTGCGCGGCGTCGCGGCTGAGCTCGACGTAGTCGTACGCGAACTCGCCGAGCTGGCCGTCGTCGAGGCCGACCTCCTCCTCGCGCGGGTCGGCGCGCAGCGACAGGCCCGGCACCAGGTTCATGAGGAACAGGATCACGCACGTCATGACGAACGAGTAGCCGAAGCCGGCCGCGCAGTCGGCCAGCTGGTACGCCAGCTGGATGTAGTTGTGGTTGATCCAGCCGCCGGGGATGGTGCTGGAGCCATCGAGGTGGGCGATGTAGTCGCTGTGGTTTGGGGGGGTAAGGTTAGCGATGGACGATAGAAGGGGAGGAGGGGTCTATATGGGGCTCAGGGGCAGGGCGATTTAATGGGGAGACTACTTACGCCGCAAAGAGGCCAGTCAGCAGATTGCCAACAATCCCACCAACAGCATGCTCGGCAAAGATATCCAGGGCATCGTCGATACCGATGAGGAACTTGATCTTGGTGGCGAAGTTGCAGACAACCCCCCCAACAACGCCGTAGATGACGGCCGCCCAGGGTGTGACGTACCCGGACCCGGGCGTGATGGCGACAAGGCCGGCAATAACACCGGAGCAGAAGCCGACGGTGCTCCACTTCTGCTCCAGGCGGTAGTCGAGCAGGCACCAGGTGAAGCCGCCGACGCTGGCGGCGATGTGGGTGACGATGCAGGCCATGACGGCGCGCATGTTGGCGGCGAGGGCGCTGCCGCCGTTGAAGCCGAACCAGCCCACCCAGAGGAAGACGGTGCCGAGCACGACGTGCGTGACGTTGTGTGGCCGGTAGGGGAGCCCGCTGATGTCGTTGTAGCCGCGGCGCTTGCCGAGCATGAGGGAGTAGGCGAGGGCCGCGGCGCCGGAGCTGATGTGGACGGGGGTGCCTCCTGCAAAGTCGAGGCCGCCCATCTTGAAGGACCAGCCGTTGGCGTTCCAGGTCCAGTACGCGATCGGGTCATAGACGATGGTGGCCCAGATGAACATGAAGACAACGCATGGGAGCATGCGACCACGGTCGGCAGCAGCACCGATGGCAAGGGCGGGACTGTTTCCATGTTTTGGTCAGTCAGGTGGCAAGGCCGGGAACTAAGGGGGAACTTTACGTGATGGCCGCAAACATGCCCTGGTACAGGCAGAAGAGAATATCGGGGATCTTGGAGCTGCCAACACTAGGCTGGCCCAGGACCTTCATAAGACCGAAGTTGGACAGATCGCCGATGAAGGCGCTACCTGTGTGGGAGAAGGTGAGCGAGTAGCCCCAGAAGAACCATTGGAACCCGACGATGGCGATGGACATCATCGATAGCCATATCAGCGCGAGGGCCGACTTGCGCCGCGCCAGTCCGCTGTAGAAGAAGCCGACGCCGGGGACCATGAGCAGCACAAGGGCCGACGAGGTCATGATCCACGCGAAATCGCCATCCTAATATGACACACAAACAAGTTAACGTTCTGTGGGCTCCGCAGCAGAGGGCCAGTTGACTCCGTACACTGTAGTAGATGTTGAGGTCGCCGGTCAACGAGTCGCCGCCCGTGTTAGCAACGCCAGCGGTGCCATTATACACCTCGACAGGGCCGGCCGACATGGTGGATGTTCTCTATATTCCCTGGCCAGAGGGGCCCGGCGGGGGTGAAACTCGGTTGGGGTCTTCGCGGAGGGGATCGAGTCGGAGTGAGCCGTGGCTGATGAAGACTCTGGTCCACTCTGGGGAAGGATTGCCACCAATGTCGGAAATGGAGCTCGGGAGAAGGAATGAAGATGAAGCTTCAGGAGAGGGAGTGAGCCCGGATGGAGGGTGGGATCGGCAGGGTAAATAAAGAACAGCAAAGACCCATCTGCTCGAAGCTCAGCTGGCCGGTTCCGTGCCATATCAGTGTGAGCTAATCGAAGCTGAAGGCAGTTGGCTACCTAATCAGGGGAGCTACTTTCCCAGGACCCAAGGCCCCAATTAGGGAGGCAGAAGTGGAGAGGAATAGATAAGGGATTCTTGGAAACGGGAGGGAATATGGGGGTTCCAACTTCCCAATTCCCTGCAGGGGAGAGTGTGGGTGTGTATTACAGCATCCAGGGTGCATGATTTCCGATGTGGTGGGAATACCTAGTCGACAGATCTTTCGACACATGCATTCGATATCGACTGAGAGAGGAAATTGTAGGCGAACGAACCCAAGAAAGAGACAGTGAGTGCTAGACAGCGTACTCGGCACTTGCGCAGTACTGGAGTAATACGAGAATAGTTATCTGAATAGCCACACTAATCCTTGAAGAAGACGGCCGGCTTTGCCCCCTTAGACGTCGGCTGGAAAGACATCCATGCATGTGTACCTAGAAGAAGCACGATTCGAGGTTTGAGTCAGAGCAGGATATGGAGCCAGCTGGTGATGACTCTTACGTTCTCAGAAGAGCGTAGGGTTCAAACCAAGCGATAAAGGACACCCATCGCAGCAGAAAATGCATTACGAAATCCCATCGTGTCTGTTATCTGAAAGATTGAGTGGTCTTCGCAAAGGGTGAGTTGTGGCGCCGATACCCGATATCCTTCCAAATGTGGCTGGGCCTGATAACGGATCTACGGATTACGTTTGATGGGAGCTGCAATTGATTGGCTCGCCAGCTTTTGGTCCTTATCTCTTGGCACAGCGGATTTGTCGGAATCCCCCCAAGATAGGGTCCCCAGGCAGGCATGTGCAGGTAATCCCGTACAGATTACGGCAGTTTTACCCTCTAGCCTCTTGTCCTTGTTGGTGTTCGTCCAATTCGAAACAATATTTTTCAGGATTCATTCGTTGGCTCGCCTTAAAGTGGTGTGTCAGCACCCGCACCCACCCAATAGCTCCCAGCTTCCAAGTCTTGGCAGATGCTTATCTGGACAACCACCACATTTCCTTTCCTGCCTCCTTATCTTTGCCAACCTTGCTCGCTCAGCATCCCGGAATAAACCGCGACTGCTGATTACTGGGAACGTTGTCAGTTGGGATCCAAACCGCACGTCATCGCTTTCGCTTGGCCCTGAACCGAGTGGGGGGCATTGCATGGTAACATGGACAAATAGGAGTACAAGTTATCCGAACGCGCTCGCGCCAAGAACGAACCTCGCAGCCACAGCACGACATCACACCTTTTCCGCCCAACCAACCCAACTTCAACCAGCCAACAACTTACACCTCTGGTGGCGACTCGACGGCCTGTCCAGTACGGAGCTTGATGATATCGGCAGCCTAGCGAGAGAGATTGATCGTCAGCAACGAGAAGGGAGAAGACAAGAAGAGGACGAGGAGCAGGAAGAAAAAAGAACAGGCCCCTCGACTTACCTTCTCGGCAACAGCGTACACGGTCATGGAGGTGGTGGCGCCGACAATGGTCGGGAATATGGATGCGTCGACGATACTCAGTCTCTCGACGCCGTAGACCAGCAGGTCCTCGCCGACAACGCCGCCCCACTCGCGAGGCATCTTCGCGGCCGTCGACACGGGGTGGTAGACGGAGGGGATGATGACGCCCCTCGCCCACGCTGCAAGGTCCTCGTCCGACGTGACATTGGCCCCCGGCGACGTCTCCACGGCCTCGTACGCCGCCAGCTCGCCCGTCGTCATGTACCGGCGCATGAACCTGACCATCTCCACCATGACCCGGATGTCGATCTCGTTGGAACCCGCCCGGTAGTCAACCACCATCTCGCCCTGCGGGTCCGCCGGGTCGATGAGCACCGTGCCGCGCGACTGGCAGTGCAGGTTCTGTATCGACCCGCCCGGCCCGCCCATCATCATCTCGAGAAACACCACCCCCTTGGACCGCATCAGCCCGGCCCACACCTTCTGCTGCTGCCGGTACCCCTCCACCTGCTCAGCCGTGTACCCCGCCGGCAGGTGCGTCGTCGGGTCCTGCGCCTCGAACGCCGCCGCGAGCTCCTCGAACCGGTCCGGCGAGACCACCGGCAGGCCGATCATGGTCGCCAGGTTTGGCGGCCCGCTTCGCCCGCCGATCTGCCGCGCCGCGATCGTGTCCGTGCCGGCGCCTGTGTCCGATTCCTCGTCGTCGTCCTCCTCGGGACGGTCGACCGGGGCGTCGCTCGGAGTGCTCACCGGTGTGGTCGTGGATGACGTCGTCGTGGGCGTTGCGCCTGGGACGGTGCCCCCTGTTTATTTAATGCTCGAGTCAGTACGCGAAAACAAGAACGAAGGCAAGATGCCTTAAACACAATGGGCTGTATGCGACATACATCTGAACCCGATATTCGGAATATAGCTGTGGTCCTGAAAGTTGGACCCGACGCCCGGCAAGTCAACCTTCACGGTGATGTTCGCCTCCTCGAGCAGTGCGGCAGGTCCGATGCCGCTGAGCATCAGCACCTGCGGGGTGTGTATCGCACCTGCGGCGAGGACGACCTCCCTCCTCGCCCAGACCCGCACCGCGGGCGCGTCCGTGTCGTTGCGGGACACCCACTCGACGCCGACGGCGGCGGTGCCGTCGCCGTCGAACAGGACGCGGCTCGCCCGCGCGCCCACGACCATGTCCCAGTTGGTCCGGTTGGCGTCGTCCCAGTGCGCGTTCCGAGCCGACGACCGCCGGAACGTCGTCGGGTCCTGCGAGATGGTGTACCAGTACAGCCCCGCCTCGCCCGCGCCGCTGTCGGCCGGCACCTCGACGCCGGGCATGGCTTTCATGGCGTTGTACAGCGTCTCTGTGGAGGTTGCGAGTCAGTAGTGCTAGTCTCATGAGGGGTCTGACGGAATCCCCCGTCAAGGGCGGGTTTTACTGACTGATCTGGCTGTTTAAGGCTCCCCTGCCAAAAGTGGCCTGGATCTTGGACTTCAAGCCCGTGCCCCAGTACTTCATGTCGTACTTGATGTTATACTCCTCGGCCTGACTGGGGTCCGGTGGATTCAGGGCCATGCCCTGTGGTGAGGGGTCAGCGATGTTCCCGGCCGCATTGGGAAGGGGGTGACAAAGTGGTCAGACCTTCTTGAAGTATGGCAGCAAGCCCTTCCAGTTCCAAGTGGAATTGGGCGAGCCCAGAGCCTCCCAGGCATCGTACTCCTCGGCAGTGCCCCGGAGGTAGACCTGTCCATTAACAATGGAGCTCCCACCAACGACGCAGCCGATGCCGACCTTGAACGTGCGGTCATTGAGCGCAGGACACGGCAGTGACGTGATGTTAAACATGCGCTTGGGGTTCATGCCATCCTGGGTGTCTGCACAGCCGAGATGATGAGCAATACTTTCGGAGGCCACCATGGGGCGTTTCTTGGGGTCAGCCTCACCATAGTACCCGTACTCGATGTTCAAGACGCTGTCTGGGTGGGGGTCAGCTCGGGGTCTCTGTTTCGCTGTCTTTCGCCCCTCTCTCCCTCTCACTGTCTCGTCTTCCGAGGCGTCTGCAACCTACATTTGCCATTCTCGGATAGCCGGTCACCCACGGTCAACCCCGAGGTTCCACCACCGACGATGACGTAGTCGTACTCGGCCGCCACCTCGTCCCTTCGTGTCAAGATGTTGGTTTCGTCGAGCGGGCGCGGGATCCAGACGGCCGACACCAACTGGGACGTCGCCGCCAGGAGTAGTAGCGTTGCCAACTTGAGAGATGCCATTGTGCCAGTTAACTGGAGGGATGGATGATGATCCGTGCGACGTGGGGGATTACCTCAAGGCGAAACCGGGGACTCGACCATGGCCTTTTAGTAGGCGATTTGCACGGGGTCCCAACCAAGGCTTGGTCAACCAGAGCCTGGTGCACACATCGCTAGCTGGCCAAGACATTGGAGTAGCATCAGGCGATGCCATCTCCGCGACCATGTTAACTGCCTTGGCTGCCCATTGCCCGCAAGTTCTGAGTCGGATGCCCAGGGATTGATTGCTGCGGGGGGCCCAGTCGGGACTTAATATGGGGAGTTAATTGGAGTCCACGTCGCTAGGCCACATGCGACTTGTGCCTCCCGGGCAAGAGCGAGCGCCCTGTTTCTTGGTATGTTCTTGCTACCCGGGATGGCATTTGAGCCTGATGTCGGCAAATTTCCATAGTCCTTCGCCGAAGGCCAAGACCCGGGTCCTGGGCAGTCGAGTGGCTGCGACAGTACCGGGCTTGGATTCTACATGGAGATGCCCCTGCGGGATTTGCCCTCTGTGTCGCTCTGCAAACGTCTGTGGAAATCTCTCTACTTCGTTTCGATCTGTCATTTTCCGGTTTGTTTTACTCATCTGGGCATAGTCATCCTCAGTTCCGGTAGTCCAGCTACGATGGACGAGCCTCTATTTTCCCGACACAGTGGAATGTATGGCATCCTGAGAAGACTCCATATGCAGCAGTGCTGTGATGGTGGTGCTAAGTACCGGAGGGCTGGCTCCGTCCCGGTCCTCCGAAGGCAACCTACATGACCCCCATCCGAATCACACTCGATCCGGGCGCGTTCCTCTGTCACAAGCCCTATATTTAGCGGTGCCATGACTCCCAATTGTGCTGTCTTGAACATCTCCATATCTGAAATGGGCAGCTCAATATCCCCTGGGACGAGATGCGGGGCAGACGTCTCCAAAGTATATTCCCCATCATCATGGCCTGGGGGTATGGCGTATTTAGCCTGTATTCTGTGCTACTGCCTCCCGACCACGGTTCCCAGAAACAACACTTATACGGCTTGGCGACCGCTTGACGTAGAACAGCAGCTCGAGAGTTGTTGTCAAGGTCTTAACACCGACGCTGAAGATGTCCATCGATGGGTAATGGAGTAAAGGGGCCTGACTCGGGAGCATACCGGACGTGGTGCTTATGTCAGGGCCAGCGTCCTTCCCCGAGTGTGTTTTAGCCTGAAGCTCCGACCAAGGACCGGCCGTCGTGGATGCGAGGGGCGGAGGGGGGGCACAGTGGCCGGAGATGCGGAGGGAGAGGCCGGAGATGCGGGAAGGAGAGGCCGGATATATGGGAAGGAGAGACCGGAGATACGGGAAGGAGAGGCCATAAATACTTGCTTGTCGTCCCCAAAATGGTGGGAAATATGACATGATGCGATCTTCTCGCCGAATGCGTATATACAAATATGTTTACTCCCCCTTATATGCACCAAAAATGCGCCCATGCTGTCCAAACCCAACCCAACCTTCAAACCTCTAAAGCAGCTCCAAAAGATATTGATGTACATATATGATTAATCGTCGGTGGCCGGCCTGAATTTCTGCCTAAAGTACGGTGAATTGTGCTCGATCTGGAACCTGGCACTAGGTCCCCACAGGTGGTCAACTTTGAGCTTGTTCCACAAGACCACACTTTCTCCTTCCTTCCATAACTTTTGGGCATGCTCGTCAGCCTTTTTCAGGTCCGCCGCGGTCAGCGCGGCCAGCGGCTTGTCGGCTGTCGTCTTCGTCATGAGTTCCTCGAGCTCGGTTATCCATTTCCGGTACTCCTTGTCTGTCTTGAAGATCACCTGTACTTGGTCGTTGTTCTCGTCAGGCCCCTTGTTGCCCCTTTTGACGCGCTTGTCCTGGTGCTCCTGCATCGTCGAGTCAGCCACGTAGCAGTAGCGGTCTATCAGGTTGATCCAAGTTGACGCCAGGAAGTGTTTCCTCTCGGCTTGGACTGTGCGAGGAGAAATGTCAGCCAAGGTAAGGAGGCAAGTAAGTGCTGGGTTTGAAACAAGGGAAAGAGAGGAGGGAAAGAGAAGAGGGAAAGAAAAGGGGGAAAAGCTTACCGAGAAACCTCGCCAGGTCGAGGCTTATCATGTAGATCTTCTGGAACATCTCGAGATAGAATCTCCTCAGACCCTCGCCGTGCCTCGTTTCCAGGTAATCCGAGTCGATCAGCGCGATATCGGACCTCAGATCTCCGCCGTGGATGACGGAGCTGAGCAGCTTCAGCCGGCTGTACAACTGCGTCGCACCACCCCACGCTGAGAAGGAGGCGTTCATGTTCATGTGGCCTCTGTTCCTAGCCTGCTGGATCATTGTCCTGAACCGCACGTCCCGGAACTGGTTGAGCATCCTCTCCTGCATTGTCTCCTCCTTCGGCACGATGTTGTCCTTGCCTTTTCCCTTCACCTTGTGCCTCCACGGCTCCTTTCCCTTGCCTCTCCTCTTCTCCTTGCCCTTATCTTTCTCTGTCTCCTCCGTCTCCGCCCCCTTCTCCGTCCCCCTCTCCGTCCCCTTCTCCGTCCCCTCCTCCGTCTCCACCCCCTTGCCCGCCTCTTTCTCCGTCTCCTCATCCTGCCCATCGTCCTTCCCCCCATCGTCCTCCCCCAGGTCCAACTTCTGCCTCTTCCCCTCCTGCACCAGCTTCCTAACCTCCCTATCGCACGAGACGGCCCTCCGCCTCACCAGGTCAACCTGTTCTCTCAGCCCCTCGATGCGCTCCCCAAGCTTATCCATCAAGTTCCCAGCATTGCGATTCGCCCACACCCTCTCCTGAACAACCTCAACCCCCGCCGCCCCGCCGATTCCCCTCCCAGCACCATCGCCGCCGCCAACGACGACGACATACGAGTCCGGCCGCAGAGCCGCCGCGACCCCGCCGTCCACCGCGCCGCGGAACGTCTCGCCCCCGGCGTCCCGCCACGTCGCCTCCGCGATCTCGTCCGTCAGGATCATCAGCGCCCTAGCCCGTTGCGCCTCCGCCGTCTCCAGGTCTGGATCGTGCACGACGCGGATCCGCTTGTGCTGCTGATGCTTGTCATCGTCATCGTCGCCGTCCTCGCCCGCGCTGCGCTTGCGCCCGCGCGACGCCGGACCTGGCTTGCCACGCTCCAGGGACGCCCTGACGTCGGTGAAGTCGAACGCAGGCCTCGGCCCGCCACCGCCTCGCCACACGTTGGCCCCGGTGCCCCGAGCATTGGAGGACGGCCTCGGGCCTAGGGGGGGCGCGGGTACGTATGAAGCCGGTACGTATGAAGCCCTGGGACCGGCCCCTTGTGGTCCGGCTGATCGCCAGTTCTGGGATATGGGGTCGTCCCATCTGGCTCCGAATGCCCCCAATTTGTACCGCTCGGGCCGTCGCCAGCTGCCGGCTTCCGGCTTGTTGTTGTTTTTGTTGCTGTCGTTGTCCATTGATAGTTTTCTCGTAAATTGCGGTTCCAAGTTTGATGAATGAGGTCGGTGTCTGGCTCAGAAGCGGCAGTCTGCTTGGTTCAAGTCGCTGATGGGGAGGATTTGTCGTCGTCTGGGTCTTTATGAGCACCGTGGACAAGACCCCCGAGTATTGCGAGGACAAAGGCATCCCAGGGTGGGATCTTTGCCTGGTTGCGGCCATGGCTGCTTCAATTCTAGGAGCTGTCCTTTCTTTTATGCTAACAATAAATAGGGGGCCCACGTCGGTGGAATGCGACATAATGTGGTTTGTACTGGGGCTGTGGCCACAATGGATGTGCATGCTCCGGATTTCTCGTAGGCGGCAAGCGTACGGCCGAGGTCGAGGCCATCGGGGTGTGGCTTTCTATCCTGCGAGGTGTCCTGCGAGTTTCCGGTTTCCAGCACTTGATCGCCCGGAACTTCGCATCAGACAGAGTCAGAGATATCCTGCTCGACCATTTCTGCATGGCATCTCTGTGTAGGTACGAGTCCGGAGGAATTGCTGTTCCCCGCCTGGGATACTGTACGGAGCGCAATACCGAATTCTTCAGCTCGACAATGATCTTGATTGACAATCTGTGTAGGTAATGAGATGCAGCCAGTTGCCTCAGTCTTGATGGCCCGCTGTCCCCAGTGCAGCCTTTGCGCAGGTCCTGAGCTATCCGTTTTGGTTGGGACGATGGGACAGCGGGTGTTCCTGCAGTTCCTTGATGACATTCCCAGTCTTGACTTGGGAGACAGCAAAGAATGTGCTTGGCTCGAGGGTAATCGGCAACAAAGACCAATGTGACAGCGCGAAACCTCCAAGAAGATCCGGATATGGTGAAATATGGCCAAGGAACCGTTTCCGGGGAGGATCGGGCATGTTGATGCGCTGGTGGCCCATCGCGATGTGGTGAACAAAGAGTATGAACTTGAGGTTGGCCTTGTTCGGCGCCGAGAACAGAACAGCTGGTTCCTTTTATCCCTCGATCTGAGAGTCCGTAGTGGGCAGTCTTCTGGCTAGTGCAACTTTGCGATGGCACGGCTGCACTGAGGACGGCAGTCTGCCGTGGTTTGGTTGTATGCGGAGGAGCACTTACCCCGCCTACCGTGGAAGATGCCCCCATCTCGATCATCGGTACTTCCAACCTTCCAACTTCCGCCTTCCATCTTGCACCGTCCCTCTTCCATCGCGCGTCTGTCAATTTATCCGAAAGCGGCCAGAGGTGGTAGTCATTACTGAATTGTTCAGCACCTCCACTCCACCTCTTTCACCGAGCCTCAATTGCACCATTCCAGGCCCCATCGCCACAAAGAAACCCCCGCCAGCCAGCATGTCACCCACCACCCCCCCGCAACCATCCCAACCCCTCCAAGTCCTCATCTTCACCAAAACATCTTCCTACCGCCACACCTCAATCGAACCCGCCATAGCAGCCCTAACCCGCCTCTCCGCCACCACCCAGCAGCCCGGCACCAGCCACCCAACCCCAATCTCCGTGACCACCTCCTCGTCGGCCACAATCTTCACCCCCTCCTCCCTCTCCCGCTTCTCCGCGATCCTCCTCCTCCAGAACTCGGGCGCCTTCCTCACGGCCCCGCAGCTGGCCTCCCTCCGCGCCTACGTCCGCGCCGGCGGCGGCGTCGTGGGCGTGCACTGCGCCGCGGCGGGCATGCTGGCCGGGGAGGACCCCGACCCGGACCCCGAGCGGTGGTATGGGCGGCTCCTGGGCGGGGCGTTTGCGGGGCATCCGGAGCCGCAGAGGGGGGTGGTGAGGGTTGTTGATGCGGGGCATGGGATTGTGAGGGGCACGGTTGGGAAGGGGGAGGGGAGGTGGTGGGTGGAGGAGGGGGAGGGGAATGGGTGGCGGTGGGAGTGGTTTGATGAGTGGTACAATTTCAAGGAGAACCCGAGGTTGGCTGGGGATGTGCATGTGCTGCTGTCGGTGGATGAGGGGTCGTATGAGGGTGGTGAGCATGGGGAGGACCATCCCATTGCTTGGTGTCAGGAGTTCGAGGGTGGGAGGTCGTTTTACACTGCGCTGGGGCACTTTGATGAGGCGTACGAGGATGAGGCCTTTATGGGGCAGTTACTGAACGGGATCCTGTGGGTGGCTCGCATTATCTGACAACAGCAACAGCAACAGCTGTCTCACTTAGTGCAAAGATGCGCATGATAGACTTGGGGCGATCAAGTGTATGTACGTCCTGGTATTCAGGCATGTCTAGAACTATGTACAGAGAAAGAACATGGCCGACACAGCACGCCGGTCTAGCTATTCGTCTTCGTCTTCGTCTTCGTGCATGGTGCACACCCTTAGAAGGCGGGGTTGGCGTTGGTGAGCAGCTGCTCGAAGTAGGCCTGGAACCAGGCACCAGCCTCGGGGGCGGGCTGCAGGGCGTCGGCGAGGCCGCAGTGGTAGTCGTACCGCGCGGCGCTGGTGTTGCTGGTGCCGTCGCACTCGCCGCCGGGCTTGATCCAAACGAAGGCGTCCTGCACGTCGAGCCCCGTGTTGGTCGTGGGGCGCACGCCGAAGCCCGTGCCCTTGACGTTGCACCAGTTGCCCCACTCCAGCTGGCCAGTCGGCTGCCTGCCGTTGCGGCCGGTGTCGGTGATGAAGTGCGCAGGCCAGCCGGCCGCCGCCATGAGAGGGGCCATGGCCTTGACGTAGTGGATCTCGTCGTAGTTGGCGTTGCCTAAGCCTTGAAGTTAGCATACGCTCACTCGCTCACTCACTCGCTCGGGGGGACATGCCTGAGGTGTACGACGGCGGCGAGGACAGGCTCCAGCCGTTGTAGTTGGCAACGTTGGTGGCAAGTCCGCGAAGGGCGGCAGGCTTGCCGGCGTTCTTATACACGTTGGCGAACATGTTGACGGCAGGCTGCAGGTTGGCCTCCCATCCGAGCCAGCCGGCGTGGCCCGCGTCGAGGTACATGGCGACATTGGGGAGGTTGAGCTGCTTGACGGCGTAGTCGGTGCACTCAAGGTACGCGTCATGGGCGCCCTGGCACTTGGCCACGTTCATGTTGGTGATCAGGTTGGCGAGGGAATCGGGCTCGATGACGAGGAGGACTCGGACGTCCGAGTAGGCAATCAGCTGCGCCCGGATCGAGTCGATGTAGGCCTTGTACTTGGCGACACCGCCGTTGGCGATGCTGTACTCGCCGTTGGAGGCGGCGGCCGCGCAGTCACGGTCAGGCAAGTCATAGACGACGAACTGGGCAGCATACGCCGGGCTGGCACCGGCCTTGTTGGCGGCACGGACCGACTGGAGGGTGTCGATCATGCGGGGAACCTTGGCAGCGGTATCACTGGGGACCTCGCAGGTTAATATCGTCACTCGCTCCTCCTGGGAACAGCAAGACTTACAGCCACTCGAAGCTGGGAACCTTGGCGACTGCCGCGGCCTTGGTAGCCATGGCGCCACTCAGGCTGGGAATGGCAATGTTCGCCACCTCAGAAGCGTAGTACGAGTTGGCCCAGAGCTGGACCCCCGAGAAGGGGTTTCCAGTGTATGAGGCGGTGCCCGAGGCGGTACCAGTCGGGGGCTTGGTGGTGGTGGTGGTGGTGGTTGGAGGCTTGGTGGTGGGCGTCGTGGTCGGAGGCTTGGTGGTGGGCGTCGTGGTTGGAGGCTTGGTGGTGGTGGTGGTGGTGGTGGGCTTGCTAGTAGTGGTAGTCACCTGCGACGGAGGTCAGTCGCCGGCAACCGAGAGAAAACCCGAGGCAGGGTTGGCTGTTGGCTGTTGGCCCATCATCACACGGGGGAGCGAACCTGACTGTTGGGCAGGCACTGCGAGTACCAGTCATTCGAGTAGACGCACGTGCTTCCCGATTGGCAGCAAGAGGCACCGCCCCAGCCGATGCCACCGCACTGAGCCCTGTTCAGGGAAGATCAGTTAGCCATCTCGCTCGTGGTGCGCGAGGACGCCGACACGCTGGTGGACGGCAACTCACCATTGGGCTCCGCAGTTCTGGCGCTCCTCGATGACAGGAGCAGCCAGGATAGATGCCGTCAGAGACGCGGCGAGCAAGATTCGTTTAGCAGCCATGGTTGAGGTTTGTCGAGAGCTGATGAGAATGTCTATCGAACAGGAACATGCCAAAGACGACAGGAGGGCTGCCTTTTTATCAAAGGACGGGCTCCCAATTGACGAGTCGACGAAGCTCGAGTGCGGCGGATCGACGGGAACTCTTTCCCAGCTAACCCCCTTCGACGTCACGCCCGTCGTGTCCAGGAACAGCCTCCGGTTCACCCGCTGGTCCCAGAGCAGCCATCTGGGCAAGCAAGGAGCCAAGACTGCCGGCGCCCGGCCTTGGTTTCGGGAAGGGAGGGCATCGCGTTCCGAAAGCGGATGGACTGGTGCGGAGGGGCAAACTAGGGCAGGCCTAGGGGTGGAGATGCTAGGTAGCCATCACGACGACTCGTGCTGCACGCATGGACATGGGCGCAGGCGGCGTGGCAAAAATTATGCGCCAGCTCTCGAGGGGCAATGTTGTTCAGCCCAACCTAGACTTCCATCCCAAAGCCGAAACAATGGCCCCCAAGGTCTTGATTGATTGCTCATGGTCCTGGTCCAGGCCCAGGCCCAGCCACACTCTCTCCCGTCTCGGCCATTGACAACGGAAGGTGGCATTGTAGCATGGGGCGGACCCGCCAACCAGGAAAGCAGCCAGCTTTCAATTTACTCGTGCCGGGTTGGAAGCGATCTGCAATCTCGGAGGCCACGTTCCTGAATATCCTTGAAGGGAACAGCTCGGATGCCGGATGTGGGGCGCCATGGCTGGCCGACGGTGAGGGGTCGGAACTTGGAAGAGCCAGCCGATACGGTCGCATTTTCACGGCCTTACCAGCCTTTGAGGGGGGACCCGTTGTAACCCTGCCGTCACGACACCGGAGGGACAAAGGCTGGGCGGTTTCCAGACCAGGTTGGTCGGGCTGGTCTGCGGTGGCGGTGCCGGATGCGGTGGGTAAATCGTGGGCAAATCGCGGGCAAATCGTGGGGTTGGGATTGGGGTGTGGGGGATTGGGGATTGGGGATCTGGAGACCTGACTAAAGATGAATAAAGGACCACCCATGCTCCCCATGCTCCTCGCTGCAAGCGTCCACTCTGTAGGTCAAGCAAAATCCGGGTTCACGGCTCTTGGCAGGGGCCTTCCTCATGTGCGTGTAAATTGTGCCTCCGACTTGGTTGTAACGTCCATCTCTCTCGTTCTGGCCCTCCTGATGGGGTCCGGCCCGATCTGAGTCGTTTGCGGCTCCAAGTCGCCAGTGCCCACCTTGGCTTCGGCCCATGATATTAATAGTCCGGCCACATACGGTGGCATCACTGTTGTGCTGAAGGACGACTCTACCGTCATCCCGCCCAGTCACGCCATCAATCAGCTCGACAAAAGCCAGTCCCACCCACACCTCCTCTGGAGTCCTTGCATGGCCAACACAGGACATGGCCGAGTCCAGTGTCACCTCCAGCTCGATTCCGAGTCAAATATGGGCTCAAGCCGGCCGTCCAACACCCGAGCCACAGCCGCCCCGACAGCAGCTGCGAAGTCGGCGTCGTCAAAGAGGACACCCAGCTCCTGGCTGGTGTACCAGCTTGCGCGATCCATGTTCCCAGAGCCAAGTACGGTGCGCCGCCCGTCGGCGATGGTTAACTTGAGGTGCGAGTGTACCGGCTCCTCCATCGTCGCGTCTGCGCCGGCGCCGCCCTCGAGGTCTGCCCCTTCCCCTTCCCCTCCCCTCGACTTCCCGGCCTCGCGGGGACGGAAGTATGAGATGCTGAGCCTGCCCGGGCGCGAATCTTGAGCCTCAAGAGCTGCTTCTTGGTCAGTGACGCCCCGCTCTTCGCTGTCAAGTCGCCGATGGCTGCCCCGGGCCGCCCGCTGGCTTGGAATGATCGATGCAGAGCACATCGATTGGTACCGACGTATCATGGAGCGAATACACCAGCTGGTCAAGGTTCCGGCAGTGACGATTTGCTCGAGCCACATCATGTTGCGGCTAGTGACAATAGTCACGTTGACTCCCCGCTGGAGGGCGGCAAGGAGGGTAGAGATGACGGGCGCGCTCGTGAGATTGGGCGTCTGTATGTAGATGCTGACTGTGGCCTCGTCGAACAGTCGGAGCAGGGCGGAGTTGAGGGGGGTGGGCGGCACTGGCGGAGCGGCTTGCCAAGGGAAGGGGCGGAAGTGCGGGTGACGGCAATGGGGAGAAGGTAAGATGAGTGTCGTGATGTCCGCCTGGGTGGGCGGAAATGCATGCAAGTAATGGGCATGGGCCGCGACAGGCTGGAGCGGGGGCTGGGATCCCGGCCTGTTGGATGTCGAGCCCCCCTCCTCCAGAGAGGCAGGAATCCCGCTTCGTGTGTCAAGCGTCCTGTCCCACGTGCTCGAGTAAAAGGCCAGTAAATCTGCAAGCGCCGCGCCCCTGATCTCGACACACCCCTCAAGCCACACCTCCCAGCTGATGTTGCAGCTCGGGATGAAGGCGCGCTGGCGATCAATAATGAGGAACTTGGGATGCATGACGCTGAAGGGCAAGAAGAAGAGACTCTTCACGGTGAGGTTGATGCCACCGGCCTCGAGGATGGCCTGGTTCGGTAGCCCGAGTTGTTTGGGCCATGACGACGGTGGGTAGAGATAGCCATCAGGTGAGGACGTGTGGAAGAGCTTCTGGAGAAGGGATCGAGAGGACAAGCAGAGGGATATCCTCAGAGGCGGCAGAGAATTACCCTGTCTAACGAGGGATGTTCGCTTGGCGGTGATCTTCTCAAGGGCACCTCGGAGTGCAGACAGGGAATCTGACGGCGCCCAAAAGCAGGTGACGAGGATGATTTCATGCTTGGCGGAGAGGATGGCAGGAATCAGAGTGCCGGTGTAGATGGAGGCTCCAGTGCCGAGCTGGAAGGACACGGGGACGCTGGTCGAGACCGGGACGGGTGGATCGCGAGGCGGGAGATCTGCCATCCTGTGGGGACCGACCGACCTGATGCACCGTACTTTCCAGGTTGTGTGAGGAAGTCGTCACAGCCGCCACCACCAATTACAGAACCAGATATTAACTTGCAAATGACACGGTAGACTTCGTTATCGCGCAGATTGCCGTCTCTGCAGCATCCTTCTAGCGCTCAACAATGGAAGCTACACAGTAAAGTTCTCATGCAGCCGCCAATCTTTCCCGGTTGTGGGACGAATTCCAGATATCGGCAGGGGTTTTCCTCATTTCAAGCACCCTGAAACGAAGCTAAACCTTTTCTGGCCAAGCTCCTGATCCTCCTGCATGGGTTGACCCAGCTTCTTTTGTTTCCTCCCTTTTTCTTTCTCCTGAGCTTCTACTGTGATTCTAAGATTAGGCAGCGAGAGATGACTCTATTAGCTGTTGACAAACTTGCCGGCCACAGAGACCCCAAGGTGAGCTTGGGAGCGCGTTGTATGCTTAGTAAATTGACAGCATCCGGTTGCGTTTTTGTGTCGCGTTTTCGTGTCCCCGTCGGGTTGACACGGTCACTTTCGGCGGCGGCACCACCCGCCCGGCCCCTGGAGATCTCATGCATGGGCCGCTATTCGTTACGTTTGGACGCCGACAAGCCCGGGAATCTACGGGTTGGTCCTATCAAATGCTCCGTGACAACGCATGCTGGAGGACCTCAGGACTCCCGCCAATAGAGTTGCGGTCCCTGCAGCCAGCTGAAGGCCAGACTCTCTTGGCGCGCTGATTGCTGACGCCCAAAATGGGCCAGTGCTCTGAAAACCCCCTGACTCCATGAGCAAAGACCGTTGACAGGGCTGCTAGCTCATCGGGGCTTCGTCAGGCCCCGGGTCTAGGCTTGGATGGTGGGTTACAGGTTAGGTTTCTTCCTTCCTTTGACTTCCTTCCTCCTTGCCCCCTTGCGCTTCCATCTTGCTCTTCTCTCCACCAGAAGATATTCCATTCTCTCGATTGTCCTCGCAGCGCGAGACAACCTCTTATCACTGCCAACAGTTACACAGCAGCATAATGGCTGAAGATGGCGGTCATGGCGGCTATGCAGATCCACCTGCTCTCTCCGACAACAACCGCGGCCCAGCTCCCCTGAAAACTAACCGCCCCAATTCCAACGATCAACGCCCCTCCGATATCGCGACCGTTAGCCTCCAACAAGAGCTATCACCCCTGTCACCACGCGTTGACACTCCGAACCCGTTTAGTCGCAAGAACACCAGCCTGGACCTGGACGATTATTTCGTATGTGAACCCGAACCCGGACCAGGGCCCGTACCTGGAGACGGGGCGATTCACTCCTGAGCAACGCGGCTAACGCACGGCTTCCATGTAGACGGGGCCTCGCGACCTCCAAAAACACTCGAAATGGCCGATTTTCATGCGAATGCACGGCAGCATCCTGCCCAAGATGATACTTCCCCTTTTATTCGTCGCCTCCTGGTCGACGTGCATTACCCTCCTCCATAAGTTCGTGTCGCCGTGTGAGTGCCCGTCCCCGCCCGAGGTCCAGCATCCAGGATAGCAAACAGGACTAATTCCCCCGTCTCCTTTAGTGGGCACCAACGCCATCCTGCTCACGGTCACCGGTTTCGCCGTCAGTTTGGGCCTGTCTTTTCGCAGCTCGACTGCCTACGAGAGGTACGTGTGATGGTTCAGCACCCGACCGACGGGGTAATCGAGCTGACACGACTCGCCAAATAGATATAGCGAGGGCCGGAAATATTGGGCGCAGCTTATCCTTGCCTGCCAGACGCTGGGCCGTGTCTACTGGATCCACGCCAAGGAGCGAGAGGGTGAACTGGGAGAGAAGGATCTACTGGCTAAGCTGTGAGCTTCGTTTCTGGGCGCCATTTGTGTGCCCAACACCTCCTTGCTGACCATTTATTGATCCCAGGACCGCCATGAACCTCCTCGTCGCATTTTCCGTCTCGCTCAAGCACAAGCTCCGCTACGAGCCCTACACGTCGTACGACGACCTGGAAAGCCTCGTCTCCCACCTCGACACCTTCGCCGCGGCCGCCACGCGCGAGGAGCCCGAGAAAGCCAAGGCTCGCAAGCGCACCGGCTTCTTCAAGAGCACGGGCGAGCACCTGGGCGTGTCGTTTGCCGAAAGCAACCCGCGCAAGGTGCTCAAGAAGGCGCAACGGCCGCTGGGCAATCTGCCACTGGAGATCCTCGCGTACCTGGCTAGCTTCACGGACGAGATCGTGGAGAACGGCCAGCTTCCGATCCCCATGCAGCAGACCCTTGCTTGTGAGTGCAATGCCCGCGTTGGACGGGAGACCAAGGGTGACCAAGAATGCTGACCATTTTGGCTCGGAACTCAGACAACAACCTCTCGATCCTCAACGACGTCCTGGCCGGGACGGAGCGTGTCCTCACCACGCCACTCCCCATCGCCTACACCATCGCCATCAGCCAGATAACCTGGGTCTACGTCGCCCTCCTGCCGTTCCAGCTCATCGCGGTTCTCTCGTGGGTGACGATCCCCGCGGCGGTGGCGGCGGCCTACATCATCCTAGGGATCCTATTCATCGGGCGCGAGATCGAGAACCCGTTCGGCGACGACGTCAACGACCTGCCGCTCGAGAGCTACTGCGCGCAGGTCGCGTCCGAGCTCGACATACTCGCGTCCAAGCGCCGCCCCCGCAACAAGGACTGGGTCGAGAGCAACGACAACCGTGTCCTGTGGCCCCTCAGCAGCAGCGGCTGGCACGTGTGGATGCACCGCGGCGAGAGGCGCGTCCGCGACGCCGTCAGGGCCAAGACCGAGCTCGGCTACGAGGCCAGGGTGGAGATGGCCGCCTCGGAGGTGCTCGAGAACGGCAAGGCGGGGCGCCAGACACGCGTCGGCGTGAAGGCCGTCTGAGAGGCTGGCTTGGGGTGGTGTTCTGGGGCAGGACACCTACCTATGTCGGTTGTATTACCTCGCGGCATTACCTGCTAGCAGGGAGGGATTGCCCGTTTTTTGTGTGTGCTCAAGAGACTGGACTGTACATTGGATATACGAAATAAACGGGATCGGGAAGCGAAAAAGCCCTCGTGGCATGGCATTGCATCTAGAGCATAGCATTATTTAACAGGCATATCTACCTCAAGAACCACATTGGCATTTTCATCTTGCATACCTACATTTTTGAGTGTGGGCTGCGTGCTGCCGGGTGCGGGGCGGGAGATGCCGCATCAGGAGAAATTACCGAGGAAACCCCTCACCGCCTTTGGCCCATTTCTTGCCTCGTCTCCCCGATCCCGCGTCAAGGGCGGCAGAATTGGACAGGTCGTGAATCGTGATTTCCTCCTCCCTCACCACCTCCGTGTGCTCGACCCGTCAAGATGATATCGGGAATCCTAATATTCAACCAGAAGGGCGAGAACCTCATCTTCCGCGCCTTCCGCAACGACTGCCGGCCGCGGCTCGCCGACGTGTTCCGCATCCAGGTCATCAGCAACGCGCAGGTGCGGTCGCCCATCCTCACGCTCGGCAGCACGACGTTCAGCCATGTCAAGCACGAGAACATCTACCTGGTGGCCGTCACCAAGAGCAACGCCAACGCGGCGCTCGTGTTCGAGTTCCTGTACCGCCTGATCCAGCTCGGGCGGGGCTACTTTGGCAAGTTCGACGAGGAGGCTGTTAAGAACAACTTTGTGCTCGTGTACGAGCTGCTCGACGAGATCATCGACTTCGGCTACCCGCAGAACACGGAGACGGACACGCTCAAGATGTACATCACCACCGAGGGGGTCAAGTCGGAGCGGGCGCCCGAGGAGTCGGCCAAGATCACCATGCAGGCCACGGGGGCGCTGTCGTGGCGCAAGGCCGACGTGAAATACCGCAAGAACGAGGCCTTTGTCGACGTCATCGAGGACGTCAACTTGCTCATGTCGGCCACGGGCTCGGTGCTGCGCGCCGACGTGACGGGCCAGATCGTCATGCGCGCCTACCTCAGCGGCACCCCGGAGTGCAAGTTCGGCCTCAACGACCGCCTCCTGCTCGACAGCGACGGCCTGCTGAGCCTGCCGAGCGGCAACCGCATGGGCACCAAGGCCACCAAGGCCGCCGCGGGCAGCGTCACCCTCGAGGACTGCCAGTTCCACCAGTGCGTGCGCCTCGGCAAGTTCGACAGCGACCGCATCATCAGCTTCGTGCCGCCCGACGGCGAGTTCGAGCTGATGCGCTACCGCGCCACCGAGAACGTCAACCTGCCCTTCAAGGTCCACGCCATCGTCAACGAGGTCGGCAAGACAAAGGTCGAGTACAGCATCGGCGTCAAGGCCAACTTCGGCTCCAAGCTGTTCGCCGCAAACGTCGTCGTGCGCATCCCCACGCCCCTCAACACGGCCCGCATCACCGAGCGCTGCACCCAGGGCAAGGCCAAGTACGAGCCCGCCGAGAACAACATCGTCTGGAAGATTGGCCGCTTCACCGGCGGCAGCGAGTTCGTCCTCAGCGCCGAGGCCGAGCTCACGAGCATGACCAACCAGAAGGCCTGGAGCCGGCCTCCGCTGAGCATGGATTTCAGCCTGCTCATGTTCACCAGCTCGGGGCTGCTGGTGAGGTACCTCAAGGTCTTTGAGAAGAGCAACTACTCGAGCGTCAAGTGGGTGAGGTACATGACCAGGGCCGGCAGTTACGAGATAAGGTGAGATTTTCGACTCTCCCCCCCCCCTTCTAGTTTTGCTGACACTTTGATGCTCACCGGTTCGTAGGTTTTAATCCGCATGGCAAGTTTGTAATGGTGCTTTTGTGTGTGTGTTGATATGGCATTGCATGGCGTCACGGGGTTTCCGACCAAAATTTCTCCAAGCGGTCACGATATATATATAAACTTATTTTACTTTTGGCTTCCAGTATGTCGAGTTATCATTGTGGTGGTGGTGGACAGGACAGGACATCGATCAAATTGCACCAGTGCTGAAATCGCCATTCTGATCGCATATCTCGCGGGGCGGATATTGCCGAGTGGCAAGCCCGGTGGTCCCTGAGTCCCGTAACATCGGCCGCCCACGAGTGCCGGGGGGGCGGGGGGGGGGAAGCCATTCTCTTGCTGCTCAATCCGCCATTATCTCTGTCCAACCATCATCTATAGCTTCAGGTCCCTGCCTCTTCCGCTTCCACTTCCGCCAGCCAGCTCCCCGAGACCCCCCGCAATATCCCACTTCCCCATCAGGCTCCCAGAACCACCCTCGCCTCTCCTCCCACCTCCACGCGACCCCGCCGACGGCCGCGTTTTCCCGGCCGGCGTCGCGCCGGCGTCGTCCTCGTCCGACCGCTTGACCGCAGACGGGGCGACGGCGTTGGTCTCGACCTCGAGCGACACCGGGTCGCCCAGCTGGCTCGGGTTGGCGCCCTCGCCGCGGGTCTTCTCCGTCGCCAGCTGGCGGATGAGTTTCTTGGGGGGTTTGTGTGGTGGAGGGGGCATCGTGATTATTTTCTTGGAGCTTCTCTTGTTGTTTTGATGGTGCGTTGCGTCAGCTCAAATGGCCACTGGGCAGGTTTGGGTGGTATTGGGCTTCTTCATATTCTTTTCGGTCCGTACGATCAGGACATGATGTTTTTTTAATCTTCACTTTCTCGAGATGATTTGTGGGTGACGCACCTGATGACGCTGGATGACATGGATCTGTCGACCCACGAACTCACATGTGATTGACTCTCGGCAGGATCCGAGAGGAAACTCAATTGAGTTGGACAACCGATGATATAATCTAGCCGTCCCGAGTCTAGGCTTGTGGGCAATCTAGAATTCCCAGGAGAAAAGGAGGAAAGGGGGTAAGTAATATCATGTGATCAGCGACCTGTCTCATGGGAACCTCACTTGCACAACTCAACTACACTTTGACGACAGAAGGAACCGATACTACCTAAGAAGGCATTCACAAGGTCTTGTCTATGGGAGATCCAGCGCCTGACACGACGAGACTCGGAGCATGGAAGCGGCAGACTTCTCTCCGACAAGACTCCGGTCCCACGGCCGTGGACTAAAAGTCGGGATTCGCCGGCCACCGGTTCAAAGCTGGATGTCGAGTAGGGATGGATTATGCAATCATTGCCTTCGGGTGGAACATAAAGACAGCCGACCTCCCTCTGTTGCTAGGTCTCCCGGGAACCTGGCTTCAGTGAGCTCCAGAGGCCAAGCTGAGCCGTGAATACATCCAACCTACTCACAGCTTTCACTCTGTCATAATGATCTTCCCACCCCTGATCACCCTCGGCCAAGCCAGTAGTCGCGACCCGAGCACAGCCATCTTGTCCCAGGACCAGAAAAGCCCCTGCGACGGCGGCCGCCGTTACTGCGGCTGGTTCGAGAAGTCCAGCGAGACACTCCCGAAGGTGCAAGTTTTCCAGCGGCCAGAACTGGGACGAACGGAGCCGCATTTTCGAGCACCCCTCCACCCAAGCCCGAGTGTAGTTCGACGCAGAAGGTCATTTGTGCCAGGAATAGCAAGGAGTGGTGCGATTACGGTCAGTTTAAGTACGCAGAACTTGTAGGATTACAGCAGCTGACACGGGGTCACAGACGAGAATAACGAGCTGTGCAAGTCGGACGGCACAAACGTCGTCATCATAATCGAGATCGACATCGAGGTCACCGTCATAGAGCCGACCATCGAGGAGGAGTGCAGCAAGCCCAAGTGCCCGGACTGCCAGACCATACGGGAGGACGGCGAGTGCCACTACCCCTGCTTCCCGGAGGAGACGGTTGACACGTGCAAGAAGAAGGGCGGCAAGCCCGTGTGCGCGAAGACGCCGGACGAGTTCTGCGAGTTTGGTTAGTATCCAGCTACGTAGCGTGGCCCCTTTTTCCATTTCGGCATCACACGCTGGGGGGGGGGGGGGGGGGGGGGGGGGGGGGGGGGGGGGGGGGGGGGGGGGGGGGGGGGGGGGGGGGGCG